GCATAGAAAAAAATATTTAACAAGTTATCGTCTATCAGATTAAGAAATATGAATGTACAGTGTAATGTGTTAGTTATGGTTCAAATGAATGAATCTTACAATGTTTTCCTAAAATTGTTTTTAATTCGATACGAGAAGATATCATAATGACTTTTCAGTAATAGGAACAACTGGGGATCAGGGTCGATGTTTGTTCCAAGTTTCAAGTTAACGCAGGTGTACCATTCAGACAAAAAAGTGGTACTGAAAAATGCACTGTAGAAAGCATGCTTTATACCGGTAGTGTGATGCGCACCGATACTGCAGAGTTCAACTGTGAAGAGATTTGCTTCCTAGAAAAATGCCTAGGGGGTTATATGTAGCCTCCACCAATGCATGAAATTAGAGCAAATAGTAACATCTGTTGAACTGTACTTCGTGAATTTGGGGTAGCAAATTCTGTCAAGGTTTGATCTAAGAAATCAGAAATACATGTACTGGTACAGTGTAAAATGTGCATGTACCGTACATGTACCTTACTGACCAGGACCACTTGCGGGGGTACTTGTACAAAGGAAACGGTACCCCACAAGTGAAATCTTTAGAATGACAACAATGCTCCTACCCCACAAGTCCTTCTCCTGATGTCGTCCGTATTTGTACATCACTGCTTAATTTATGCCATACATGTATTATATGAATGTACATGATGTACATCCTGAAAATCAACTGTTGCAACTCTAAAATTTCTCCAATTTGGACACAAGTCATTTTATTAGAAGTATTCATCATATTTCAAAAATTCATTACATACATAGTTGAGGAAGATTGAGGAAGACCACAATTGATTAAGCATGAATGTTCAGTGTCGTTAGATGTTCACTGCTTTTCGGTGTCCCTGTTGGTATTTTTTTTAGCCCCTGTCTAAATTTAAGGAACGGTACATATGTATGTGAATTATCTGCCACCTGTTAAAAAGTTCTCACACCAATTTTTAAAAAAATAAAACAACCTTGTTCCCCTTTACACACATGGAGGGCCCTGTGTTTATAATATCACCAGCCACAGACTGTCCATATATTCTCTAAAGATATTCTCCAAAGGTTGAAAGGTTCAGGTTCAAATACACGTAACCTTGCGGATGTTAACATGTACATTGTCTAATGTACATTAACATACTTTCCATGTTAGAGTGTAAAACGTCAGTGTATGCGACACAAGTTAGTCTGCGTTTGTTTATGGTGTAAATTGAGGATACACATTATGTGCAACATTATTGGTGAATCGAGGACAGGAACCAAATCGAGGACGACCTCGCGAAAACGTGTACAAAACCAATGAGAGAAGTTGCAAAAAAGTACCAGTAAAAACAAAGGAAAAAGGGAAGAGGAGCAATAGAAAATCCTTGATTTACACCATAGACAAACATGTACCTGTATTGTATATATATGTACCAGTATATGAAATCAGCTGTTCGTAATATTGTCTACTGCATGGTGTCCAACCTAGGTACTGGTAGTGCTAAAACTTAAAGCTATAGTCCATCATTTGCAGCCATCCGAAAAGTAACTGGCGTAATTATTGTTGAAAAACATACTTAGTTGAAAGATAGTAAGGGAACTAAACTCCCTGTGAAATTATTCTTTCTGGGAAGCTGTCATTTTGAAGTAATCAACGAAAGAAGGCATTTCCAACGGTGATTCTTAAGAAGCACCGTAGGAAAATTTAAATTAGTAGTTCGTTTTGTTATTCAGCGCAGCGCGCGCAAGTATTGGAACGACGCACATGCGCGCGCGGTTGTTATAATTCGTCGGATCAGTGCGCGACGTCGCGTATAGCTGCAATTCAAAACATGATTCAGTAACTTTTGATTTGAAATTGAGATCTTAGAATGCTGGTTTTTCTCGGAATGTACAGCTGAAGCTTAGCTGAAACTTTATCAGGTTAGTTGCTTAGTATCCTTTATTAGATTTTGAACTCTTTTGTTGCTTCAAACGAACAAAATGCACAAATTACAAATGACGGACTATAGCTTTAATGAGGCCATGATGAGGCATTCATTGCATAATGGGGCCATTGTGTGTATTATTGATCCATTCACTCAGTGTAGTGTGGCCCAGAAACAATGAATGATCTAATAAAATAGAGAGTTGTAATTACTTAAACTATGCATTGTGGACTGCATTTCATTCCATACCAGGTCTGTACAATCATTGCCACTTGAGCAGACAACAACAGATTCTGGATGAGTGGCTATGTCAGGTTATTTTTTTTGGGGGGGGAGGGGTGTTAACAGATGATTAGTTTTTATTACCATCATTTGTGGGTACATGTCCTTCTACAGTACATGTACTTTGTCATGTAAAGCTAAATATGTTCTGAGGAATACTAATGGTACTGGTACATTCAGAATAACTTTTGTAATGATTTAACCCTAATTGCCATTAATCTGCCAAAATTCCATACACCAACTTCTGCCATATTTTGATGCATTTTGATTGTCCAGCCTGCCAGCATTTCTTTATAACCTTCAGTAGGGTTTTGATGTCCTAGTACAATGACGTACATGTATGCCATTGAGTTGAGTTCGGACTGGATTAAGGTATAGACCCCAGCTTAAAAGCCTAGGGGTAAGTTCAGGGTAAGCTTCTTTTCTTACAAGTTCTGCGTGTATTTCAAGGATTAAGTAAGTGTGCAGTTTGTTTGTCCCCACGGGTTCTATGTCAAAAGGTAGAACTTTTGTCATTTAAGCAGAGAGACATCCTCATTATATGGGAATGCAAGAAGTAGACTTTAAAGAACTTGTTTATTGATAAAGTGTGAAATTGTACCCCATTTTTCAAGAAAAGCCAGCATGGCTGTAAGCAGGACCCAGTAAGCCAGTTTGGTTTTCCAACTGCACATGTGCACAACAAAATATTCCATCGTCTTTTTGATTGCATGAAAATAATTGAACAATGTACATGTAGATTCAGTTACCACATCCCCCATAGACCAACATATCTTTATCTTCCGTGTTTATTCCAAAGTAAAAACGCTTGTGTGCTTAGCACACTTATTAGCCGAGTACCAGTCTCAAGTAGTATGCATCACTTGTAATTTTGGCTGGTAGCCTGTGTTCCTTGGCAAACTGCTTCACTGCTGAGCAGATTTCTGATTAGCAGCTGCCTGAAATTGACTCCTGGTCCTCCTTGGTTTTCAGAGAGAAAAATCTGTTTATTTTTGTAGCTAAGCCAAACATGACATGTGCCTTTGCAATGACAAACATACATGTATCTCATCTATCTAAATCATCACTCGTCCTGTCATAACAATCGTGTTAACAGGACTGCTTGTTTAGATACAACTACCCTCATCAGGCAAAAGCTATCACAGCTGCTAGAGAAACTACCCCCCCCCCACTTTACCACCTTCTTAAAGATGTCCATGCTATTTTTGAGCTTCACCCCCCAAAAATGTTGTTTTCAATGGCTATTTTCTTAGTGATACAAAAGTCATTCATTTTGAATGAGAACTACCGGTATCTTAGTTTAGTTTAGAGTAATCACTTTACCAACTGAATTATTTGGGCCCAACAATAATGTTGGGTAGACTGGTTCAGTGGTTCTCACCCCCATTACAATGGCAAAGGTACGGTAGGGACCAGGAACCAGTCTACCGGTACTCGTAAAGAGGATCCATTTGCACAAAAGAAGCAACCAAAATATCAAGGTTTTTTCAGAGGATCATAAACACCATAAATAAAACATACATTGATGGAGTTATTTTTTTGGGGGGGGGGGGTACGTGTAGTTTTTAAAATTTTGTGTGTAGTTAAATTAAATATTAAAGTTTTATTTAACAAAAAAAAATCCTTAGAGAAAAAAAATTGAATTTATGGAATAGCACGGAGAGTATCTTTAACTCATTTTGATACACATAGGGGTGTGGCTTACTCCGCAATGAATAAAAAACAGCCAAGTCATGTTTAGAGTATAGTGACCAGCCCATATCCAGAGACCAATTTGTGTAATTTCGCGCTGATATGCTGATATCCTTATGCAAATAAACAGAGGGGGATCTTGCAACGAACATGTAAGTTCTGACGTCCGTTGGCGATTAAGAAACACACAATGTCTGCTTGACATGGTGACTAAGCACGTTGTGCAATGGGAATCGAAAGTAGTGTTGTCTGTGGCTGTAATGAACGTGGTGACGGTGTTGCTTGGTTACTGTGCACACTAGGGAATCATTAATGGACTGATTAAATTAAGTGGGAATAAATCAGGAATCACGCTTGTCCTGATAACGACATTACATGTACATGTACACCAGGGCATTGAATGTGTACAAACCTCCCACACCTATTGACGATTGGAGGATCAAGTAGGGGGTTGAAGAAATCCTTCCTCTACCTTACCCTGCAAAGACACAACTTTCAGTACTTGTTTCAGTAGATGGATTGCATATATTTTTTATTGATTTGGCCTTATAAAATCAGTATAAGCTTTAGGGATAAGCATGAGTGCTCTCAACTACCAGTATATTTTGATAATCTTTTTTGCATCAATGTTGAGGGTATTGGCATATCCAGCAAAACATTTTAAAATGATGGTGCCAATGAAGTTTGTCCACTGTACCAGAAAATCTACACAACAAAAATAAATTGTTATTATATTTTGCTCACTGACTGGATTGACCATGGAAGAAGAAAAATCGAAAGCTTTAAAATGGCCTGATATTTTCACCTTGGCAAGGCCTTCTTCAGAGATCCTTGCTAAGGTAAATACCAGTGTTAGGCCATTTAAAGTTTTTGATTTTAATAAGTCTTTTTCAATGAGAACTTTGCAAAAGACAAAAACTGCTACAAACCTGTTTACTGACTTCATTGAGGCTGAAATGTACCAATTGAGCTGAAGCTCCAGATCGCTCCCCAAGATGTACTGTTCCCACACTCAAGGCAAAAGGTATGCTTTCCTTACCCATGATACTTTGATAAAATAATTTTGTTGAAACACCTTTTTTTTTTTTTCCTTTTTCAGGTTTGGTGGTTGGTGCACCTTGGAGCCTCCACCACAGATAGAGATAGCCAACTACCTCTGGCCAACAATAGGAAGGTAGGCAGATACAGTACCATGAAAAGTTTTTCAAACTTACATCTTCAGCTAAAACTTTGACTCGCAAATCATGTGCAAGTCTTTAGTTTCCAAACAATATGGAAATACTTTAAACTTTGGCCTGAATTAGTGGTGAATTCCAAATTAAATGTGCAGTAACTTGAGGCTTTCTTAGAGGTTTCCTTGAGGTTTTGCTGGAGGTTTCCTTGCAACGTTTTCTTCAAGTCAGGCACTGCCCCAATATGAACAGAGATGGAGGGCACGAGCTAAACCTAACCCTAACCCTAAAACAACACCAGTTGATAAAGACACCGTGATGGTGTTGCAAGCTCCTGATACGAGCTCTGTAACTAAAGTCTCAAAAAGGTATCTTTTATTTAATTGATATAATAATGGGACTGGAAACGAACTTTCATGCTCGTTTTCCTCAAGGTTTTCCTCAAGGTTTTATAGGGTACCTTAGGGTTCAACCCTAACTATCACTTGTGTAATCAATGCACTCTTCTTGTATGAGATGTGATGTTCTTGAAGCAGAACATCGAAAAGGGCCACAAAATCTCCCAAAGCCTAGGCTAGAAATATAACCCAGGTTTGATAAACCCCAACAATGACCAGTATTTGATCATAAAATCCTTCAGAAAACATTTTAATCATGATTTGAAATATGAAAAAAAAGGAATTGAGTTTTCACAATGACTAGGGTTTTCCAATTTTACCCAAGTAGAAAAAAAATCTTGATACATGAGAACAGCATTACTTTGGAGGGACAAAGCAATCTTTTTTTTCATTTTCAGAGAGCTCTTCCATTTGAAAATTAAAATGGTTGTTCACTCTCAGGAGGGAACCAAAGTGATTTGCCAGGCAATGTACCGTATGCGTACATGTAGATGTATTGAATTAGAGATGAATTTAAATTCAGGAATTAATCAATAACAACTTGGCAAAGGCTGATGAGTTTCTTTTGTATTCTAAGTCTGTTGTCTGGTTTTGCTGCAATTTGGAATAAAAAAAAATGTGCACATATACATTTTTTTGCTTTTGGGGCATTTGTTAACAACATGGTAAATATGGCAAATATTGTTTGTGGTACTCTTACGGTAAAGGTCCCATTTCTACTTTTTTTGGGAGGAAGTGATATTTTTGACAGAAAAAAGGGAAAAGAAATCTATTTCAAAAATTTATTCAGAATGGTAGAGTACATGTAGCTAGTTGTTGAATATCAATTAAATATTGATGTATTTGAGATTTCTGTTAGTCAAGGTTTGTTGGTGAAAATGGTGTGAAACGGCTCCCATTTGAAATGAAGAATCGATAGGCTCTTCAAATGTTCTTTTCACGTAGCTTCCAGCTGCACTTGTTCATCATGAGTGATGTCCTTAGCTCCTGAAAATAAATGCCATGAATCCATGATATGAGTACTATACATGCCTAGATGCTGAGTGGAGTGGCTTTTGCGATAAATCATTACAGGCTTCCTGTCACCTGTAGCGTCATCGTTTCCAGCGAGACGAGAGAAGAAGGGAGAGATTTAGCCTCCTGGCAAAGGCCGGCCAGCACGACCACCAGAGAACAAATACTCTTCATTAATTGACTCTGACAAACAAGCTGCTCCGTTCTGCGATCGTCCCATTAGAATAATCTCGCTTGGGCTTCTAGTTCAGACTCTTACAATAGGTTCTGATGCCAAGGTGTGGACCAAAAACAAATCATGAAGTGGTTGACGGATTCATGAGTATAATGTCATCAATCTAAAAATGTAAGCTTCCTGTCGCTTGTAATAGGGGAGAAAATTGATGTGTGGTTGCAGACAGAGATTGTGATTGTTGGGGGGGGGGAGCCCAATGCAGAGAGGAAAAATGAATGTGCAAAAAAAATGAATTTTAGAAATGTTGGCTTACTAGTAAATTCAAACAATTGACGAAACATCCAATTTCATGTATGTACATACATGTATAAATTTGTACATGTACTGTACATGAAGCAAGTTTTACACTCTGTAAAATCAATCCTGCTTGAGAATCAATTCCTCCTGCTTAAGACTCAACAATTGTTGAATATTTTTCATTTTAAGTCACCAAAGACATCGTTTCGTAACCAACAACTATTCCCAAAGGCAGTAAGTGTTATTGTATGCGGTTTCTCCTGCTTCGGAACTCAAGCGTGAACACATTTACATCGTGTACGTTGATCAATAAATGATGAGCAGAATCTGAATTGTGGATTCAATTATTTTTTTTCCTTTCGTACCTAAAGTGTAGTTCATTGTGTCTCTTAATACCGGAGTTGGCGGCAAAATTGCGTCATTAATTATTGATTGTCAGACAGATTGATGGAAAAGCATTTGATTCTTTTGTAAAAAATTGCCGCATATCCCTGAGGGGCTACAAAAATAGTGACAGTCTAGCTTTCATTTTATTCAGGTACAATAGGTTTTTTTTTTGGTCCCGCACATCCATGCTGAAAAGGTTTTAGGGTAAAGAGGTCTGTATCAAAGCGGATTTTGCAATGAATCTCAGATTCTTATCAATATTTTTGCTTGAGAGCCTCTCTGCTGTGACTCAAGTATGAAAGTGCTACTCTCTGGCTGACAGAAGAGTCTGAATGGGGCTTCAGATTGCCGGCAAATTGCAATTTCATACAATTCAGTGAATGTGAAACCAGTCGGTGATATAATGCTCGTGTTTTAATAAATGCTGTTCTTTGCTTGTAAGTTTTGAATTGAATTTTCAGTATTTCCTAATTGGAGTGAAATTACAAACAAATGTACACATGTGTGGTATGGAAGCTTTTTCTTTCTTTTTTTCTCCAAAAAAAAAAAATACAGAGGAGGGGGTCTGAACCACTTTGAAACTCATTTGTCACTGGTATTTTCGATGTTAACCTTTTCTTTAATTTGTATGTCATTAGTTCACATGATTTACAAAAACTTAAACTGTCTGCTAAACACCTTTATGCTTAATAAAGAACATGTCAGTTTATTATTCAAAGAGTATACACATGTACAACTACAAGAAGACATTGAACTTTCACCAACCCGCTTTGAAGTTGATTATTGAAGAGGAAGTACTGTCCTTTCCAACTTTCCACGTCATTTGCAAAACACACGCCATAAAATTAATCCTGGTATGGAATTAAAATTTGGCAATTGGGGAATGTTCTAAAATGCCTTGCATTTATTATGCATGGCGGCCATTAACGCTGCCATTTCCGTCTTGTAATGGAACCACTTCTACACTTCAATGTCCCGGACCAGTTGATCAGTTGACACCCCCCCCCCCCCCCCCTATACCTGATGTCACTCTAGAGTGTAGTTCGGTGGCCTCATGGTGCCGGATTAATGTCTTCCTTGTGATGAATTAGTTGACACAGATGAGTTGCTCTAGAGTATTTCATGCAGTGACTGGTGTTTTCTGTGGGCGAGTAAATTTTGTACACAACTGTCAGGGGAACTTGGTTTTGCAATATTCCTATATTCTGGTCTTGTTTTACAAAAAGTGTTGATTAAAGGGCATCAGTAATGCATACATGTACCGTACTTCCCAAGAAAAAAAATAGGTGTTTTAGGAATTTGAACTTCAATAATTTCAGCTGACCTTACAATATGAAGTTCACTGGAAAAATGAAAGTTACCGGTAGTGATGACATATTGTACACCCTTAATGTGTCTTTGTCTTTGTTTATGTCAGGGTTCCTGACAGTTCCTGCAGGACGGAGCTAGTTGAAGCCTACTGTGCTTATCACTACAACACCAGCGGGGGATGTATACCACCAGCATTCATAGACAAACCTGAAGTAAGTATGATAACCCAGACTGATCGACATCAGTTGACTGACTGCATGAATGGTAGATGACGTTTTGTGACCACTTTCTAAAACGCCAGTGGGAGGGGCACACTGTGTGCGTGGGCGTAATGGCACTAAGTATGCATGACTAATAATTCTGAATCTCCAGAAAGTGTTAACGTCTTTGCTTGAGTTTCAGGCACGGTCGGAATGTACCTCCATCACCATGTTCTCAGTGATCTTTCTTCAACTTTCCCATTTAACCGTTGAGGGTTACTTGTGCACAGATTACATGACTGCTGGCATATCGGATGAGGAGGGGGGGGGAACACTTTTTCCAACCAACTGTCCTCAGTAGGGCGAAACGCTTCACTTATGGCATGATGTAAATGTGTTGCAGTGCACACCACACGGTACCATACAGATCGCGATCCGTGCATAAGATGTTAGAAGAATGGATATGTAAAGTCATCCTTTAGTGGTCCTCTTCTTTTTTTTACAAAATTTATGCTAGATTAACTTGAAGCTACAGGGATGATGCTAAGATGGAAAAAGAGGTCTAGAATTGAAAAAATATATATATCAATCACGAGACAAATTTCCCTGAAAAACCAGTAAATGAAATTGAATTGAATTGAATTAAAATTGTATATGTAATCATGGCGTCACACTTGTATAACAGTGGAGTCAGGGTTAATATTTACACCAAGTTTCAAGTTTGAAATCAGAGGGTGAACTGTCTGCACCTTTGCTGAAAATGCTTTCAAGGAATTGTTCTTCCCGCTTTATACTCATGAATATTAATTGATAAATTGTTCTCAAAAGCAAGCCTGTCAACCAACTTTGTTGCTGCCTTTGTGTAGGCCTATATATGGCAGATGCTGCACATGGCTACTCAAAATCAGAATCAGTATCATTAGACTTCAATATGGAGTTTGACAGAGCCTCTTAGAACGTCCTTGGAGTTTATGCAACATCATTTATCTAAAAATATATGTTTTTATTGGGTTTTTTGTCTTTGCACGGGAATAATTAAATTCTGCAAAATATTTATTTTCTGCATTAAGATAGAGGAAAAGTGGTGAGGTACAATTGCAGTCAGCTATGGCCAAAAACAAATAAAAAATGGACTAGTACAATGATATTATTATTGAATGCTTCGTGTGATATCTTAAAAAAAAAATTAAAAATAGCCTTCTGAGGTAGTCATTTGAAAGAAAAAGTGTGAATAATTATTATCCAGAAGTACGAAAAATAAAGACGAAGAACAAAGACGAAACCAGTTACAAGTAGTACAGTATTCACCACGTGCATTTTGGCTTGTAACCCATTCTTACTGAGCTACATTTTCCTGTGCTTAATAGATGTCTGTTCTTTGCAGCTCCTGGGGCCACTGTCATGGTGCTGCCCTCCACAGAAATTTGCTATTAAGTGTAGTAAATATTTACTTAGCAAAAACAGCTTACTGTTTAAAATTTCATGAGACAGGATACTGATTGTGTTTGGTTCTCAGCCAACTCGCGCTCAGCACATAAATTTAAGCATTATTTTCTGCTTAGCAGGTTTCTTGTTGTGGTTTTACACTTGTAGTACCCAAAACAATACAGTGTGTACAAACACATAAAATAATTGGCTGGGAATTTAGATTCTGGGGAAAAAAGGGACAGGCGGCAGCCTTTGTAGGGTGTAAGCAGAAGATTTAAATGTTTAAAGCTGCGTTTACCAAATGACATGCAGCTTCCCATCCAACAAATATCACATCCATAATGTGGAACACACTGACATCTACAGAGTTACATTGATCAACAGACTAACAATTTGGGTCAGCAGTATGGTAAAGACATCATTACTTGCAAGGCCCTGAAAGTGACGTTATCGTTTGCAGATTGTAGTCCACATTTGTAAGCATGCTAGATGCTACTGGTAGATCAATTCGTTGAAGTGTACAATGTGATTGCAGATTTAATGACAAACTCCTGAAACTGATAACTGATAACAGTCTTGTTGGACTGGGTGACCTTTCTGAACAAGGAAAGTCAAAGCAAAATGCCAGACAGATAGGCCAGGTTCTGTGGGAATGTTATACAAATCCCCCCTCCCCCTCAAAAAGAAACAAAATTCAACGGTCTTTATTCATTTGGGATTACCATCATGCATGTAGATGTTGTAAGTACATGGCTCAACCTTGGTAAATGCTCGTGGATTGCCGAGCATGTTGTTTTTGCTGTGGCACAGAGGTGAATGCGACAAAACAAACACTCAATAGTTTGTTGGCTTTGAGACCAGAAAGTCATCATCGCCAGCGATGACACACAGGTACAGCAGAAAAATACAGGAGAGAGAGAAAGAAAGAAGAAGTAAGAAGAAGAAAAAAGTGAAAATGTTGAGGTCCCGTGGCTTCTTCAAGCAGAGTAAGCCTGGATACGACAAGCCTGATTGCAGAAGCAAAAAGCAGGCAAATGAAAAACTGGAGGAATAGAAAGGAAATAAACTCACTGTACCATATTTTATTTGATTATTGACAAAGTTTGAAGTTTGAAATAAATACTGAAATTTAGAGGCAAATAGCACAAGATCTCTTAAAAAAAAATTATTCCAAGTTATTTGAGTAACAATGTTTTTTTAATACATATTAATTTGCAGAACCCTAATGAATGTTTTTTTATGTTTGATTTTACCCTGGATAAATAAAGGAATAAATAAATAAATCTCTGTACTTGATTATGAGCCATTCATTTCATTCAAAGGAATTTCATGGTTTCATATTTGTTTTCATTGTTTGCCCTGGGGTGTACATGTACCGGTAAGTTGACAAAAGGAGCAGAATCACTTGGGTTTAGAGAGGGAAGATTTGATACGCAGAAGATGTCTGTCTGAGATAGGATCTACCGTTAAGACTGACAAGTTTCCGGAGAGTTTTCTGTCCCTAGCCAGTTTGGCTTACCAGACCAGTGTTTATCTCTAGTTTCTTTGATGTAAAACAACTGAAAATATTGCTGTTCCCCTTGGATGGAATGCCAGTCCTATGTTACTGCCTAGCTAATGTCAGTATATCCGTTTGAACTTCTGGATGAAGGGAGGCAAGTGGGTTTAAGCGGCTAATGTCCTGGACATAACATGTCAAGCAAATTCCCAACGCATCAGAAAATGAGCATACAAAAACAAGAGAACCAAGTGTTGAGTAAAAGATATTATGATCTATGGATGAATAATTTGATATTCTTCTACGGTACATGTATGTACATTGTAAACATGTTACAAAAATTAGGAAATTCAAGAAATGATCAAAAAGTGATGATTTTTTTAATACATGAAATAAGCAGGGCTGTATTATGTACATGTACATCTACATGTGTACGCACAATATTGAGAGCACTCATTTACATGTATAGTGCTACAGTTGAGATAACAGAGGTGAAAGAGAAATATGTAAAAATCAAAAGAAAAATTGCATTTCTTCAATACCAGGTGAAATTAAAAACCAATCAAAGGCTATATGCAGAGGAACACCTTTTTTTTCTCTCAGTTTTGTGACATATTTTTAGATTGGCATTTTGTACTGAAATTAATATCAGCGTTATAGCCTGCCCTTGCTGTGGCAAGTTATTGGTTCTGCTTGAAATCACCGTCGGACATCTGTTAATTGCATCTGAAATGGTTGGGTACAAGCAACGTACATGTAATATCACATTCAAACTTAAAGGTATCCCCGTTAGTAACTATCAACAAACTGGCATGCGAAGAAACAATTTCTGGTATGTCAAAATCAGGCACATTGATTATAGTTTTTCTTGAACTCCCCCCCCCCCCCATAAAACAATCCACCAATTTGCGTAGTCGTAGTGCACGATATCAGTCAGATTTAAACCCAGTCAGTCAGTAATCGGTCAGTGACTCAGTCAGTGACTCGGTCAGAAAACAACGAGCTGACACTTTGGCTCCATACAAAAATGTTTTATTGCTTCATATCGAGGCTTTAAAAATGTTTAATCAAATTTTGTTTTTTTAATTTCCTATCAAGAATGGGCGGTTTTTGAAACCAGGCGACATGCCGTTTAGCATGAGGGCCATTCCCAAGACGGGCATACGTCCAGACTTGAGTGAGCACGAGAAAGGTGAGTTACAGCATAGTGAAGTGTCCGTGATATTTTTGAGTTTCAATTCCTTTTTTGAAATTGCTGTTTTTCTAGCATTGCAAAAGTAATTAAATTTTTAATGAGACATCAAACGAAATAATTGGCCTGCATATAGTCATGCAATAATTACTTCACACATTTCAAAATATTTGCATCCAGACAATAATTCAGTTCTCTTATGGTAGACTGGTTTCAGCCCCCGCTAACTATAGATAATGCAGGGCATGCGAACCAATCTACTATTAGGACAAAAAGCCACCTACGGTAATATTAAAGCAAGGATCTGGCAAGGTTTGGACAGATTTAAGTTTTTAATTCCTTCGGAATTCCCCTGAAATTAATTAATATAATCCCCACCCAAAACTGTGAATATTTTTTTTTAATTACATACATTGTAGTTCCGAAATATGAAACAACCATTCGTTAATGTAAAAAAGCAGTAATGGCAGACAGAAAACCGAAAGCGATCCAGATAAAGAGCAAACCTCTTACATAGGGAAAATTCTTAGTGAAAAGATTATGAAGGCACTTTGAAAAATGTTCAATGCCAAAAAACCCCAAAATCTTGAAGTAATCAGTTCTGGTGACCACCCTTTACAATGTGTATGTACAAATGTATAATCACCACTGGGCATGTTGCAAGTTTCAATTTTTTGAAAGAGATTTTTTTTTCTGTGGAAACAAGGAAATAACAAATTGACATGTAACTGAATGATACACATGTGCAGTGTGCATTGGGTACATTGTATCAACAATCTTTATGTGCATTCCACAGAAGGTACCCACGTTTATAACAAACAACCTCACATGCAATGACAGTTTAAACTGCAATCATCTTTTAAATGTCAAGTTGGCGTCGCCTATCCCCCCAAATGTTCTGAATATTTCACCATTGTCAATACTCGTGATACTGTTGTGCGTGGGTTTTAGGTTTGTTTTTGCCCACAATGATTCGTTCAGTCTTGTGTCTCAGCAAAGCCTTTGATCCCAGTCTAGTTATCACTTTAATCTGTTGAAGCGTTCACAGAATCCTTTTTGGAATCCTGTCCGGCGGCAAGTCTTCATACCCCAGGGTATACTGTACTCATGTTAACACCGTTCTCAGACTTGTTACAAAAAACAAAATTATTACAAAGATGTATTTAGGTCAGTGTTTGAAAAAGTTACTGGACGTTAGGAGCAACTTTGCCAAAAGATTTGAATGTTGGAGTCATTTAGAATGACTCAAGAGTCAAGTCAAAATAACATTGATAGCAACAGTTCATTTGTCTGTAACCAAAATCGATTTGGGTCGACCTGTGTCCCGCCTGGTACTTGCTGATTCTGTGCGATTCTGCTACGCAAGTCTGAAACCAGTTTAAAATAGTAATAATGGACGGCAGTCTAGATCTTCTTTAGATACATGACAAGAAAACCTGACGATCCGGACCCTTTAAGGAACCTGATGTCATCGCTAAGTGCACCGCACTCCGGTGCCCGTCTAGTCAGATACTCATCTAGGAGCCAGACTACTGTGAATTTTACATTTTTGTTTTACCCTGCCGTGCCATCATGACTAAAGTATCCCCTAGACATGAACTGCAGATTTGACAAGATGATACAAAAAGGAAACACATACATGTACTATCCAAAGTAAATGTTCTTGTCTTTCCTGCTTTAGATTTTACTGTAAAGTAAAGAAAATGCATATAAATACTTTCCACAGTAAATATTTTATTTCTCTTTTGCATCTTCATTGTACAAGAATGCATGTGACAGTATTGATGTGAATAATGTCAATACTTTCCAAAATATATTTGGGTTTTTTTGGTGCATCTTTTACTTTAAAAAACGCAATGCATTTGTGTACAAGTGAAAGTTACCAAAGTAAATATTCTATTCTCCCTTTTGCTTTCTTATTTACATGTACTATAAGAAATAAATACATGTATAAACACTTTCTACAGAAAATATTCCATGTCTCTTTTATTCTGTTTTCCTGAAACTTGTCACGTGCTGCACAGAGTCCTCTACAAGGATCACTTCCTGCAAGGAAATGAATCATTCTCTACTGCAAATTTTAAAACAAGAGGAGCCGGACTTAACTAAAACCAAAAAAATTAACCTTTGCTACAAAAACTACCGGTAGGACTCTCCTTTTAGGAATTCATGTGAGAATTCATGTGAGAATGCATGTAAATAGAAACAGGAAAAGTTCTGTTTCATGACCGCAATGAAAATGTTAGGCCATTGGGCAAATAAGATATTCTTGTTGTCTTCTCTTATCCGTATAAGGTACATTTATTATTTTTTATTATTGGTTGATTAAAAATAACTCCAGTTTCTTGACAAAATATCCAAATTGGACATGATTTATAATTAAAATAGGCGTTAAAATTACCAGTAATGTTATTTACAGGTGTAATAGAGGAATGTCAACAGGTATTACATAAGAGATTTAAAATACTAAACAAAACCAGCAGAAAATTACAGCACCAAATATCTCCAAATGGTGAAATCAATAAAGTACAGGAAAAGAGGTAGGAAAAAAGCAACACATACATTTGTAAAACTTATAAATTGAAACACAAAAACCACTGCAATTGAATATATTGATAAAGTAGGAGAGAGTGGGTTGAGAAAATAACTAACTAAAACAGACAAGTTACAATGTACAACACTTAACCAATGAAAAATAAATAAGGTCAATATAGCATGGGTTGTACTGTTGTTATTTCCAAGGGCTTGTTCCCTGGAGTACTCTTCAAGTTTTTTCCCTTTTACTGCACCTTGATCGTGCTAACCCTTATTTTGTAACTTATCACATAATTCACAGTTCAAGCAAATTATCAACAGATTTCTTCTCCTGCTTTGACAAGCTTCTTTAATTTTGTTTGTAGTCACTACCTTGAGTGAGCCTAGGTCTTAAAAATATTACCATGACAACGAAGCAGAGAGACAGACAATGGCATTTTTACTCAGATCTTTATTTGACAATTTGTCTCCATTTCATAGTCATATAAAAACTCATTACCAATTTGCCCACATCCAGACATCGTTAGCTAAATGGACTTCCCATTATGGGCTATTTTCTTTCTTTTTTACTCCCTGTACATTTACCCAAACCGTAATGTTTTGCAAATAAAAAGCATGCATAATAAAGTTGGCAACGACAATATGCAATAATTTGGGAACCGTCACTTTTTCCCCTTGTCTCATGCACAAAACATTTATCAGCACAGTTTCTCTTTGGAGTTTTACTTTGTTCTTATTTGGTCCCTCGTTTTGGCTGAGTGCCACAATAAGAAGAAACACGTGGGTTAAGCATATCCTGTGTTTATATTGCCTGAAGTTTTTTTTCAACAAAGCTTGCACATGTTAAAGTTTAAATATTTGCCTGAAAATTTCACAATTAAAAAGTCCACAAATATATCATCCAGTGTGGATTTGGGGTTTTTCGTTTGTGTGCTATCAATTATAACGACATCTGTTTACACACAGTAAATTCAACTTTTATGTATCTTTTTCCAATGTTGTCCCTCCAGTATATGATTGGGGCCCAGCACGTTCCGTTTGTACAGCGTGGTATTGGTGTACTGTACGTACGTGTCTGTGAATTCTGCCACATGTTTGGCAAACGCTCCAATTTGTGATGTCATTTTTGTCCATCATCATTTTTCCTCGCTCCTTTCTGTTTCATTATTCGCTCTAGATATCTTTGGTTTTTTCCTTCTTTTCCTGCTTCATAAGAATCTCATGCCTGTTGCTCACTCTTTGAAGACATACAATTTATTCTCTTCAAGTTGATGGTAAAAATGAGTTGAAAACAATCATTATTGGCATTTTGGAGTTAAAATTAACAAACATACGGGTAAAATCATTTGATTTGGTAGAATTTTGTGCTTCCCCTGCTGAATTTTAATTAACACTCAAAAGTAGTGTCCGCACTGGACTTATTTGGGGGCATTCTACAAAGACATCAATTTTTCAAATTTCAATGGCTAAATTTTACCAATGATTGCTCATTGACTTTTGACTTTAATTTGTTTTTACCGAGGCCAGACTTTTACACTGCACTAAATATGGGAAAAGTAATCTGTGATTTTGACCAAAACGTCCAATGGGAATAAGGACAGAGCATTGTGGGTTATTCTGCTTCTCACAGGTTTTGAGTCTCACTCTGGGGTGTGTTTTAGTATGTGTCCCTAGGCAAGGCAATTTGTTGCAATTTAATTCTCTCAAACTTTGAAAAAATGGTGCCACAGATGGTTAAATGTGTTTGAATTCAATTATGCAGAAGAAGCAACATTAAGCTTCAGTTATTATTCCCCAGGGAGCTGAGTTGGGGCCTTGGGAACGTTTTATTGGCTTGATGAGCAGAGGTAACGAAGATTTAGTGCCTCATACACAAATGTTTGCTTTTCAAATACAATATCATGACTGGAAACCCAAGGCCATGGCAGAACTCCACTCTGGGGTCTTCTTTAAAAAAAAAAATCATTTGAAATTGAGATCCATTAGATTAACCCTGCTGAGTTTATATTACAGCAGTGTCAATATTTGTGCTGCAGTGCTGGGCTGAGGAAAATCCAGCTTCTGATTGGTTGACCAAGTTTGCTCAAAACATTTACCCAAGGAAACTGGCTGTAGGCTACTCAATATGCACATCTTTATGGGAGATTTGATTCCAGATGAGCCCTACTTTCAATTATAATGACTGCATGATGTGTACAATCCGGTCAGCAGGCTGAAAGGTGGCCAGGGTTTTTATGGGAATTATTCATGATGTCTCTTGAGGTAGTTGTTTGCAATGTGCATGTCACCAGTCTTTTTATATTGAACATAAAAAAGGAACATAAAATGCTAAAATGCGAAGTATCACCTACATGTACATGTACCCTGATATCAATATCCCACAGTATCCAAATTTGTTCAGAGTTTGTCGATCAGTATTGTGGCAAAGGAAATATTTGTTAAAGCTGTTGGGTTAGTTCTGTTGGATTGGGCAGGTTTTGTTACTTACATTGACAACTTGGCAGTGTTCAAATCTTATTTTGATAACCCGACTGTGCCGATTATGGCTTCCAAAGGCTTCACATTTCATTTTGTTGTTGTATTTTGTTTGAAAATACCCCAAAGTATTATAAATATTCAAATCAACAATAAAAAGCTGTGTTCCCCCATCAAAAAGGTTGTCTGTATATGTCTGCAAATATGTTTTTTGGGTAATAAAATATTAAAAACTACAACCAGCCCCCCCCCCCCCTCACCACCACCCCAATTTTGGGCAGGTACATGTACTATCCGGAACCCAGATATCAGTTCCTGTAGTTGTTCCCTTTGTAGACAAGTATTCTTATTTTTTACTGATTTCAGGATCCTGCTTTAATGACATTAAGATCAGGGGCGGACCTAGATCTGAGGAAATGTGGGGGAGGGTTGAGTCTAAAGGGTGCTAATAGTACGCCTGCTAGGGGGATCAGGGGCATGCCCCCTGGAAAGGTTTGAAATCTACCATGATTTCTCCTGCATTCTAAGGCACTTCAACAAAATTCAGAAACTTTTGCATTCCGTTTATTATTTTTTGGCCCCATTTAACTAGTTTCATAACATTATTCAGTTGCTGAACGGTGGGTCGCATCACCCCCTCCCCCCCCAAATAGATCAACTACTGAAGATTTTAAACAAATGGAATTTCTGACAGCTTTCTGACTCAATACTTTAATAATTGAGAAACTTGTTTTCCCAAGAACACAATGCATACCGCACTATCGCCAACTGGTACATGTACATGTGCATGAACAAAAGTAGGCCTAGTAGTGAGTTTCATCCACTGAATGTGATTTTTACAAGCAAAGTTGCCTAGCATTTTTAACCCATCCACTAAATAAGGGCGGAAACATAAATTCCTGTGACCTGTAATTTCATATCGACGTTTCCTCTCACAATACTCGACTTACATGTATTCAGGGGAATAGTAAAACATGAGTTTTATTCATTACTGTGTACATGTAAGTGTTCAGGTTGTCAGTGTTATGTATTTTTTATTAGATCTCTTGAATGATACTGTATTGTTGTATAATGTAGGGATTAACTATGGCTTTTTTAGGTGGTACAAAAACTATTATGGAATGAAAGAGAAGTATACTTTTACATGTATACATGTATTTATTTCTTGCTTTGTTTTTCTTACAGTATTGTCTGATCCTAAAGTTAGTCTGGTTCCGGCCAAGCTCGGGTTTCTTATTCTGGCTCACAACAATCCGGATGCAGTGGTGAGTTGTCGATAATGTTATATCACTTTGCTTACATTGGAAAAAAATTTAGCAAGAAGGGGTGTTAAATAATCCACCTTTTCAGTTGGTGATGGAAGGTGGAAGGGGTTTTGTTGCCATCGTTGTAATCAAGTCCTTTTCCAAGTCCGACGACAATGTGTAAGTAAGTATAGTAGGAATGAAAGCTGAGAAACTAGACAGAGTAGTTAGAGTATTTTGGCCTACATGTACCCCACTGGTACCGTATGAGTATGGGTAGAATCTGAGTATTTGGGAAAAAATGTGTGTTGAAAATGTCCAAGAATTGCAATAGGACTAGAACTCAGGCTTTAGTCCTTTTGCAAGTATTTCATTGTGTCCGTACAACAAGGTCGTACATGTATCTCCTAAAATGGGCCGTATGTGAAACGCGAGTTTCAGAATGTCAAAAGTCACATCTCACTTAAAAAAACACGGATGTACACTGTACACACAAAGTCAGTGGACGTCGAGATACGACCTTGTTGCACGGAGCGTATTCGTGCGAGATACGACTTTGTTGCAGAATGGAGTTATGTTGTTGCACTGATGCGCCGATTTGTTCATTTTCATGAATATGTGTCAGCTCTCTGTCCAAACACTCATGTACTGCTACTTTTTCAAAGTACTCAATCAGCACAGTCTTGATAAGCCAGATATATGAGGATAGGGATTGGATGTTGGTGAGCTATGTAGAAGGAAGGGTAGGGGCACGTCTTGAGTGGAAGGAAAGCGGGGGAGGGGGAAATTCAAGTTCATTTTTCCAGAAAGGAGAAACCTGGGATTAACACTTGAAAACAAACTCAACAGTGAATTCTTGATTCTTTACACCATGACTCACAGGGCAAGAACGTTTTCTCACACCGTATTCTTATTGAAGTAGATATTGGCAAGTCAAGTAGTATCAGTGTCTGAATTTCTTTCAAACGTATGATTTTGTCCTGGTTGCCTGAAACGGAACTTGGCTTTCTGGAGATAACCTTGGAAAGACAAGGCGCGATGTTTTTTCCCCTGTTTTCCCCTTCTTTCTTTTTAAAAGTTCCGCACTGCTATGAATGAATTAAATGCACATTTCCTTTATGAAGCCTAAAGTACATGCGACAGCAGGATGTACTGGTCTGGCCACTAGCGATACAGCATTGCTCTGCATCATTAAAAATGGATTAGAGCGCGGTTTGGCACACAGACTGGAGTCCTCTGAGGGATGTGGACTCGGCGGGAAATTAAATTGATCAGGGTTGATGTGATTGTTGAAACTGGGAGCTTGGGGTCTACAACGTATTTTATGGAAACGGAGTGGGCGCTTGCCTTGGCCAAACGGTTTTGCAACAAAATTGAAACCGATAAGGCTTGGGGGGCTTTATGCAAATGTTATCGAGAATCGTTCCTCTCCATCTCAAACTCATTTAGGGGGAAATAATCTAGACTGCTCTGAAACTGCGTAGAATAAGTGTGTGTGGCTGTGTGGATTAAGAAAAAAATGAATTCTCGTCATGAAAATGGTTATCTTGTGCAAAGGGAATACCATTTTGTGTGCGTATTTCAATTGCAAGCACTGCAAAACTTCCCTCAATGCGACAACCTCAAAATAACAGCCACAAATCCCCTCACTGCGATAACCTCTCAAGTATGCACTGTCCTGTGAAATGTTCCCATTAAAAGCAATTTCCTGTATCTTTTCAATCAGCTTCTGCTAATAGCCTTGAAGTATGCACCCGCCATAACAACTTCAATTTACTCAACAAGGGAAAGTAGTTAATATGAAAAAAAGGATTTGGGAAAAAGATTAGACTTGTCGTCATCTTCTTCATCTTGGTTTTAATTTTTCATGAAAGAAAAAAAATCTGTCATCTTAGATTTATCGGTATTCTTAAAGAAGACAGGCTGTCATATAACTCGGGACAATCTTGGATACTCCCCCACACAAGAAAAAGAATATTCAGTTAGCTACCAGTATCTCCCAAACTAATCAAAATTTGCTTCCAATTGGGGATAAAATTGACTTTCATTTAAGGTGGAAATCTTTCATCCTCGCCTGGGCCAATATGTGGATTGGGTTTTCAGTCCCTGCCTGATTCCGATGGTTTTCCCCAGAATATTCTTCTGGGCTTTTCCTCCCACCTCTAAAACTGTAACTTCTTCTCACTGTCTTCTCTCCATTTATCCATCCTGTTATTGGCGCTTGCGCTGTTGGATGTGGCTGAAATAAAATAAAATAAAATAAATCTTGTTCTTCATATTTTCAGAGTGAAAATTGTTTAGTAACGTCAGTGAGAAAGATGAATATATGCGATAAAGATGAACTGTAATATTACTGGGGACATTATCCTTGGAAAACCCCCCCTCCCCCCCTTCAAGGTTATCAAAATTGGCTACAGATGGGGGATGAAATTTACTGCAGGTGGACGAGTAGAGGACTCCGGAACTCTGTGACATGTTTTTGCTTGTCAAGTCAGAATGGTTTGGGATGTCACTTAGATTTGATGTTTTTGGTGTCTGTTCTTAAAGTCTGTTTTATGTTGGGGATAAAATGTTCTTAATGTGAACCATTCCTGTGATGGTCGGCAGATGAGGGGAAATGTTTTCCTGTGAAAGTTTTGGCAGAAGTCAAACCTGTCTATTGAGGAGACTAGAATTTCTCAAACTGGTATCACTAACGATCAGAGCATATCGACCAAATCAGTGACACATGGTGTTTGTTTTTTTCAGACCCAGTTTTATTTTAAAGATGGTCATTTTTACAGAATTCTTCCTACATGTAGTTGTCCGTGGAGAGCATTGTTCATTTAGCTGTAACAAAAAGTTCAGTTTTTGACACAGTGATATTTTTAATGAAAGGCCCCAGTTTAATTGCAGTCAATCAATACACTGACAAAGTGCACAGTCACCTACTCCCAGGTCAGGCTGACTTCCTGGACAATAGTTCAAAACAGCATAATCCACATACATGTTCACAAGTGCTCATCAATGTTAAATCCAAAAGGATCGTGTATTTCCACAGATAAGTAACTGAAAATGGTCTTATTGTCACCACACTACTGACCAGCAGTGAAAATAACAGTTGTCATTATTTATGCTTCCCAGAGGATATTGAACTGATCAGAACAATTCAGTTCCACCATATTGAATCACTGCGGTCACATGGGCACCTGCATTGTGCATGAATCGGTAACCATGGTAACCAATCGGTAACCATGACCTCTTTGTGACATTACCATTTGGCAGTGTATTTCACCGTTGTAAAAACCAAAGTACCAATCCAAAGCAATTGTCACTCATCCTTTGAATTCCTTCTATGAGAAACATGTTTCAAAAACATTTGTCATATCAGTCGGGTTTCATCTCATTGATATTTTTCCTTAAATTGTTGCAACATTTTGCATGCACAGTAATTAATGCTTTTCTCAAATACCAGTACCGACACATCCATCAGCTCCACCATAATGGACCCAGAACATTGGGTTTTATTTGCCTTGCATACATGTACCGTACATGGACTTGTGTTAATGGGCCCCAAGGGATGAAGCACAACATTAGCACGGGTGAAGAAAGATGAAACAAAAGTATGATTAATTATGTTCAAGTTTAGGGTCAACTGAAAGAGCAACTAACAGGTTGTAGAGTGTCACCAGCCTTCCAAAGAGCATTATCTTGCCAAGAGCAGTGTACATGTACATACTCTTTGTGGACCTGTGAATAAAAGAGGTCCACCGATGCAGGAAGCGTGAAAGCTTTGTGGACTTGGTCACGTCCACACTAGGTTCCCTCCTCTCAGGAAAACAGGTTTGGAGGCATATTTTTGAGTTAGGAAATCATGATAAAAAAATTAGGTTGAAAGAGTGTTCACAGTGGGAGTAAAATGAGTTTTTTATGTCCAGTTGTTCTTAACTACACGAATACAAAGGAATGTCCACGAATTGACTGGAAGTCTGTGATTGAAATTTGTGTACAAAATTAATGAGAGCTGTTGCTAAAAAGTTAGAGTACAAACAAAGGAATGGGGATTAGGGACAATAGGGGTCCATGATTGCCGATGTTTACAAAGATGGGTGTGCGTGTTAAGTGTGAGTGCCAAAATGAATGGCTCTGATACAGTTAGCGATAAATCCCTGCTTGCTGTAACAGAAAATGTTGCGCTTACGGTAAGCATATTTCAGGGTTTTGGCTCATGTGCATGCGTACATCCCATAACTAAGGATTCTGCGTAAGCGCAGAATTCTTGGCTTACTGCCAGTACTGTCTTTGTGTTGTAGCACAGTAACATCTTTAATATGATCTTTTATACAAACACTGCTCTCTACAAGTACATGTACATGTGTATAAGTATAGATACTGGTATTGGTCGTATACACCATGACAGTGAATTTGTATACTGCCAAAACACTGTCTCTCGCCACACTTAACAAGGCTTAACTCTTATACTGAAGTTGCTTTATTGCCTTGTTTGTGAATTGAAACGTGCTGCATCCGAATTGGAAAGCAGTGAAGCAGAAAATGTCTTCATGTACAAATGTACGGTGTACTTGCTGGGCAGTAGAGTGTGCAAGTCTCACCAGTTCAAGTTTTCTTTGTATGTGAACGTCTTTAGTAGTACCAAACACTGACTAGTCTAGTCACAGACTCCCATGTTAGAATTTACCCAATTGTTATCTGCGTGATTAATTTAATGGAAGTTGAGGTAAAAATTACAAAGAGTCCATTTATTGCTTAAAATTGCAATACCGAACATTCGCTAATTACGAACAATTTTAGTGGATCCTGCAATGCTTGTTACAGCGGCATTCCGCTAAACATGGTGCTTGGATGTTCTGTATTCTTATAACAGATCACAGGATTTTGAGATAAAGATATGCTCGATACAGTCCATGTAAGCATATTTTGCCAAACTAATTGCATCCATCGTTTCAGAGATTGTCATCGTCATGGCAACGCTAATGCAGAGGTGCCGTAGTTATTGCATTCCAACATCCTGATACGTGCGTGGTGGCATGCTAACTACATTTTTTGTATATATCTGTTTGCTTGCAAAAACCTCTCTTATACATGTAACTCTCTATGCCATGACAGATCCCCATTGTAATCGTTGAGCAAGTTTTGACAAAGTGTCTGGCCCAAAGACAGATGCACCATGCGCCAAAACTCAGCAGGCTGGATTCAAATCTACAGTTTTTATTGACTTCTGAGGTTTTACACTGTAATTATCTTCAGCATTTTCCAGCTCATCCCAGAAATTCCAGCCAGCTTTCCAAAGCCCCCTACCGGTAGCTCACACACTCAACCTGAGATATATTCACCGGGACGACCGGGTGACTCCTTCCTGTCACAAAACCATCCAATCTGAAAATGACAATAATGTTCTAATGATAGGTTAAAAACCAACTGGCCATCATGTCCGTCTAGGCTTGACACATTCCTCTCGTATTCCTCCCTCCCTCCTGCTGGCTTTGATTTACTGCTGGCTGTCCTTGACTTTGACAAGTGAAAATAAACTCTAGCATGGTGCTGTCATCCACATTTGCTGTAAGTGTCAGCGCTGGGGGAATGCTTACTCACATCACCGGACACAGACAACCTCAGCTCACCTGTGCAAGGTTACCATGGTCATTCTCATGTTGTACAACCTGAATTTCTCTGAACTATTGCCAAAGATAAGGAGAAAGAAAGTTAAATGGAAAGAAGAGGACAGAAATGGCGCATTTGCAGCTCAAAGCTCAATCATTTTCGTAATCCACAACCCAAATTTCTCCAAAGGAATCCCAAAATTATGAAAGAAGGTGAGGAGGGGACAAACACTTGAATTGTTTTTAGCTTCTTGTTCATTTTCATGGTTCAAATCCACGTACCACGGCACGTGAGTCGAACACTGTAACCATTGGACCACAAGGTTACCTTGTTTTGTTGGAACTTATCTATTCCAGTGCTTCAATTCAGTACTGTAAAGCCTGCGGAAACGAGGTTTTCTGTCACATTATGACTGTGCAAGAGGCGATGGATATTGAGTGACTAGTGAAGGGTTTAACTCGGCCCTTAATGAACATTGCATGCAGGAGGATTTAGCCAGGCTTATCCTGATAATAGACTTGAGTTGATTGATGGAATGGAAAGGGGGGGGCTAAGGAATATTTCTTAATTTTGACAACTCAGGAAGGCATTAAACACCAAAGTGTATATTCTTTGTTTGTTTAGTTTGGCTTTTTTTGTGGGACCGAAGGACCAAACTGCCACCTTTGCCCAACAATTTGAAGCAAAATTGTCCCGTAATGCCACTGAATGGGCCAAATCTGGCCATTGTGTAGACCATATGCATGAAATGACTACAGGTGAATAGCCATTCAGAATCAATTGAAAAGAAGTTTGTGCACTGTGCAACAAGTTTTAGCGGCTTGTCTTTAAAAAAAAAAAAAAAATTTAATTTTAAGGAAATTAGTCTGGGTTTTTTTTACGTTCTGGCCTTTCCGTGCTAGTATAAAAGTGCATGTATCGAACATAATATTCTAATTTACCATTCAACCTTTATTTTCATTCATTTTCCTCACAGGCCAATAACATAATATCCATTTTCACCAAAATTTGATTTGAATTTTTAATCCTGGGTTGACATGTCAAACGAAAAATCCATACAATTCTGTACATCTGTTCTTCAGTTGATGTTAATATTAATAGACCATTACCACGTTAGCCAGATGTACCGGTAATAAAAGCAATTAAAAAATAGCAAGCAAAAGTTTGTTGATGCTCTTTAATATATGTTTGCAGTTTCCCCAGCATCTGTTGCACCGTCTCTCTGTTTTAAAAGTTCCAGTGAGATGTTACAACAGAAATTCTAGTAAATAGGTACTTTAGGGTGTTTGTTCTGGAGAGGGGAGATTAAATATTAACCATCAATGCATTTTTACCCATTAGTTTCCCATCCATTTGGATTCCTAGTTACATGAAATGTTGTGATGTAGTAGCTGTTGTTAACATCTGCTTGTTATTGTCTATAGCTCCTTTTTGCACAAATTGTCTCTTAAGAAGAAGAGATGTAAAAAAAACAATCAAATAGAAATGTTTGTTTTTGAGCATTTGAGCACTCAAATGTCTGATATCTTCTGATACATGTATGTCTATAAGGAGTATTCTTTTTGTACTCATTGAAGAAATACCATAAATTATTATTTATATCAGGCTTCCAGCCGTAAAAATAAATCAGCATATTGTATGCTTTCATAAAAAGTTGACAGCAATAACATTGTTATTGCTGTCAATCCGGGTTCCCGCTTGATCAAGAGCATAGAAAGTCACAGTTGTCAACCACTCAACAGAGCGTAGCGCGCGCGCGTACCGTCGAACACGGAACACGCCGCGCGCATGCAGCGCGCAGAAGGCCAGCTATACGCGCACTGTTGTTAACAATTACAGTGGCAGCTTCAAGACGTTTGATGTAAACGAAAAAGATGTAATGGACAGTGTCTTGAATTGTGCTTCTTGCGGATCAAGTCAGCCTGATATAAATAATAATAATAATATTGGATGGCTTGTTTTTGGTGGATACAAGAATATATTGCACTCGCTATGACAATATTGCACTCGTCTTCGACTCGTGCAATATTGTCATACCGTAGCTCGTGCAATATATTCTTGTATCCGCCTCACAGCCATCCAATATTAATATTAAAATTTAATATTAAATATAAAAAGAAAGCAGTTTCAAATTTGTTTAATGTTGTTATCCGTGATGTTTATTTATACTGCAAAAATGTACGTAATGAGTGTGTGTATGAAATACTCAGACTTTAATGAAAAATTGGGATGAAAAAAAAGTGCACATGTGAGAAGTGTATCACATGATTAAATGGCAAAGTTAGATCCTTTCCACTCTCAGGCCCAAGCTACATACATGGAAATCCCTTTCGGAAAGAAAACACAAAAGGATAGCTACAAATACTGTCACTTTCTGACATAATGGAAAATTGAGCAATAAAGAAGTGCATTTGACTCATAAATATTTTAAAGGCATAATCATTCATTTTTATTAATATTTTTTTCTTTAATTCTAAAGTCAATGTATTTTCTCTTTTTATTCCTGGCAGGAGCAACTACTAAAAGCCATCTACCGACCCTACTTTTTCTACGTTGTCCACGTGGACTACAGAGCAGATCAAGTCAGACAGGTGATTTCAATAAATTACCCAATTCTAATGTTAAACGGTCAATAAACCCTACCCTCACTACAATAAGTCCTTATTTGTTTGTCCGATAGTAACCCATAGACTCATTTAGTCTCGGTAATGAGAACCCATTACCAAGATTGGATCATTTTTAGGCTCATTTGGCGCGCAATTTTAACGTCGAGGCGCGTGTGCATTTTAGTGACCCTATTGGTAGAAGGAACAATGAGTGTGTCCAAGTGTGGTTCTAGCACAATAACGGCTTAAGTCTGTATATATAAATATTAATTTATTCCTGTCACAATTTGATTTATATTCTGGAAGAGAATGGGTCCTTGTTTCTGAACGTGCACCAGAGATTCTGAGAACTTTTCAGATATGGCAGAGATACATGTATATAGCCAAATCCTCTTCCACTATATTTAGGTTTGTGCAAAAAATATTCGGAAAATGCAAAATCTTAAACCCAAACTCATCTTAAATCAATTGTTACCTTTCAGGCTCTTGCTGAGAAAGCAGAAAGGATATGTTTTTCCTATCAGAACATCCGTGTTCTTCCCAAGGAGCGCTCGTTTGTTGCCTCGTGGGGTTCCTACAATATCGTCCGAGCTGAACTTGAGGTTTGTCTTGTTATCCCTTACCCAACACCTACAATTGAGGCTCACATCAATACAAAAACAATATTGTTTACACTTCTGCAATGTAACTCTTATAACCACTTGTTTTCATGACTGTCTGAGAGCAGTGATGTAACGCTGCTAGGGGGCTCCTGGTGATGCACCAATTTTACAAAGGGGGTACTGAGGCCATATTGTTTATGGGGGGGTATCCGGGGGCACGGGATCCGGGGGCACGTTCCTTTAAATATACTTAATTTGTTTTTTTCTGGTGTCAGCAAATTTCATTGAGTGTTTTGAAACAGTAAAAGATTCCCCTTTGTTTCAGTGATCCAGGCTTTCAATAAATCATATTCATATTTTGCTGCAGAATTGGAAAAATAGTTACCAATTGCTTTTGAAAAATATAAAAAGAAATGTGTGAAATGAACATACGTGTACATGTATAATTGGAACTTGAAGTCTGGTGGAAATAAATGTGTTACCCAGAGGCTTAGGACAAAATACTCCTTGGCTTGCAGTATTTACTGGGAAATTGTTTTTGGACTAGATTTTATTGTTTCATGAAATTTGAAGTCAACAGCCTTTTCAAAAGGTTCGCTGAGTATCTCCGTTTAGTTCTGTCACTGTCGTCACAGATTAACTCCGCTTGGCCAAGCCGCAACAAACTGTTTCATCCAATTCTTATTTCTCCTCTCCATCTTTCCCCCTGTCTTCGGAATTGATCCATCGTTCCAAATTATTCTCCAATTTGATGTGTTTTTCCTCGCAGTTTTAAGAACCCTCTGGCTGTTTTTTCTCCCCCGTCAACCACATGGGTCGCCTGTGAAATTGTCTTGATAATTTAATTGACTATTTTCTCCGGTCAGTTGGTTTAAGCGAGGAACTTAAAAAAACAAGTGGAGAGAGTTTTACATTGTGTACATTTTTTTCTAATTAAACTCTTCGCTTCGAGTGACACAGCAAAAAGTGAATGAACATCCACTAGCAAAAATGCTTGGAGAACTTTCACAGTCAAGTGGCGCTATCGTTTTAAGATACTGGTGTCTCTAATTTTACATTTACAACTGAGCAAAGAGATTTTGTTGAAATGATCAAAGTTCACTTTGTGTAGAGTTCTCGGTAACAGATACTGGTATCTTCAAATGATACAAGTACATTGTTAAGAGTTCTCAAAGACGGATAAGTCTTCAGTTAGCTCTTTAAGTTTTTTTTCACTATCGTCCCGACTACCCACTTTCAAGTACCACAGGTCCCATCAAACATGGTTAGGCAAGGCATACCATTCACGCTTACACCAGTACGTAGGCTGAGACCAACACGCCCTCGCATCATCATCATTACACCAGTTCGGTGTATACAACTGGTTGGCTGTAGATTTTCTACCCAGGTAGAACAAGGGTGGATCCAGTGGAGGGCTAACAGGAGCCATGCCCCCCACCCCCCAAAAAACCAAATATGAAACTTTTTTTTTCAAGTGACGTGGCAATAAAGGCAGGCACTGTGTACACCACCATCTTGTCCTCAAAAAAATGTGGTTAAAGTGGTCGGAAATTCCCTCAGATTGTACCACAGAGCATCTAGGCCCAAAACAATTTTCGGGGCCCTTAAGTGGGCCCTTGAGCTTTCAACCCCACTCTTAAATTTTTGGACCCACTTTTTGGGGCCCCCACCCCCCCCCCCCCAAAAAAAAATGTGTGTTCTGGATCCACCCTTGGCATAGTATCTCTCAACCCTGCTCCCAACCAGGGTTGGAATTTAGCCGTGAAGAAGCCATGTTTGATTCTAGCTAGAGTGTGAAGGGGTTCGTGAAATCTCCACGTTGGACCTGGGTCTAACACAGAGATGTTTTGAAAGTGTGAAAGGCAGTCAACCCAGAAATATACTCTGATGCTTGCGAATAGAGATTTAAAAAAAGACATTTTTCTCTTGTACAAAAACCTATAATTCCTGATTTATATACATGTATTCTCCACTGAGTAGGTTTATGTAACACTGAATTATTGATAAGGTCTACTGGACAGAGCAGTGTGAAATACGGCCTTGTCCAAAGGAAAAAACAAGGGCATTATTTGAGAGAAGGATTTGCCTCGCAGGCATGCTGTTGCGGTAAATTTGACATACACGAAGGTTGTCAAGGGAGGAGGGATTTTCACAGGCTGTGTTATAACTTTCAAATAAATATGATAAGCTTCTTATTTATAACATGTCTAGCGTCAATGAATAAATTTCAGTTAATAATAGTAGTAGGCTGTCCCACGTGCTCAGGCCGACTGCTAAATTCATCTGTATGACATGTTCATGTCGGCAATTTGAAAAGGATAGGACGAGGGTTAAGGGACTGGTGACATGAAATTCAAAGAAGACGTGTTTCTCAGATTCATTAGAGAGCCGTATTTGTAATACAATGACGGTCGAATGCGTTATAAATGACATTTGGAAGTTGAGCTGTGCGTATACATCTCTCACAATACGAGATGTATCATGACATATATGATATGTATCACATATTGTCAATTTAAGTTCCGGTAGTTATGGCAACTGTTGGCACCTTTGCATCAATTTATAAATAATCATCCATAATTTTTCAACACTTTGTTTAATTTTCTGACATTGCAAATGAATTAAAAACCACAGCGGTTTCCAGTGGTTTCCAGCGGTTTCCAGCGGTGCCTTGTTTTCATGGTTATTTTTTTTTTACAATTGCAGGATGTCTTGTTAAATGTGGGCTTGTGTTGACTGAAGGCCTCTGTCTTTTTCCTCATTTATTCATTGCCAATTGTTGCTTTACAGATATTTGTATTGTGATGCTACATACTATATACATAGTGGCATTCTCATATTGTGATTTTCATTTGCAATGTATCGTTAAATACCTACCGTATGACTAAGTTTAAGTGAATTAAATGGTTTTAGCCCCCCCCCCAAAAAAAAAAAACCTAAATACAAAAACAGAAAACCTCAAAAAATCTGTACCAAAAAAGAGAGAGAGAGATAAATGGAATCACTGCCCTCAATGGAAACATTATGTTAATCACGATGAAGTAGCAGTCTTGTCAAATACGGTACATTCACTCACGGTCCTACCTCCATGAACTTACCCACTGAAGATGAGAGACGTGGACCTCATGTCAGTAGCTACTGGTACATGTACACATGTACTTGAGCTCTCAGGTAACATGGGTGCGATATCAAATGTCAAAGTATCAAGTGTTTATCTGAGGAACAACTGTAGTTTGTGGTGTCCCTCTTGATTTTGCTCAACCACCCCCACACCTACCCCTACCCCCACCCCTATCTCCACCCCTATCCCAACCCACAGAGGAATAGATTGAACATCTCAATGTTCATGTACTGGTAGGCCTCAGTGAAAACCATGATGACAGCAAAATCTACATGTGTGTAGAACATGTACACAACAACTGAGTGGCAGCCTCACCCCCCCCCCCCCCAAAAAAAAGAAGGACCAGGCATAGTCTGCTTTCAAGCCTGTCTTAAGTGAATTGTGACTTAGGACGCACCTGCCCCACTTCCCTGGGGTTGTGTTTGGAGGTAGAGCGTGTCGGAGAGAGCCCCCAGGGGTGGGGGGGGGAGGTAGGGGAGAGTCTACTGGTGGGAAAGGCAGCCGGAACTTGAATAATAGGTCAGGCTTAAAGTCGGCCGTTCCCAGAAGAAAAGAAGTGATATAGGAATCCTCCTCGTAAAAGAAATATGAAGGAAGGGGGAAGAAAGAGGAAAAACAAGCAGGTGCATTTTGCCCACAGGGGACAGGAGGACAAATTTTCAGGGACAACAAATTTCCTTTTTTTTTCAGCCAATTTACAACAAAAAATAATTCTGGTGGGGGCAGAAAACCAGCACAGCTTGTTCTGGCAACTCATCAATAATTGAAAACAAAAAGACAAGAAAATAGAAAATGCCCTGAAAACTAACCATCCCACTTCTCATGCATTTCATTACCCCAAGGGGACATTGGACCAGTTTCCACAACTTCCAAATTGATTTTCCTAGATTGAGAAACACAAGGAAAAAGAAGCAAACATAAAAAACACCTCTCTTTAAATTAAGCATTCACCAGTAATGGATCCAGCTCCGAACATGACACCAAGAGGAAATTTATGGTCTGAGTTTGCCCCCCAGATACCCATCTGTAATGCCTTGTTACAGTTTTTTGGCATGGATGTCGTGAGCACGTACGTGATACCTGACCAAAAAGCCAAAAGCCAAAAGGGATCCGCACTGAGGTTTTGAAGATTGAAGAGTTTCCATTTGATGTTACGGCCGTGTTTGTTTGCTTTGGTGTTCCAGGAGGGTTCATTGAATATTCAGTGAATCCTGTGGAGTGTCTGCAGGGTGCTCGGTGGTCGAGTGTGGGTGAATGGCTGTGCACACGATTCCGAGATTTACACAAGGAAATATTCAAACTCATTTGTGAAGCGTATTAATTAACAAAAACATTGAGATGATCTTACTTTTTTGTCAGCACATCTTGTTGGTAAGCTAGCAAAGTATTTTATGCAGAGTGCATTTCATTGTAGCCAGTTGTAGCCTTATTTCTTGACTGCCAATTAAAAAAAAAAAAAAATTCTTCTTAGTAGCACTTTAAAATTGGTTCATTCCATTCTGACAGTTGTCGCTCCCCTGCTTAAGCAAACAAATCAAAATCCGGAGCACTGTTGATATTGTCATCACATCGGATCACTGGAGAGAAAAAAGAAAAACTGAAACATGTGAAACAGCACGCCGTCACTTTGCATTTCAGTCCCGTCCCGTCCCATCCTCCCCCCCCCCCCATCACTTCAAGAGGGCCGTAGCACGGCCATCTCATGCCCGATTGCACCGTTGCATCAAGCACAGGGGGCTACTGAAGCCTCGAGTCCCCTCCCTTGGACAAAAACAAGCCTTGGAATAATATTTCTGCATTCTCCGTTTCCAACGATGTGATCTTGCAGGCAATGCTCGTCCCAAGGGACGCCCAAAGTATCCAAAATCAATGTTTTTTCTCCTTCACATTGAAGCCTGTCCCTCGCATTGAAGACTGTAGATTAAGGCAAACTTCCTCGCAAGTCAGTAAATAATGTGTAATCATTCAGGATTTACAAGGATATTTTACACGTTCTCTGAAATGTATTGTGTGTGCGTTTGTTCGGGTGTAAAGTTACACGACTCTTAATGCCGTCTCAAGGTATGCAACATCATCTTTGATCTCTGCTTTGCAGCAGAGTGTATTTGGTCTGACAATTGAGAAAGCACAAGAGACTTGATGATTGCGGGATCTTCTTACAAGAGAAAGTACCTGCTTTAGACATGTTACCCTATCCCAAAGACGAATTAGAAATTGCCACGGGTTATTTTCAACATCGAGGATTCGTTTGCAGAACCCTGCAGCCCTATTAGCGTAGAACAAGGACTGAGGTGAAATATTTTAGATTGACTGGAGAATCAGCAAGACGCTTTATTTTTGAAGTAGTATTCGATTTTCATTAAATACTGTAAAATAAAATATAACATTTATTTAAAAGCAATAACCTAATGCATAACCTTGGATGATAAATTGTTAATTGTTGTCGACAGAACCTAATCTAGCATCCACAGTTACACAAAGTACATCAATTATTTGGTACATTTTTGGAAATCTTCTAATCGCATTATAACGAGTGCATTATTTAAGCACCGAGTGTGTTTCAACAGTACCGCAACCCACGCTTCAGCAAAACCAGCCGCGCCATCTCCAACCATGTTCAACCATTAAAATTTCATAAATCCTTGTCAATTTTCACCGACTTGCCGAGAGATTTTTTCTACCGCGGAAGGAGGCAATTTATCTTTTGTCATGACAACGGTGACAAATAGCCCGGATCAGTTCGTATTTCAATTATATAAATGCGTTTCTCCGTGGGAGCCGCTGATGGAATAGACCTGTTATCAGGAGGGGGAGGGCTCCGCTAACAACTCTTCAACTACTTATTGCGAGGGTCCTTGTTGTAGTAAACAAGTGGGCTGCTCTGACCATGTTTAAATCGATAGGCTAGCGACGTTTACTTGATAACGTAATATTTTTAATGGTAGCATCTGTGAAATGAAAATGTCAAGGAAGAGTATCAGAAAAATACTCTATTTACACACGTGTGTGTATCTATGGGGCAGTATTATTGAAGAACTGAAGAGCCTCCTTGGATTTGTTTAAACTTTTGATAGCTAAGTTTTGACCAATCTTAATTTGTCCTTTGAATTTCTGAGAAGGTATTTTCAAGGTTTTTGTTTTTTGGGGGCACGTTTATATCAGGCAGTATTTTCTGTCCATCCATGGAAAAATGAGCCAATATATATTTACTCACTGTGCTTCCTCACTTGTACCGTCTTCCAAGTGGGGGCGCTGTTCAAAACTGACCATTATTGTGCATACTGGAAAATCTATGCCGATTTTCACAGTGCTCACATTATAATGGTTTTGCAACTTGGTTTCCTTTTTTTTTTTTTTGTGTGTGGTCATGTCAGAATTCTCTAACCATTTATGGAAATAGTTTCTGAATATAAATCTTTCACAAAAATCCGTCAGGGGGGGGGGATATGTTTGGTGCAAGGTGCAAGGATATGTTTTTCCAGTATAAGATTGAGAATATGTATCAGAGCATCTTATTTTTTTTCATGTTTCTTATTCCATCGACAGGGTTTTGAGGAGCTACTTAGGATGGGGGCCTGGGATTTCGTCATTAACCTGAGCGGGTCAGATCTTCCAATCAGAGACGTGGACGACGTGGCAGCCATGTTGGCATCAGCGAGAGGTTAGTGTTTGATGTTGCTCAAGATTGGCTTGTGATTGACTAAGGATTGACTTGTAGTTGGCTTGTGATTGGTTTGTGATTGGCTCTTGATTGGCTAGCCATTGGCTAGCCATTGGCTAGCCATTGGCTTATGATTGGCTTGAGATTACCTTGTGATTGGCTTGAGATTGGCTTGTGATTGGATCATGATTGACTTGTGATTGGCTATTTTTTGGCTTGTGATTGGCTTGTGATTGACATGTCATTGACAAGCAAAATTAAGTTGTGATGACTTGACTACAACTCTGATGTAATGTGCTTAAAAGTGAAAACACAAAATGTTGACATTGTGAATTTTATTCTGCAGAAGGCATTGAACTGGAAGGGGGTTACAATGGGTCTGAGACTATTGTCTTGTAGAATTTAATACTTCAAGATCTGAACTTTTGAGTGTTTCATAACACCATACACTTTATCTTGCCCTGGGTGCACCTACACGTATGCAGGCTCTCTGCATAAGCCCCTGACTCTAAGTGCACTTGTTTGGCTACTTGCCCGGAAATACCAATATCCTCAACATTGAGTGACGTTGGAGGGATTCAAAAAGCCGATTCAGGGAAGACTTTGAAATGACTGCTAATGGAGTGAGTTGAGGGATGTCTCAGATGATATCAGGGCACTCCTCGTGGGCTTATCTGAGGATTGCTGTTATCTTTGCATGAATTCCTTGAAGTACTTGACAACCTACCCCATGCAATAAACATAGGCACTTTCCTGTATTAGATTCAGGATTAAAGCAGAGAGTTAAGTTAATGAATTGAAAATTGTTAGAAAATGTCAAGTGCTCTGTCCAAACCAGATGCTTCTGTGCAGAGCTTGAACTTTAGACACAACCAAAAAACAATGTGTGAGGGTGAAAAGTTTTTTCTTTGTTTTTTTGTAAGTTGGTGATCACGAATATTTCTAGAATATCCTGCAAAGGTTTCAGATTAATTTTGGCATTAAAGATTATTTTTCGATGATTAGTTGGGGTGTATGACTTCTTGCCTATAAAAATTTGCAAAATTCACATCCACCTTCAGCCTTCATCATTTTTACTTCTTTTTAAATCCAACGTCAGGTTCTAACTTTATGAGGCAGAATGGCAATTGGAACGATCGGTCTGACAAACCAACAGACTTCACTGTCTGGTACGGCTGTGGGGGTCATGTATACAACGTCTCAACTCGTGGTAGACGGCCTGCATGGACTGATATGCACAGCGCTTCACAATGGGCTGTCTTTTCCAGGTAATTCGTTTTTATAGTGGATGTTCATTACAAGGCTGAAAAGTACTCAAGGTAAAGACGTATAGGGACAGAAATTGAAGAAATGAAATTTTAATATTGTTATATATTTCTGTGCCCAATTTTAATAAGGGAATAAATGTGTGCTCCGGAGGTTTTTATCACTCGTTTAATACCGCTTAGAGTCTGGGTGCTGATAATTACCCGAGCCGGAGGCGAGGGTAATTATCAGCACCCAGACTCTAAGCGGTATTAAACAGAGTGATAAATACCGACCGAGCACATATTTATTCCCATTCATAAATACCTTATCCGTAAAAATATATCAAATTATTCGTTCAAAAAATCCCGATTTTGTTCAACAAGTTCACTTTATGCTTTTTGAAACATCCCTCTAGCAAAATAATGGAGTGTTCAGCTGGCGAGTAAGATGTAAACAACCCTTTTATGGAGATTGACGCGCGCGTAACATGTTCTGCGCGATGTCACGCAGAACGCACCTGGGGCGTTGCGTTTTGAATTTAGAACTGTAAAATTCTGACTCGTTTGTAGTGTTGCGCATGCCTACGTTAGGATTGTGAACGTTCAACCAATGAAACGGTAAGAGGCACTGGATTTTTAGGAGTCCACATTTTATTGTGACACTGGAAAAGTGTTTAAGACCAGCTAGCCATGTCTTTATCATCCGTTTAAGACCGGCCACGTGACAGGCTCTCGACCAATATGAATAGCTAAACTGTCTGAGGTATTTATGAATCACTGTTCATAAATACCTTAGACAGTATACTCATTCCTATTGGGAGAGCCCGCCACGTGGGTGGTTTTAAGTGGTTGATAAAACACTGACTGGTTTTAAACACTTTTATCCAGCACCACTGCTTTCTGCGCCACATCGCGCCATATGTGCCATGCGCACTCCAATCTCCAAATAAGAAGATTTTTAGTACTAATCCTATTGGATCAGGACTTTAGTCAGGTGACCACAGAAGCTTACTCCAACTCTGTCACAAGCACTGTGAGGGCTTATAAAAACTTGGAATTAGAATTTATTATTGTTCCCCCCCCCCCCTCCCAGGGATTTCACCGATTTGGTTGTTGGTCACAAGCGCGGGCCTAAGATGGATAGTATCCAGTATTTCAGCATGACTAGTATTATTCCAGACGAATCCTACATGGCCTCCATGCTCAAGATCTCTCCATACAGGTAAAGTTGAAACTAAATGGACTTTTGAAGACTTTCACTTAAATTTTAAAGACAAAAATGAAGCATATTGCTCAAAAGTATTTCTGATGACCTGTGAGTAATTTTGTTAAAATGTCACAGGTCCCGTTTCTCAAGAAAACCTTTTCTTGTAGCTAATCCAACATGCTTCCTGCTTTGGTTTTCATACAGGGAAACATACATCCATTATAACCTGCATCACCTGAAGTCGTTTGCTCGGAAGGACGACCGCGGTTTCTGCCGTCACACCGAAGACATTGATTTCTGTGGACAGGTATACTGATAGTTTCAGATTTGTTACAACGTCGCAGGTTCATAAAAAAAATTCCTTCCAAAGATAAACTGAAAGTCGTAGAAACAGCAGAGGTTGGAAAAACCGTAGTAAGTCCCCCTTTGTGAATTATTTCCTAATTTGCTCTTATTTAATTGATTTGTCGGCTCACGATAAGATTTTAATGAAACAAATTGAATATCTGCAGGGTCCAGGGACCTTTGAAGCTCAAGACATCGACACGATAGGAAACTTGGCCCACAATCTCTTCTTTGCTCGTAAGTTTGATGGAGTTGTCACCAACCCGGTCCGCCTATTTGCCTTGGAGTTGAGCTCTGGAAAGTATTACTCCGATCTTCTAAAGACGCGCATCACCGAGGAGTTTGTGAGGTAAGTTAATTCATCTGGGCATGCTCAGTGGTCAGGTGACTCTCGACCAGTATTGTAGGGAGTCTTTCAAAGTCCCTAAATATACTGACTTATAAGTTTTATTACATTAATCACAGTTAAGCATGATGGTTGTGCTCAGTGAGTGCCTTGAATGAGTAGGATAGTAGTGTTTGGACACAAAGCTGACTCAGATAGGAAAGAAATTAACAAAAAGTTTCAGACATTCAGACTATCAAAGCAACTTAAAACTTACGTCACAAGCTTATTTGGTTGTCACTTGAGCCAGTGAATCCAATGATCATACCACAATCACTGCAGTTAACAGCATCAGTAATTTCATCTCATACAGGCCCTGTAGTCTCACAGAATGTTTCCCTGAAATTGAATTCCCAGGTTACACGCAAAATGGATTACTTCGATTATTAGTTCCCTAGCATTTGGTTATACAAGCATCTCAGTTAAACATGCTGAAGCCCGCGTTCCTGGCTCATGAACGGCAGCTTAGCAGCTGAGCATCCAATACCCTGGAGGAATTATTGAGACTTTGTAACAAGACGACTCAGACGTTCAGTGCCCCGGAAGGTGGGGGGATGAATAATCCGCCAAGCGCATTTGATTTAATCCGTGTGCTTGGTATTTAATTAAAACTTAGCTAAATATTCCCTGGTTTATTACTAACTCACTTGTCAGGTTGTGGGTTCATTTCGTATGCGAAGCTGACCTTTTGCAATATTGTTGAGCATTTTTTTTTTTTCGAAATCATTGCTGAATCTATCATTTCTTTCAGAATTGTTATAAAGATGGAATTTTCTTAAATTAAAAAAAAAAGAAAACAAAACAACAAAAAATTGTATATTTGTATTTTTTTTTACATTGGGCAATTCCAGCATCACAGACAATACTAATCAGACTTTTTTTGTACATTAAAAATTCAAGAATAAGTCTGAATATGTCATCCATCATGTAGTAATGTTCAAGGAAATTACAGACTAGGAGTTGGGATCATTTTTTCTGAAACTTTAATTAGATATCGTGCTTAATTGGCTTTGTCACAGACATTACCATTTCTGGAATTGCACATGTGAACTTTCATGTTTATAATAATCATCCATTGATTTTGCTCCAACAGGCAGTTAGTGACCCTCGCCCTGCAGTCAGAGTATGGCGCCCTCTATGCCTCAGAGGTGGAGATTGAGGCGATACGTAAGCTGCGTATTTTCCCCCAGCTCCTGCCGCTAGACCCTTGCTGTCAGCCCATCTACAACACAAAGAACAGACTCGTCAAAGACTTGCGCTACTGGATCGATTTCTCTCTGGTAAGTTGGATTGAACCCTCCCACTGCGCCCCTTCCCCACCCCCACCCCCACCCCCACCCCATCACCACGCACACACACATACAGCTGTGTTAATCGTGGACCCCCTATTGTCCCTAATCTTCATTCCTTTGTTTGTACTTTTTAGCAACAGCTCTCATTGGTTTTGTATATAAATTTCATTCGTGGACTATCGGTCAATCATGGACGTATTGTTTGTGCCCTAAACCCATTTGTCCTATGTCCACGATTGCCGGTGTTTACATGCTCGCCCACACACCCCGCTCATTTTTACTATACTCATGAGGACCCAATCCTTTCCTTCTTTTGTTCCCTGTTTGGTTAAGGGAGACCTGCCGCCATGTTTGCCCTGACTGTTTGGACACCATTGCTTTTCTTTAATCAGATCTCACTTCTTTTTTTATGTCGACATGCGATGCTTGAGTAAAGATTGCTTTCAAAATGGTTTTCCTGATTTTATATTGTACTCTGTGAAAACACACGGGAAAGCATCTTGTTTGACTATTTATTCTCCCTTATTCGTCATTCTAACTTCAGATTTGTCTGGGGTGGTCTGCCCTTAATGTACATGTACAATTCAAGTAAAAAGTTGTATCTGATTATTTCAACTCTTCTAATGATGTTTTGTTCCTTCAGGTGGAAATAAAAACTGGGGAGCGAAGAGTACTGAGGGCCTCATTTGTAAGTAGATCAATCAAAATGGAATATTTACCAATCGCAATCCTGAAGAAAAAAAACTGGTCAAAAGTCAGATTAGGGACACATTTTACATTTACGGCGGAAATGTGTGTAATATAGACATCTACAATGCATATGTTATGTTGGATACAGGATTTTGACATTTGTAATGTTTATTTATATATTCGTGCATTATTGAAGTGAACCTACTCTCTTATCTCTTAATTGTAAGTAGATGAAGGCAATTTTGTTGATTATTCTGACCGCTTTTTCAACAGGTGCCACAGAGTCGAACCCAGTGTTTCAGTCGAGGACACATCAAGGGATTACATCTGACAACAAAACCTGCAGAGGCATCGTAAGAAAGAAATAGCAAAGACACACAATGGTCAGAAGTAATAGATGTGTGTTACACCAATATTGAGGAATCTTTCGAAAACAGGATTGCGTGAAATTTGTGGAAAGAAAATGAAAAAAAATAGGCCAGGTTATATTTTAAGGGGAAAATATGACAGCTATAGCGGATTCCGGCGACGCTCTTGTGCACGCCACACTAGTTCATGAAGACGAGATGCGTGCGCATTTTGGTAACTCTATTGGCCTCTACCTGAGCACGACTGGCACGACGGTGCCACTTCAAATAATGGCCGTTGCCGGAATAGTCTATATGTGGTTTATTTTGTCCAAAATATAACCTCTTCTGGGTAGCTTGCTGGAATTTTTAAAATGCAGATCTTTGCCATTTTGACAGTTAAATTTTTCAAGGTTGCTTTTCTTTGCAAAATTAAGCTTGTTTGAAGTTTGCAATAGTAATTACCTGTTAACATTTTGGCTCATGCATTTCATAAACAAAAACAAAAAAAATCACTTGTTGGGGCAAACTTACTATTTGAAAGGTTTTTAAGTGTATTTGAGGCTTATTTAGGATGGATTTTGTTTTTCTGTTTTTGATAGGAAAACGCAAGTGAAGGGAGGGCTCCCTCTAGCTACAGAGGAGGCGGGAGGGGCCTCATTGTACATGGCGTCATTCATCAATATTAATGAGAAGATTATGCCAGCACCAACATGCAATGAAGTGGAATCGTTACCTGGTAAGAATGGATACAGGTTGTTGCTTAAATACTGCTCAGCAGATTTTCGTGCTAAGCAAAAAATGAACTGGGAACCAGTCACAAGCAATGTGATCACATGACATTTGGCCGTTACCCGTTTTTGTGCTTAGTAAATTTCTGTACTAAGCAGCTTATTTTTGCCTTCTTTCAAACGTCTTCATTTGATTGGATGCACAGATGATAGTTTTGAGGGTCGTTCGCCCGATAGTTTCTCCTACGCTTCCTTCCCGCTCAACAAGGATTCTAAGAAGCTTCACTTCAACGCAAGCCTGGTGGATCCACAGGGCGAGATCAAGTGTCTGGTAGAGGTCATCATTACATGGAAGACACCGCACGCATCCGTGCAAAAGGTGGGAAACCAGTACAGGGAGGGGGGAATCAATGTGGAGTACTTATGTAGTATGCAAAGCCCATCTCTTGTCAGTATGACTTAACAGGCCAGTTTTTATCTCTGATTTCATTGGCATTTGTTTATACTTCAAATCCAGATACTTATACTTATACAAACCCAGATACATTCATGATTGACCTGTGATTGACTGAAACCTTTGACATAGTGATTTCACTAGGTGGAGTTACATGTCCTAAAGCTTGTACACACATACATTGTAAACATCGGTGCTTACTGAGGAAATCTTGTGCCATAAAATTGAGCCTTGAATGCAGTTAAAATCACACCAGAGCTTTCGTTACATAGACTAATATAACGATTGCCATTAAGCGTCGTACGTGTTGTACGTGAAAGGAGCACAGAGTGTACAAGTACTAGCTACTCATGATCATGATGCTACCCCAGTAATGGCTTGTGAATGTTAGCATATACATGATACTATTGTTTGTAATACATGTCAATTTGTATTGATCACCCCAATTTATAGTCTGATACCGTGCGGTACATGAACACCCTGAACTGTGGCCCATTGGAGCCAGGCCTGTGGACGCTGGTATTGTTTCAGAGGGGAGTCAAGGAACCGTTCCCTTACACAGTTCAAGTCTTCCTGACAGAGCCTAAGCCACAAGGATGGATGGATTTCAAGAAAAAGGACGGCAAAAATGGTAAAAATAGATATGTCATTTCCAGGGGCAGCATAACCGATGGGGGCTCTCCCCCTCCCCAGTTTGACGCTGTGGCTGAGTGTTTTTTATATTTGTATGGCATTTGACTGATACCAGGAATATCCTGGATTGACCATGCACTGGCAGCACAAATCTGACTTTCTATTTTTATTTTTTGCAATTCAAAGATGAGCTGCATGGTATATGGATGACTGAAGAGATCCGTGAACTCAGTGACGCCGAGATCAAGCAGGCGGAATATACTGCGCAGAAGCTCCCAGACGCTGACGATTTCGGTGATGGTGACGGAATTATTGTGAACCACGGTAACAGCAACCCTGGCGCCGTCAATGCACGATTTGATGAGTTTGGCCACGAGGCGGACTACAATAAGGCACACGGCGAGCAAGAGGTGGGCAGGGAAGGAAACGTAAAGCGCCCTCATGAAGCCGATAGTGATGACAGAGGCGCGGAAGAAGGGGCAGAGTATCAGGAAAGGGTCTTTGCTGACCCTAATAATGAACTAGACATTCCCCGCGGCATGCACCGACGGCACGGTCACCTGGACGGTCTGAAAGCGCCCCCACAGGAGGGGCAGCAACTCAATAACCCCGCCCCTAATAGGGCTGAACAGCCCAGGGTGGCGGGAGGGGCCCTAGAGCCCCATGTGAATCCCCACCGGGTTCCAAAAAAACTGAGGTCAGTGGACGGAAAGGACATTTTGGGCCGGCATTTGAAAAACGACCCAGGTCTACTGCAGATTCGACAGATCGACCCCGTTCCAGTTTTTAAGTAAGTATAATACAGAGTTTCCAGGATGCATAGATTTTCAAAGTGGTGAACAGCATCTCTAGAATGCTTTTGTTTTTTATAAACTGTATCAAATATAAATGGTGAAAACCATAAATGGCAACAGACCAAGGAAAGGACCGAAGAATTGAATCTTTTGAGCCTTTTTAAACAATTCTATTTTTATTAAGGGATGTAAATGTTCTAAATAAATTAATCATTAAATCTGTATTTATTAACTGCACTATAATATCACACATCGTTTCACTTAATACATGTACGTGTTGTGTAACATACTGTGCTGCATGTTTGTATTACATGTTTCATGTCACTCGATCATGATAATAATGTTCCTGTTTTTCTTTGTTCCCCCTTCCTCCCCCTCCCACGTTTCTTACTCTCTGTCCGTCCAGCTTGTACAGTTATCTCAGGTAGTGTGGTAACCGTTCATGAGTCTCCCTTTTTGTGCATGCTTGAATAGATTGAGAATGACACCAGTGTTTTAAGGAGGTACTTGTGATAGATCTTAAGGACATCACAACTCCAGTCACATGTCGATCATAACTCAATTAAGTCCAGTCACAGGTAGCAGGAGGACCAAAAACAAAGTAACGCATTTTTGTCACGGTTGTATGAATAGCTTGTGACTTGACTTGGATTTAGATGACTTATGATTGACTTGTGATTGACTTGTGATTGACTTGTGAAGTCTTATGAAGTCTTGTGATGACTAAAGATCCATCACCAGTACCTCGACTGCAACATTGAATGCTGCTTGCTGAGTGCATGCTTGGATACATAAATTGACCCCTACAACCCAAACTCGACCTAAACCCAAACTCAACTTAACCAAACACAATATTTATTTTGATTTTTATTTTATCTTTCCAGAAAAACAGTGAACCTTTTATTTTTTAATATAAACTTGAAAAAGCAATTATTCCATATACGTGCATGGGTCTTCTTTAAGTGGTGTACAATGGACCTCTTTTATGCATGGTTGCGTGTGCACGTATGTGTTTTTGTTAATACTGTCAAACTTACCTAAACGTGTTCTGCATTTTCTTTCTGTTTTTGTAAATTGAATATTGAATGATATAGGAATAGTAATTCTGTCTTCTATTTTTATTTTTGTCTTTTCCAGAAAGCAGTCTCCCGCTGTATCATTTTTGGAGTTTCTCGTTATATCAGCCTTAATATTTGTTTTTATAAAAGGGTAAGTCAAACTGTTACCTATGGGCTCTATGCACAACAGATTCTGCGACCTGCACTTTGACTGTTGAAAAACAGCATTTTTGTGTGTTTTTCCAGCACAATGGACACAAAAGAATGACCAACTCAGTGGAACAATGTCAGCTATAAATTAATATCCCTTAAATCCAAAGATCCTATATGCCTTTAAGCGTCGTGCAACTAAATATACAGTTGGTGGTTGGGTTAAAAATTCTGGTTATTTTTTATATATTTATTGTTACCATTTTTTTATGAAATGTGTTGAATGTGAGACTGTCCTGCAGTTGAGCAAAATCTTTGTAGTTACACTTTTTCTCTTGGGTAGAGTATAATCTCAGGTTCCATTATTGTGTATTCACCTGTTAATAACCAGCATTTCAGAGTCACTCTCAACCAGCTACGCTAGTATAAGAAGCAAATAAAGTTTTGGGTCAAGTGAACTACTTGTGTTAATGTTCCCTTCACCAGACCCTGGAAATGTGTAAAACCAACAACTGCAACAGTCAATACTGTCTCTCCTAACTGTTTCAAATATTGAACTTTTTATGTATCTACATGTAATTCAGAACTTTAGAATTATTTTATTCGGCAAACGGTTGCTTCCACAGTATTTCTGCTCTGTGTTATAAAGTGCCCCCCCCCTCAAAAGACCACTCTAGGAAAGGACCGTATCTTCTTGTCTCACCCTGTCTTTTCTCTCCTCTTCCTCTCCTCCAGGGTCTTAGTTCCGCTTCACATCGTCAAGCGAGGGAGCGGTGGCATCAAATCCTTCGGCACATTCCTGGTAGTCATCACGTTAATCCAGTTTACCATTTACCTAATCTTCACCATGACAGTAACCAGCTAGTACACAATGACCTCTCACGTGTGAACTTTGACACCCCAACCTGTGAACTTTGACATCAACTTGTGACCTTCGACCCAGCCCACAAGTTATAGGACAGCAGCATGGAGTCTGGGTTAATACAGTTTCCAACCATGGGGAAAAGTCGCAGACCATGGGGAAAAGTTGCAAAGAAAACCCTCAAAAAAAATAACCAGGATGAAATGGATGAAACTTGTTGTATACATATATGTGCTATGCCCTGTGACTTAAGCACCCTGCAAATGTTACTCTTGTTCTAATTTGATAGTGTACCCTCTTGACTTAAAGAACTTGTTGAAGAAAATGTTTCATTTCTAAAATTTGTTAAGTTATGTAATAAAGAAGCCTATCAAGAGCCAAAACAAATAACACGTAGCCGACTGGGTAATGCATTGTTGAACGGACTTGAAAGATGTCAAATACCTCATTTGAAATCCTTGGATGTATTTATTCAGCAAATATTTCTTAAGAGTTAACAAAATCAACTATAGAAATGCAAACATTGCTTGGTATTAAGTTGAAGATTGTACCACGAATATGCCACATTTCAGCAGTTTCATGAGGCACGTTTTGAGGAATTTCTCTACAGCCTTTTGTCCCCTTTGTACGAGGAATCTTTCCTGGATGTCAACAGAGTACATGATTAGTACACAGAGACAAAAAACCTGGTTGAGGTCAATGACCCATGATGACCTTTGACCTGTTGGCTGTCCCTTTGCATTAGTATTTGTACTTAGATAAATGTGCATTTTATTTTTGTTGTGACGACTGCAGAATGATCTTTAATTTACTTTCTATCTTACAATTTCACCTTTTTTTCTCTCTCTCTTTCTGAGATTGCACTGTAGAGTTGTCATTTCGGGAAGGCAATTTTTTTTTAAAGCAAGCAAAGTATGTGAATCTTTTCTTGTCTGTATTTCACCACCGGTACTAAAAATCTATATCATTACTTAATTTTTGTTATCTAAAAGTATATTTTTTAAATTGATGGAAGTAGTGTGTTTGGCATGATTACTTACTGACGAAATTTAGACAGTAAATGTACAGCAAGTAAAGTGTCTAAATATGCTGTTCTGCTTATGCCGTTTTGCCCGTCAATGCAAAAATGTTACATGCACATGGAATACTGGTATATGCAAAATGGCAGTGTACTTTTTCTTTTCTAGTGTGGCCCTCATTCAGAAGGGGAAAAAATGACTCTTTTGTTTTAGTAAAAATGACATTACATTTAGCATATTTGGGCATACTGAGAACAACATGGTATGTTAAAGTAAACGGAAAAACAGATAGGCCTAGAAACACAAATGGTAACTTTTTAAAAAGGTAGCTTTTTTTCAAAAGTTTTGCATCACATTAGTCATCTTCAATGATTTCACAAGTGTGGGAAATAAACAAGTATTAAAGTGCCTGCACATGCTACGTACACGGTACATGTATAGCTGCACTCCTCCCCTTGTACGCTTACGTTCACCGTGAAGTGCCTGTGCATACGCTTAGATGTTTGTGCAGTTGCTTGGAGACTACAAAACTATGTTTCTGAAAGATTGATGAAAAGGATTCCATGAAAGGTTGTGTAAAGTACAGGGCTGATGGCTAAAAAGTTTGAAAAGAGTTGGTTATTGTCCTTTTGATAAATTCACAGAGCTGCTTAAGGAGCAACATTCCTGGATATTTTGACTCGTAAGTCCCTGTTCAGTGTCATGAGAACAAACTTTTCTCAACTTGTTGTTTGTCGCTCCACAGAAAGTGGTGCCCTGCTCAGTCCCAACAGTCTATTCCGGTGATTGGAACCAGGGGCAAGTGCCTTTTGGTTTTAAAACAGACTCTGGCATCTGATCAGTTGAAACAAATACTTGGATATTCACATCAATTTTGCAGTTATTATACAAAGATGTGTTTTTGCAGTTTGTTGCCCGTGTATCCCACAGCCCACCAAAGTTGTTACTTTTTTGTATATTTCTTTGGGTTTCTTTTTTATGCATATATCAGTCTGTCATAAGGCATGATTTTTTCTTGTTTTAGTTAAAGTTTTCTTAAAATGTCGGGAGAAGGTTTTTATTAGTAAACTATATAAGCAGTCGTCTTGAAGAAAAGTGTACATAAACATTGTGCCAAACAAAAAAATGTACAAAAAGCTCTTTGTCAAATTTTATAACGTAAGCATGACCAAAAATTCAACATTTGAAAATGAAATAATATGGTTCTTTTTTAAAGATGAACCAAAGTGAAGACACTTTTATTCAGAGGGAGAATAGAATCGCAATCTCTAAAAATCTAACCCAGTAGTCCCACAATTTGGCTTTAAATGCTTAATGTCGCCCTTTTTCCCTGCCTTTATGAAATAGTTCAACTATAGCTTTTACCAAACTTTCAGAGTATTTTTGGCATATTTTTGTGGAGACCTTTTTTCTACCTAATGACACTTTCTATTAGGTTTTCTCTTGCAGTTTTGCGTTCCTTAAGAACGTTAGGTACATCACAGTGATTGTACATGTGTATCCCACCATTTAAGATTGCAAAGTTTATTATACAGAGATTGAAAACAAAAATCAGTGGCTTAAAATGTTGTGCTGTAATCACGAAGCAAACAGGCACATACCACCGACATGTCTGATTCAGCAAACTTTAACTGTCTCAATCATGTTTTTCAATTTTAATATATGAAATACAGGTACTTTACTGTGTTTATTTTGTTGATTTAAAATGAAGTGATTTTGTGTTGAGTAAATGGTGCCCATGATTTGTAGATACATGTAATTACTTTACAATTCCAATCAAATGTTGATTATTACATTTTTTTGCCCGCTTTGTCCTAGGCCATTTCATACGATTGCAGATGTAAAAGCATTGCCAGTATTATGACGTCAACATTGTTGTTTTTGGTAAATCCAGGCCTATTTGTTTGGCTTCCCTCCCTGTAAGTGTTCAAAATTTGTGTAAAAATTGGACGTTGATTGCAAGGAATATTCTTCAGTCACCATTTCCCAACCATCCCAATTGTTTGGTTTTGTTTTCATCTCGCCCTTCACAAGTAAACTTAATGTTTCCACAATCAAGTTAATTTAAATCTGAAAATTCCGATTTTGGAATGACTAGAAATGGTGCTGTTTTTTTTTCAAAGATTTGAAAGTTTGTTCACCCCCATTTCCCACCAATTTTTTTTTTGTTGGAGCCATATTTTTCTCCCGAGAACACCCCGTTAATCACCATTTTGATGCCCTATCATTCCCACCACCACAATTGCTTTTACAATTTTAGTATTTTTGAGAAATTGACTAGTGTTTGTTTTTCCTTTTTTTTCCAAAATCAGTTTTGCAAATGTGCAATACTGTCTGCCGCTGACAATAAAGCAGACATAACGAAAAACGAAGAACGAAGCAAAGCTTGTATTTTTGAGTGCATTAAAAAAAAAGGAAATTTCAAAAACTAATTTTGACTATTATGCTCAACAGTTAAGTTCTGTTTTATCTTCAATACATTTTACCTATATAGGTGTAGTTTGTACGAATATTCTCAGTACATTTGTAAAGAATAACTGATTTATGTGTATGCAAATTTGTTCAATTGATTTTAATTATATGAAAGACCTGACTTAAGGGCTGATGATTGTAAACACAGTTAACTTATAGGTAAAACTCAAGAAAAGTGCTATTTTTTACTGGTATTTTTTATCACTTTTTAATAACCAAACCTACAAATATTAAGCCACTTTTGTGATTTTAAAAGCTGCAACGAGACTTCCCACTAATGTCTTTAAAAGAAATCAATGCTTTAAGAAAAACGGTGTTGTAAGTTTAAATTTCGTCAAATGATACTTGGCTTTACTTAATTTAATTGTTTACCAACTTTGGCCGCTTTTGTCCAGAAACGAGATGGCATAAAAGCTGGTGGTTTCAACAAATGGTCATTCATTTTTGTGCGATTGCTTAAGTATGTAGGATTTTCTCCTTTTTTTTGAATGAATGAATGATTTATACCACAAGTATTAACAAAAAAATAATGGGGAAAGGAAGGATTAAAAGGTATAAATTTTAAAAGTTTTGTGGAGGACTGCTTGATGATTGTGTACTTACTGAATGGACGAATAGGTTTGCCAGAGGATGAACTTCAAATTGATTGGGTTTTAAATTGATTTTGCGATCCCACCAATGCCTGTGATTTCATACTCCCTATTTTAAATATCAGTTGAGTTGTTTAAAGAAAAGTCAATTTTGGGTGCAAATAAGACTAAAAATGCAAGGGGTTAACCTTACATTTTGAGTCAAATTTGGCCAGAAATGGACTTTTCTCCAAATACTCAACGCACTTTTCTTTTGAATAGAACATCTGTACAGAAATTTAACTGGAATGTGTTCTAGGGTCCCTTAGGCATCTTTCTAGCAAGTTTGAAGGAATTTCATTTTTTGGTCAAAATTGAAATAATGCAAGGGGTTAGCCTTACATTTTTATCCAAATTTAGCCAAAAGTTGACTTTTCTCCAAACAATGCAGAAATGCAATTGGAAGTCAGAGATGCACCAATAAACTAGTTGAAATGTGTTCTAGGGTACATTAGGCATCTTTCTAGCAAGTTTGAAGGAATTTCATTTTTTGTCAAATTGAAAAAAAATGCAAGGGGTAAGCCTTACATTTTTATCCAAATTTGGCCAAAAGTTGACTTTTCTCCAAACAATGCAGAAATTCCTTTGGAAGTCAAAGGAGCACCAATCAACTAATTGAAATGCGTTCTAGGGTACATTAGGCATCTTTCTAGCAAGTTTGAAGGAATTTCATTTTTTGGTCAAATTGAAAAAAAAATGCAAGGGATTAGCCTTACATTTTTATCCAAATTTGGCCAAAAGTTGACTTTTCTCCAAACAATGCAGAAATTCCTTTGGAAGTCAGAGGAGCACGAATCAATCAATTGAAATGTGTTCTAGGGCATATTAGGCATCTTTCTAGCAAGTTTGAAGGAATTTCATTTTTTGGTCAAAATTGAAAAAAATGCAAGGGGTTAGCCTTACATTTTTATCAAAATTTGGCCAAAACATGACTTGTCTCCAAACAATGCAGCAATGCAATTGGAAGTCAGAGGAGCACGGATCAATCAATTGAAATGTGTTCTAGGGTACATTAGGCATCTTTCTAGCAAGTTTGAAAAAAATTCATTTTTTTGTCAAAATTGAAAAAAAATACAAGGGGTAAGCCTTACATTTTTATCAAAATTTGGCCAAAAATTAACTTTTCTCCAAACAATGCAGAAATTCCTTTGAAAGTCAGAGGAGCACCAATCAATCAATTGAAATGTGTTCTAGGGTATATTAGGCATCTTTCTAGCAAGTTTGAATGAATTTCATTTTTTGGTCAAAATTGAAAAAAATGCAAGGGGTTAGCCTTACATTTTTATCAAAATTTGGCCAAAAATTAACTTTTCTCCAAACAATGCAGAAATTCCTTTGAAAGTCAGAGGAGCACCAATCAATCAATTGAAATGTGTTCTAGGGTATATTAGGCATCTTTCTAGCAAGTTTGAAGGAATTTCATTTTTTGGTCAAAATTGAAAAAAATGCAAGGGGTTAGCATATTTATCAAAATTTCGCCAAAACATGACTTGTCTCCAAACAATGCAGCAATGCAATTGGAAGTCAGAGGAGCACCAATCAATCAATTGAAATGCGTTCTAGGGTACATTAGGCATCTTTCTAGCAAGTTTGAAGGAATTTCATTTTTTGGTCAAAATTGAAAAAAATGCAAGGGGTTAGCCTTACATTTTTATCCAAATTTGGCCAAAACATGACTTGTCTCCAAACAATGCAGAAATGCAATTGGAAGTCAGAGGAGCACCAATCAATCAATTGAAATGCGTTCTAGGGTATATTAGGCATCTTTCTAGCAAGTTTGAAGGAATTTCATTTTTTGGTCAAAATTGAAAAAAATGCAAGGGGTTAGCCTTACATTTTTATCCAAATTTGGCCAAAAATTGACTTTTCTCTAAACAATGCAGAAATGCAATTGGAAGTCAGAGGAGCACCAATCAACTAATTGAAATGCGTTTTAGGGTACATTAGGCATCTTTCTAGCAAGTTTGAAGGAATTTCATTTTTTGGTCAAAATTGAAAAAAAATACAAGGGGTAAGCCTTACATTTTTATCAAAATTTCGCCAAAAATTTACTTGTCTCCAAACAATGCAGAAATGCAATTGGAAGTCAGAGTAGCACCAATCAACTAATTGAAATGTGTTCTAGGGTATATTAGGCATCTTTCTAGCAAGTTTGAAGGAATTTCATTTTTTGGTCAAAATTGAAAAAAATACAAGGGGTTAGCCTTACATTTTTATCAAAATTTGGCCAAAAATTTACTTTTCTCCAAACAATGCAGAAATTCCTTTGAAAGTCAGAGGAGCACCAATCAATCAATTGAAATGTGTTCTAGGGTATATTAGGCATCTTTCTAGCAAGTTTGAAGGAATTTCATTTTTTGGTCAAAATTGAAAAAAATGCAAGGGGTTAGCCTTACATTTTTATCCAAATTTGGCCAAAACATGACTTGTCTCCAAACAATGCAGAAATGCAATTGGAAGTCAGAGGAGCACCAATCAATCAATTGAAATGCGTTCTAGGGTATATTAGGCATCTTTCTAGCAAGTTTGAAGGAATTTCATTTTTTGGTCAAAATTGAAAAAAAATGCAAGGGGTTAGCCTTACATTTTTATCCAAATTTGGCCAAAAATTGACTTTTCTCTAAACAATGCAGAAATGCAATTGGAAGTCAGAGGAGCACCAATCAACTAATTGAAATGCGTTTTAGGGTACATTAGGCATCTTTCTAGCAAGTTTGAAGGAATTTCATTTTTTGGTCAAAATTGAAAAAAAATACAAGGGGTAAGCCTTACATTTTTATCAAAATTTCGCCAAAAATTTACTTTTCTCCAAACGATGCATAAATTCCTTTGGAAGTCAGAGGAGCACCAATCAATCAATTGAAATGTGTTCTAGGGTATATTAGGCATCTTTCTAGCAAGTTTGAATGAATTTCATTTTTTGGTCAAAATTGAAAAAAATGCAAGGGGTAAGCCTTACATTTTTATCCAAATTTGGCCAAAAATTGACTTTTCTCTAAACAATGCAGAAATGCAATTGGAAGTCAGAGGAGCACCAATCAACTAATTGAAATGCGTTTTAGGGTACATTAGGCATCTTTCTAGCAAGTTTGAAGGAATTTCATTTTTTGGTCAAAATTGAAAAAAAATACAAGGGGTAAGCCTTACATTTTTATCAAAATTTCGCCAAAAATTTACTTTTCTCCAAACGATGCATAAATTCCTTTGGAAGTCAGAGGAGCACCAATCAATCAATTGAAATGTGTTCTAGGGTATATTAGGCATCTTTCTAGCAAGTTTGAAGGAATTTCATTTTTTGGTCAAAATTGAAAAAAAATACAAGGGGTAAGCCTTACATTTTTATCAAAATTTCGCCAAAAATTTACTTGTCTCCAAACAATGCAGAAATGCAATTGGAAGTCAGAGTAGCACCAATCAACTAATTGAAATGTGTTCTAGGGTATATTAGGCATCTTTCTAGCAAGTTTGAAGGAATTTCATTTTTTGGTCAAAATTGAAAAAAATACAAGGGGTTAGCCTTACATTTTTATCAAAATTTGGCCAAAAATTTACTTTTCTCCAAACAATGCAGAAATTCCTTTGAAAGTCAGAGGAGCACCAATCAATCAATTGAAATGTGTTCTAGGGTATATTAGGCATCTTTCTAGCAAGTTTGAAGGAATTTCATTTTTTGGTCAAAATTGAAAAAAATGCAAGGGGTTAGCCTTACATTTTTATCCAAATTTGGCCAAAACATGACTTGTCTCCAAACAATGCAGAAATGCAATTGGAAGTCAGAGGAGCACCAATCAATCAATTGAAATGCGTTCTAGGGTATATTAGGCATCTTTCTAGCAAGTTTGAAGGAATTTCATTTTTTGGTCAAAATTGAAAAAAAATGCAAGGGGTTAGCCTTACATTTTTATCCAAATTTGGCCAAAAATTGACTTTTCTCTAAACAATGCAGAAATGCAATTGGAAGTCAGAGGAGCACCAATCAACTAATTGAAATGCGTTTTAGGGTACATTAGGCATCTTTCTAGCAAGTTTGAAGGAATTTCATTTTTTGGTCAAAATTGAAAAAAAATACAAGGGGTAAGCCTTACATTTTTATCAAAATTTCGCCAAAAATTTACTTTTCTCCAAACGATGCATAAATTCCTTTGGAAGTCAGAGGAGCACCAATCAATCAATTGAAATGTGTTCTAGGGTATATTAGGCATCTTTCTAGCAAGTTTGAATGAATTTCATTTTTTGGTCAAAATTGAAAAAAATGCAAGGGGTTAGCCTTACATTTTTATCCAAATTTGGCCAAAAATTGACTTTTCTCTAAACAATGCAGAAATGCAATTGGAAGTCAGAGGAGCACCAATCAGCTAATTGAAATGCGTTTTAGGGTACATTAGGCATCTTTCTAGCAAGTTTGAAGGAATTTCATTTTTTGGTCAAAATTGAAAAAAAATACAAGGGGTAAGCCTTACATTTTTATCAAAATTTCGCCAAAAATTTACTTTTCTCCAAACGATGCATAAATTCCTTTGGAAGTCAGAGGAGCACCAATCAATCAATTGAAATGTGTTCTAGGGTATATTAGGCATCTTTCTAGCAAGTTTGAAGGAATTTCATTTTTTGGTCAAAATTGAAAAAAATGCAAGGGGTTAGCCTTACATTTTTATCTAAATTTGGCCAAAAATTGACTTTTCTCCAAACGATGCAGAAATGCAATTGGAAGTCAGAGGAGCACCAATCAATCAATTGAAATGTGTTCTAGGGTACATTAGGCATCTTTCTAGCAAGTTTGAAGGAATTTCATTTTTTTGTCAAAATTGAAAAAAAATGCAAGGGGTTAGCCTTACATTTTTATCCAAATTTGGCCAAAAATTGACTTTTCTCCAAACAATGCAGAAATGCAATTGGAAGTCAGAGGAGCACCAATCAACTAATTGAAATGCGTTTTAGGGTACATTAGGCATCTTTCTAGCAAGTTTGAAGGAATTTCATTTTTTGGTCAAAATTGAAAAAAAATACAAAGGGTTAAGCCTTACATTTTTATCAAAATTTGGCCAATCTACAGTCTACATGTGCATGGGGAGAACTCCTGAGTAAATTCTGCCAAAACAAAATGATATGAACATATATTGAGACCATGTTTCTTTTCGTCTTTAACTGTCCATGTAGTTTTTAATCACTAAATAGAGTAATCGTATTGAATTTTCTCAATACTTTGTACCCATTACTTACAGTAAAAGTTTACACTGAGCTCGGTCATGCTCAGATCTGATAAGCACAAAAAACAGTAAACATAAATCAGTTGTGAACCAGCTAACCATCATATATCACATATACCTTTATGGCTGGTAACCGATTTTACCGACCATAAATTGGGTGTTAAGCACATATTCTTAGTAGCTCCATAAGGTGGGGACAGGACTGACCACAATTAAATAATAAAAACAAATAATACTGCTTATAAAAGATTAGACCAATCCATTAAGCCCAATCACAGTCGTACTAATATCCAACATGCATGAACAAAAGTCTGACATGCCTGAACGTGCATATGACGCATACAGCTTGATCTCTTACCGACTCGGCAGTGAAATAATAGAACAATCTTCCTCCTCAAATAAAAAATGAGCCTTAGATTTAAAAATTGTCTGTTTGCATGGATCTGTGAGTGTGAAGAAAACCAAACTATTATTGTTAAATATTTCCCAGTAAACCAAATATGGACAGGCAACAAATTGAGAATTTCAAATCGAGTGATAATCAACAGCACATTTGTCAAAACTTGCTTTAAAAGAGGCGTTGTACTTTTATGCAAAACGATTCCAAGCTTCAAAGATTGAAGAAAAATGTTTAATGAGCAATATCAGTCATATGAAACTGGTTTTCATCCTTTTTGGTAACTGCACTGATTAGTAGTTTATCACTCAATTATATGTAACCTGTACAACAACTGAAACAACAAAAGTACAAATCAATCGCAGAAATTTGATATAAAAATCAGAAAAGTTAATGACAAAAATGTGCAATCTTTACTAATATGGTGAGGCTACCCCAAAAAAAACTCTTCTACACAAACCAAAATCTGGTAGTCTTTAAATGTTCTTGATGTTGTGAAACAATCGATGTATGGGTTTAAATAATCAACTTTAATACATACTGAACGTTTTTTGAACGTGTTTCTGTGGCTGAAACTTAAACAAAACCTGTGTCATTTTAGAGGCTCATTTTTGTATGACCACAAATACAAAATATAGAAACAGAAAATACATCATTTGTTTTGCATTTTTGTGTTGCCTTGGGTTTTTAACCCAGAACCATGTTATGTCATCACATTTTTTTTACAGGTCTTTTTACACTATTTGTTTGCATTCAGTGCACTGCAATAGTCTTGTTATAACAAGGCATCAATTCTTAATAATACACTTCACATTACAATAACACACGTCAAGTCTGGGTACTACACTTCAAAACAAAGTATTCGCATTCTTCCAATCAAGTCTCGCTGGTGTACATTTTATCAACCAGTTTGTTTTCCCGGTTTTTTTTTTTTTTCTTCGGAACCACTATTTTAATCATTTACAATAATAAAATAGTGCAGTTTACAACATTCACTCCGTTTGCATTCCAATCTCCAACACTTGTCTACTTGTCTGTACAAATATACATATTTCTCGCAACAGTCACACAATACTGTTAAATACAAAACTGTGTTTTAGTGAGGGTACAACTATTGTGATTGTGACTGTGGATAAGCTCATTTTCATTTTTACTCATTCTAACTTCAAATAGGACTTCGACTTATGTGTCCAAAGGATATTATTCTTGAATAAAAAAAAAATGACTGAATTATAACTTTTAAGTACATACACATGTACATGTATCAAATCTATTTCAAGAATAAATCATGACAAAACAGCAAAATGGTGCGCACAGTCATGTCCTATTGAATTATTCATTAGTATCTATTAATATTCAAAACATTTCTTAATTCCTTCGAAACCTGACACAAAATACTTCATCATTCCACAATGTTGCTTGACTTACAGAAAACCCAAGCAGAAACAACCCCCTCCCCCCAAAAAAAGAACCCTATAAACTCAAGTGAAATTGCAACTGTCTCTTTTTAACTATCAAATTTCAAGCCACTTTCTAATTATTTAGAACACCGTCATTTCAGATTTCTTTTTTTCATCTTTTTTTTCAGTTTCTTTTTGATTTCTCAGTAATTCTTTCTACTAAAAAATAAAAAACCAATTAGTATTTATTACAAAGAATCAACCATCTCTCTGCAATACAGCCCAGTGCAGTGTGGATCTGAGGAATGTCTGGTATCCTGAGTTGCCTTTGCCCAGTCTGACTGCGTTACTGTTGTCAATCACCTTGTCAGAATTTGTGACCTTATAGGTCAAAGTTCACTTCTTGATTGACAGGCAAGAATGGTCCATTCAACTCCATATGCAACTTATTTCAGGCATTTTTGTTGCCTGAACAAAGCTGAAAAAAATACAACACACTGTGACACATGACTTCCATAGAAAAAAATAAAAAGTAACACACAATCACATTTAGTGTTGCATAATCTCTTTAGCAACTTGATATACATTTATGCACAAAACTTGAAGTGAAAAAGAAATTTAACAAAGAGTTTCAAAAAAAAAAAGAGAATCCAAACACAAGTTGCATTTTCAGCCAATGTTTTTGTGTGCAAAAACCAACAAAACCAGTGACGTAAGACAATCAACAAGCACCCAACTTTGTATCATACAACTAAAATGCCTCTCAATCTGTCAAACTCAAAGGTGGGCAGAAGTATTTTCTATTAAAACTGAATGTTTCGTCACTCCAAAATTCCTGAATTTTTGGTTCACCATGTTTGCAATGACCCCCATTACTGAATCTTAACAGAAGACTTCCTTATTGCTGCGCTGCTGGCCCATTCCGATCCAATCCATGGCAGTGTTGTAAGGGAGTCCATCACAAATTAATCACAAGTCCAGTCACAAGTACATCACAAGTTCATACATCAGGCTGGTAACAAGTAACAGGATGAACAATGAATGAAGGAACGTCTCTGTGACATCACTGATACTTGAAGTGTCTTGAACAGTCAAACAATCAGAATCAAGAAATTGTGTCACATGTGCAGTAAGTAATGCTGTGCCGAAATCCTCATTTCAAATCCCCTCCCCCCCCCCAACCCCGATCTGATCCGATTGGTCAATCTCATGTGCGGAAGGCCTCAATCTTATCAATGAAATCTCCAAGTTTCTGCTCGTTGCGGAACGGCTCCTTAAGATGCACCAGCTTGATCTTTTCAGCATCTTGGTACGAGTCGATGACTTTCCAGTGCTGGAAGAGACGCCAGGCGTTGCGGAGTGTGTCCATGGCACAACTCTCAGCTACGAAGGGGGTGGAGCGAGGGTACGAATATGAATCATCATGAATAATTAACACAATCAGAGGGTAATGAATATGAATCATCATGAATAATAAGCACAATCAGAGTGAATAAATATTATCATTATGAATAATAAGCACAATCAGAGTGAATGAATATTAATCATCAATATTCAATCATAATTAATAAACACAATTAGTGGGACTGAAGATTATCATCATGAATAATAAACACATTAGTGAGACTGAATATTCATCACAATAAATAATAAACACAATGGGCGGGGCTCTTTCAGTACACTTCTGAATCTTATGTGTTGCTAACATTTTTAGTGCCATCTTATTCACAAACTGAGAATCGATTTAAGTTTCAGCATTTTTCAATTTCTGGATTTTCTTTTTACAAGCGTAAAATTATTGTTCCCGCAAGCCCGAGTGTTGATAACCTTTGACTCGAGTCGTGTCTAGTCGAGTCGTTTGGTGGCAGTGACTCAAACGAGTCAGTTGCTTTTACAACTTGAGTCAAGTTAAGTCAGAGAAAATTGTGACCCGAGTCTGGTTCTGGGAGGTTGAGGGATTAAATACTTCCACTTACTATAAATGGCAAGGCCTTTGGCCACTCGATCCTGAGAATAATCACTGACCAGGCTGGAAAACTCAGACTCTGGCAGATCCCGATCCAGCAGGCGGACTAGATTACATGCAGTCAGCCAATAGCCTTCAATCAGGGGGCCAAGGACACTCTGGAAAAAGAACAGCTTCTGCAGCAGTTCAGGGGAGGAGTTGACCTAAAAGAAAGGAGGGGGGAGAAGAGCTGGAGTTAAGTCACAGAACAAGAGTCAAGCACAAGTCATGTAGTTAAGCCAATCTCAGGTCCACTCAGAAGTAAATCACAAAACATGTACAAATCCTGTCATAAGTAACGGATGAAGAACAGCAACAAAAAAATGCCTATGTAACAATTCATTTGAATAGCTTATGACTTGAGTCGATACTGGAGGACTTGTGATGGACTTGTGAGGACTCAAGACAGATTCCACAAAAAGCTTTCTGGGATCCTTCTTTGAATAAATTTGAAACCGAGTGATGTGGAATCTGATGTTCAAATGACCTATTCAATTTCGTTGATTTCTAGCCTGCCTCTTTCCTGATCAGGTCACAAGAGGGCACCCTTACCGTGATCTGCTCCTCCTTGGTGCATATGCCAAAGTCCTCGTCGTCCTTGTCATCATCAATGCCCCAGGCAGAGGATGACGCCACACGCCGTGCCCACCTGCTGTCCTGACTGCTACAGCCATCACTGACATCCTGCATGCCATGGACAATGCAAACTTCGACTTACAACAAATTGCAGCAAGAACTATAGTTAACCAGTTAGATTTTCCTTCACTCAAACCCAGGCTAACATTGGAACATGACTCATCATGTGCAAGCAGTGAGCCAGGAATAAGACATTCTGTGATGAATTTTAGACCATCCTTTGACTACAGATGTTCAAATGTTGTTAGAGGCGTAGATTACATCATGTATCAAACACTAGTCGATCAGTGGTTCACAACTGAGTTGATTTACTTTTTTGCCAAGATATCTTTCAGGGAAGTATGGCCTAGCCACAGACCAATACTACAGAGCAGTAAATGAATGTAATGTAACCTTCTGCGTGTGTCAACATTTGTGAACAAACCCATAGAAAGCTTGCAATTATACATGGCAGTGTAGGTCAGTGTTCTGAATAGGTTCAGAAAAGTCTCAAACAGTCTCTTGTCAATCTTCAACTCTTCAGATCTGTGACCGGGATATCCAGGATTCCCTCAAAAGCTGAGATATTTGAGCAGTGCTGGTTTGTAAAATGAAGTACACAGGACTGAGGGGAGGGGTTTGTCATCGGTTTTCAGGCTTCAAGAATCAAATCAATGTCCTACTCACCTGCTCTGACTGGATGATCTCGCTGATTATCAACTTGTCCAGAGCATCAGAAAGGGCTGTGTACAGACACCCACAGGGCTGCAAAGGGACACCAAACCAATCAAACAAGTTAATTTTCTTGGGTCCTGAAAGAATATCTTTATTTGAACACCTACAACATGAAAGTCCTTTTTCTTTCTAGGGTATTGTTTTCTCCGTGCAATGACAACTTGTTGCTTACCGGTACAAAGATGAACTCAAATTGAAGCAGGTCACACAGCTCCGTTGCCTTTTGCAGGACTCTGTCTTTGGACAGAGTGACTTTGTTCTGCTGTCCAGGGTTTAAAGTATGCATCTCCTGATTGGCTACAGCTATCACTGCATTGGCTGTGGACAGTGAGAAAACAACCAATCACAAGCAGTGTTAGATGATAATCCACAGCAAAAGGTGAACTAGGACATGAGAAGATTTAAGCTTGCCTAGCGGATAGAACCCAAAAGTCTGAGATAAAGACATTATTTTTACTCAGTGATTCAGCCAGTCAGCCAGTCAGACAGTCAGACTCAGAGGACAATAGACTGGCTCTTTACGTCCAGCAAAAACAACATCATGATTGTTAAAGAGAGAAAGTGGACAAGACTCACCAAGAACTGACTCTAGCAGGAAGACCGAGATGACCGTGTTGCTGTAGTAACTCAGCACAAAGACCTCTGGTAGGGCCATGTTGGGCACCACCATCTGGTCTCTTCCTGCTTGTTTTTCTCCCTCTTTCTCCGCCCCCTCCTTTGCCTTCTCCGTAACCCTCGTCTTTTTGGCATCTTGGCTCTCTGTTTCGTTGACCACGTCCGGCCGCTGCTGTCGAGACTGCGTATTGACCAGGTTTCGTCCCATAAGGGCCAGAGCGTGCTTGACTACCGCTCGCATCTCGCCAGAGAAGCCAACGTCGCGACCCCTGGCTGTGATCTCGCCTTTCATCCATTCGGCATCTTCCACGAGTTTACTGAACTCCACACCCTAAAAATAGATTGGAAGGGCACATTTAACTACAAGTATTCAAACTTTTTTCAAATCATTTACCACATTATTGTCTCCATTCCCTAGCTACAGAAGGCACCCCCGCACAAAAAGAATGTAAATATTTATAAAAGCAGATTGTTTTAAAATGTGTTTAATTCTAGTTCTGCCTATTCCCTAGTTAGCCTCAATAAGGCCGCATGTGAATTCACTGGCTGCGGCTTGCAATTACATGTTCCTATGGAAGCCACTTCTCATAGAGTGTGTTACTGCGAACCGTAGCCAATAATTCCGATGCAATATAAGATTTAAAAACAAAAATGAAGAAGCAAATTCTTACTTGTCTGTGCTTTGTCATCAGGAGAAATGACACCAGGTTGGTACTCATAATACTGTTGACTCTCACTGCATCTGTAGCGCAGGAAAACAAACACACGTTTTTTTGATTAATAAGTTTCTAAATATTGTACAGCACTTTGTTAATAAGTAGAATCAAAACAATGTACTGCGATTTAGTCCTGAAATTATTTTTGACAAAAATCTCCAGACTTCCTCTTTTGTTAGGAGATAGATATTTTACTAGCATGTGTACTTTTGCCAACTCATACCATCTCAAAATTATGTGACGTAATTTTATGGAAATTCAAATAAATTTCAATTGAATATAATTTATTTTCCCTCTTTTGTAAATGTTTTTGTTACTGACATAAAAGTACAGCAATATATGTTCTACTGATCTGAATTTTTTTAAAACGGAAGAAATTCTTTTTACTGACCGTAGACAATATGTTCCCCGAGACCCCTGACAAGCTGCCTCTGGTCCTCCACCACCACGTCGGTGCCGTACAGGGAGTGGTCACTGACCGTCTTCTTCAAGACTGGATGGGGGTGAGGCCGGTGGATGCCGTGGGAGGACAGTTCACTGGTGAGTGGGGACGGCATCTGGGCAGAGTCTAGGTACTCCTGAGTAAAGGACAAGGCAATGGTTAGAGGGTCCAAGGGGAGGGGGTGACAGGCTTTGACACCCATTTCAGCCAATATGTATTTGCGCAACTTAAATCAACGCACATAAAATTTGTGTCAGACAGGAGGACAATTTGAACTAATTTTCCATTGACTGAACTTTGGAGTACAAAGGTCCATCTTTGGCACATAAAAGTAAAAGTAAAGTCTATCACGAGCAAGTGTGGCCCATCAGGTCGGTGCTTATCTCCGCTTTCAGTGGCAAGAAACGACTGAGAAAATTATTTATTCCCCCCCTGGATGGGATGCCAGTCCGTCGCAGGTTACTCCCCAGCTAATGCCGGTACCCATACTCCTGGGTGGAGAGAGGTAAGTGGGGATGAAGTGGCTTGGCCAAGGACACAACATATAGCCAGCAGCTGGATTCAAACCCCTGACCCTCTTATCATGAGAAACGAACCATTACCACTTGGCCGCACTCCCCCTTATTGGCATGTAGTCACTTACAATTGTTTGAAATGTCGAACTTAATTCTAATCGTCGGAATAATGTAGTTTGCACAACTCTGGAACACTAGTCTGACATAAATGAAAGTTCTCCGGTCGGAAGCTTTCAAAGACCTCACACAAATGCTTGTGTATAAGAAAATTAAATGTGACTCAAGTTCAACATTATGAGGAAAACATTTGTATGTACAGTTGGGCTGGTTTCTTGTAAATTTCACCTCTAAAAAAACTGGAGATGTAAAGAAAAAAGAAACATTCCCGTGCTTTGTAGTTCCAAGAAATTTGGCCCTGTTCAAATGTGCAATTACTAATAAAAGAGACTTAACACATACCTTCAGTGAAAATGGTTCTGCAAAGTCCACCCTGACTTGGCCGAATTTGGAGGTAAAGACACCCCAGATCCCTTTCAGTGCGCCAATAAAGGTCTCTTTTTTCTTTAGTCGTCCCTGAAAGGGAAGGGATAATAGCAGACAATAAATAACCCACAACTTATTGATATTCTTACCCCAAAAATCTTAATCACTTTACAACAAATGAAATCAATTTATTTGAAAACTTTGGTTTTAATCCCCCCCCCTTTTTGTTTTGTGGGGGGGGGGGGAGAAGAGTTTGTTATGTCTGAGCTGTGAAGGAACATCCCTTTTTTTAACATATGCTGTAATTTTTTTGTACTACCGAAGCCCATAACATTTTGAATTCAACTTTAAAGGCAGAAGTTTCTATGCATAGACCAATGGTGAGGGTTAAGTATTCTAATATGATATAACAAAATGAGACTTACCATTTGCTCGTTTGTAAAGTCTCCATCCAGAATTTTGTCATAACCCACGGAGGCAGGAACCAAAAATGCATCTGAGATGATCCCTGAAGTGAAAAGTAAGGACTTTATTTACCAAGAGTAAGTGATGCCAAATATTTTTATCGGAGTACATGCATTTTAACCTTAACACCCAAATGTTGCTAGTAACCGTCCTCAATCCTCCAAAATCCTCCAAATTCTTTCAAGCAGCATCGAGTCCAATGAAGAGTAACCATATGAAGGGCATTGGATGTTAAATGTTAAGAACTGTCACATTCAATCACATTTAGCAGATTCAGGACTCACCATCATAGTAAGCGTCAACAATCACAGACAGCAGGCCTCCTTTGGGGGCGAGGGCTTTGCCACTTCGTGACCTTCCTCCCTCTGAAAATTTAAGCAGGGCAAACTGTGAACGGTTGTTGATGTTAAACACAAAAGGTTTGTATCAAAAGTGTATCATGCAGGGTGGGGGAGAAGGGGGAACCCCCCCCCCCCTCCAAGTTTGGCGACATTTTCAATTAAAAATTTAGGTCACTTTTCAGAGAAATTAAAAATGAAAACACAGAAAAATTAAGAGACATAAAAAGGAACAGAAACAGAAAAACCACACCTCCAAAACACAGACAAACAAACGAAACCAAGTAAACCCTCCAAAACCTATGGCACTCACCGATGAAGAATTCCATGTTCTGATTAGTCCGTAAGACTTCCTCCATATACTGCAAAGGCAAACAAGACAATGTGAATATATATGTAAGTGAAATAAGCACAACCAAAAAGTGGCACCAAATTTATGTTGCAGTTATTCAAATTGTCTTCAGCATCCCATCCAGTCAATGAAAAATTAGTACTGATAAGTATTATTCTATTTTGGTCATCTTCAGTTGCTCTAAATACATGTTTAAGCTTGACATGACATTGGGACGCCAGTCTGAAACTTCTGCTCATCCCACTTCTGACACCATTTCCTTAATTTACCGTGTGCAAGAGTGCCCGGTAGACATGATCTTTCTTGCCAACTTCTTTATCCAATTTCCTCTTGATGAAGTACGCTCCCAGCTTTCTCATCACCCATCTTAATTCCAACGAGAAAAAAAAAAGGAAAAAAGTTAAAATCAGAAAGATTAATTTTGACAAAAAAATGCGATCGAAAGCTGATCAAGCTGATATACATGTAGTTATCTCATGAAGTGTTGGCAAGTAAAGCCATATTTCCCCTTCGCATCAAGAGAATTGTGTATGCCAATTCATTCCAAGCTTCAATACGTGGGCAGTTTCAACCAAACATGAACCCTAACCCTCTTCACAAACTCAAAGAGGCACTTCAGAGATTCCAAAACAACACTAAAAATGAAAACATAACCCTTGTCAGATGTGTGTCTTACCCAAAGACAGGGATGTTGAGATTGTCTCCCGCTGCCACAAACGGCACCCGGATGCCGTAGATGTACAAGATGAATGACATGAGGACGTAATCCAGATGACTCCTGTGGGTTGGCATGATCACCAGGGGTACCCCCTCCTAGAAAAAAATACAAACAACCACGTTATGGCCAACAAACCAAGCTACCATAGTCTCCCGACATAAAGTTGCGATTGATCAATGCGTACTATTGATTGACTGGCAGGAAAGGTCCATTAAACGTGTTTGACATCATTCTTTTTTTATGTGGGAAGACCCCCCCCCCCCCTTCAAAAAATGCCACCAGGGACATTTTTAAAACACAGGTGTATTTCTGATTGACTTTATCTTTATCTCCAAAATGATTCGGGAGCCTAAAGATGATGAACCAACTAAACATGCTGTAAAAATTATCCTCTGTTGGTCTTGTGATTTTTTTATCTTTAGTAGCAGAAAATCGCTTGGGACACCACTGAATATACAGTATTTAGAAGAAAACATCTAAGTACCGGGTAGGTGAAGGGCAAAACCCAATGTTGAATTTACATCACACCGACGCAAATTGCATCTTTGAAAAGTAGAAAATAAATACCGAGCATGGGCCAATGACACTAAGGACTTCCAATCATAAACGTGAATCCTTAAGACACAAGCTTTCGTCCCCTTTGTAACCAATGAGGTGTACTTGTGTACCGAGTCAATGCACTTTCTCCTTTACACTGAAAAGGTGGCCTTGGTAAACCTTTTAAATTTACTTGTCCCGAGGCACCACCTTGTCTGTTACTTGTAAGGTGTCCTTCAAGGAGAAACACATGCAAATCTACCCATTCACTGAATACTGAGAACATTACTAGGGTACTGGAAGAAAACAAACCAGCCATTTTGTATGGGTACTGGAAGATAAAAAACAGCCATTGTGTTTACTGACCTTAGCGGCACTTTCTCTTTTACACTGAAAAAGGTGGCCTCCCCCCCCCCCCAAAAGGATGATGGTTAACCTTTTAAATTTACTCGTTCCGAGGCACCACCTTGTCCGTTACTTGTAAGGTTTCCTTCAAGGAGAAATACATGCAAATCTACCCATTCACTGAATACTGAGAACATTACTAGGGTTCTGGAAGAAAACAAACCAGCCATTTTTTATGGGTACTGGAAGATTAAAAACAGCCAATGCGTTTACTGACCTTAGCGGCACGTTTCAGCATCTCTATCTGTCCTTGGTGGACGTTCACACAGAAGAGAATCATCCCCAGAACTTTCAGGAGCACCCAGCCTGTTATTCTGCAAAGGATGAGAGAAACAGATATTTTTAACACAGCAGGAAAAAGGAAAAAGTTAACAGCAGTGTCACAAACCAAGGGCCAATTTGCTACATGTGTAAGCACATAAATTATTTAAAACACTCCTTAGTACAAACCGGTTACCAGCCAAAATGTCACGCCAAGTATATTACTTGTGATTGGTTCTCTGTTATTTTTTGCTCAGCATATAAAAAACACTAAGCAACCTATTTTGCTTAGAATCATCTTGAACTGTTACAAAAAAATGAAGTAAGTTTTGAAAGTTTGCATGGTGGTAGTGTAAGCCAGTGAAGGTTTGTGGTGACACCATGTGAACAATCTCTTTTGAGAAGCCGTGCGGTTCTGAAAATTTTCCCTAGTGAAAGAGAATTTTTGGTGAGGTGGAGTATTGAGACGTTTGGACATGTATAAGAGGTAAGTACCACTGTATTATCATGTTGTGAAAGTGAAACATTTATCTTTCCAACAAATTGATGTATTTCATGGAACCAACAGACAACAAATTGTTATTAATAATACATAGAATAGTACATTACAAAATAGGCAAGGAACTGACAACATACAGATCTAGACATCCAAGTTAATTTTTAACAACTTGGTAGATAAAATTTGGTTTTTAAAACAGTTTGCTTTCCCCAAGCTTTTAGGACTAAAATAAAAAATACCTTGGCGGATGGGTCTTGAACAAACATCATCATTAATCTTAATGGCAATGAACAATCCAGGGTATTTTTATTAGGGGGGGGGGGGGGGAATGGAACCCAACGAAACAAGCCCACAACAAATAGAAAAAAAAGAAACAGCCTTCGACCCTAGATGAAGTCCTTTCATATAGCCATGAAACTAGACTAACAAACATACAGATTACTCATCGCTTTGGCAATGAATGTCTGAGATAATTCAGTTACCCTGGGAGAACAATATGGCATGGCTTTCTACACTGTTGGACTCTAGTCTATCAGGTTCCATGAAAGATTTAAGTTGATGACCAAAGTCTACGAAGAGTTGAGTGCATTTTCAAAGTACTTTCCAACAAATTTGGAGAAAGAATTCAGTCCCAGATTCATGTCTTTTCAACATTTTTGCAATGAATGGCCTTCATTGAGATAATATATTATGATTTCAGGATGCAACGTTCTTGCCCTAAAAGCTTTTAAACCCTCCTTCTCCTTCTGGCAAATACAACAAAGCCAACCCAGCAGATAAAATAAATAAAGTGACTGTTTTAAACAGTTGAGTGTTCCCTTCTTACATGTACATAAAGAAGGATTGACTGGTTGTGATTGTTATGAAACTTGATACAGCTACATGTATGCTTTGGCTGTAGAAGATTAACTACCAGCTACCTGCTTTTGTACTGGTATGTTGATGGAATATGAACACTCACTATGCCGATAGAAATGAGATCTGACTGTTGGTGACTAGCCTGTCTAAAAGTCATGGAGGGGGAAGGGGAATAAATTGCTAACTGTCTGTGACTAATCAAGCAAAAGGAGGGTATTATGCAAGAGCAAGGACATGGCATTGAGGTTGGCAGGCACATATTAAGCAATATTTAACCATAACTTATCACACAGCCCTGAAAAGATATTGAATAGGATAATAACTAACCAATCTTAATCCCATGTTAAATTCAGATATCATTTTAATTAGGCACTGGAAGGACAGTCTTACACAGAAAAATGCTCAAAAGTACCAGAAAATTGTATTTGAAGAAATTGCTGCTTTGGTTTGAAGTCATTGCATGAATCAAGAATCACAAAGTAATGTAAACAGTTTGCTGTACATGTAGTACTCAATTATGTACACACATGTACATTATGTGTGTAATGTATTACAAGTACATGTACAGACATGTAAATACAATTTATGCAAAGAAATAAAAATACAAGTAACACTCAAATTGTTGACTAAAAATTGAAAACACTGTTTTTTAGAAGTCTGGCCATATACATGTACATTGGACTGATTTGATCTGAACTTCAAATCCAACCTCCGTTTCTGTGACAGTTATTTTGTATTAACTTGGCTGTATCCCAAAAGGTGAAATGTTGTTTACTGCTTTTCATCATAGCACACCACAAAATACTTAATTGGCACACAGCTTAGTGAAGGGTCAAGTTCTTCAATCATGTCAGAACGTCAAATGCCTTACTGATACCATGTAGACAGCCAAATTTTACAGCTCAATATTTGTAAATAAAACATGTAAACAACCCTTTGCCCTTTACATTTACTTTGCCCATCAACATTTGCTGCCGAAGTTAAAAATAGATTGTGACGTAGTGTCTGAAGTGAAGACGCATTCATTTGTGTGCAGTTTACATCATGACAAACATCAAAAGTCCATAATAACATTTGTTTCACATGAGTTCAGTAGTTTGGTAATGAATAACCAAAGTAAACAAAATGCAAAGATTGAAGTGCAGACTCCCAAATTGATTTTTTTTTTTGGCTTAAAAAGGTTTGTTTTGGTTATTAGCTTAATGACGCAACATCCCTATGTACATGTTTATTTGCGGGGAAAAAATAATCATTGTTTCCAGACAGAAACAACAGAAGCGATAACCAACTGACATCAGGTCCCAAAAATAGATGATAAGAATCTCTAATCACAAAGTGCATTAGTTTCGCAATATATGAGCCCTGCAAGTGTATAATATGACAAAATATAACAAAATTTAAAAAAAAAATTCAATGCTTATAAACAGGGTTAAAAAAAAATGTGTGTAGACAATATTAACATTTGGCTCATGCTTAACAAATACGGTACATTGTTCATCCAAACTGAATGTCTCGTTATCTTGAATAAACAACAGTTTCCAATACATGCATAATATTTATTTCTCACATCTGTTTGAAAGATCATTGAACAAGAGACGCTTGGCGAGGTAAGGGTTTGGTTGTCTGACAAGATGGGCTAGGTACTTTGTTTGCTGACGCTGTACGAATTCAGCAAGCTTTTCGCATCTGCAAATCCGCAAGATGTCGACATTACTCAGCTTTAGTTTGAACTCGTCATCCTTCCAATTTTATCCTCCGCGAATCATTCTCCTTAGGAAGGAGACATATGTGGACTCGATTCTGTCCCGCTGTCGTTGATTTAGGTTCCAAGTTTGGCAGGAATACGTTAGACAGCTTCGCATCATAGACTTCAGTACAAGGATCCTGGTTTCCAAGTACATGGAGTGGTTCGTAAAGTTTTGGCTGATTCCAAGCAGTGAAATGAGCTTACCAAACAACTCTCCGTCAACGTGGACAGTGTTAAAAGGGGAGGCCTGCGCAATCCAAAGCTATACACATTATTGGGTGAGCCCATGTCACCAACAAATAGCCTTATTCACGAGTTGGCCATTTTTGTCGAGTTCCCTGTTAGTATTTCATTAATTGTTAACTGTGTAATGGGATGGCGCCAGACTATTTATGCAGGCACAATGCAGCCTTATTTTACTATCATTTTTTTTTTAATACAACTTTAACCATTAGGGTATGTTTAATTACAAATTTTATATTACTCATTGAAGCAGACTCGAATTTATTATAAATGAACTTGCTTTCATTTCTCTTCGCAAGTTCCAAAAATTAAGATTTTTCCTAACTATCAATTCAATATGGCCGGCTCGTGAATAAGGCCCATGTAAGATCAACTTGGATGAAGATGGTCACACTTTTTATTTGGAAGTCATTGGTGCTCAGTTATCCATAACTGCAGCGATTCAAGTAATGTATCAATCCTTTCAGATGCAATCACACTTACAATGTTCAAGTTCATTGTTTCAAAATACTAATCTTATATTTCTGGAATACATTTCCATGAAACATGGACCTACCTCAAGACCACATTTGACGTGGATGCGGCCATGTTTCCCAGGACTTGGCCCGCCCTACGGGCATGTCCCTGCAATGCTTTGTTGTATTCAAACTCCTCCTTTGCTCTGCCTGCAACCCGCACAGAGTGGAATGAAAGAACAAATCATTTCAAGTTATAAAAACTGGATCTGAACATTCTTGTTTTCTCTTTATATATCCAGTAATTCTGTAATTAAAGAGACGGTAACTTTTCTGGACTGATTTCCATCAGTTCAATGACTGTTCATTTCCTAAAACTGCTTTAAATAGTTCTATCACTCAGCATTCATAAACCTAAACTACTTTAAACTCTTATTCAAATGAAATTTGACATCATTATCATTTGCAAGAAATATATTTTAGGAACAAAAGGGAAAATTCCAGACGAAATTCCAGCGAATCAAGCCTACCTTCTGAATCTGATATTGCACCTTTGTGAATTGCTGCATGCACTCTGAAATTCAAATCAAAACCAAAAAACACATAAGTCATACCACATTTTATATTTACATATTTAAACTTTTTTTCATTATTAATTTTTATTTTTGTTGCAAAAAAAAAATCAATCAATTGACAGACCTCCTGCTTCCAAGGACTTCCTTAGCCAGCTCACCAGCTGAAGGATAACTGTAGTTGACTCCTTCAGAATACGCTAGATAGATCTGAGGGAAGTACCTCGCAATTATGCCTCCTCTGGGGTCAAAAAACAAACACGGACATTTTAGATATGCACTTTAATGGTCCCATATTTTGAATAAAAGGAAATTCTTGCTGAGCAAATTTATGTGTTTTGCAAATATGAGCTGAGAACAAGTTACAAGAAGTATAAAAACCTGAAACATTTAATTGGCTGGAAACCGAGCCATTCCCCATGGAAAGAGACCATGCTGTCCCAACCCCAACAAAAGAAAGACACTATTTTATCGTTTTCTTTCTTATTTTAATTTTTTTTTCAACAAGACATCAACTGAAAACTGTTTTTAACAATGCTGTTTTCTTTTTATCTTTTCCCAATACAGATGAAATACTAAAAGAAAGAAAGAAAAGGTCATAAAAAACAAACGGCAGCTGCTTGCACAGAAAGATATTATCATGTAATAATATTGCAGCAGCAAGGTCAAGTAGTCTGGGTGTCTGACTCTGACTAAGGGGTCATGACCCTGAATGAGTGTTGCAATAGGAAATGACATGATGAAGTGAGCACAATGCGTTATGCGGTAAGCAAGGACATCAGGGTATCATGTAGGAGATCAGGTACAATTTACATGTACCGTAGCGTACACATACAGTACTTGTGAAGTTGTGTTGGGTATTGTCCAGACTATTGTAATATGACAGTATGTGCCATTACATGGATACATCTTTCTGGGTGCTGGACTTTCAAATTATTTTTTATCATGGTGTGGATTTTAAAAAAATGCTTAACAGAAATACGACAAACAAAATTGACACACAAATACAAAAAAATACAAAAGAAACAAAATCCTGACTGGTTATTACAAAGCTTGCCACTCGTACCCGACTCTTGAAAATGCATCTTTTCCTTCCAAACAGCTAAATTTGACCCTGCTTAGATGGAAAGGTCAACTTGTACAAACATGTAGGTAAATCACCTGAACTGTTACCATAGCTACCACGTGGCAGGATATATAATGTAGCTTTGACAAGCTAAATACCCCTGAACAATTTAAAAGGCTACCCCCCCCCCTACATTTACAACAATTTTGGCTTTACCCACCTTGGTTTGTTGAATTTTAAGACATTCCGGAAGCCCATGCCAGGGATATCGGAGGTGAACAACATCTCCTGAATAAAAAAAAAGGAATGATCTAGTGAAAATCCACAATTGTCTGTTTTTATTTTTGGGGTTTTTTTTTTTGGGGGGGGGGGGGGGCGCTGGGGGGGGTATTTGTTCATTATTCCACTTTTAAATGTACCATTACTATGCAGTTTTAAGTTTGTTAAAACACAGAACATGCCATAGGATGTTCGTTAAGCATTACAATTTTACATTTTGTGTGATTCCAAAGGATTCTCAGCTTAAACAAAAACAACTTCAAAACCTTAAGAAATGTTTAAGGCTGATGATAACGCAAACAGAAAAACTAAAATGTCAGGCATACAGTGCTCAACTCAAGTATTTCAAATGATCGAGATCTGGAATAAGTTATCACTGATTTTTGTTTGTTTTGTTTTGAATTACTAAACTGTACAATTTGAGTTGAATGTATGTTTGTCTGTTTTGAAGCAAGTGTGTGGGTGTCAGTATGTAAACACCGGCAATCGTGGACTAGGGACAGAAGGTTTAGGGCACAAACAAAGGGTCCATGATTGACCGAACGTCCACGATTGAAATTCGTGTACAAAACCAGCTGTTGCTAAAAGTTTAAGTACAAACAAAGGAATGAGGATTAGGGACAATAGGGGGGTCCACGATTGCCAATGATTACAAAGATGGGTGTGTGGGTGAGTGGTAAAGGCACCAGCCTTCAGAAGCAATTTCTTTTTCTTTCCTTTTTCCCCTCTTTTTTTTAGTCAAACACTGATAACACTATCAAGGTTGGAACTTGTCCTTTTACTGTTATCAAGTGGAAAAAAAAGTCTGTTATAATACTCCAACCAATACTCCCTGCCCAGACAAAGAAGAACAAAATAATTGAAATCACTTTCTGAACTTCACGTACACTCACACTTCAAAAATTTCACACAGGTATCAAAGTCCCTGAGATAAGGGCACATGGGTTGTGCAAGAGAGCTGTAAACACAGACATCTAGAACCTTCACTCAAAACTCGGTAACCCCCCAAACCCAAAATATTTCTGATTTGTCTGAGAGACAAGTAAGGTTTGATTATGACTGGGAATGGGATGGGATGTGATAGCTCAAGAGTCTGTTTGATGAAGACATTTACAAAGATCTAGATCTGCGCACCAGTTTCATGGCATCGCTCAACAGTTTTAGGTCAAGAAAATAATATGCATGTCCTGTTTCCCAAACCCAACCTATTTACTTGAATTAAACAGCAACTATTTAAAAACTTATGGAGCCTCCCCCACCCTCAGTTTTGCAGACATCGCCCTGAATTTTTGAAAGTTTTATTTCATTTTTCGTAAGTTGGTAAGAAGTGTGGTCTTGACTCTTGTTGCACCTTGCAGCAAAACCTATGGACAGTGTAGCAACTGTTATGTACATGTATGCAAAAAAAAAATAGAAAATAAAAGCCAAGCTCAAACATCATCTAAATCTACCTTTTCTTGCTATAAAAATCTAGAGCAAAATTAAAAGGATTTTACCCATCCATCCACCCTATATATTTTTTTCAACGTAATAGAAAACAACTTCTTTTCTCTCTTGGCCTTATCCAATGCATGCACTCCACCTGATGTGCTGTGGCCTATTAATTAATGATTATACTGCAAAAAAAAATGTGTTTTGGACTAAAAATTTGGCAAATTATTAACGTCAATTGTTTTTTTAACTGATTATTTTTTTCATTTTAATTTTTTTGTTAATGGGAAATCGCCAACCAAAAGGCCCAAAACAGGCCACTCAAGGTGATGGCTAAGGGGGAAAGGGAATTGACGAAGAGGAATAATAAAATAGAAAGATGACTATTGATGTTGCATTTCAATTGGGACAGGTTATAAGTGGAAGGGAAGCAGGATGCAGGAAGTGAATTCCAAAGTAAGGCAGTACGTGGGAAGAAACTGGATGAGTATCCCGGAGTATTTGCTTTGGGGACAACTACAGAATAAGGATAAAGATATAACGATTATTAACAGACAAAGATACACATGTGACCTTCAAAGGTTTCCACCTATATCACAGCAGGTATCATCCTGCACTGCACTCTATGCTCCACCCGTTGTGCTGCGGCATATTGATTATACTGCAAAAATAAGGGTTTTGGACTTAATCTAGGCATTGTATTCTTCTTTTTTCTCTACTGATGATTGTTAAAAGACAAAGGTACACATGTGACCTTCAAAGGTTTTCAACCCCATATCACAGCAGGTATCATCCCCCTCACAGATTTTAGAGCTTCTGCGAAAAACAATTATTATAACTCTCCATTTGGTAGTTTTGTTTTTGATGTTTGCAAATGTTGTATATTACTTTTTAGGCAAATACATGTAAAATGAAGTATTTCTCTGAATCTGTCACTTGAAAGCTTTCAAGCCATTCTCTGCACCTGGTACTAAATCTGAATATAATGAAAAACAATTCCTTGAGAGTGTACAAGTGGGCATTGGCTACAATCAATCAATACAATTACAAAGTTACGTAACCCAAAACTTACGTAACTGAATTACGACAAGAAAAACCAAGGCTGCGAGTCTGAGTTATATCAGCACATTAACCCTGAATATTGGCAAACGAACTTTACAGTGCATGGCGCAAAATGACACATACCGTTTTTTTGCTTGAAATTTTTTTTACATGTTAGGGAAAACAAAGGATATTGCATGTTCAAAGATGACAGGCTCTGCAGTAAAAAAAATCTCATGGAAAACCTGTCCAGATTATATTTTTAAAAGTCTGATATGGCCTTGATGTATGTAAGCAAACTCAGTGTACTGTTATCAGAGTAACATAGTCTACAGTTGAGAAGGAGGCTCTTAATCCTCCTATTGTTTGATCAGTCACAGACAGTCAGAAACTCAATTCACTTATACACAGGCTAGGAACTAGTACTGGGAAGTTCCCTCGGTTTCCCGGTTCTACCCGGTTCCAATACGAGAACCGGAACCTCTACTGAAGCAAAATTACAAATAAACAACAAGTAGGTCTCAACTGTCCTCAATCCAAAAGAATCCTCCCATGAGCTCTCTGTGCGTGAACAAGAGAGGGCGCCTTTTTCACCACTTTTGAGAGCCCAGTGGCAGGACACACCACATTGGCAAACACTGTACTGGTTCACACACGTATAGTGCAAGGTACGCTGTCTTCTTTTATTCAGAATGTGCCAAAGCCGTAGCGTCTTTGCATGAGCATCAGGCAGCGTCGGCAATGCATTCCAATGTCTCTCCCAGTGGCCTCTCCCATTTCTCCCTTCCTTACCATTGAGGGGGTACTTGTGCACGGAGCACATAGATCAATCTTACATTCATGTACCTCTAGGTTTCCAAATTAGTCTGAACTAGTGGCTTCAAGGGTGCACATTTTTCAGTCCATCACAAGTCCATCACAACTCAGGTCCTAATTCATTCATGGGTCTACTCACAAGTCTAGTCAGTGGACAAACACACATTTACCACAGTTTGCTTGAATAGCTTGTGACTTGACTAAGACTGGACAACTTGTGATGGACTTAAGATGGACTCAACTACAGCACTGCAAATATTGTTACTCATGCAGTGGCGTAGCCAGGAATTTTTCAGTGGGGGGGCTGGAACATTTCATGGGGGGGGCGTCATGTAGATCAATGATAATTTTTTTAGAAACTCAAAATCTCAGTGGGGGGCGACTGGGGGGCAACAAGGTTTCATGGGGGGGGGGGGCTGTCGCCCCCCCCCCCCACGCCCCCCTGTGGCTACACCACTGTACTCATGATAAAGCACTGGATTCAAGGGAGAGTTCCTTCTGGACTCACCCTGCTTCCACTGGTGCAGTTTGCGCAGCATCTGCCCATGAATGGTCGCTGCCCTCCAGTCATGTCGTAGAATGCTGGCGGTGTATACTTGAACCGCGCCAACTCTGGAACCAGATCCTGCTCAGGATAAAAGGAAGAAGAGATACCACGATCACATTACATCTTGTCCTCTCTTACAATTAGACCATACATTTGGGGTCAAGAGGCTTTGTTTTAGAGCCTGTGAACTCTGTGTGAAGGAAATTCCAATTTCCTGGGCCAGGTAATCCCGTGCCTTGTTTCCTTTCTTGTCAAAATAATCCCAGCGTGGACTGGTTCAAGTTGTGCTTTTTCATTTCCAAATATAGCAAAAAACCTTGTTCTTTGGTTCTGTTTACGTTTACGAGAAAAGTCCATTAACACTGCCCATATTGCCAACTTTTGAGATAAAATCAGTACATATGTACATTAAGTAGAGTACAAGGTACCGGTACTGCTTTAAATTATGTGGGCACTGCATTTAGTACCAGTAAATTCTTATCAGATTACCTATTGCATAAATTCTAACTCCTAACTCGCATTTATACATTAGTGAATTATGTTTATAATGAAGGTATTAATGAATGGGCTTACAAGACAGTTCATGTACTACAAAAATATTGATCAAGTTGGACCCAAGATCTGAATTTGTCACAGTATATGTATGGTACAACCATCATTTCATAACTGGGAAAAGTCTAAAAGCAATGACGATTCATAAAATGTGTATCAAAGAAGCCTGAATACTTTGGAAAGTAAAATTCTGCCATTCCTAGTATGGGCTCCGTGTGCATACAAGACAAGGCATTTTTTTACACATTTTTGATAGCCAAGTAGACGGGACACATGGCATGCACGTACTGGTTCACGCACATATAGCACAAAGTATGCATGACTTATTTCATTCTGAATGTGCAGAAAGCCATAGCATCTTGGCATGAGCGTTAGCCGTTGGCGACTATGCGTTCACATGTCTCTCCCAGTGGTCTCCTCCAAGTCTCTCTCTGTGAGCGTTGAGGGGGTACTTGTGCACGGAGCCCATAAAACAGACAACTAGTCTGAGCGAACAATGGATCAAGATATTTAGTTCCCCTATTTGACAGACTCCTGTACAATTTTGGTTCATTTCAGCTCCTAAACACCAAGTCTTGTTACAAACGACCATTTGTTGGTGTAGTCTCATTGGCACGATTTTGAAGAAGCTAAAGTCGAAACAAAATTGGGGATTCGTCTTACACCTAATGCCTTTACTAAGTAACTGTAAGACTACACAGTGACCCCTAGAGCGCATGCACATTATGCTTTTACTGACCAGTGATGGCGGATGCGACAGTTTCCCTGAGCGTCGTCTCCGTCTTTCTGGAGGTGGATCTTCCCTGAATTTGTCGTTTCGTCGCTGTTTGCTGATGGGCATGCCCCCTGCCTCGGCTGGCGTCCATACCATCCGTGTCTGTGAGTTCTGCTGAGCAGGATTTGCTCTGGCCTCCCACTTACGATACACCTCTTCCATCTTCTCCAAGTTCATTTTGCAGGGTTTACTTCCTGATGAGAAAATACAAGCATCGTTAGAGTCAGAGTTGCAGTTAACTTATAATCACAAGACAATCACAAGTCGCCCAGTCTAAATTGTATGCGAGTTACAAGATATTCAGTTAAACTACAGCATGTATACATGTATTATTTTTTGTTCCCCCCTGTTATTTGCAATTTGTGATTTGGCTTGTGACTGATTTGTGATTTGACTTGTGACTGACCTGCGATTTGGCTTGTGATTGATTTGGGATTTGGCTTGTAACTGACTTGTGATTTGGCTTGTGACTTGGCTTGTGACTGATTTGGGATTTGGCTTGTGACTGATTTGGGATTTGGCTTGTAACTGACTTGTGATTTGGCTTGTGACTTGGCTTGTGACTGAATTGGGATTTGGCTTGTGACTGCCTTGTGATTTGGCTTGTGACTGACTTATGATTGGCTTTACTTCAACTCTGGTTAAGAGTTTGGAAAAAAAGGGAAATCCAGCAAAAAAGATCAGTACCAACCAAAGACCAAATTGCAAATGTGGTCCTTTTTCAGAATAACCAATCAACCAGTTTATCAATGACCCTCAGGTTGACGAGTTGTAACTTTTTAAAAATCGAATCACAGACCTGGGAAAACACTCCATAATTCTCATCAGGAATAAAATAATCCTAAGTGCTCAACATTTCATCTTACGTAAGATTTGAGGCTTTGCATGGTGGAGATACTAAATAATGAAAGGTTTGCGGAAACACCATGTGTGAATAATTTCTCAACTACACAAAGTGTAAGATTTCATCTTACACTTTGATGGACAATGGGCTTCCAATCAATCTTGCAACTTCAATAGGTGATTTAGTTCTCTTCTTAGAGCCTCAGACAGATGATGCACATGAGGTGTGAGGCCTAAGCCATAATCAATAAGTCGCCCTACTGTGCCAGACAGGGGCTTTGTGATGCAAGCATGGCTCAGAATGCATGTTTCCAAAGGAGTAATGAGCCGAACTGCTGTTGGGTCTGAAACAACATAACTTTCCAGTGGCTGTCCCATCATGTACAGAGTTCCGAGAAAATCACGCATGTTGGGCGTGACAAAAAGTATCTAGGCACCAACAAATAATGCGAACGCGGATGTACATTAGCTCCCCATTTGAATGGGGAGATACCGGTAGCTCCAACTAACCAATGACTAGCCAGAAGTATCACCCATTGTCCAACAGAACCCTCTCCATAACCAACGTCTGATATACCTGAGCAATGCAAATTTTATGCAAGCCTGCGCACCAGCCAATCGGAGTCGGCTTTTAATAGAAAGAGTGAAGTCATTTCGATCAGAAATGTGGATTAAGCTGTTGATAGGTCAGTTTGTTTTTGTAATACACCAACAGGTTACAGAAAACCCGATAAAAGGTGCCCGCTGAATGGTCAGAATCTGGAGATCAAGACGCAGTCTTATTTTGCATAATTAATTCATTTCATTGACCACATATATACTGGAGGTATTGGCAGAAATGTGTAACATTTAAAGATGGCAGCCACTCACAGCCTGATAGCGGCAATTAATTCAGTTCAAATGGCTTAATGTTCGTTCGCACTCCGTCATCAGGGAGTTACATGATACAAGAAATTTCATTGGCAGAGAACTGGACCTACATGTAGTAGAAAATTCTGCATTACTTGTTACAATATTTCACATGTTTGCAAGAATTGTTCGCTATTGCGCATTTGTTCCTCTTATAAGTATGGATTCTGTGCTTAAATATACAGAGTCAGCACAGAATTTCTTTGCTAGCAATGAATGGAAGCACAACTTACAAACTGAAGTACAGATTGCTGTGGTTAGCAGAGCCACTAAATTGCAGGCCCTGTTCGCATGATTGGGTACCTTTTGTCCCTGAGGGTAAAACCGAAAGCTCTAAAGGTATTCTAAATGATATGCACACACATGTACAGCCATATGGTTGCTAACTGCAAAGCGTCGCTGTTGTTAGGCAAAACTAATCTGATTACAAAACATGTACGTACTTAGACGCTATAACAGAGCAGTGAAATTCATAAACCCCCAAAAACATGGCATTTTTAACGTTGTGTTTCTCAGAAAATATGCTCGGTATGATTGAAATGTTACATTCTACATGTAACTGAAGAAGAAATTCTAAACTTCATGTCAGTGAATAAATCGCCGTCATCGATGCCGAAAACTCAATACTGGTTACTGTCAAAGCTGATCTTCTTCAAGTCTGGAAGAAATTGTTCGAAAACTTCCCCAAATGTATGTATTTATCCCAATTTCAAGGAATTTATCCCAGTTGTTATTTCACGAGTAGTTGAACACTTATATCATCTAAGTATATTCCGAATTTCAGCTTAATCTGTTGTTGCGGACGCTAAAACTGGAAACGTGAACCATCTTCATGGAAAATTTCGAAGACGATCAAAAAAAAAATTTGCCGATGCAACCCAACCCATGTGCATTGTTCAGCAAAGCGCCATAGGCGCTACGGCCGACCGATTTCGGCCCAGCACACTATGATGACGGGCATATTAGCATATTCATTAGCGTCACTCGGCGTGACATGGCCTGGATCTCGGTATCGACCAATGGAAGCCGGCAAATAGGGTGATATTTGTTAATTAACAACTCATGAAGGAGGCTTTTATCCCATTGTTTACTGCACACCGTAATGGAACCTCATTAACATTCGTGAGGCTTGAAAAGATTGATAGATATTGCGCACGCCAGTGTTACAATTTTCAAAATTGCACGTAGCCAGGCCTATTTTTCCAATTTCAACGAAAAGTAATGAACATATCACAACGACTTTTAGCACATACTTGGATCATTATAGGGGAAATAAATCCTGAAAGGTCTTCCAAACATGAGAAATTAATTTTCAAAGATTTCACCCGCCAACGTGACCATGTCTGTGTACATGTACATGTAGTTTCATTCAAAATAAAGTGTTACGTAACCTTTAGAAATCGCCCTTCGCAACCATATGGCTGTGTAGTTGAGACACTACGCAACAGTTGTGTACTGTCTCATCTCAGATGACAATACTATTAATTGACCAGTCATTCGTGACATTCAAGCTCTATACATGTACATGGCCTGACCATGAAGCAGACAAAAGATGGAAGCTGTGTTAAACTAAAGGGAATATACAGAAATGGATGGAATTGGGGGGTTGGAAATATATAGCAAATATAGTTACACTGACTTTTTTGAGGTTTTGGGTTCGAAAATGCTATAAAAACCAAGAAAAACAATCATTTTCCTGTAGTCTGGTTCCCTGACTCCATATAAGAAGAAACAGAGCAGTTTACATACATTGGGGAATTGTAAGGTCAGGGAACCAGTCTAGCTGGCTCGTACCCGTTCATAGGTTTGTAATCGATTGCAAACAAGTGCGATGGTCAATTGGGGCCAGTATTTGAAAAAAAAGCCAGTTATTTCCAACGCTGATCGGCCGATCAGCGTTGGAAATTGATACAAAAATACCACTTTTCTTGAAAATGACAGTATACTAGGTGCCATGATTTTACAGGATGCTTTACACTGTCACAGTCCAGCAAGGTATTTCAAAATGATTTGGTAGTTTTATTTTTTGATGTTTGCAAATGTTGTATTTTCCCTTTAAGTACTTTTATAGCACTGTCAATCAAGATTCCTGTAAGACTGTCTGTGTAGTCTAGCTGGAAACAATATTCACAGGCATTCATTGTGTCAGTGTGAGCATTCACATGTTAAGCACATACATGTGCCAACCAAGTGAAGAAACACGTTTTGGGGGTCAATGATCCCATAAAATTGAAAATTTAAACCCCAACCCCTTCAACCTTTACTTTGACCTTGAATTCGACCTTGTGGAACACGTGACCTTGTGACGGACTTGGTTGAAAATGATTGAAATGGTTAAAAATTGGGGTATTTTGCTTGGTTTCTGGCTCATCTTAAGGTTGGCATATAGGCCTATATGTGTTGCAAAAATGTGATAGGACCTAGTGCACTAGTGGATATTTTACCCTAAAATGTGTACATACCATAGGGATACATTGCATCACATTTTGCAACACTTTTGCCAACTTTATGTGGAAATAATCCTGCATTTAAATGCAGGATTATTTCCACAAAAAAGTTGGCAAAAGTGTTGCAATAAAGTAATTTCATTTTTTGCCATGGCATACCATGCCATGTCGTGAAGCCTTTAAATAGTACAGCAAACACAGAACAAAAAGTTGTTTCAATGTAATAGGAAAAACACAACTTTTTTTTTCTTGATGGTCTTTTACCGTAGTTACCCATAAAACACACAATTTGCGGCTTTTCATGTACTTGGTTTTAAGGTGAAAGGAATATTTTGACCATCGTGTTTCATTAAATTCAATAACATTCATTCTCTAACCAGAAGGCAAATATTGTGTGTATGCGTACATTATACATGTACGTATGCGCACATTTTGTATTTTTGTACTTTTTTGACAACTTACCCATTTTGCCAATACATGTGTCAGGAGATGTTGTTTGTCGACAATCTACCATGCCCCACAAAATGGAAAACAATAGAAGTTCATACCAATGACTCTGGCTTCCATAAATCTAACCTCAAAAGTATCTTTTGCACTTTAACAACATGCACACAGAACGACACATGTGAAATGACTTTCATTCAAAACGACAGTGTGCATATGTAGGGGGTTTAAAACAGACTCGCAGAACCACAGAAAAACAACACTTCCAAGTAAAGTGAACAATGGGTATTTACATGTATGATAGCATCCAAGTTCCATTGTGTGTGCTGACCCATAGCGTAAAGGTCAACAAGTGTAGTTTTTGTCAAATAGGGCTGTACTAGAGGTCAAATAGGGCTGTTACTATAACGGTAGTAGTAGGTATTGTGTAGCCTTATTTAGTTATTATCTCAGAGCTGTGTTTGTTAACTTCTTTATATTTTTGACTTGTTGTCCATTTTAAGGTTTTGCTCTTCACACCACCACACGCACAAACCTAATGTTGGCTAGAACTGGTGGTACTACATGTAGTTTGTATGAAGCCATTGATGGTAGGTACCGTAATACCTTTGAAAGCAATTCAATCTGAGTTCTCTCTCATGTTGTTTTTTAATGTGTTAGCATTCCATCTTAACACACACATGTGCTTAAAATTTATTGAACTTGATCAAAATATGGAGCAATCATTGTGTGTACAATTTTGTTAAATGAACCTTAATTAAATTGTGCTAGGCTACAGTCATGCACTAGCCCTTCTATGGGACACTGTACTAAATTCTTTAAAAACAAATTTCTATTAGTTTGTATATTTGGGAAACCAAACAAAGTGTTTTTTATTGAAAGTCACAAAATCTTCAAAATCTGTGGACACTCAGACATTTTAATATAGGTTTGAAATTGTTCATTTACTTTGGCTAAAAAGTGTTTTTAGAAGTACTGTTCTTGCTTTTCATTTTTTTTCAACAAGTTCAAGTTTGTTCCCATATCATTGAATATTCAAACTTCCTTGTTAAATTTAACGAAAACAAAACCCTACTTTTTGGTTATCGGGCACTTCCAACTTTTGGTTCCGTTTGTGCCGAAACAGATTGGCTCTGCAAGTAGACTGGTTTCATGGTCCCTACCTTATCAATTTTTATGGGAGGTGGGAACCAGTCTACCCTGCGAGGACTTAATTATTGTTGGGCTGCAAATAATTCAAATTATGTAAAGTACCGGTAGGCCTAAACTCTAGTTTGCAATTAATTGCATTCACAGCACCTTGGCCTATGTTCCATTGTTTTCAGACTATAGCTAGTTTACTTATTGTACAACTCTGAGTATGAAGGTGCAATAGCAGTAGGCAACTAACTCATTCAGCAAGGGTTCACCCTTGCTAGCCGTAGGCAAGACAAATTTGCTCTCCATCATGTCCATGTTGCATTCATTGTAATCCTGTAGTTTAGGACACCTCTTGTTCTTGAAAAAAAGGTTCCAACCTGACACCCTTTCGCGATTGTGTACAAAGTCTATGGAAGGTCAAGACATTTTTCTAAGACATTTTGTAATAAAATTGGAAAAGTTTCTCAGTCCCAGATTCCTGTCTTATCACAATTTTTGTAATGAGTGGCCTTCATTGAGATGATATATGAAGAAAAAGTGGAGTCAGGTTGCAACAATTTTTCCAATTGTTGCAACAATTGTGTTCCGTTCATAAATCAAAAACCTGCCCTCTTTCCATAAAATTATGCTGCATGGCTAGGGCATAGCTGATATTCAGCATCTGAACATGTGGTATCTTATTCGTGAACTACATGTACAGTGTAGTACGATAAGTCCTATCTGCCCTTGTATGCCCTAGATGATTCCAAACAAATTAGGCCCAAAGTGGTCCTTGGAGTGGTGACCACTGCCTCAACCCTGCAATATCCTCCAGCAATCACTGTCAATATGGTGAGGCAGAGCCAGTGACATCCTGGAGCAGTGCGGAGGATTTTAAAGTATAATCGAGGCCTAAATTTATGCACGGCTGAGCATGAACACCACAAGGTCCGGCCTAAGACCTTGACACAGTGCATCCTCCGATTCAGCCACACATTTTTGCCATATTAGCCTCAATCCTGCAAAATCCTCAATTTTGCAAAGAGGATTTTAGAGGATTTGGGAAGGTAAGGGTTAAAGGAAAGAATGATGCAACCTGATGTTATACTTCAGCGGTTGTATAGAAAGTCTATGAAGAGTGACGAAAATTTTCTAAGTATTTCCTAACAACATTGGAAATTATGTTTCTCAGTCCCAGATTCATGTCTTACCGTAGCCCCATAAATGTGGCCAACTAGGCTACCTCCGTAAATAAAGGCCACAATTGGAACATGTACCCGAATACTCCTAGAACTATGATGCTCCGCGTGAGTGGAGCATCATAGTCACGCGGAGCATCATAGTTCTAGGAGTAGTACCCGAACATGTAGAACTTTGTCAAATTTTGATTTTCACATTTATTTTAGGCTTTGTTCGTAATTTATTTTTGCTTAATAGAAGTATACCCACCCTCTTTATACTAGGATATTAAAAAAGTGCTGCCTTTTTCAGATGTCTATTTTGCATGTAATTTCATGTTGAAATGTTCATACGCAACTGTGTGCAAACGAATCTGGAAATTACACGAAAAATAGACGTTTGACAAATGCAGCACTTTTTTTCTATCCCATAAATATAGTTCTACAAACAAAGCCGGAAAAAATTCCATACTCGGACGTCACTTTTTTCAATTAATTTTCTAGCGCCAAAAGTTACATCTTTTATGGTTATTCCTCCACTTTCCCTCCTCTACACTCACCCTCTCCTTTCCTTATTTTCTATTTATTAATCAGTCAGTTACTTCATCGGGATTCGAACCTCTGACGCTTGCTTGATATACGAGACTCTTAACCGCTAGGCCGCGCACGATCGCTGTTGCAATCATCAATCTTTGGACGTATTTGAAGTATCCATTGAAATAAACTAAATATTCATGAGAAAATAAATATTCATAATGACGTATTGCACTATCATTGGCAGGCTCATGCGACGTCATGGTTGTTGATGTCACGTGTATAACGTACCGCTGTCTTTTCAGCCACTACAATCACTTTTGACCGGCTGCTTCAAGTTAGTTCTGCACGACGTATGCATCCAAAATGTGCTCTAAAAACACATTTTGAGTAAATTTTTTTTCACCTTTACACAGCTTCCTGGATTTCTTTTGGTTCAAATGACAAGGTGAGGTGACAATAAATATGTTTGGCAGCAGATAAATTGACATCCGAGTATGGAACTTTTCCCACAAAGCCTAATTGTGAAAATCAAAAGCTGACAAAGTTCTACATTTTTGAGTACATGTTCCAAGTGCGGCCTTTATTTACGCATTACGGAGGTAGTCCAGTAAATTGGCCACATTTATGGGGCTAGTCTTACCGGTATCATCATTTTTGCAATGGGAAAGATTTCCATATCTGGCCATCGCTTCTTAGTCTCACCCTATGCACAAACCCTATGAGACTGGTTTGAAAATTTCTAAGTGTTTTCTCAGTAAATACTTCAATATTTTCCCTGCAAAAATTTGACTAATTTAGGACGTTAATTTGTCGTTATTTACATTATCACTTTCTTCTGATGCCTATCTGTAGTGTATGGCTGAGGTCACTGAGGGAAATATTTAGTGATGGCCAGATTCTCTCCCCCTCCTATACAAATATACATTCTGTGCGAAGTATAGCCCCATAAATGTGGCCTATTTACTGGACTGCCTCCGTAAACATAGGCCACACATCCACATGTACAAAAATCGTGTCGACGGAGCCAAATTTTGATTTTCACATTTAGGCTTAGTTTGTAGGTTTTTTTTGCTTTAGAAGCATACTCACCCTCTTTATAGGCTAATCAGAAAGTGCTGCCTTTTTCAGACGTATATTTTTCGTGAAATTTCCAGATTCATTTTTACACGTTTGCGTATCAAAATTTCAACATGAAATTTCACAAAAATTAGACATCTGAAAAAGGCAGCACTTTCTGATTAGCCTGTAAAGAGGGTGAGTATGCTTCTAAAGCAAAAAAAACCTACAAACTAAGCCTAAATGTGAAAATCAAAATTTGGCTCCGTCGACACGATTTTTGTACATGTGGATGTGTGGCCTATGTTTACGGAGGCAGTCCAGTAAATAGGCCACATTTATGGGGCTATGCGAAGTAGTCCTTTTCAGTCAATATATCAAAAAGCGAATTGCAAAAAGTCCGCATTGATGAGTTGATTGTTTGCTTACCTTCAGATCGTAAGGCGTACGATAAGCCCGCGTGCAATGACCCCAGGCCGATTTTCAAAGAGCGCACATAATCATTTGTCGCACCCGTCAGTTTTCTCAGTTTCCACATACGCGAAGGGAAGACTTTTTGTTCACAAGGCAAACACAAGTTTCATTTCACATATTCAACATGTTCAACTCATGGGAAAAGTATAAACTGTGCTGTAACTGTGCACACAAGAACAGACTTTTCTCTGACATGTCTGATGGAAAAATACATGTAGTACGGCCGGCTACGGGTGTTTTTGCAGTCAAATGATGCGTTCATGGTCAAGGGATCAGACTATTTTCATTACTGATTGAGAAAATTAGGTCTTTTTTGCTCATATTTATAACCAATCTACCCCATATTTTAAAATCGTGCTTTTAATCACACAAACTACGATGCCAAAAAAAATCTCCATAACCAAATATTCACACAAATACACGCAGAAACCACGAGAAAAAAGACGCCGAACTGGTCTGGTTCCTAGAACGGCTACATGTATTAATTTCTCGTACAACGTTTGACCCTAATTTGACCACGGGTATGACGAAATCACAAATCAGGCAGAAGAGACGGAACTTCCAGGGTCAGTATTTTGACCTTGACAATCCGATGATGAAATCACATCAAAATGGGCGTGAACTTGGGTCAAAATTTAAACAGAAAAGGGAAGGTTTTTTTTCTTCTTTTGTTGTGACAGTGTTTCCTGTTGAATTCAAGTACATGTACTTATACCATGGAGCCCCCTTATAGATGGAAATGGGTCAACTCGTACCTGTACCCGGGTTAACTCGTACGGAGTCAACTCGTACCCCAAAATTTACGCCCCAGTCAAGTCGTACCCGAGTCAAGTCGTACCTGACTCGGGGGAGCAGCAGGACGATTTCAAAAATTGAACGACAAAACTTGAATTTTCTTTTCAGTAAAAAAAAACTTTTGATTCATTATATCACAAATTAACAACTACAACAAATAAAATTGAGCCAAGGATATTTCAACTACACAAAAATCTCGAAGATTATTTGGAAGATTAGATTGTCGAATATTTGATTGCGTTTTGGGTCCCGAAGCACAGTGGGTATTTTTTTAATTTTTTTTTCATAAAGTGGCAAGAACGCTTTCATCCGTAACATTTTGCTATTTTGTCAATATGGAGCATCGAAAGAGTCCGATCCGCCCAATTAAGTTTAGAGATACTTCACAAATTGGAATGAAATAATTAAAACCATTTTTTTGTGCGTTGTAGAGACGCAAAAGAAACTATAGCCACAAGCCTTGTTACGTGTTAAGCGTGTCACGGTTGCATGCAGTCGTCGGCAGGGATGATGTGGCGTCATCCGATGAAAATGTCTTTTCATGTGCACACCAGTTTTAATCGGTTGCTATTTGCTCGTACGTGTTTAATACCATTCAGCCCTCAAGGTATGGGCGGGGAGCTAATAAAGCCAGTGTAACAAAAATTCTCAGATGTTCGCGCCCACCTATTACAGATTCATTATTAGGGTCACACAGTAGACCTATATTATAGATAGGAACTTGTAAACTTTCCTTTAAGTCATAAAACTTATACAAAGACATAATTATAGAACTATTGTCCAAAGTTACAATCGTCATTGTCAAAACTCTGATGACAGATTTGTTGCAAAGGTACTTGAGAATAATAACCTTTTATAAAAAAACCTTCACATACACTTAGATCTCATGAGCACTACGGCTCAAGTCCCTTTTCTACTTTATCCCTAAAGCTAGACATTTCTCGAGGTCATGAAGTGTCTAGACGTGTGTGTAATTAGTGTGTAATTAGCTAACTTATCAAGTAGCATCAACATTTAGCCAATAAGAACGGTGCGCGCAAAATGAATATGCATTATGGAGCAGCAGGAGCCAATCAGTATGACGCGCACGAACACGATGGTGAATGTGGATGATTAAGTTGTTTGCACAACGGCGGAGCACGTGTAATGATGCTCGGCGATATGAAGGGAAGGACCGGCGTACCGAAGCACGCCCGGGGAGCCAATATTTTATTTACACAATAGTACAGGGTACCCATTTTTCAGGCGACTTGAATCAAGGTATGTGGATTAGATTTTCAGTCCATACCTAAATTCCCCCCCCCCCTGCTTTTTGATTTTACGGAGGCCAAGGGTCCGGAGAAAAAAAAAAGTCTACAATTCACCACGGATGTGCAAGTGCCCTTTTCAAAAAATGTTACCCCCCCCCAATAAAAATGACCGTGCTATGCCCTGCGTACCTTTATTCACGATCTCACATGCTCAGATCATATCATTGGACGATTTTGTGTAAAATTGTGACTAGCTGGACCGATGTCAAAACGTTCGCGTACCGTGACGTGCGCATGACATTTGCGCGGGGGGGGGGGGGGGGGGGGGGTACGGGCGAACTGTAACCCGTTGTTAACCCAAAAAATGACGTCCAAATTTTTGACCAATCTAACAGTGTTGGAGCAAAGGCTTTGACCCTCAAGGCCAAGGCCAAGGCCAAGGCTTTGACCTTCAAGGCCAAGGCCAAGGCCAAGGCTGTGACCCTCAAGCCTCGAGGCCAAGGCCAAGGCTTAACCCTCAAGGCCAAGGCCAAGGCCAAGGCCCTGTTTTATGAAATGACCACTGATATAGAACTAATTATAGTCACATGAGTGACACATCATCACGCAACGGAGGATCCAGAACACAATTTGGGGGGGGGGGCAAAGAAATTTGGTCCCCCCAAAAAAGTGGGTCAAAAAATTACGGCTTGGGCTTCGGGGCCCGCTTAAGGGCCCCGAAAATTTTTGGGATTCGAGATGCTCTGTGGTGCGATTTGAGGCAATTTCTGACCACTTTAACCAATGTTTTTTGAGGAAAAGATGGTGGTGTACTCATTGCCTGCCTTTATTACGACGTCACATTAAAAAAAGGGGTTTTTTTTGGGGGGGGGGGGGCATGACCCCTTTTGGCCCCCCTGGATCCGCCCTTATCATCACGAATTGCTCGTTACGAAGAACGTTAACATTTCTTTAATTGCAATCAGCATGCTCGCATAGGCCTACACCGTTTTATGACTGCACTGTATCTATTAAAGTATAAGTTCAGGTCTTCAATATTGTTTAACTAAACAAAATAATGATTTACTTCTATATTGACACACAATTCTCCCAAGTGTAACAAAAGGGGGATCCAAGAAACTGATTTGGGGAATTGTTTTTTGCTGGCCCATTATGGTCAGAAATATCAGCATTATCTAAAACAGATACATGCAAATCTTTAGCACTTATCAGGGAGACATAATTATACAACCAATCAGATCTATTCCATAGTTATATGCAATTAAAGTGATCATCTCATTAGCCCCACAAGTGAACAGAATATTGTTGCAGCAAATCTACTACAATGGTAACAAAATGTGATGCTACAAAAGTAGAAGTGTGCCCAACACACAAATCTATAGGGTGCTTCCCTCCTCCATGGTGATACGATTAAAATGGTAACAGCAACATTTCGAACAGACTTATCTGGAAAATTCAAAAATCTATGGGCCTTGAAGAGCCTTGACTCAAAATTGCAAGGCCCTGAACCCTCAAGGCCAAGGCTTTTGCCCTCAAGCCTCGAGGCCAAGGCCAAGGCCCTAAAATCCAGCCTTAAGGCAGCCTTAAGGCCAAGGCCCAGCATCAAGGCACTACAGCACTGCAATCTAACAGCTTTAGTTCACATTTCTCATCGAAATTACGTCACAAAAGTCGACTCCGATTGGCTGGGAAAAAGATCCCCATATCAGGCAAACGCTAATTTTTCCCTTCAGTGACCTATCAGCAATCAGAAAGTGATAATATGTCTTAAAAAGTCAAATTTAGCAGGGAAAATATTGAAATATATTTACTGAGAAAACGCCTAGATATGTTCAGACCAGTCTCACAGTGTTTGTGCACTTGGTGACAAGACTTAGTGATGGCCAGATATGGGAATCTTTCCCAAAATTGGCATGTTAGGATACTCATGAGACGTTCGGCCGTGGCTCTCTGCGCGCGTGAATGTGTGCAAGCAGACTAGGATCCAAGTCAATTCTGTGAGCCCCGAATCATGTTTCAATGTTGCATGCGAAATCATGTTTCAATGCTATAGTTCGCAAGTTTCAGCTTTGAAAGGAGGAAGTGGAATGATAAAACTGAGTTTTCCTGTTCATTTGCTATTTCAAACTTCCATGATATACTCGACGTAGGCCTAAGCTTTGTTTTCGTAGAGGTTTTTTTCAAGGGGACGGATTTAATGTCATATCATTATTATTCGAACCCGTGAGCAGGCTTTTCCATTTTATATAATTTCGAGAGTCGTTTCAGTCATTTTTATATCTTTACTGAAATTTACAAGAACTTGTTCGCTTCAGCTGAAATGAAACTGCCTAAATAAATCCCAAAACTACACGTATCCTTATTGTTATTAAACAATGGTTATTATAATCGTCCAATGTCAATGGCGCACCCAGGATTTGGCTGGGGGGGGGGGCAAAAAAAATCTAAAAATGTTGCCCACATTTTTCGGCCGCAAAAAAAACTTTTTGTACGGGCGCGGATATCCCCACCTTTTTTATTTCAAGAAAAACGGGACTTTAAAGCAGAAAACTAAAAATGTTATGCGACACACAATATTGCATAAAGAGTATTACCTGACGGCGAAATATATTTCACCGATTTCTTTTCTTTTCGATTCCGGTCAATTTGGTCCTTCTCGGGGTACATGACTGTATGTAGAACCAGGAACGTGTAATCTTGGAACAAGGAAAATCGTGCAATCCGAAGTCTGGAAGCACGGACAGTGTCACCGTGAGCCGACGCAGCGTCCTTCTTCTTGTGTCACTCGCGGACGAGTGACGGGGATCACGGCTGGGCAAAACTTGCCCCCGTGCTGCACGTGCTTTCAAACGACACGGATGTCGTGCACTCGACGTGTTGGTAGCATGCATGCACCTTGCCTGGTTGTGAAATTGAAACGGCTTAAATCATCAGTGAACAACGGCTATTTCTATTTCAACCTCAACAAGGTCATGAATTGCATGTCTAGACGAGCACGATTAGCATGATACATGAAGATTATGCAGTTTATCTACCATACGCCGTTAGCTGTTATCAACATTCAGCCAATAGCAAGACTGTGCGTGCAAAATGAATATGCACTGCGCATGAGCAATCAGTATTCATGACGCGCAAGTACATGTATAATATGAAGCTGAACAACGTCTGAATGATTTGTTTGTCACGGCTAAATTTGGAACTTTGTTCAAACCAAACACTTCAACAGCACCAAAAACACCAAGAAGTGTACAGATAGAGCACAACAACGATGTACTATTTGAACATCAATAATTAATTAAATGAATAAACTAATGAGGCTCGATTTTATTTACTTTTGAACAAGACATCGAACAAGAAGTCACAAATTTCGAATTATTTGCGGCCCGACAAAACTTCAGGCGTATCTTTTTGTGCTTTATGAGCGTAGAAGCAACCTAATAAAAAATGTTGAGAGGCTTGAAAATTTCCAAAATGGAAAATGTACATTTCTTTTTCATTCAAATACAACCTTAAATTTGTTAAGAGAAAAAAAACCCGAGTATGTTGAAGAACGCGGATAGAGCAACTGTAAAGATTGTGTCCCCGTACTATTCTCGAGTTTACACCGAAACAGACGTATCTTTTTGTGCGTAATGGGCACAAAGTTCTCAAAACAGAATCGTAATATCGGAGGGTTAAAAAGGTCCCAAAAAAGAACAAGTAACTTTTTTCCGTTTAACATACAAATTTAAAACTCGTTTATAGGATGAATAAAAATGCTTAAGATCAATGGTAGAGCAACGAAAACAAGTGCCCCCCTTTTTTCCCCAACAAATTTTGTTGAGAATCTAGTGTATAGTCCTATTTGTGAAGAAAATGCCTGTATCTTTTTAAAATTCGAAAATCGGCCTTACACAAGTTTGGTATGCACGTTGGCCACACGTGCATGCCATGTGAACCATAATATTATCGGTATAGAAAAGTGAACATGATGATTTTGTGTGATGATGTGACACTGCAGCTGAGTGCTGAATTTCTTTGACATGCGCACAACGCAGATTCAAGACTCCCTCGAAAATCCTTGGAACTGTCCAGTGTCCAAGCTGCAAATGATATCTTCTTCCACATGTAACTATGGTCTTAATAGATTGTTCGGCTGGTTAGTCAGTAAACACTTATTATTGACGGGTGCTGATCAATATAGTTTATAATAATCTGGAGGTCAAGAAGCAGTCTTGTTTTGTATAATTGATCGCCGATCAGCTCACGTATATCAGCTGTGCAAGGGGATAGACTACCCTTAAACAGAGCGCTGGGAAGGCATAATTTCTTCTGGATGCATTCATTCAGACACTATGGGAAGACCATGTGGCTATGGGAACCATTATAGACCCACTTGCACTCCTAAATCGGGCAAACAATTTTGTCCAATTTAATGTCAAAATAGCCTGTTCGTTTTATGGGTTTCCAAGACGGTCCTGTGGGTTATCAAAAACATTTTTGTGCCGACAATGGGAATTTCATGGGAACACCATTGGGAACACCATTTGTGAGGATTGCGTCGAATATGAGTGTTTTAATTGCAATTTTGTAATTTTCCTGTTGATAAGTGAAGTCATCATGATGAAGCATACAGTGGGGTTTTTTTTTTAAAGTGGAAACCTGCACATTAAAGAACTATGGGTAATTTTCATCCAGTTGTTATTAGGCGAAGTAAAAAAAACATGTTTCTCGTCCCCGCCCACTTCCTTTTTGGAGGCCGCCTGGATTTTTTAATTATTTTTTATTTTTGAAAAAATGCAGTAAAAAAACACCGAAAAGTCCACAAATTGGCGGTTAAAGCAAATGCATCTAAAACTGTTCATTGTAGACCAATACAACTCTAAATGACACTGTAAATATGTTCAGTTCTCTTGTCCAACTTGTCTTTCATTTTAAAAGTGTCTTTAAACAGTGGAAACACCAACGTTTGCAGGAAATTTTAAAATGGCGGCCATCTTGAAAAAATAAAAAATTTAAAATAAAAAGACCCTCTTCCTCTTTTTTTTCAAAAACCCGGACGAGAAACATGTGTTTTTTGTTTTTGTTTTTTTTTATTCGGCCTTATGATTGGAAACATCTATAAGAAAATTAATTGGGAACATGTTGATAATGTGGTTCAACTTGAAAAGTGGTTTAGGAGCAATAATTGCAGGGGCGGATCCAGGAATGTTTGCGGGGGGGGGGGTCCATCAGCAAATCAATGCTGAAATGTAGACAGGGGTGTTTTTTGTCTGGACACATGGCTCCGTAAAATCAATTTATTGACCGTTGAATTTGCTGACCTGCAGTCACGGTGACGCTGAGATCGATCACCGTTTACTTATCGTACATATCGGTGCGCCATCCTGGCACCGAGTAAACAAGGTTTTGGACATCCCCCTTTTGGTGGTTAAAACTATATCTGTAAGTAGTTGTTGTTCTAGTTATTCCTTCATATGAGGGATCGTCAAAGAAAATACAAAAACTCGGGAGGGACGACAAAAATAGGCAAATTTCTAGGGCCTATTGCTTCCGTAGCGCGCGTGCACATCCAGCTCGCGCGTGGTGATGAGGCTCGACACGGAGACACCCTCCAAAGTTGTAGGGACTATCCACATCGTCTTCAGCCCATAGTCCCACAGGACTAACATGGGAGAAACCCCAAGGCAATTTCCCATGGCGATCATATGGGAAATCACCACGCGATATTTTTGTAAGGGTGATCACTGCGATTATCTTCTTCAAAAAAGAAGGGGAAAAAGCGACATCGCAAAGTTGGTAACTTACTTATGAATCTGGGTCTACCCAAGTGGGTGTCCATTTTTATTTCTATGGTTCTCCTTTTGTTGCCTCTGAAGTAGCTGGGTCGGTAGTCTCGGCACGGAGGTAGCATCAGACATTCACGTGTGCAGAGCCGCACGACGAACGTCCGATATATCGATCTTAGCTTACAGATTTTATGCGGCCCCACGCGCCAGCCAATCAGAATCATCTTTAGAAATTGTGACGTCATTCCGATCTCCAGGTCAATCTCCAGGTCAAGACGCAGTCTTGTTTTGCATAATTAATCGCCGAATCTGCCAGCATTAGACCCTTGCTGTGCACGTGGCTATTCCGTAGACTAATTCCAGACCGGGTAGGAATCCTTCCTTCCCTCTGAACACATTTCTCTCCGAAGGAACACAGTTTTTTAGAAGTTAAGAACATTGGCTGTGGCGGCAAAATTGTGTAGCCAACGTGGGATTTTGGTGGAAAATTTGAAAATGTGAAAAATTAAACACAACAAAGTGTATTTCTACATCAAAAACTGTTTGATGTGAACACTTTACTTGTATATATACTTGGGGGGGGGGGCCTAGACTTACAACCGAACTTTTTTTAGGGTTTCTCACCTCCATAAATCACTAAAACACAAATACGCCAAAACATTAATTTCTCGTATACACGTCTTTGTTTTTGAAGCATTTGTAGATTTCATCCTAGTTAACTTTCGGTAAACCTTGTAACTCGACAGTACAACAAACAAATACATAACAAACATTGCTAAAATGAATATCACAATGAACATCACTACGAAAATATTGTGTGCATGCAATGGTTTGCCTTAACTAATTTCAAGCTCACTTTTTCCACTGAGCACTTCAACTGGGCGCCCAATATCTGGCAATAGACTGATTCCTTAAGCCATTATTAACACATTAGCACTTGTACTACATTGTATTACAATGTGTTGATTTACTGAAGAATCAATACAACCATAGAACAGTGAGTAAAGAGTTACAAAATAATGTAAATGCTTTAATGAAAGATATATTTTGTTTACAGTGTTTATACCTAGAAATTGGCGCCAATTCAGTCCCCCCCCCCCCCACTGCTAAAAAATATGGCCTTTATATGAACACTACTAAGATATGGTATGGCGTACAATGTGAAAAATAACTGCCTACATCTTTGTTTTACAAACTCGTCTAAGTTCAAGCTACTATTGACTGAATTAAAAGTAAATACATTTAAAATTGAACGAACAAAACAATTTTACAAACTTGTTAGGCATAAACTGGTTCTTCATTTGATTTTATAACTAAAGTCAGGACACGTGTTCAGTACAGGTCATATATATTACATGTTGCATGGGCTCCGTGCACAAGTACCCCCTCAACATTAAGGAAGGAGAGTTGGGGGAGACCACTGGGAGAGACATTCGAATGCACTGCTTATGATGCCTGACGTTCACTTAAAGAGGCAATGGTAATGGTTTGTGTACAATTCACAACATGTCGTGCGTACTTGGCGCTATTCATGCACAAACCAGTACACACATGTGGTGCGTCCTGTTTACAGGGCACTCGAAAGTGGTAAAAAAGCACCTCTCCTGTTGGGGCACGGAGCCCCTAACCAAATTTCTCTGCTCAACGTAAACGAACAATCCTCAGTTACTGTGTCATAAAGTATTGTTCTAATGGTAAGCATATTTCTCGGGTTAGCAAGGAATTTTAGGTGTACATCCTGTGACTCTCTCGGGTTGAATTCCTTTCTGAGATAAGCCGCTTTTGCTGATGAAGAGATATCACAAATACCCCGACAATGACACTGAGAATATTTAGGATGGTGAGGCAGGAACCAGACGAGGGGCCTCACGCAATGAAGTCCAGTGGTCTGTTGAAGCCACCGCGTCTGTTCATGTATTGCCTGAAGACGAACAAAAATAGAGGCATGACAAGCCAAAAACTAGGAGCATGACAATTCTGAAAGTGATTTATACAGAGCAGATAAAACAAATGGAATCCCAAAATAATGGGATAGGCCGTGTCCGAATGACTTGGCTAGAGCTTGAAATTACACACGGGTCTATGAGAAATGGCTGCAGCCACTGCCATAGGAGTGCACACGGGTCTATGAGAAATGGCTGCAGCCACTGCCATAGGAGTGTGTGTCATTCAAGCCGTACCCAAGTAATTTGGACACAGCCTTCGTTTGTTTAAATTTTGGACCAGAACACTGTCAGTAAGGAAGTACCTGAGAGGTAGGTTTATCAGCTTTCGTTTGATCCCTTACTTGAACGATGTCTGAGCACCGATCACCATTGATTTAAAAAACAAAAGGTCAAAACCATCTTTTTAAGTTCAGTATTTGTGTAAATAAAAACAACATTTTACCTGTATTTTCTTTTGGGCTGGAGGGATACTAAAGAAGCATTATTTGAACCTGGTACATGTTTACCCTGGAAAAAGAAAGAAAGAAACAAGTTTGAAAAAAAAATTAACAATTATTGTATCAAATTTTGCAGCCCGAAATCTAGGGTAATGTTGCACAAGGTTTTCAATCAGTGGTGTAAACTAAAAGGGCAAAAAGAAAATGTTTCCTGTACCCCAACTCACCCTACAATTATAGGTGTTGATTAATTGTTATTGTTGGTAAGTCATTAATTTTATTTGAAGTGAATTCCCAAAGACAAAGGTCAGAAAAGTACACAGAACAGAAGCTACCTACAAACCAAACAAAAACAAACTCACTCTGCATTAAGTACACACATGTACCCACTTACATGTCCTACAAGTATGTCTACATGCAACCCTTGTAAAAAGGTACATAACACATTTACTTGAAACAAAAAAAAGCCTGACTAGTGACAACCAGAAAGTTGTTAAATGATTGGAGGATTAGCAAAGTTAGGTATAGCAATTCAAGAATTGAGAATTGTCTGTACCTTTGTTGTGTCAAATCCTGCAAAGCCCATTACTTTCATCATCTCAATCTCTTCTTCGGTTTTGCCTTCAAGTTGGGACTCTGGCAAGAAAAGCAAAGTCAATCACATGTCAGTCACATGTTAATCACATGTCAGTCACATGTCAATCACAAAACAGTCACAGTCATATCTTGTCACTGGAATAGGCCCAATTTTTCAGAGAATGAGGGTGCTGTAACGATACCTTTTTGTCACTAGAAACAATCCTGTTTATTTAGGCAGTTTGATAACTTTCCTTTTAGGTAGCATACATTATTTGCAAGCATCAAAAAACAAAAATACCAAATTTCATTATAAATTAGCTTACTGGACTGTAGTCTCAAACATCCTGTGAAATCATGGCACCTGATGTGCTGTCATTTTCCAATGTTGGTCAGCTGACCTTCGCTGGAAAAAAATACCGACTTTTTTCAAATACTGCCCATGAATTTATCAAATTTAGTTAGCCCACATTTTGTTTGCAAAAACGAGTAACACATCCATGAATGGGTGCAAACCAGCTAGTCTGACCTGACAATTCCCCAACATCTTTAAATTGCTCCTTTAAATAAAAAAAACTATAAACTGTAAAAATGTAATTTTTGAGCTTTAACAAAATTGAAGCTAACATCAATAACCACGGATTAGATTGTTGTTATTTAGATCTCACCATCAATCACAGGTCTGCTGGGCAGATTCTTAGCTTCCTTACTGGACCCTGACTTGTCACCCCTGCAAAACGAGGATGTATTCCAAAACAAATTATTAGCATCTTCTGATTTTTTTGGTGCAGGCTAAAGTGTATATACTTTTGCAGCGGCACTGATCCTTATGTAACTAAGTTATAGTGTTAGATTGATGGTCCTTCTTACAAGGTGGAGAACAGAAATCAGGCCTCGCACCTTTAAAACATATATATCTCAATTTCAATTTTTATGGAGAAACGTTAGGAATAAGACAATCAATTGGGACTTTAATACACCTTTTGCTGGTGCAGATAAGCCTACACCCGCACAGTTGATTCACAATATGACTGTAAACAGATCAAGGAATGATTAAAACAAACGTGAGTGTGCCGTCTTTCAAATTCAAACTCTGAAGAAAAACTTTGAAATTCAGATCTTGACTTTAATCAAAACAATGATTTTTTTGTAATTATGCAAATTCTAAGTTGAGTCAATGCTGATGAAGTAGGGGTGTTTGAATATGTTAACATCTTGCACTTTGTAATAAAGTGGAATCAGTTGATTTAAATGATTAAAATGAACCTCAATCAATTTATTTACCAAAAACAAGATTTAAAGTGATTTAAATCAGTGATTAAAAAATCAAAAAAAAAATCAATTGATTTAAATCGCGATTGAAATCAGTGACTTAAATCAACATGATTTAAATCAACCAACCCTGGTTTAATGTCATTGATTTCTTGCCTGCCATGTCAAATCTAAAGGGGGCGCCCTGTCTGTTAATACATACGGTGATGGAGATCGGTTCCCGTGTCCTCTTGGGCTGTTGGAGCGAGATCTATGTGTAGAAGAAAATAAGTTCTGAATCAGCCGATAGAATTTGTATATTGGGAAAAAAAATTTAGTGGACGCAGTATAACTGGCAATACATTAAGTATAACACAAATATACAAACACAGCAAAGAGTGAGAGACAAGGAACTTTTGTGTCAAATCATTTTTGGGCAACAATTGTACTTTTTGGGAAAAGAAAATCTCAATTCTAATGCATCCCTGGATCCCATTATAACTGGAAATGCCTCTCACTGAATCATTTAACAGGTTCGGTACAATTGACGGAGTATATGATGCTTGAGATTCCAAAATTGAAATGATCCAAAATATGACAGTGTAATGTGTTGAATGATTCTTGTATTATAACTGAAAATCGGATTATTTTGAAAGGGTACTTTTTGGATGTTGAAGCTGTGAGTGTAGTATGCATTGTACAACAATATTTAACCTGGAGAAAACAGGAACCTTAACTTAAGTTCAGAGAGATAAAAAAATTATCAAAAAATACAAACTTCATTACCTTCGTCTTCTTGGTGAGCGAGATCTAAAGGAAGTAAAGGAAAATAAAAGGTTCAAAACAAAACAATTAATCTCACTTAAGGAAACAGGCATTTTTGTTCTCGTTTGAATCACAAAAATATTTAAAATCTGAAGCAGGGTGAAAAACAACTAACCTGTTGAAGGTTTTAGCTCCGAGGCTGCTACAGATTTTAGGAAAACAGGGAAAACATAGATGCAAATATTTGTGCATATTTGGTAACTGGATTATGCTACTATACAATAATTTCAAATATGATACAAGATCTCAGATTGAACCAATCATCTAACTATACCTTGACCTTCTTCTCCGCCTGGGTGATCTTGATCGTGATCTACTTCGACGCCTTTCTGCAAAAGAATTAGAAAATTTTACACAATGAATGTTGCTTTAATGTCTGGCTCTAAACTTCTAAGCTAATCCTTGACTAGCACAAAACTTTGCTGGTCATTTTATTTATTGGGCAATGCTGTCCAATGCAGGCTTGAGATCATTATATAGCCTGTGACTATGAGCATTGTCCTCGTATTTGAGGAAAGCAGTTCCAATCGTGGCAAATGAACCAAATTGTTGAAAATGCTTAGTTACAAGTTTACATTTCAGACATTTAATGTTACATTCAGCCTGAAACATGGTTTCATGATTTTGGAATTTTGTTATTAAAGAGAAAGATAACTTTGTTTAATTTATTGTTATCCTCGGAAACTATTATTACTTCACCTTTTCTTCTGTCTCGGTCTCTTTCTCTTGACAGCGACCGACGTCTCTCTGAAATCAGAAAACAAAGCAGTCTGATGAATCTGTTGTATTAAACTTTAATGTCCCACATCCTTCCAAACATAGTGCTTTGTTAGCTTGATTGGACTACCATGCCAAAGGTCTGGGGATCAAATCGCACTGTAAGGATTATCCTAACGTTAAGTTCTGCTGCTATCGTTACGGTATTGCAAAATCAGGAATGAGATGATTGTCAATTTGATTGTCGGTAGCTCGATTGGTTCCATGTACAACTTCTAGTCTACTGTGCCGGTGATCTGCGTTTAACTCCACTGCCGTGCTGCAACTTGTTTTTCTTTTATTTTTGTTTTCTTTAGGGGCTACTTTCCGTTTCATGTATTTATTTTTTACGAAGTGGCTATCGTTACGGCAGCCGTTGTTTAGCGCCCTCTACGATACTTTTTTGATACGCAAGCAGGTATATAATTATTTGTTTTCCCCACGTTTTAGCGAGCAGTGCGACAGCTCAGTCAAATTCACTTTTTTCCTTCTAATTTTATATTTTCTTCTCATGTTTTTATAAAAGTTGCAGTACTACCGTAACGATAGAAAATGGGAAATGCGTTACGGCTGCCGTAACGATAGCCACTGGCACTGCGTATTTTTTAATCATATCATTTTTTTATTGAAGTACTAGTAGGTTTCCTATTCATCTTCGTATAATAGGTCAAGGAACCAGACAATGCCGTATCAATAGCAGTTGAAAACTGCGTTACTGGTCATGCTGGTGCCGTCAATAGCCAGCAGTCACTGCGTTATAAATTAGGCCTATGGTGCGCTACATTATAATGACGTGAATGAGCACGATGATTGTGCCCAATTTCCGGACACTTTTTTTTTAACAACATGTTTGCTAGTAAACTTTATTTACACGATAAACAACGTTATTTCTATGAAATTTCCAATACACATGCTTCTAGCACTTCAATTTCTAACCTCGTCTCACGGGTGATCGGCTTCTACTTCGCCCCATTTTTAATGCTGGGGAAAATGAGCAAGTAGGCCTACTCAGGTTTACGGCAACGAAAATTAAAGCGCGCCAGCGCCACCACGAGAGGACGGAGGTAAAACAAGAGAATATATTTCAACACGTGAGGGCGCTAGACAACTAAAGCAGGGCAAGTTTTTCAAGACGCGTCAACTCCACGAGGTTGTCCAGTTGTTGATCAAAATTCAGCTGTAAGTTTTTTACTTACCAAGAAAACTATTAGTTTTCGTCGTGATCGGTATGTTTTTACGATTTAAGTAGTTACTCATTAACATGACTAAATTAATCAGCACCTTTATTGTGTGCAATATATGAAATGTCAAACATGTCAAAGTGAATAATTGTTCTCATGCAGAAGGCAGTGGACATGCCTGGTGGGGGAGTGGTGGAACGACTGGAGTGGAGTGGAGGAAAGTGAAAAAGTGACACGAGCATAATCCTATGCCATGAAGAGCAAAACTGTTTTGGTTGGTTATGTCCTGAATTCCTGATGAGCATGTCAGCTAGCCCCATAAATGTTGCTTATTTACTGGACTACCTCCGTAAATAAAGGCCACACTCCGGGAATTGACTCACAGTCACACCGGGAGGACTTGTTACCAAATTTATTTTCACATTCAGACTGCGTGCATAGTTGATTTATACTTTTAAAACGCACTTGCTCTCTTATTTTCTTAATAACAAATTCAGAATTTGCCGCCGAAGTCAGTTGTCCAGCTTTTGTGTAATTTCCAGCCGAATGTGGATGTTTCTTGGGATCAGTTTGTGTGTAACTCAATTGTAACCGTGTTCCAGCTGAATGCCCTTGCGTTAATCCTTTCTGTAAAGTGCCCCCTCATATCATGCATGTAAAAAAAAAGAAAAAAGCAGCCTCCAAAAAGGAAGCGGGCAGGGACGCTTAACATGTTTGTTTTTAAATTAGTAAAAAACACGTTGAATTCCATACCTTCAGACATGTCAGTGATTTAGTTATATCCTGTTGTCTCAGGCAGAATTTTCTTTTCGAAAGCCGTCCCAATTTCGCCCAAGATTACAGGAGAACTTGAACTCTGAAGGTATGCAGTTAAGTACCTGCCTGGGTGATTATCAAGTAACAAAATAGTCCCAATCTTGATTTTATTTTCTGCTACCCTAGCAACAGACTTTTCCACTGAAATAGTGTATTATGGTTTTGTGGCTCAGAAGTACGGAGGAAGTCCAGCATTTGAGCCACATTTAAGGGGCTAGTGACGGGAGGGAGTGATGAGAGGTGGTGTGGTGCAGACTGGGACCCTGAACACAGAAAAACATGCGAAACAAAATCAGGCCGACTTTACTCACTCTTTAGCCGACAAAATTCTCCAACATGAGGCAAAGACAATGTCCTCACCAGCCAAGTTTGAGGTCTCAATTAAGTTTATAAAGGAAACTTTTGTTTAAAATTTTGAACCTGACAGTAAAGCCAAGGTATTTCAATTTTGAAGCCTAAGACTAAACTAGTACATGTCCAGCTTTTTGAGAAGATTTACCTTTCAGTAGTCCGGTGGCATCAGTGACTATGGACATTTGTAGAAATAGAGACTGGGCACCAGATGTTTCTTTGACACAGTTGATTGGTGCAGTACCGAAGGGGTGTTGCACTGGTTGTTTCATGTGCCAGTCTATGCTTTTGTATTGCATGTTTTCATTATATTATGTTTTGGGACTCTCATACATGCATGTAGTATCGAGAGTCCCAAATTTGCGGACTACGATAGCCCAATAGTGTGGCTCAGATATTGCTGCACTGTTTCCTAAGGATACAGCGCAACAATATCTGAGGCACACTAGTGGGGCTAAGTGTGAGAGGGAGTGGGTGAGAGGGGGTGTAGGGCAGACTGGTGGTACATATTTAAAAGGAAAAAAAGAGAGAGAACTATAACAAACTGAAAAACTTGAAATTTCCAAAAATTCCTTCTTTTAAAAAAAAAATGTTTCCAACATAAGCATTTATTAATTGACTTCAAGAATTGTGTTTCTTTTCTAAAATGTAGCCTAGCTATTAAATTTTGACATGGAAAACAAAGTAGGCTTTTTCGTAAACGTGTTGAAAATACATTTCATTAGGAAAAGGAATCAAACTTGTTGAAGAACACAGGGAAGGTAACTTCAAGCCTCACAGTTGCCAAACTTCTTCAATTTATTGAGCAGACTTAAAGATGGAGTGGGACTGGTGGTCTAGAATGCAGGGACCGTCTTCACAACGCAAGGGGCCTGCACGGGGTAAATGGTGGGCCAATCTCAGAAACCCTGTCTGCCCTCAGCCCAACTCCCGTTGGCATAGGCGCCGACCCCAATCATTTGGAGTACTGCCAGGTCAGTAAACAAATTCTTCAGTGGTTCAATCTCCCATCTGAAAGGCAAATCTAACCTGTGATTGCTTGATTGTAAGGGATAAATTGATGCTCAAGTGCTGTTTCACCCTCCCACTAAAGAAGTATAAAATGCATAAAGTGTTGATCTCTGCTGTTGGTAAAAACATTTTCTTGCCAGCTTGAAGGACATTTTATTCCTGATTGTACCACAAGATTATCAACCAAACCATCATTTGTTTTGTGCATGGTCTAAAAGCTGGTAACATTATTGGAAAAATGTGAAGGGCTTGATATAGAGCTGAAGAAATTATTTAGAAAAAGAATCAGATTTAACATTTTTACTGTTGTACGTTTATTAAAGGCAATTTCTAAAGAAACTAAATGCGAGGATACTCAATCGCAGTCTATCACACTGATTTCCCCTTGGCTGATTTCATGAATTCCACGTGTGATTTAAATTGAACCTGTAGTTTTGTCTTTACTACTTAGATGTGGATTTGGACTCTGTGCATGTGAAGACTTTGGATGAAATACTGCGAGAAAGAGAAGCTAAAAAGTGTAGAGAACAGGGTGGGTAATGAAATAGTTCAATAATCTCTTATTCACAGTGCACCTTTATGCAGTCTTTGCCTTAAAATGCCAATGTCAAAGTTTTTGATTCCTCTAATTAAACTGAGAGGGTCATGTGACTTTTCAATTTTGGCTTTGACCGTTAAACAAGAATTAACCTCTCATAGACCTGATGTACTGAACTCCTTCACAATCATGAGCGCTTCTTAATGAAGCTTTCTTTTTTAATTCCCCAGCTAAGACTCTGACCTGTACAGGTTGCGGCAGTCAGGAAACAACCAGGGGAGACCTCCGGATGGTCCAATGCCAAGACCAGAATCCAGTCCATCGGATCAGACTGAGCCAGTATAACTTCCACAGAGAAGACAGGGATGAGGATGAAGAAGATGAAATGGAAGTGGTTGCTATGGATACAGCCGAATCTGATGAAGGTGAAGAGATTTACTTTTCTCCAGAGGAGCTGTATCCTAAAGAACCTGATGAGGAGACAATTGCTAGCTCCCTGCAGGAGGAGGGATATGCAACTGCTCTGGCTGAGGAGGAAAGAGTTTCAAGTGAACGAGGAGACCTGGATATCCTCCGAGTGGATGTTGAGTATGACAAGAGCTGCCAAGAGACAAGTGGAGAAGATATTGATAATCTTGACTGTTCTCGAGATGACTTTGATCCTGATAATTCTGAAAGAAGCATTGGTGAAGATACAGATGTAAGGTCTCAGGAGGGGGAGTGTAAAATTGCTCAGGTTGAGGCAGAAATCGACAACAGTGATCAGGAAGACATGGACGCAGATGAGGCTTTGAAACAAGATGATGTCCAAGTGGATGGTGGAGGTGACCAGAATTGCAAAGAGGAAAATGAGATAGACGTGGAGGATGTCGATTCTTCTCTAGATGAGTTGTTTTCTGGAGAGCTTGAAATTGACATTGACGAGGAAGCTGAAAGTGCATCTCTTGAGAAGGAATGCAAAGTTTCTGAGGACTGGCAGGGCATCATCCACAGTGAACGGGCAATCAAGGAGGGAGATAGTGAGACTGTGGAACAAGGCATCCTCCTTGTGGATCCTGGTGGGGACGGGAACTGCCTAGAGGAGGTAGATTTGGACCCCTCAGAGAATGTGTGTCTTAGAGAGCTCAAGAATAATGCCAGTCAAGTGACAAATGATGGCTCACAGGACAGGGAATGTACACTTCATGAGGGGGATAAGGAAATTGTCTCCAAGGAACAGGAAATCAAAGATGAAGAGGTTTTGCTGCAGGATGACCTTCAAATGGATGTAGGATATGATGCGAACTTCCAAGAGGATGACAAAGACATTGATTTGAATGGTTCTCCAGATGAAGTTTGTCCTAAAGAACCTGACGGGAGCATAAATGAAGAGACAAGTCGTACATTGCAAGAAAAAAAAGAAAGTCCAACTGTCCAGGTTGAGAAGAAAATCATCAACATTGAAAAGATTGACAAGGAGAAAGATGCTGAGGCTGTGGAACCGACAAGCCTCCAAGTGGATGCAGGAGGTGACAGGAGCTGTCAAGAGGAAGTCATTGAGGACTCTGAAAACAGTGACGGTTCTCAGGATGAGCTCCACCTTGGAGAACTCAATGTTGTTGATAAAGAGATCAGTATCAGCTGTCAAGAGGAAGACAATCAAGATCTTGAAGCCAAGCACCCAGTCAAGACGAGAGCCGACAATTACCAACAAAATGACAATACGGTAGAAATCACCAACACAGACACAAAGGAGGAAAAGGGAGAACGCGAAGTTGAAATCGGAAGAAAGCTTGATAAGGCCCTGGATGAGAGCTCTCAAGAAGACGGCCAGAAGGTCTTTGGTGAAGATGTAAGTAGCTCCATAGAAACAGACAAAGAGGAGAGGGAGGAGGATGTCAAAGTAGGGATAGAGGAAGAAAGGCATAAGGGGACAGAAGATGATAATTTCCCTGATGAAAGCACCCAGGATGTGGCGGACAGTTCCGAACAGAGTCAGCAGGATACCAACTGTGTGGAGAAACTCAGCGATGAGCAGAGCCTTGGTGCAGGCCCTGGTATGAGTTTGATGGTAGATGATTGTAGGACACACAAGTTAGAAGCTGTGACTACTTTGAACCAAGAAGAGAATACTGTTTCCTCCTTTACTACCAATGGGCCTGTTGATGCTCCAGCTGAAAGAGAACAAGAAACTAGAAATGCAGCCACTACATTAAAAATGAATGAATGTCTACCAAGAGCTCTCCAAGACAAAGACGTCATCACTCCCCAGGAGGCTGTGAATCCTGTTGAAGGAGATGACTTAGAACCTCCGGACGTACCTACGGTTAATAAGGACCAGATTAAAACAACCACCAGGCCTTACACAAGGAAAAGAAAGTGTGAAGAGATGATGCAAGGCTTGGTCAAATTTCTAAAGGTGAGACAAAGAGTCGGAGTTAGAATAGATGCGCCAAGAAAGGCCAGGGACAAAAGTACAGGACAAAGACGGGTCAGAAATGATAAGGTTGGACAGGGTGCCATGGTTAAGGACAAACAAGATAGGGAAGAAGCTTTCATCTCGGACATTCCTGAGGTCCCACAGACAAGGCAGCAACATACTAGAGTAGCTGCAGAGCCCAAAAGAAGAGGTCGACCATGTTCAAGACCTAAGAAAATTGGAGAAGGAGATTCTCTAATGTCAGGACAAACAAAAGAAAAAGGTATAGCTGATTCAGTGGTTACTCCTTGTCAACTTAGAAAAAGGAGGTGTAAGGAAAGAGGGGAAGATGAGTCTAAGAAGCAAGGACAAACAAATCAAGTAGGACCTGATGCAGAGGTTGCTCCAACTCAACGTGGAAAAAGCAGGTCTAAGGACAGAGTAGGAGAATTTTCTATGAAGAAGGGACAAACGGACCCAGTCGGATCTGATGTAGAGGATGCTCCAAGTCGACCTAGAAAAAGCAGACCCGAGGAAAGAGGGAAAGAAGTTTCTAAGAAACAAGTACAAAAAGAAGTAGGACCTGATTCAGAGGTTGCTCCAAAGCAATTTAAAACAAGCAGGCGTAAGGGAAGAGGGGAAGAAGATTCTGCTAAGCAAGGACAAACAAGGCAAGTGGGACCTAATTCAGCAGTTGCTCCGAGGCAACTTAGAAACAGCAGGCACAGAGAAAGAAAGACGGAAGATTCAATGAAGAAGGGGCAAACAGAACAATTCAGGCCTGATTCAGAGGTTGATTCAAGTCAACCTAGAAGAAAAAGGCGAAAGAAAAATGGGGAAGAAGATTCTATCAACAAGGGACAAATAAAACAAGTTGGACCTGATGCACAGGTTGCACAAAGTCAGCTTAGAAGCAACAGGCCTAAGGAAATAGAGGAAAAAGATTCTAGGAAGATGGGACAAACAGAACAAGACAGACCTGACGTAGAGACAGCTCCAAGTCAAATTAGAAAAAGCAGGTCTAAGGGGAGAGAGGAAGAAGATTCTGAGATGCAAGGACAAACAGAACAAGTAGAACCTGATGCAGAGGTTGCGTCGAGTCAACTTAGCAAAAGCAGGTCTAAAGAAAAAGAGGAAAATGTTTCTATAAAGAAGGGACAAACAAAAGACGTCAGACCTGATGCAGAGGTTGCTCCAAGTCAACTTAGAAAAAAAAGGCCCAAGGAACGACGGGAAGAAGATTCTGCTAAGCAAGGACAAACAAAGCAAGCAGGACCTAATTCACCGATTGCTCTGAGTCTTAGAAAAAGCAGGGACAACAAAATAAAGGAGCAAGATTCCATGAGGAAGGGGCAAAGACAACAAGTTGTACCTTATTCAGATTTTGCTTCAAATCAACATAGAAAAAGCAGACCTCAAGAAACAGAAAAGATTACTGTAAAGAAGGGACAAACGGAACAATTTGGACATGATGCAGTGGTTGCTCCAATTCGACCTAGAAAAAGCAGGCGTAAGGAAAGAGGGGAAGAAGATTCTGTCAAGAAGATACAAACAATACAAGTTGGACCTGATGCACGGATTGCACAAAGTCAGCTTAGAAGCAGCAGGCCTAAGGAAAGAGAGGAAGAAGTTTCTATGAAGATGGGACAAACAGAACAAGACAGACCTGACGTAGAGGCATCTCCAAGTCAAATTAGAAAAAGTAGGTCTAAGGAGAGAAATGACAAAGACTCTCAAGTGCAAGGACAAACAGAGCAAGTCCGACCTGATGCAAGGGTTGCTCCAAGTCAAATTAAAAAAAGGATGAGTAGACGGAAGGTGAAGGATATACAGACAAATCACGATCAAAATCAGAAAGACCCAGAGAAGAGACTAAAGAGGTGCCGATCAAGGGTAAATACCTTGGTGGTAGATGGGAAGCAACTGCGGAGCTGTTTGGAGTGCAGTGATCATGCGCAGAAGGGTGGGGCCAATTTGAGACAACTAAAAACAGGAGAGATGAGGGTAGTGGAAGAGGGAGATAACATCCAAAGGAAGGTAAAAAAACTGAAGGGAGATGGCTGTGTGGATGAGGATACCTTGCCCACAATGTCCCCTTCAACTGAAACGGTGACTGCTCAGAAGCGAGGAAATGAGCCAAAGCAGTCTACTGTGAGCTCTTTGCAGCCTCCATCAAAAACGGTTGTAGAAGCAGCTGATGTTAACCAAAGCTCTCATGTAGCAACGAAATTGGACAAAGTGGAGCTGAAGAAGAGTTCTTCTGCCCTTGCTGCCAATGAGAGGCAGGTTACTGAGAGTGATGCTGCCGAATCACCATGTCAAGAAAGCATCAAAGTAAAAAGGGGCAGTACCAAGAGGAGGGGCATCTGGAAAGAAATGGTCAGCAAGTGCCTACATGTAGTTTCGAAGAAAAGGAGGAAGAGGAAACGAGATGGAAATCAAGACCTACATTCTCCAGGATGGGAAGATGGTGGCTCATCCTCCAAGAAACAGAAAAGAATCTTGAAAATAAAAATTCCCAGTCCCAAGTATAAACAAGCTTTGATTCCTAAGAGTGTGCCATGCAGTTCCCCATTGAAAGACTCAACTGATAAAGTGGATTCCACTTCGGACTCGGTTAAGAATATTTTCCAAGACAGAAGGGTCAACCAAGAAAAGACAGATGTTGACATGCCTCAAGACAGGGTTCCATATCTTGAAACATCTCCAAAATCAAACCAGAACCTTGACCAAGATGATAGGGAAAATCAGCAACTGGCTGGGGTAAATGCTGTCGACCAGCGCCTTTCTAAGACTGTCAGATTACCTTTCCTTGATGCAACTCCAGAATCTGATCAAAACCTTGCCCAAGATCTCAAAGTCAATCAGGAACTGGAAGTTACAATTGCAGACCATCCTCGTCCTGAGACTGGAAGGGTTCCTTACCTTGATGCAACTCCGGATTCAGATCGGAATCTTGTCCAAGATATTCAAGTTAATCAGGAATCTGAAGGGGGAAAGTCTGAACATCCTCCTCCTGAGACCAGCAGGGTTCCTTATCTTGATGTAACTTCTGATTCAGATCAGAATGTTGTCCAAGAACCGAGAGTCAGTAAGGAAACTGAAAGGGAAAAGGCTGACCAGTCATTTTCCAAGACCTCAAGGATTCCTTGTATTGATGCAACTCTAGAATCAGATCAGAGCATTGCCCAAGATGTAAATAAGGAATTGAAAGAGGTAACTTCTAACCAGATTCTTTCTGAGACAAGCAAGGATCCTAACATTGATGCAACTCCTGAATCGGATCGGATTGTTGTCCAAGAAATCAGAGTCGATCATGAAACGGAAGGGGGAAAAGCTGACCAGTCGCTTTCCGAAACCATCAGGATTCCTTTTGCTCAGATATTAGCCAACCAGCCTCGGGTCCTGTTGTGCAAACTGAACTTCAAGGTATCTATCCCCCTGGATTGCATCACTCTGAAGACTCGACGTTCCACTCGAAGAGGACGTCCCAGGAAGATGACATCCATCGCTAAGAAGGCACAGAAGATGACCAGGGGTCTTAAAGGGATGGAAGGGACCTGGAACCAGCTGGGATTCAGAAAGCCATCCCAGCTCATCCAGCCTGGCAGCGAGGCACTCTCTGATGAATCCTTCTCAGTGCCTGCACAGCATCCATCAACATCTCAAGAAGGGCATTCCATTCCTGGACAAGAACGCGATTCAGCTGTTGCAACCACCTACGGAGACTCTGACAGCCTCAATCAACCTGTGAGGACTGAAGGTGATGCTGATTATCTTGATTGCTCAGGTAAGAAATATACACAGTTAAAAGCAATCCTAAGGCTGTATCAATAAAGTCTAATACACAACTCAGTTTCCTCTACCATTCCAGTTACATTTATTACTGGAGAAAATTGTGACTATATGTCTTGTGTGAGGACACCATACTCAAAGCCTGCATAGGCTGATTACAAACCCACTTTTACTTGAGAAACTTGCTTTAATGAACACAATGGGGTCCATAGATGTTTGTTCAATATGATAGTAGCCGTCGTCTTGGCGATTTTCAGCCGTAGGTGATTGGTGTGGTTGTACATAAATATTTGGAAGCCAAAGGGTGTGATCATTATGGCTGTACTTTTGGTATCGCAGTGTTTATTGTACTGTCATTCCACTGTACTGCATACAATACCAAGAACATTTTGAGTTTGTTGGTCACACGAGACCATGGTGGCACAATGGTCCTGAAATTGAAAGAATACATGTAGTGCATAACCAGTATAATGCAGACTGATTACTCTTACACAATCCACTTTGAGAGGACTTACATTAATTGTAATTCTCTTAGCTACTTCCCCTTTGGTTGCAGGTGAAATTGTGGAGGCTCCAGAAGTTGCTCACACTGTGGAGATTGTCTCGACTGACGGAATCCCTCCACCAACCACTAATGGCTTCGTTGAAGTCGCTGGCAGTGTACAAGAGAGGCTGACGTTCGACTCAGAAAATTCCCCTTGTGACCAAGAATCGTGCCAGCTTTGTACACCAGATGACAAATCCTTTGATTACGAGTTAGAAAACCAAGGTTAGTTTGTCATGATTTTTGTTTCAGAAGCTTGACTCTCTTCATTTTATGCTTCCTGGCATTTATAGAAGGCAGAGAATTTGTGTTAAAGTATCATAAAAGTAAGCAAAGGAATTATCTTTTGTTTTACTAAAAGTAACTTTTTAAAGCCATTGTTTTGCTTGTTTGTTGTTGTTTTTTTTTTAAAGTGCAAATCATAAGCAGCGAGTACGAGGCGATGGGTCTGAGCAGCTCAGAGGATGGCCCAGACCTGTGCTTCACGTCGGCCTCCATGAAAGTTGTGGTTACAGCTCTGGCCCCTTCGGGCTGCGCAGATATCCCCCTGGTCTCGCTGACCAGCACCCAGTCAGGTGCCGAGGAGGTCCCAGGCTACCCCCACACCCTACCCCCCATGCAAATCTTCCTCAGTAAAATGACTGAATCTGGGCAGACGGACGCAGCGCTCCAAACATTTGCCCGGGATTTGGGCGAGAACTTGTCGATCGATCAGGTTGGAGTAACTGAGGATGTTAGAAGTCCTCTTGATGCAGAAAATGAGGAGTGCACAGAGAACTCTCCAAGACTAGGTGATCATTTATTTCCTTCTCTTTAAAGATTTCTTTCTCCTCTCTCTTCTTTTCAAGACAGATGGAAATTTATTGTTATTTTGGAAATGTATTGATTTTTATATTTTGGGTTTGCATGTCTATTTGACCCTTCCTGCCCAGATTTTTGTTTGGGTAACAATGTAGCTTGGTCTGGATCATTTATTAAGCACTGCAAGAAATTTACACAGACCAAAGGTTGGTTGGGCTTATGGCCAAATCTGGAAGGGTCTTTTCTAACAATCCCAATACAAAATATCAAAGAAACTTTCTTCGATATGTTTGCCATGTACAGAAGCCGGGGCTTTAACTCAGAAAGAAAACTCTGAGACTGAAGCAGAGGTTGCCGTTAGTCATCAAGAGAGGATGCCCCAGTCTCCTGAGAGTCGTAGGGAAGACGAGGATCGTCAAGCTGCAGGCAGCAGCAGAGTGGAAGACTCCAAGCGTACGGAGACAGAAGCTGAACGGATCCAGGGTGATTATGGCCAATCATCAATCTCCTTGTTTATTGTTTTCTTTGATCTTGTTAAAAAGCGCTATATAAGTACCTATATTATTATTATTAGTATTTTTATTATTATTATTCAGATTGTTACTAAGCAAAAGCAATGTCATCGAGCATTTGCACCAAAATTCGCAGGAGTACAACTTTGTGAATTTGAGAAGCTGTAAGAGAGATTTTGCATGAGAACGGTTGTGGTTAGCGTACTAGATACATCCTGTTTTTATATGGTCATGTGATGTCATACTTGACTCGCTATCCAAATTAGGATTGGCTCAAATACGCCGTTAGAAACAATGATATGTCATCTCGAGCATCAGAGCACTGTTCTATTTCAATCTTATTGAGGCAATGTAATCTGCATGTACTCAAGAATTCAGTTTTAATCTTTTACAGCCACCACCATTCCAACAGTGACCAGCCCCCCTAGTCAAGACATCTCAGACTGCTTCCTAACCCCTAACCCACAACCTCCCATGATCCTGTCTGCATCCCCGGAACTGGATGCGCTACTGTCTACGATAGCCGACACGTCGTTTGGCGTTGCTCCACCGCAGGATGCGCCATCCACGATGTTAGAGCAAGGAGAGGAGAATGTTCCAGAGAACCACTGCAAAAATCTGGCCGTTCCTGATGGACAAAAGATGACCGACTATTTGCAGACTCCACAAAATGGTAGATTTGAGTTCTGTATATTTGTCTTTTTGACTTGGCTCTCCTAAGTACGACGTTATTTTTCATATATAATAACAATAATACATGTACTTATGGCGCTTTTAACATGATCAATTCACTTTACAAAAAAAATTAAAAATAAACAAGGAGATACGATTACCTAGAAGTGTACAGATTTCTGTAGAGATTTGGAAAGCAAGTGAGTTTTGAGAGCATTTTTGAATTTATTGTGAATTTCTCAGATATGGCATGGAATTCTGTTCCAGTCATGTAGAAATCATTAGAAACATATTTAACATTGTTGCTAGGCCACAAAGCGCCTCTTTATTCTGTGCATAGAGATCATGACTCATTTTGTTGGACATTTTAAGACAAGGAGTTTTGTTTCACTTCATTGTTTAGATGCTTCAAGTGTCATTCCCGCTCCAATTACCTCTGTCGCTCCCCCGGCCACAACATTGGAAAATGAGGACCTGGACTCGCGCAATGCATCCAGCCAGTTCGGCGACCTGACCCTGCCACCTCTAGGCGAGGACTTTGAATTTCCTGAGGAGGACTGCATCTCCCTGGACTGCGACACGGAGAGCTTCTTGAACGATCTCAGTGACGAATTGACAGAAATTGACAGGAAGATCAGGTAATTCTGGGAAAAAGTTTGTCGGGGAAGACTGATTGAAAAGTTCCTAGTAGTGTAAGCGGAGCCTAATTTACAGGGGACACTTTCTCAATTGCTGAAGGGTGGGGTGGGGCACTTAATTCATTGGCATTGTATTACATGGTAATACTCCTGGATGAATTTGTAAAATCATACAGTGCTGAGGCAGTTAGGGGCGGTATAGGGAGTAACAGTCAGGGTGGTACAGTTACTTATTTGTTAATAGGTTTTTAACAATCATCGTCGGTTTGGAGGCCGTTGTCCAGTCCATATTCATTTTTGCTCTTCCCCAACTACTTGCTTAAGTTAATCATTTAATTTTTACAACATTGCCCAGTGATGCAGAGAAAAGAACGAAATCAGGATCTCCATCTCAATGTAGGAACAGACCCCTGCACACCGCTGACACCAATGATCAACTCGGGTAGGTTGATGGGTTTAGTTTGGAAGGAGATTAAAATGTCATAAGTTTATCCGAATGTAATTGTTTTACAGTTCTCAACTCAAAAAAATATATATATTTTTAGAATTGTTATTTTTCTACTGAGCACAACATTTTTACAATATAATTCAGCGTGGTCAGCAAAGGGAAAACGCTTTCATTTTGCGATTTCTCACTTTCAGAAAAAGTGGCCCATCTCGGAAAGAAATTGCGACCCCCAGAGAGCAACCCTCTATCCATACAGTGGACTGGTCCGAGGTGGAGCAGTACCAACCAATCAGCAGGAGCCTAGCAGGCGGGGACTGTTCCACTAATGACCTGCGGAGGTTTATCAGAAAGGATGAGGGGCACTCCGTGGGGACCCAAGATGCTTCACAGCCGACAGCTGCGGGTAGAAACTGGTCAACAACTCCGAGCCATTTCCAAGGATCGGTAAATACTCAACCTCAGCCCGTATCAAGAAACCAGGTAGTGTTTTTTAATTACATATGATTACATTGATATTCATTTAGATTTATGCCAGTATCCAATCTCAAGTGCATCATAAGATCATCACAAACTCATCACAAGCCCATCACAAGTGCATCGTAAGTCCATCACAAGTGCATCATAAGTCCATCACAAGTGCATCGTAAGTCCATCACAAGTGCATCATAAGTCCATCACAAGTGCATCAAATGACTTGTGACAAAAGCATTCATTGTGATTGTTTATCCCCTGATAATTGTGACTTGGTGTTTGATTATCTGTTGACCGGACTTGTGACTGACTATTTCCAGGAACATTTGCGGTATGGCATTTGGGAGACGCACGTGGTGTTGCTGACATTTAAAGTGAGTGGGGTGAAAGTCCATATCCGGAACGACTACTGTCCTTTATAAACTCTCTGTTTCTCCCTGTTTACTCTAGGTGATACCTAGAGGCTTCTGCTATGATTTTGTTCGGAATGGTCGTTGTTTACGCAGAACTTGCCCTTATGTACATTCCAAACCCAAGGTCAGCACTCGGACTCAGGTACGGATAGAACTATACATGCAAATTGTTTTGGCAACATAATTTACAATATCTCGCCTACTTCCTCATAACGTTTCCATCTTAATTTGAGTAGTGCTCCCACCACAAGCTTTACGAGTAGAAAATCAAGTTTGTATTCCTACAAATAGTTGTCACGATTTTACCTTCTTCTTTTTTCTCTTTTGTTTTAAACAAAACAAAAAACCAAAGGCATGTTGTTTAAAGTTGAATTGAATTATGACCTTACCCAACAAAAGTCACCCGAATTACTTTAGAGTAATGTTTGCAGAACTAAAACTGAAATTGTGTCCACTTTCTTGTTCATTTTTTTGTTTTTAATCATTCTGCTTTCATGTTTGCATTTGTTTGAAGTATCCCCCTCCGCCCTCCAGAAATGTATTCAAGGGTCCAGAGAATCGGCGTGAAAACGTTAAGGATCTGCTGGCTGTGGTCAGTTAATGATTATTCAATTAAAAAAAAACTACACAATTATGTTTTCAAATAATTAATCATTAATTTGTTTACTTACGGTTTTGAATAAGCAAAACTGATTCCAAAACAGGTTTTTAATAACTTATCATTTCCTCAGCTTTTCAGAACATTTGTCTGGACATCATCTTCAAGTATGTCTTTCGTTGTTTTCAACCCACTCTTTCTAAGATATATATGTGCATGAAATTTTAGGGGTCTTGGCTTTTTGACGTGTGCTCTTGTACCGTTGGAAAAGAAGCTTTCGTTTTCACAAAAATTATTTTTTAATTAATTGTAGGAAAAAAGGAACTGAGTAACTAAAAGTTCAAACAACAAAGTACCAAAAAATGGTGCAATTGACATCACTGCATTGATTTTGTTTTGTTTTGGGTTTTTTTTTTTTAGCTCCAGGCAATTTTGTTAGTGATGTATAGACCCGTTGCACGGTGTGCCCTCGCTCAGGACAGATTGGTTATTTAAATTCAGTATTAATGAAAGTACAAACTGTCTACTCGTAGTATCACAGAGGAACAGTGACCAGCCCTCCGATGTAATGTCAGACGCACAGCGTCTATTGTGAAGAATTGGAGATTAGAGAAGAAATTAAAATGAGACACCAAATATATGCTCTCAGTACTAGACCTTGATTTAATTTTCACAACAAAAAGAGCATGGAGCCCGCCATTTTTAGTGCTAATTCAAAATTCATCTATAAACTTGATGTTTTTGTGGGTATTTCAGGAGAATCTGAAACATTGAGTTTATAATACCACTGGTGTTTCTCTTGTTAGAGTGAGGCGAACTGCAAACTTTTCCCAATTTGTGTGTAAACGGCAGACAAATCACATATTAACGGATAATAAGTAAATCTTCCTTTGACTTTTACAATAGGTGAATGAATGCAACATGGCGTTGGGCGTACATCTGAGAGGTCGGCATTCTAATGAACAAGGGTGAGAATGGGTTATAGTACTACTCTTGGCTCAAGACGCGATTTAGATTCTGTTCCCTAAATCAGCCAGTCTTTGGCAAGTACAGCCCAGCTGCTGCTGCAGTAGAGTACACTATCATTACGATGAATCCAGTCTTTGGGTATTTCGGCACTCGGACCTCCCCTGCGTGGCGGACGAGACAAAGCCTCAGTTTGTGTAATAGTACCTTTCATTTCGGCCATCCGAAGTCTTGCAGCCTTTAAAGATTGTTGAATACTTGGTCCTTTTTTCCCTACAGATTCTTGAGGCCTGTCAGCTACCCTAATAACATAGGTGATGTTGAGACATGTTCATAATAGTTGTGGTGACAGTACAAATTGTTGGGTAGTCATTGGCAGTTTGGTGATGTAACTTGCACCTGTACTAATATTGAGAGTCCTAAGAGCAAGCTGACTCCATGCAGGAACAGCAGATGGCCTTCTAGTAAGGATCACTGTGTGCAAGCATTACATTCACTGTGTGGACTTCCGAACAAAAGATGTCCACATAAACCAGGTAGCAGCGACGTTGTGTGGACTTGCCCACGTCCACACAAGGTTTTCCCCTCTCTGGAAAACAGGTTCATAGGCATTTTTGGGTAAGGTTTATTTGTGGCAAAATGAAGAGAAACACTAAAGGGAATCATAGAAAAAAAATTGGGTCGAAAGAGTTTTCACAGTGAGAGTGAAATGATTTTTTTCACTGGTTTTTCTAATCTACTCAAAAAATAAGGAATGTCCACACTAGGTATGTAAAACAAACGTGTGTGTGTGTGTGTGCACCCATTCTGGAATTTGTATTCCTGTGGAGACATTTCTTTGTTCTCGTGTAGTAAAGTTTTCGAGTGTGAAATTGAAGTTTCAAAATGCTCTTATTTTAACCAGAATTAATTTCCTGGGCTGAAATTTGGACTAAATATCCCTTTTCTAAAACTCTTCCATTTGCGACAGATCAATCTACCTTGGAAATTCCTAGTTTTTGAGTAAAATCCATATATCTATTTCGTGAAATTCTTGTGGAGACGTATTCATCTATAGAAATGTTCTTCTGGAGACGTATACAATCTTTTGTTCCCTATTGTGTTCATGTCTCCGTAAGGTAGTAAATTCCAGCACTGGAGTGTTCACGCATGCACACACATTGGAATAAAGTATACAGCTAATGTTCATGTTCACTAAACTCATAGCGTCATTGCCTGGATGCGTGGAACTTGGTGACAATTGTTTGTATGGTGTCTTGTTGTATCTCTGTCTTTGTCACTGTGAGTCCATTTGAACACACCTCTTGCTCATTCCTTGTCGTGGGTGGCAGAAGCACGGTCACATGGTATCACTAATATAGGAAAGGACTGAAAATTGCACTGGGCATGAACTTGACGCATGAACAGTGTGACACATGCAATTTCTTGAGTATAGTGCCTGGTCATAGGCACCATACTCAAACATATTGTGACTGGTTACAGTGCCCTGAGGAGGTTACCAAGGCTGATCCTCAATTGAAAAATTGCGGCTTCAGTGTTTGTGGTGTATCATCAGACATGTATTGTATCATTTGGTCATGAGTGTAAGCCACTGCCCCCTCAGACCTGTGAGTGACCATGAGCCATTTTCCTTGGCTACATTGATGTGCACCTGATTGGCAATCAATATGTGTAGACAATGGTCAAATGACAAATGCTGTATCTCGCTCTGTCACCATGTTAGGAGTACTTTGGCACCATTTTCTTTTTCTTTTTAACACTTTGTATTGTTTGCAGAGTATTTCTTTCTGTTGGAGTAAAAGTTAACACTTTGCACATATGATGCAATTTTTAAGAAATCCTTTGTAAGTCCATCATAGCTACAATTATAGCCCTGTGAATCATGCAAGTCCCATGATGGATTTGACCTATAATGAGTTTGTGAAATTGACCCCTAGTCAAATATTTCTTGATCTCCTGATCAGGTGTGAGGACCGAGAGACCACCAGTCTGGACTCGGAGGGCAACGCCTCCCCGGCAGCCATATTTGAGGCGGCCTACCTACTTCAGCAATGCTCCTCCTGGCGTGAGACCAGGGAGACCCTCATTGACATCTGCCAGCGCAAGCCCGAGGTGGCCAGTTGCCGGCCGGTGGTCCAGGAACTAATGGACAAGCTGCGCGGCTCGCCCGAGGTGCTGGGGGAGAAATTTGGCAACTTTGTGGCTGTCTTCAAGAGGTATCTTGCCGAGAATGGTAAGTCGAATTTCAGATGCCCAATTCACATTCATGCCTTTGCGCCAAGTATAAGCTGCTATGGGCTCAGTGCACCAAGTGCCTTGGGGGGATTCCACTTGGAGCGGACATTCTAAGGCATTGCCGTCGACACCTGATGCTCTCGCAAAGACACTATGGCTTTGTGTACATTCAAAATAAAATTAATTCTGCGTACTTAGCTCGATATGCGTGCAAACCAGTTTGCGGATGCTGTGTGTTCCGTGCACAGTAGAAGCGCGCTCTCTTGTTCAAGCATGGAACTCATAAGTAATATAACTTTGACACTTATGGAGATACCGTTATTCTTCAATAATATTATCATCGGGGCAATCGGGGCAGCATAAAGTTTTATCAGGGTGGCCCAGGCTTCTAAAACTCCTGTTAGAGACCACAACACTTTCATGGTGAGGTCATGGGAAATGTGACTATAAGTTACGGTCGCTCATTGAATTAGGTTATTAAAGATTGACCTGCAGTCTTCGAGCCTTAAACCTCAAATATTTAAAAAAGATTGCCTTCAACTTTTCAATGTTGCAGCCAGTGACCCTGCGACGGATAGCCTGAAGCAAGCCCTATCACGCCTGGGGGTCAGTAGTGCCATGCTATGCTGTAACAATAGCCAATGGCACCAGGCTCGATACATCCTAGACTGCCTGTACAATCAAAGCTTCCCTTGCCCAGTGGAACTTGCTCAGAACGTGCTCCTAATACAACAACTTCTATCCAAGCATCAACCTCCAACCTTACAGGAAGGCAGCATGACCCCTTGTGCTAAAGGTGTATGAGGTGTTTATTTTTGTGCCTTTTTTATTCAGGCAAACCAAATGGCAGTTTATGCCAAAATGCAGTTAATGAAAAGGGGTAACGAAGAGTGGCATATCAAGTGGTAGTAATACACATGGGAGGAGAACTGCAAGTTATGTCAATTTATGCAAACTTTGTGCAAATTAATGAAAGGTTTATATGGTGACATTATGGCCAAGTTCCATAATACAATAATCACCCATGCATTGACTGGTCAGAATGCAGAATTTTGGTGCATTTTTTTGTAAACCACTCTGGTTTATTGCTCTACCTTGCAGTATGTTTGCTCCATGCTGCCCTTTGCCCACAGTCCATCCAAAAATGGACTGTGTCAGATTTGGCCGTAAGCGCCTCTCACATTTGGTTTGTGTATCTTCCCACAGTGCTTAGGACAGAGTTGACCAAGCTACAATTTGCTGAGTAGCATCCAATTTCACGAAACAGTACGTAACTTATGCTGTGTGTAGGAGTTACGCAACAAATTGGTTGCGCAGTTATCTTGGAATTGATTTCACAAAACTTGGCGTTGCTGTGCAACATTTTATCTTGGAGGAGGATAATCACAGCATTTTTGACAGCTGTTTATTCACAGCTTTTCTTCAGAAGTTTTTATTTTATGATTCAGAAGACATCTGCCCGCCATTTTGCATGGCATTATTTGGAATCATGCGGCAACTCTAAATATTCTAACAAGGGTGAAATGGCGATTCATTTACCTAAAACCCAAAGCTATGAGTGTCTTGTATCAATCTTGATAAGTTATGCAATGACAGTCTCCACGACGATCACAATAGTGTATTTTCAGTGGCTACGCCTTATAACTTACATCACCAAAAATGATTGCCGAAGTTACACCATAATTTGTTGCACAAGTCGCGTACTTATGCACTATGAAACGTTTGTGAAATCGGCTGCTGTTTATGCAAACAAATTTAGCTAATATTAAACCAATCAGTTACGTGGCGTGGGGCTGGTAATTAACCTATTCTGACTTGATTATTTGTACCATGCTTGAGAAATTCTGTCTGTTTGTAGTTTAGCAGCTCTATGGAAATGGACCCCTGATTGAATGTAAATACTAAAAAATAAGTAATGATAAAATCTAATTGCGTTATTTGTCAACGACAAGAAGAAAGTCAGTTTGAATGTTATTATCGTTGTTGTCATGGTTCTTTCGTAGTGGAAATTTGTTTATGAAGGTTTTGTTAACTCGTGGAGGAAAAAAACGTACAAAGTGTATTTCCATGGAAAGAAAGGACGTGGAATTTTTGTTTCAAGTGTTTCCTTGTTGGATATTTCTTTTTGGGGGGGGTGGCTCTAGATCTAGTTACACTAGGAGTTGTAACTAGATCTTTTCTTGAAATATATAGAATAAATTCATCATTTTGGGTCGTTAGAAAAAAAGTGTGGGTTTTTTTTTTTTTTGGTGTTGGCTGTTAAGATTGAAGTTTTTGAACAAAAAATATTACGGTGTATGAACAAAATGCATACTTTTTGTATCCTTTTGCTATGTTGGGATATATGTTTCTGTGGTTTTAATTTTGTGTTCTTTTTATTTTTCTTTCAATCTTAAAAGATCAAAGACGTCCACTTGCTTTTTTAAAACTGTTCATATTTCAGATTTTTTATCGTTCGTAAAATTGTCTCGCAGTTTTCCTCAGAAGTTTGTATTTATGAGTTTGTTTTCATTTTTCTTGCCAGGGTTACTACAAATAAGTTGTTTTTCAGCGATTTAAAGGGATAATACATTTATACATTGTTTATTATCCAAAACTTGCCGGACAGAACTGAACAGAAAACTTAATCACTTTAATGACGGTGATGTACACTGAACACCTTCAGATTTAGACTGACTGTAGACTGGTAAGGAGAGCTGGGCAGTTCTATCGTATAGGATCACCCCTCAATGCCAATGAATGGGCAAAACCTGGTACATTGTGTAGACCAGATGCATGAAAAGACTCCAATGAATAGCCATTCAGAATCAATGGAATGGAATTCTGTGCACTCTGGGACCAGCTTTACTAGGATTGCCTTGTCTTGTCTTCCCCCAAAAAATCTGTTAAAAATCTCTCGACACGTTAAAAGGGTGAACTTACACATTCATCGTCATTTCAGGAAAGTGGATTGTAATCTTTGATTTAGGAAATGAGAATCATTCTAGTATAGTGACCTAGAAATTTCCGAGAACATGTTTTCAATTTTTGTTCAAGATTTCTCCAAGAAGTTGAACATTCATAGTAAATTCGCCATAATTCTCTTGGACACATTTTTTATCAAATTTTTTTCATCAAAGTAACCCAAACCGTTATTGTATGAGCGATTATTGTATGAGCCCCTTGAATTGAAGCCTTTCTAGTTTCCTTCTTTAATAAGTTGTTTAATAAGTTATGTTTATGATATATTCCTTTTATACGTATATATTTTATATATTTAACAATATCCAAAACTATATTTATATTTCATATAATTTTTATTCAGTTTCAGACATTTTATTTATATCCTTTTTAAAAATTTCTTTAGTAGTTAGGTCAGAAAAAGTAGAGCTTTATTTTTGAAGATCTTTATTTGCCGAATGTTCGCAATTTTATGCGAGTGATTTTAGAATTTTTGTTTGGAAATGTTACCTCATCAAAATGATCAGTACCATCTCACTCAAGAAATGGGGAAAATACCTACAATGACGACAGATTAGGTTAAATTTGAGAGAAAAAAATATAAAAATGGGCAAAACTGTACAGAAACCTTAAGTTTCACATCTGTTATAGAACCTTATTAAGAATAAGCTTTTATCGTTTTGTAGAAATACATGCACAGGCAAAAGTCTTCATTATAAAAAAATCTTTTATTTCTTTCTGCCATTTCACAATAACACTGAAACCACTAAACAGCAACATTTCCACTCGTGACAATATTTTGATATTTCTTTAATGTACTAAGGTCCTCTGGATAAAACAAAATAGGATCCTATGTTTTGTTGGTGCAGAATTTTTTTTTTAAGATACAAGTATTTTGTTCCCAGAAGTTGTTTGAAAAATATTCTGCTGGCTACAGTGGAAAAGCCGATCAGTTTGTGCTCTGAAATTTCAAAACAAGATCAAACATGGGTACTCCTTTTTGCTACTCTAACGTCCAAATGATTTCTTTCAAATTTACCATTGTTTAATTCAAACAGAATGAAAACTTTGAGATTTTTTGTTTTTTTGAATATCGGTTAGAAAAGAAAAACATTGCTAGAGTTAACAATACACTTCTGTCATTTTTTTTTTCAAACAGATATACGAGTCCAATTTGCATTCCACGTTTTGGTTGGAAAATAATTATAAGTACATATTTTAAATTTTGAAGTTCGTGTAAGTGAATTTGTTAGGGCAACAAACATAATGAAACTACAGTTGATGTCACATAATAAGCTTTGCTTGTACATTATGATACAACTCTAATAAGCATTTTGGAGATGTGAACACAATATGAGGGCGTTGCCCTCCTATTGTGTTACAGACCTTTCTTGTGAGGGTTTTATATTTCATTATATCATTGCATGCCTGAACTATGTATCATGTAAAATACGTTCTGATCAATACAGCAATAAAGTTTTGTACGTTGAAAGATTTACTTCAGAGGTTTCTTTTTTGTTTTGTTCAAACACATTTTTTTTTTAACAAAAAGATATTCAAACTCTTGGAGTCACGTAAATAATTCATTATATCAACATAACGTTTGGAGGAAAATTGTCTTGGAACAGAATTTTTTGTCTGCAAACTAATTATCTAAGAACTCAAGATGGTCGTACCAAACATCCTGAGTTGTTTTTCTTTTTTATGTACAAACAAATCAAAACATTGACAAAATGTTCGTAAAAAAAAACAACCTGCCAAGATTCAATTACACTTTTTACAGTCCGACGTTCCAGAGTCATGCTGAACACACAGGAGAACTTTATGTATCAATGTTCCAAAATACGGGCAAAAGCAGAGGGCTACTTAACAAATACTCAAGACAACGTCCTCATTTGTACAATTTGTGCAAGTGTTGTAAGGTTTCACAAGTGAATATAATTTCATGACACAATTTGCACATTTCCTGTGAGTGCTTGCGGACTATTACATTAATAATGCCATGTGAAGACAACATGCAAGAACCACATACACATTCCGCACTCTGTAAACACAACCGACAATTATTGGGGAAAGCACTGTTGCCAAGGAGAGTCCATCTAAGTTAACTGGAATTCTAGATTAAACTTTCCGTCAATGTGCCTCTGGTTCCGCCGGCTGGGTTTTGCCAAATCGCAGTCGTAGGGATCTTGAGACGTAATTCCAGTACTGGCATCTGATTGGGTCAAACTGCTCCGCCAACATTTTACACAACTGAAAAAGTTGAGAAAAAAAGGAAAAACTGCTTCAATTTATGCTTAAGCTGATAATACGAAAGTCACTGGTTTTTGTAATCCTTGGGATGTCCTCAATAGGAAAAAGATACTAGTAGTAACATTTGTAATTGTTTGAACATTTTTCAATGTCCTTAGTTTGGGTAAAAGGGGGAAATGAGATTGAAGTGGGATTTAAAGAGATTACATGGAAGAAATATGTCAAGTCAATTTTCAGTAAAAATCTGAGAACTAAAATTAAACTAGTAAAGTTTTGTTTTTATTAAGTGGATTCTGTTTCTGGAATATGGGGTGTTTTTTTAAAAGCATTGAAAAAAAATGAGAAAAATTTGACACTTTCATTTGACTGGAACACGATTTGACATGCAAACTAGTCTTCTACTGACTTGATTATTCTGCCTTATGTTTTCTGTCTCCAAATTAGTCAATTTTTTCTGGGTCAAAGAGTGACAAGAACAGGCTGGCCTATACAGATCCAAGACAACAATATTAGGAGAATGGTGACAAAAATAGTTTGTTGAGCAGCTCCTATACAGTATTCTGGTGGAAGCAAACAAGTTCAAAAACTACTTCAGCAATTAGTTTTTTTTACAATTTGTTTTTTTTTACCTCAGTGGCCCTATGTAGGACTTTTTCCTCAGCGTTTCCACTCTCTAGTAACTCTTCTTGCATCTCAATGATGAAACCCAGCAGGTACGGTGAGCGGATGTCGTTATCAAACATTCCCTGGCAATAGTCAGCCAAGCCGGGGAAGTCGTTCATGCTGGTGTCTGCAAGCACCCTGAGGATAGTGAGTCCAGGTACAAGACATGTCAATGTTGATTGAAATAATTACTCAAGCCAATATGGCCCAACAGGCCAGCATTTATCTCTGTTTTCTTTGGCAGGACACAACTGAGAATATTTCTACTCCCCCTGGATGGAATGTCAGTCGATCGTAGGTTACTCCCCAGCTAATGCCAGTACATATTTACCACTGGGTGGAGAGATGCAAGTGGGGATGAAGTGGTTTGCCCAAGGACACAACATATGACCAGCAGCTGGATTGGAACCCATGACAACTCTCATCAGGAGTCACGAACCCTAACCACTAGGCCACATTTTCGACTAAATTCAATGTAACACAGTGTAACACTCTTCTACTTGCCCTCTGAGGTAATTCCAGGCGCTCTCGTTGTTGGGTGCTTTGCTGATCATGTCCTGAGTGTACCTGTCATTCAAATAACAATTACAACTTGTCAGCAACTCCTGATTTGAAAGCAAACCAATCAAAATCTAGTGCCATTTTGTAATACATTAACAAGTGAATTTTCACTAACGCTGACAAGTCATTCTACTGTGGAATTTTTACTTACTTGACTTCTCTTGCCAAGATTTCTTCCGTAAAGCCCCCCGTGTTACTGATGATGAAGAATCTCTGATTCCATGCTGAGTTGTTCCTCAGGTCCTCCTCCAAGAGACGGTCCACAAACCCCAGCTCTTCCCCCCAGAGCTCGTAGGTGCTGAGAACCCACTGGCGATGGGACCAAGCATGGTAGTTCTTAGCATCTATGCGTAGGATGCTGGCAGTGAAGGCAAGTTCCTCGGAAGGGTCTTTGAGCCATTCAACTAACACTCGCCTGTGGTGCCTTGAATGGAAAAAAAAAACACAAAAAAATAGAGGTACAGCAGTGCCGTCTATATAAGCTGCCAGAAAAATTCACAAGCTTACTTGGGTGGGACTCGAACCCATGACCTACTGCTTACCAGTGCATATGTCTTACCACTCAAAGACTGTGACAAATTTTGGAGGATTGAGGAAGGTTCATCAGAAAAGAGAATTAAGGTTTTACTGCTTTGTGATTAAGTGCACTGCACGTAGTACATTTTGCAATTAACAGTGGATCTGTCTTCCATCAGCAGAAGGGGGAGGGGCATGGGAATGGAGGGGGGGGGGGGCATGGTGGGGGTAATTCTCACCAGACTTGGTAGTTCTTTGGATGTTCTTCAATGACCTGCTTGACGTATCCCATCTCCTCTCGAAGGTCCTTCTTAAGAGACTGCAGTAGAACACGGCGGTAGTGCCTGTTGAGAAAAAGCACAACTTTATTAAATTATGAAGCCTGGTGGAAGCATACAAGTTTGTGCCCGAACCTATGAATAAAGATGTTTTCTTCAAAAATGTACAAGTGCATTTTCATGATAGGCCTTTCATTTTTCGGAAAAAAATCCATACTCGGACGTCACTTTTTTCAATTAATTTTCTAGCACCAAAAGTTACATCTTTTATGGTTATTCCTACATTTTCCCTCCTCTACTCTCACCTTCTCCTTTCCTTAATTTCTATTTATTAATCAGTCAGTTACTTCATCGGGATTCGAACCTCTGACGCTTGCTTGATACACGAGACTCTTAACCGCTAGGCCGCGCACGATCGCTGTTGCAATAATCAATCTTTGGACGTATTTGAAGTATCCATTGAAATAAACTAAATATTCATGAGAAAATAAATATTCATAATGACGTATTGCACTATCATTGGCAGGCTCATGCGACGTCATGGTTGTTGATGTCACGTGTATAACGTACCGCTGTCTTTTCAGCCACTACAATCAGTTTTGACCGGCTGCCTCAAGTTAGTTCTGCACGACGTATGCATCCAAAATGTGCACTAAAAACACATTTTGAGTAAATTTTTTTCGCCTTTACACAGCTTCCTGGATTTCTCTTGGTTCAAACAACAAGGTGAGGTGACAATTAATATGTTTGGCAGCAGATAAATTGACATCCGAGTATGGAACTTTTCCCCATTTTTCTCTAACTCCTCATCATACTCACCACACAGAATAATTGGCTGGGTTCAGATCTGCAGCATCTTTCGTCAGTGCCAGGGCCCTCTCACTGCGCTCATCGCTCTTGATGACAGCCCGAAAATAATCATAGACATCTTGGACTGAAATAAATGTGAAATGAAAACAATAAAATGTGAAAAAAAGTGAACATCATTTACGATGTTCAACACAAAAGGGCATCTTCCCCCCCCCCCCCCCCCCAACTTCCAGGTGGGTAGTACTCATGTTACTTACCTTGAGGGGGATCATGTTAGAGCTGAAGGGGGGGGGCATCCCCTTCTGATCTAAGAAATGCAATAGGTATTCAGAGGCAGCTTCGCTGGGCCGTTGCATAAAACAACCGGTTAACTGACCATCTTTTAACTTTTTGTATGAGTCATACAAAAAGTCATACTATGACTATGTCCGGAAATTGGGCAGTGTGTCAGACAGTAATTTTACCATTTGATCCAGGTACTTACACTTGTCGGAATAGGCTATTTGCACGACTGGATTTGGTCCGTCATCTTGCAGCAAGGGTTCTACATCTTTCCACTCTGGTCTGTCACGATACAGCACAAACGGTGTGTCGCTTTCCGCATCGGAACTGTAGGAATCCACCTCCGCGGCTGCCATGTTGCAGATGACAAAAAGTTACCGTGAAAATGACATAGCGCCCTCTGTTTATTAAATTATACACTCTAAGGGGGCGTGGCTGTGTGATCCTCCTCCGTCTATCTAGTCTTCTGCCTCGTATCTTTCGGACCGCCGAATTTCTTCTTCCGTTGTCGACATGATCAATGAAAATCCGAATCCAACTAAAACGCTGTCTTGAAAACCACGTAACTCCAACTTTATTCAATTTTGTTTTAATCCATCAGTTAAATACATTTTGGGGGTGGGGGGGGCCGAAACAATTTAGGTTTCCAAAAAGTTGGTCGAAACAGTTGCGGCGTGAGGTTCGGGCCCGCTCAAGGGCCTCGACAAAAATGTTGGATTCTAGATGCTCTGTGGTGCGATCTGAGGCAATTTCTGACCACTTTAACCAATTTGTTTTGAGAAAAATATGGTCGTGTACGCAGTGCCTGCCTTTATTGCGACGTCAATAAAAAAAAAATAGTTTTTTTTAGGGGGTACCATGGCCCCCGTTGCCCCCCCCCCCGATCCGCCCCGCCCTTGCTCTGCTGCTGAGCAGTCAGACTTGAGCTTTTCACGTGTTTCAATATTTTTACCAAAATGTTTTTTTAATTTTCAGGGTTTTCGTCAGGGCCCCAGCGAGGGAACTGCATTCATTATTCGCTAGCTAAATTATTGTTTGAGTTTGCACCAACTTGTGCTTTTATTTTGTTATTGTTTTTTTTAAATACCCAACCCACGTACGTCTGCCACTCAGGTGGCTTATGGTCGGATTCGTGACCGACTGGTCCAAAGCACCAAACTTGGCAGATAGATTCTAATGGCCCTAGAGAAGATATCTAGTAGGGTTGATACCTCGAATTCTTTTGGGAGGGGAGAATAGGGTGGAAATTCCAGTTAGCCTCATCTTTACCTCACATTGTCCCCTGGTTTTCTTGAGTTATTCTTGAATGAAGTTAATTGTTCTTGTTTTTTTTTTTCTTTTTTTCTTTGGAGTTTTGTATAGCGCTTTGATCTTTGTTAAAAGCGCTTTATAAATGCTCTATTTATTTGTAATTATAAGGGTGCACAAACCTAATTTGCATAAATCGTAAATAGCCGCCGTGTAATTGACTTTTCCCCATATTTCGGGATATTATTTATTTGTTTCTATTTTTTGAAAAGTATATATTTGGGGATTCTACATAACCTTACTTAAAATAACATTTTCAGAAGCATATAAGTGACGAGATAATTATGATGTTATCATTGTGCACATGATTTTCCATATATTTTATGAGGGTAACTGTGCCAGTAAGAAACATTGTGAATTTGAAGCTCATCAATACTGAGGTTTGGCAAGACTTCTTGAATTTAAGGTAAATGATGCAAAGGTAAATGCGCGCGACTCTCGGGTATAATGGTAGTCAGTTTGGATCACTGTCCTTATCATTATCCAGTCACTGGTATGCTTCTGAAAATGATATTTAAGTTAGGATATGTAAGTAGAATACCCCAAATAGCCTAGATCCCCCCCCCAAATAAATATGGGAATGTATATTTCACGACAGTAATTTAATTATATGATTTATGCAAATTAGGAACCCTTTCAACAGAATTTCAGGTGTCACCGCTTCTAAATATCTTCTTTATTGCTATAAGAATATGCCAAGTTTGGTGCTTTGGACAGTCGGTCACGATCTTGTCAAAAATTGGCCACTTGACTACTACGGACGTACCGTACCTGCGAGAAAGCAAAATACATCACTTTAAACAAGGTATGACGAAATCTCATTTGACAAAGGCCATCATTGGCCAATTAATTAATTACGTATAATTTATGCATGACGCCACGCCAAAGCGGAAACAGCAGGGGTCATCGACCAATGTCACACTTTTCATTGGATGTGTTGGATGTCAACATTGCACACGCGACGTACGTGGATAGTACGTACATAGCATGTACAGCGAGCACGTCGAGCTAATTTCTGCATAGATTTTGCCTCAGTCAGTCGAGCCATCGATCGCACAGTACGGCATTTCCCCCTCCTGCCGCGACTTGCGTCTGTCTTTCTCGTGCAGGATAAGCCTTTAATGATGAAGGGATGTTGAGCAGGCTTGCTGCGAATCTTTAAGCTGTGGAGGATTGTGTAGTGCAGCGGTGGTTGCATTTTGTGGTGTTCTGTCAGGAGGTCTAGCTGGCTAGAATTTCGGTGAGTGTGGGGCTGAATATATTTTGTTTACCGGGGTGTTGAAATGACGGGGGAGAGCATGGGGGAGGACACGCGGTCGCACGGTGCGTGGTGCAGGTGCACCTTGCGATGATGCAGTTTGGTAGTGATATCCTATTGTTTACATAGCTCTGCCAAAACGATACAGTGCACTGTACTACATGCAGATATTACATAGCGGAGACCTCAGATTTGCAGGTGTAGAGATAATGTTGATGATGATATCAATGGTTTTTGATGGTGATGTATGACTAGAAAACAATACGAGGATGAGCATGATATGGATTGATGCGTAACCATGACGATGATATGGTGATAGGGGCACATCTGTTTCACACATATCTGAGGCCCATTTTTATTGCTGTGCTTATGAAATACGTGTAGTTGTTGTAGGCAAAGGCTAGAATGGAGTTTTGCCCACATGATCTGCTGCATGACATGCCGTCATTCTGTACTCTAGACTAAGACTCTAAGCAGAGAATGGTAGTCATAAGCACAATATTCTGTGATCAACCAAAGCCATAACATGTTGGCCTGATATTGATTAACAATAATAAAGGTAAGAATATTGCAACCTGAGTTTCTTCATATATCATCTGAATAATGGTCAGTCATTGCAAATATTGTGAAAACACATGTATCTGGGACTGAGAAACATTTCCAATTTTGTTAGGAAATACTTAAAAAAAAAAATCTTGACTCTCCAAAGAGGGTTAGGAGGGGGGGGGGGGCAGATGGGGGCCACGACTATGAAAAATCGTCGACCCCATCTGGAAATTTGGCAACCGTAGAAAAGCACAGCCCTAAAAGTTACCATGATTGAATAGTGGGTTTAATATAAAATTCCCTTATATTTACGTTTTCTGTTTAATTTTGAAATTGAATAGCGTCACCTATTGTCTGACATTGACCATGATGTCAGTTTTGAACAGGGCCCCTTGGAAAGATGGTGTCCAGTTCCCCCCCCCCCCCCATTTCATAGTGTATTGGTTTGATGAGTTAATATCGAATGCCATCCCAACAAGAAATACTCGCTGTTGAAATTGGACACATAAAATTATGCTGGGCGATTTCCAATAGGCATATTCTACTGTCTCGCCTAAGGCTTGAGTAATGTTTAACATTTTAAAGTGTGAAGTGCTTTAATGTTTATTCCACTTCAGAATGTGGCTGAAATTATATTTTCTTCAAATCCTTTAATGAAAAACAACCTTTCAGATTTGGAGTGCTCGAGAACAGAATGTAAACAAAATGCATAAATGCAGCACAACTCTGCAATGTTGAAGTAATGAGTTTTCATTAATGATTAATATGTGGGGGAAAAAACGCGGCATTGTTTTAATGCCAGTCACAAGCGATAATATGCCATGATATCTTGATACTGTTTTTTTTTTTATTATTTAAAAGACTGTCGCTCAGTAAGAAAAAAAGTACCAGGTATAATTCCACTTCAGAATAATTTGTCTAATTTTCACAGTAGCATGGAATTTTTCCCACCGGGCTTTCATTTGACCAATCATTTATAAGTTTGAAGTACATTGTAATCTTCTTGAATTCAGGACTTTAATTTGCATTTTTGTGATTGCAATAAATTATTTTGCAACTCACATTGTTTAATGGTTGATTTGTTTGTAAACTGGATTTTGTTTTGTGTGAAAATTTGCCCCAAAGCAGACCGTTCATGAAAGGTAGCAAAGAATATTGTACAATTGTGCAGTTTATTCAAGTACTTTTGCCTTGTAATTATTACAAGGTGTTTAATAATTAACATTTGTAAATGTTTTAACTAACACAAGATGGAAAACAAAAACCAATGAAGCATCTAAGAAACAAAACAAAACAAAACAGACTTTAACTATTTAACTTTCAGTGGTAGATTCAGTCTTTTGAGTGTTCAGTCTTTTGAGTGGGGAAGATATTATGCACTTGAGTGCTGAAGACAATCTCTATTTTCTATTGAAAAGATTGATCATTTTTATCATGTATCCGTTTCTATCCTCGTTCGTTACCAGATCTCCCTGTTTGCCTCAGAGGCCCCAGCTAGGTCCCTGGACATTCTGGCACGGTAATTATTTCCTTGTACCGGATCAGGGACTCGTGGGAACTGAGACATTTCTGATTTAAGAAGTGCGTCGGCACGTACGTCTTTGATTTCCCAAGATGGCGGGCATGGCAGCCAAGATGATTTTGGGGAACAAGTTAGATAGCGTCAAAGGTAAAAAAAAATACAAAGAATTGTCTTGCATTTGATGTGAATATTTGATGAGTAATCCTTGGTTCTTGTGGTGTGTTCTCCTCATGCTGCGTAGCGAGAGGCAACACCCTTACTCCACCGATTGCTGCTAAGCCCTCTGGCTTTCAGGTTTTGTAGAATCAGTTTTACGATTTCCTGGCCAAAATGGCAGCGTTAATTGGTGAGTTACAGGCAGCTCTTGCACGGACTTGCTTGCCAACAGAGATCTCAACTCATTCAACAATATTTACACTAACATTGTCACAAGTTTTGAAAAAAAATTATGCAATAAATGTGTTTGTGTTAACTAACAAATTCTATACATGTAGTTTTAGCCATGTATCTTCAACATCACCCTAATGCTGTGTTAAAAAAACATATGTTTAAAGAATCATTCAAGAAAGATTGTTCAAGCCAAATGCAAAAGAATTTTTAAAAGATGAATCTAATTATAAAAATCAATTGAGTTTCACGTACAGTATCATTTGGGATTTGTAAGTCAGAAGTGAGTGCCCTGACAATACCACATAACAGCCCAATGGCTACGCTGCCTGAGGAGATAAACACACACATGTCAGAATCAAGGATTGCATAAGTCAATTTTTCAATTTGTCATTTTCTTTTAAGTGGTTCAGTGTCACCTTTGTTGTGATTGGTTGAGATCTCTACAATTGATCCTTAATTTGCATAATTGCTATATGCTTTCAGTTAACCAATCATCTCAGTACTTCTAGTGGCATGCTTGTTTTCTGTATCTGTTTTCAAGATTTTCAACAATCCAGTATAACTCTATAATTTAAGACTTAAAAAAAAATGCATAAATATTCCTATAAATACTAATCTTATACATACATACCTAACACATAATAACAGCCAATTTCATGGAGTTCCTAAGCAAAAAAAAGTTGCTTAGTAAATTTACACCTATGTGCTAGGAAAAGATTAGCTGAGATCTAATTAAGTAATAATTGTAATACATTGTAGCACTTTACATCCTATAAACAATCTCATTCGGTCTCTACCCTCACAAGTACCCATTCATACTCCTGGGTGGAGAGAGGCAGTTGTAGTTAAGTGTCTTGCCCACGGGCACAAACACCATGTTCCTGAAGGGTTCGAACCCACGCACCATCGTACACGAGTCCAACACTGTAACCACTGGACCATGGCATTCTGTTCAGGTCCACAAGAATACAATAATTTTTGTGATCAATTCATAAGTTCCTTCTAAATGACAGTTTCAAACTTTCGATTCATTTTTAAGTGGCTGATTTAGTGTTGCATTAGTTGGTTCAAAACATTGGTGTTACAGGTACATGATTGTCCAAATGTACGTATACATGTACAAGTTCATCTTTATGGTTAGCCCACTTACTTACGAAAAAAAGCCTGGTGCTTTTGTGTCTTCTAAAATGAAGCCCTGAAATTGTGGTTTTCAATGACAAGCTAAAGAAGTTACCAAATAACTGACAATGATTGATTTATCATATAACTGAATAATTGTAGCTGCAACAACCAAGTTAGTATTGCATGACTTTTTGGCTAAAAGGTTCTTTTTGCCAAGGAAACATTTTCTGTATTCAGCAGGATCTGTGCTTAGTAGCGCAATGTAATTAAAATTTTGCCTTTAAAATAAAAAAATAATTGATATAGCAGCTGAAATCTGTGTTCAAATAACGTCCTCAGCTTGGCTTCTCTTAGCAGACTTGATTATTTCCTAAGCAGCATTTTATCACTAAGCATTCCTTTAATTTGGGGCTAAGCTCTGTATGCTAAAAATGCATTCTAAGACCTTATACTTTCTTTGTGGCCATATGGGGTTCCTATTGCCTTCTCCAAGGTTTTGATGAAAATACCGGTACCCTTCTAAGTGTTGCCAGGTTAAAAATAGATTCATTAATTAGATACACGCTGAACATAGTGAGTGCTCACAATACATACGTGTATGTCCAACCATTGCAGGAATGTTGTCTGCTTACAAACATAAATTCTGGGGAACCATTTCAAAATAATATTAAAAAAAACCCACTGGTCTCAGAACTCAAGATAATCTTTTCCTTCCTTTTTCCCCTTAGATTTTAAAAAGTAAAAAAAAATATCTTTTTTAAATCGATTAGATAAAAAACAGAAAAGGAATACCGATTCTGGCCAGCTACTGAGACATAATACAGGGAAATTCTGTGCCATATATCTGTCATTTAGTCGGCATTTCATTTGAAATCCACCCACTGACATTTGCAACTGGAGCAGGGCAAGTCAGCTCTTGACATTTCCAATATTAAATTTCTTTTCAGTGCAAACTGGAAGTTCAGTCAGCCAGTTCGTTCACTTGGACTTGAACGATTTCTTCAAAAAACGTTTCACATACGTATTTAAAAGTAGTTTCTTAAACTAATATTTCTTTTGTTTGTAAAATCTGTGTATGCATTTCAAAGTCTTTACAGAATATATGAATTAAAAAATAAAAAAACAAAGAAGTACTTTTTTCTGCATCAATGCTTTTAAATTTCTGGATAACATTGCACATACGTATAAAAATGTGCATCTTATAATCTCAAACTTTTTTGCATTAATAATGTAAAATCACATCCTATAATTGTTTCTTACACGTTCGGTGCATGTACATGTATACTGACTTTTTAGCAAACTGTACTGGACATTCTACTGTTCCCTTTTTAGTTGGCTCTGCCATTCAAGAGAGTCTTTTTGTTTGATATAGGTCTCATTGATCGATGGATACATAATGCAATGTGTAGAAGATTACTGTGATACATGTATGTAACTTATACTTTCATAGTGCTTGTATTATGCCACTTTGCATTGAAAGACTGAAGTCTTTCAAAAAGCCAGTCAATAATTGTTCATGGCAATAGCTTCATTATAAAGTGGAAGTTTTTAATGATGTGTAACCTTGGATTATAAATTGCAATATGTAGATGTACCGGTAGATGTACATGTCTTTTTTTAAATCTTGTAACCATGCTGGTACAGTATTCTGGAAGTCCTTACTTCAGATCCCACTGTATTCAATTTTTAAACTGGAGTGCTTCTGCATACAAAAGCTTGTAAAAAAATATATATATCTGTCCCGGTATTTAGGGAGAAAAATATAACTTCCTTGTCCTTTATGCTGAGGAATTAAGGACAAGTACTATTATGTTGAATTGCTTACAAGAAAAGAGGGAAAAAAAACCAGTGACAAGAAAAAAACAAGGAAATCTACAGCTACATGTATCCCTTGCTAGTTGAACAAAGCATTGAGCTTCAGGAAATTTTGCAAGTAGAAACCTCTTGAGGAGTTCGTTCTGAAAGAGCCTGGAATTAGGCATTCAACATTCCCCAGATATTGGCATTTTTGGCTAATTACTTTGTAACCCTGGGGCGCTCTGCATTTCTGTAGTAGGAGAAAATTGAATGAAGAATGTATTATTTGAAGTGTATCCGTGTTTCTTTTTTTTTTTTTAAGTGTTTGTATTTTGTGTTTTTTTTACATCAATTACCAAATTCATTTATCCAATCTTGTGAGAGTCGGCAAAAATACAATTACAGTTTGGCTGCTTGCATAGATTTAAAAGTGGTTGTCAATATATCTTCTCTCTTTTTTTTTTTTGGTGGAAAATATCTGTAACCCTGCATTGAAGTATCTATTTGAACACTCTTTATTCATTCCAACAGCTGCAAAAAAAAAAAATGATATTGATTCCATTTATATCTGAAGAATTATCCTCAGGTGTACCAAGTCACCTAGGAAAAAAGTTCTAAGAAAAGCAGCGAATTCAATCTGGTAATTCAAGACAGGGGAGCCTCATGGCAGGTCTTTTGTGCTGTGCAAGGCCCTGTTGTCCACCCGACATTATGCAGTTTATGGGTGTCTTTGTGGAGAGTCAATCCTGTACTGAAATCTAGCTGCCGCCTATACCCTAGGCGAGGCGTGTCGCATGAGACCCCGATTGCATCGTTTTCTATCTGCCAAGGCAGCGTCGCGATACTGATCCTCTAGCAGGCATTATTGTGGGATAAAGATGATTCGATCCGCCTCTTGCTGCTTACATAAATCGCAAACAGAATCGTTGCTAGATTCTGTTGTACAGTTGCCTGCTCCGAAGCAATAAGGCATGTACATACATGTACATGTTGATTAACCTGTGAGTGTTTCCAACTTTGCATAATTGCTGTCCTCTCCCCACGTTCTAATGAGCTCTTTGTTTTATGAAATAGTGACATATGCTGAGGCCGTCCTAGACCACTAATTAAGATATTATTGTTTATTTTTTGTGTATTTTTTAGCGCACTATATGACAACGAAACAGGCCTTATAAATTTTCCAATATTGTGCATTTTTGTTTTTGTTGTTTTTAAGACATGCCCATACTGTATAACTCCTTGAGAATTTATTCTATAACTCATCCTTGTAGGCAGATTTTTGTTTTTCGTTCAAACTTTCTTAGCAAAATAGCAATTTAAAAAAAAAATGTTTTGTTTGTGGTGAAAATTGGAGAGTATACATCTTTAACATCATTATTGGAAATGTTGAAAATTTGTCCATTCTAATATCTGACTTGGAGACAAATTTTGCTTTTTAAATTTTGATTTGGCGCTCGAAAAAATTGGATGGAATACAAAAAAAACCTCTTCAGCTATTTTGGATGAGTCACTTAAAATGTACATGACATTTGTCTGTGTATCTTGTCTGATTATCATATAGAGTACCTGTGACAGGCAAGGGAATACTATCTACAGGAATTCTTCCTGTTTTTCTTACAGTTGATGTTGTTTTCAAAAGTGCATATTTTAGAGCACAGTCCTTGAATTGCCATTGGTAAAAACAAGGGTTATGGTTGTTGACGCACAAAAATAACCCTGTCAGGCTATTTATACTTAAATAGCTACTTTTAAAATTGTTCTATTCCCTTATATATGGAAACAAGCCCAGCTGTATAAATACATCGTAAAATGTCTAAGCATTTAATAAAAAATAATATTGTATAAAATTTAAATGCCTTGTCTGCTGCATGCCATGAGTTTTTCCCTTTCCATTTGTGGAACAGTTCTTCTTAAAATACATTGGCAATTTACTTAATATCCACATTCTATTAATGCAGGGTCCAAAATGTGACATTTGTCTGTCCCCGTTCCCTTGTTGTTTTTGCCACTCAAGCAACATTAATAATGACTTCTAACGTAGGGTAGGTAGTTTGCTATTCATAATCAATTTCTGATCACGACTGCATGAGTGCATGAGATATTTTTTCAACATCCTAAAATGTTGGCCTAACAGGGACAGAAAAAAGTGGACCCCAAATTCAGGATGACCCACTTTGACGGATTCTTATACTTCTACTGGAGTTCACGATATTCATTTTTATTGAATTAATTGGTCAAGTCTGTGTATTTTTGGAGAATTTGTCCCCATTTTTTTAGTGGCATCAACAAAGACATTAAAAAGCAGCTGACATGCAGTGTACAATGTAGCTTTTCTATTATTATTTTTTTTGGAGGGGATTCGATTCCAATTTTTTTCCTATAAAGCCAATGTGCAACATTTCCCCAGTTACATGTACATGTACATAAGTGTTCACATAATGTACACTGTGAACATTGTACGTTACAGACTGTTTGCTGAAAGAAGCACATATTTGAAGTAGTCCTAACCATACTCATGTACGGTACACATATCAATATTATAGCCAGGGGGGCTGTGCATGCATGCACACCCATATGCAGCATCACTCCCATCCTGATACTCGTATTGCTAATTACGTTGGCCTGCATGCATGACACATTTGGGGACCGCTCGCATCTCATTTGAATTAATAAGGCAGATGTGTACGTGCCTTCCGTACCTGCTGTCGAAACAAAATATAAGACGATCCTATTGATCTGCCAATGTAATTCTTAGTTGCAATTGACGCATAGTGCTGCTGTGCACAAGGTATTACAAGTGTGTACTCACATAATTTAACATCACCACTGTTTTTAAATTCGTGTTTAATATCTGCTAAATTTAGTAAATTTAATAAATTTTGCAGATTTTCATAAATTGCATAAATTCTGTAAATTGCTTTGTAGCAGAAATCGTGTCTACAATATTGTGTGTGGCAAACAAACCACATCCTCTGCATACACTTGAAGTTGCGGTGAAATAAAGACCAAGAAAATTTAAGGGTTTTAAAGAAATGTTTTACAACATGTAAGTGTATGAATGAATATATTAGTACATTATATGATCAAATATGATGTCGCCATTGAATAGGCCTATATAGACTGCAAACCAATAAACACTTATCACTAATGATCATGTTTACTCATTTCGGATGATTGCCATTTGAATTGATTGTAAAATTGACGATTTCCTGAACCCTCACCATAAACATTAACAATTTAGTAGCTAATGATAACAACAAGAGCAAATTAGTGGACCAGCAATTAGAATATAACAAGCAAATACTCAGCATGCGTTTCAGGGCCCGATTTCATGGTTTGGTGTTTTGTAATTAAAAAGAGTTGGTGTTTTATTGGAAAAATTGGAGGGGGGGGGGGGGGAGAGAGAATCTTGGCCGACTACAGACTTGATAAATTATAAGACATAGTTAGAAAGTGAGCAATGGTTTGCATCGTTTGGGATTATGCAAACTTGTTTTGTGCATATGTTGTTTACAATACAATAACCCTTACCCAATTGTCACAGAGCTTCTTATTAATGAAAAAAAACCTGCTGAACAAACATCGGCCCAGAACCCATGTCAACACCAGTCAGTGTAAGGTACATGGCATGGCATTTTGGCTGTTAACATGTTTTTGTTTTAAGCAAATATTGTCTGTGCTAAACAGATTTCTGTTGGCCTTAAAATTGGCCTTGAAATTGGCCTTTTTGATTTAATCATCTTCTCTCATCTCTTCCTCCTTGCCACCCCAGGAGAGCTTGGCAACCTAGGAGGTAAGGAGGTCACAGAAGAAGAGGCAGAACAAGCTCGGCTGATTGAGGAGCAACGGCAAGAGCAAGAGAATGAACGCAAAGCGCGACATGAGAAGATGGAGGCAGAACGTGAGGTGGAGAGACAGAGAATACGAGAAAAGGTATATATGCCAAGTTATATCTAGTGTATCTAGGGCCAGTTTTCACAGAAAAAAATGGAAACAAAAAGCGCCGTTGCATGGTTAGATAACAATAACATACATGTGGGTGAAAACTGCGCGGCATTACGTAAATTTATGCACGTTATTAAACGGTTTACATGGTGACGTCATGACAATAACCACTTATGCGCTGATTTGGCCAGAATGAGGATTCATTGTGGGGTATTTCAGAAAATTAGCTCAGGTTTCTTAACAGTTTATTATATACAATCAATTCACACGGTAAACTGGCCCATTTTTTAAAAACCGTTTAGGTATTAACTCTTTTGTATCTACCCAAACCAAATGATGCTCTCCTGACGTATCTGCTATGGATTCTGTTTGCAAACAATACATGGTGTTGGTGCTCACTGACCACGTTGGAGAGCCTGGTGCACGTACTGGTTGGTGCGCATGTGGCGCGAAGTGAACAGTTTATTTTGAATGTGCACAGTTTCTTCCCTTGAGAGTCAGGTGCCGCCAGCAATGCGTTTGATGTCTCTCCTTTGCAATCATTTGGGGGCCGGTACTCAGTGTGCATGATTAAAAAAAAAAGGTTAATTAATGATCGTGATTCTTCTCTCCCCTGCAAACAACAAGTATGGCTTGAAGAAAAAAACACTTGAGAAAGAAGAACAACCAGAGCCTGACGACGCCGGCAGGATCTCTCGGAAGAAGAAAACGCCGGCTGAGATGCAAGCTGCAATGGGAGGCGGTGCTGTGGAGGAGGAGGAGGAACAAGGTGTGCTAGCAGGGTTATGTTGTTGCTTTGATTTCCTTTAGAATTATGTAGTAGTCTGGTTCCCAGACCAAAAGACTCTGAATATTCTGACAAATCGTAGGTCAGTTAAGCGCCTGTGTCACATGACCAAAACGAGCACGATCCTGCCCGCTTCCAACAAAAAATTAACAAAGTTTTCCGAACATATCTTTGCTGGCACCCAGATACGTTCGTGATTGCTCAGATTTTTCCAGTTGAAAAATGGTTTACTTTAATAACAACATTTCTGCCATTTCTGCTAATTGTTATCAGTCCTGAAAATATGAGCTCAGTATCTGTATTTAGGCCTCAGTGCACGTAGAGTATGTGTGCTATGAAATGAAAGCAGGACTTGGCTTCTTCACATTCTATTTTGAATGTGACGGTTACCCGACTTACAATCTAATTTGTGTATATGTCAGGGAATCATAAGGTCAAGGAACCAGACTAACATGACTGTAAGCATGTAGTGGATTTTGCAATACAAGAGCTGCATCCAAATTACGTGGCTACGGCTGGCCAGGTGCATCTATGGGAAGCGTCTTCAGCTGATCCCAGGGGTGTGTGTGTAACTCCTAGCCATAGCCAATGAAGTAATTCAGATGCGGCTTACTTACATTGATCTTGTTCGTTGTTAAGAAGGTTTACAAAACCTTGGCTGGGACGTGTTTCCAACATGGCACTGTCCAAGCAGAAATATTTTTTGTTTGCCTTGAACAAATAGATCAATGTAGAGATAGTCTGAGTTTAGTTTTATAGAACTATAATGTGCAGTTTGTTCTTTTTCTAAAGGTTAATAAATTTGTTACTGTCCCAAAATATCCTTTATTAGTCTGGCTGCCCACTTTGCTTAGTGCATGAAGCCTGCATACGTACAGGGTACCACTCGTTGTACCATATAACTTAAATATTAGGCAATTAGTGGCAATTAACTCATATTTTTCTGTAGTTGCAAAAAAACCCAGCTTCGGCAAATATTCAGTGTGGAGTGACGATGTTGTGCATCCTTTCTCTCCATTTGGTATATATATGAATGTTTGGTTCACATTTTACCTTCTTGCATGAAAGTTCTTGAGGGAAGACCCTTTTGTAAAAAACTTGCCATTGTGCTTGCTTTGTTTGTGTGACCATACTTACGTGTATACTTACATACCCATGGTCACTAAAAATGCCAAGAATCGTTCAGTTCCTTCAAAGTTTGTCGTAAAAAATTACAAGATTATTTTCAGAACCACACATACTCACAAAAGAGATTTATTCACATGGCACTAAGGCAAACTTGTCTTTGTAAAAAATTTAAAAACTGATTTTAGGTTTTTATGTGTGCAGGCTCAAAGTGATTGGTGATTCCGTGTTTCACCAACTGTAAAAGTGTTCTAATGTTGTTTATATTGGTCTGTTATACGTGGTGAGAATCAGTACTGGAACTTAAGAACAGAAAACGTTTTAATATTCCCTTAGAAAAAAATCTTTTCATGTTTTATCAACATATTTGAGCATTCGGAAATAATGATAATGTACATCAGAAATGATTGCACATAGCAAGCCATATAGCTACAATTTGAGTATGGATTTGGGAAGGACTTTTGAAATTTTGTAAGTCTTTGGACATACATGTAGGTGATGTACATTTTATGTATTGTCACTCAGATGAGATAAATCTGATAAACAATTGTGAAGAATTTTGCATATCTCTATTCAGTGTTCAGGAAGTACCTCCCTGCATACTGACCAGATTTTTCACGGCAGTCAATAATAATCGGCACAGTGAATTATTAGCAGATAATTATGGCATTTGAATTATTGTGAAATACAGATGGGCCGGCGGATATTTATTCATTGGCGTTGGTTGTTTTATGTACGGTACATGTATGTAGGGACGTCCTCGATATTTACTTTGAGATCAGTGATAAGGACTGGGTTAGAATCTAGACTTAACCCTAACTCCCTAGGCCTTTTTGCTAGGATGTAGCCTCAATTCTGCAAAATGCTCCAATTGGCCTCATGGAAAAATAGCATATAGCCTCAATCCTGCAAATTCCTCTGTTATTTCTTGAATATGGTCCATGGAGGGGTGACCACTGCCTGAATCCTGCAAAATCCTCCGGCTATGACTGTCAATAGGTTGAGGCAGAGGCAGTGACATCTTGGAGCAGTGCGGAGGATGTCAAGTATAATCAAGGACTAAATTTATGCACAGCTGAGCATAAACAACACAAGGTCCGGCCACAAGGTTCGACACAGTGCACACTCCGAAATCAGCAACGCACTTTTGCCATGTAACCTCAATCCTGCAAATTCCTCCAATTTGCAAAAACGATTTTGGAGGATTCAGGGCGGTTAGGGATAATTATAGAGGCATTTATTTCCTTAGAATATTACACAATTTATCCTGCTCAATCTGTTGAAGGCGAAACAGTTTATCCTTCTCCCACAACATCATGCAGTGACCCAATCTGTATTGGGTTTTGTCCCTAAGCGATGACTCTCCTGTGCAGGAGTTTATGAGAAGCAATTGACAAGCTAATTTAGGTGAGAGTCTAACCAGTAACCTCCTGCTTACCAGTGCAGATGTCAGTACCACTTGACCACTTAGTTTTCTGCGGTCGGCTGGCTATATCAAATTGCACAGGGGGTACTACAATCAGTCAATTTTAATGGACGTTTGTGTCGGGGATCTGAATTCACACAAAGTTTAAAAGGATTGACTCAATTTCTAAGAAACTACTGAAGCAGTGGTTTTGACTGCCAGACCTGATCAAGGCCTGTACCCCCTTAAGCAGTAGCTGTACTCAAAGACGAGATACATTATTAATACTCAATCCATTCACCATACAGTCATTGTTCCCAAAGCAAATTCTAAGAAGTATTCACCCGTGTTTCTTCCCACGCACTGCCTTACTATGGAATGCCTTTACACGTACCTGCAGCTTTTCTGTTGATTTTGATCTGTCCCAGTCTATATTTTCTTTTTTTCCTAGATTTCCTTTTCTATCCCTTCTTTGAGTAGCCCTCACCTGTGAAGGGTGACTCTGTAAAAAGAAAAGAAAAACACACAGTAGATTTATTTCCATTGCCCAGATGTGCATGATATTTATCTTGCAAAAAAGATGCAAGTACTCAGCATCATGCTGCAATTGTGATTTCACAATCTTCCTTTTTATTCTCCAAATGTGAGTGTTTCCATTTAAAAAGAATCCCTTTAATACAAATTCAGGCTTACCAAATTTCTGCGTTAAGGCAAAATCACCAGAGAGATATTCCCAAGCAGTACATTGCATGGAATTTGGGTCACCAACCTGTTTTCACAAAGCAAAACAATTCTTTCCTTATATCTCTGAAAGATTTTAATGTCAACCAGCCAGTTAAAAAAGTGCCTGGAATCCCTCAAAGAATCAAGCAAATTTGACCAAATCTCCCTGTAAATAACTTTGTCTGTAAGGCATGTAATTATTTCAGCTCTAGTTCTCGTCATCATGATAATGGAAACTCTGCGATTTGTCCCACAGCAGTTCCTCTCAAGTGACTCTAAATGTAATTGAAGCCTGAAGAAATGTGGGTTGGGAGAACATTATTCCCAAACTACTGCAGTCCGTTGGTTTGTTTGATGCCTTTTATGTGTCTTCTCATTCATATGGTCACTTTGTTTTTACATCTAAATTTAAAAACAGAGCTATACATTCAATTTGCAACCGATAGGCCTATGTACATGTAAAGGGGTGATTATACAAAATGTATACATGTACATTTAAAAAAAAATTGGGATAGTTGTACACACAACAGAATTCCACCAGAGTCTCCAAACACAATCTCGGAATTTGTAAGTGTTTGAAATATATTTCTAGCAATGTCTAAGATTTTAAAGTTTTGCCTCTCTTTTCTAATGCATAATTATTATCTGAACCACAAACAATGCAAATTTAGCAAAGACAATATGGTACAGGTATGTATTATACATGTTTTTATTCTAGCAGAAGTTAAACACATTACTTTAATTTTGCAAAATCTATAACCGCACGTTACAATTGAGGATGATTCATTCCTGTGCTGTCAGCTCAGATGCCTATTATGCAGGCCTAAACCTTAATGGCTTCCCACTATAAAGATATATAATCCCTTCTTGCATATTTGTCTGCCTCTTAACATTGCAAATTACATTTTCCCACCGTAACTCGGGCGGTGAACGTCATCGATAGATTAGATGATAGACAGTCGATCCTTCATCTTGGGCGTACATAATGTAAATTGTCTTGTGACCTCATACAAACGACTCGATCTGTAATAAGTGGTCTGTCGACCGTGGCATACCGGTACAGGTGTATGATAGAGAGGCCTTACAGCCACATCTCATTATGAGGGGTGGTCGGGGGAAAGCCTTGTTTTCAGCCCCGCACATCTGTTGTATTCTAAACTAGGATTTGTTTCGTAGGATTTTGGACGCCACTGAAAATTCCTTATCTGACCCACGTACATATGTACGTGCATATCATTTTCATGTATGTCAGCACATGTTCGTGATCGTTGAAAAAAAAATCTTGGTGCAAAATTTCTTGACATTAATTGTTCCTTGCACCATTGTTTTAATTCTTTTGAATAGATGAGATGACGTAAGCACTAGAAATGAAACTGAATAAAAACAACAACAACATTTTGAATTATGTAGATCTGTCATTTTGAACGATGATAGATTGACTTACACTGCATAAGGTGCTGACCGTTTAAAACAAGTTGCTACATTAGCGAAAAATTTATACATTTATCTTATACTCCAATGCATAAAAACCTTTGACAAAAAAAAACATTTTTGTTTTGTGAATTAACCATTAAATGTGAACAATGCAAATGAGTTTACAAAATGCAAAATTGTATCATTTTAACAAGCTTTCTACAATCACTGAGTTTTTATGTCAAGATTTTTAATGTGTACTTTTGTTACGATTTTACCAGTTTATTCAGGATGAGCAAAGAGCAAATTGTGATTTTTAATCGTCTCTGACTTCATACATTTATGTCTAATGAGTCAGAAACTGTTGTCATTCATGAACAATGATCAAAAGATTGATTTCACCCGGTTTGGTAAAATCTTACACATGCCCACTGAAATTCCCACGTAAGAAAGTGTCTTCCTAACGAAAAAAAACCCGGAAAAAAACCTCCCACCACATGATGTTCAACTAATGTCTTTCTACTCCCATTCTGTTTGATCAATTGTAACAAGATCCACACTTACAGACGGAAAGTAAAGCCCACCCTTTTATAACCGCAAATCCCCAGCTCTCTCTCCGAGAGGGATGCGTTCACTGCAAAATGCCATCCCTGGCCCCTGGGCATCAAAGAACTGTCGCCTGGCCGCTTGCCGGCCAGGGTATGATCAGGAAAACAACAAACGTAGACGTGCTTAAAATTGATTTGATTTTATTTGTTCACTGCTACCTCCGGCAAAGGATTTGATCTGTGGATTTTTTTTGGTGGTATTGTTCATTTACATGTTATCCATGTCCTGTGATGTTTTTGAAGCAAGGAATATTTTCGGGCACATAAACAGGTACCCATTTTGTAGTGTGGAAAAGTAGTAATGGCTGTTTTACTGTACATGTAATTGTAAATGTCCGAATACATAAGTAAAGAATATGATTGAAATTATTTGTTTTCTTGTAAGTAAGACCAAGACTCTCTATTGATGCAGTTGTTGGATTTTACTTTTTAAAATTCTTTCTTGTCATAAACTCATAAAAACAAGGGCATATTACTCAAAAGCATCCAAGCATAGACAAGCACTGAATCTTGTGAGACTTAAAAAAACCTTAAAAGAGAAGAGGATGAAGAAATATTCAATTTTAGCAGTGGGAAGATATCGTTTCCCCGGTAAAACAGACAGGGACTGAAAACCCAATCCATGTAGGTGGGATTTAAATTGTGTGGAATTCCATGGCATCACCGTGCCAATCTGACTCCCTCTTGTCTTTTTGTGAACTTATCACTACAACTGGTATTTTAGTAGTCTTGGTTCAAGATTTGATTAAGTTTTCGTCCCCAATCCCAGGTAAGCACGGTGAAGCTGATGTGACAGTACAGGGCAGTATCGATATGATGAATCAAATACCACAGTCTCATTAGGAACTTTGGCACAGAGATTTTCCAAACATATAGCATGCGTGTCATATTCAAGTTAATACTCGTGTGTGAGGCATTAATGGGAGACTTTTGAGACGGTGGTGGCAGCAAACACACCGATCCTTTTCAATTGTTTACGTCATGTTTAAGCTAAAGCGCGCGTGCTCAATATATCGCAAACAATGGAAAAAAGAACCGGTGTGTTTGCTGCCACCAACGTCTTGAAAGTCTCCCATCAGCACAAAATGTTTTGGGTCCCAGTGCCAAAGTTTCCAAGACTGGCTGTGATTGATCTTGTTGATAGCGCCCTCTACCACTGCGGCAGCTTGACCGTGGTTGTCAGGGACTTGCTGAAAAACAGTCTGTGCATGGCATCATAAATACACCAATCAGATTGACTGACTGCATTCATATGCATGAATTGAATGGCAAAGTAACGGGTGTATCATGTAGTACTATCATGCATGATGGTGTATGTGTGATGCGGCTTTCAAATTGTGACTGCCAGGTCGAAGTGATGCTTGAATATTTTTGGTAAAAATGAAAGATGGCAGCCTAAAACATTACCAAATATTTCAATGTAATATCTCAATGTAAATATTGGGGGAGGGGGGTCCTTAAAATGGGGAGGAATTTATACTTTTTCATTTGCTCTTATGAAATAATGGGAAAAAGCAACTACACTATCCCTACGGAATAGTAAAATTTCTCCTTAAGGATATTTAGAGTGTAATTGTTTGCGTTTTGGACAAAAATATAATTTCAAATTGAGCAAAGAATAACGTTCCTGAGCAGGATTTCAAAATGCAACCTCTTATAAGATTCCATCTCATGAAAATGCAACCTTTTGAACACTTTACTGGTGCTCATGTGACCAAGTTAACTTAATCCATTGTTGGTGGTCTTTCTGATCTGTAAAAAAAAACAAGACTGATTTGCACTGTTCCCAAGTGTAATTATAAGGTATTAAGAAATCTCTTTCTTAAGTATGTCAACTACGGTCGCCATTGTCAATTTTTAAAAATACTATTTGTTTAAAAGATGTCAAGAAAAATTCATTCTTGATCAGTTTTTAATCATGGTTGTCCCTTTATTTTAAGAAAAAAATCTCAAGAAAGCAGTATTGAAATCAGTCTTACATGTAGTTCCTATTATTCACGTAATAGCACACAGTGATAGTAGAGTAGTAGAGCAGCATTTAATGCAAACATAACATATTTTTTAGCTTGCACGACATCTCGACATCTTGTTGAAACGGTCTCTGTTTTTTTCTTTTCTTTCTTTTCGCTGTCTTGGATTTCTCTCATTCAGGTCTGGCCGACACTGTCATGAACTTTTTCACGCCTCTCACAGAGAAAATTACCAGCTTTTTCGGCAAGTAAATTGTATCAAAGCTGTCAACCGTCTGTTGTTTCTTCCCACCCCCCTCTTTTCCTCCCCGAGTCACTTCACAGTCATCGTCTTGAGACATTTTTCAAGACTTGATGTCCCCCTCTGTATTTTTTTTCCTCCCACGCATTATTTTATTTTGCTGTCTGCTAGCACTGCATGTATAAGTTGTATTGTGCTGAAGAGCATTGAATGCATGGATTAGAACCGTTTGAGACCGGCATTCCAGGGTCGTTCACAATTTGAATAATCAAGAGTGACGCCATGCGAAAGATTATTGGAGTTGTTCAAAACAACTGCAGAGTTAATGAAAAAAAAGTTCATCATGACTCTGAAGTGCCGTTAGCCTGAAACAGATTTTTGCTCCAAGATTGTGTGCTCTATTTTTTAGTTTGTCCAAACTACAGCACGTTAAATTTGTCAGGTGAATGCATACATACTTGTATGCATTTAAACTTTGTTGGGCACACAACTTGCATTTCTTTTGACATGACATTTGACAGATACATTGTAATAACTTTCGATGTGTGACTACATCTGAATCAGGGTTCCAAATGTTCAATACTTCAATAAGCTTCATTAAATACGTGTTTACTCAAAAATTTGATGTTAGATTAATGTGATAATTTACCTTTCCTTTATATTACTCCAATCCTTGTAAAAATCAAGATGGGCTTAGCAATTCTGCATAGTGCAATTGTATTTATTATGGAGTGAGTAATATTCATAGCTTAAGTGTGTGTTCAAGTACCTTGTCGTCCTGCCTCTATTGTAATAAAAAGAAATCAAGTCATTGTCTTGTTCTTTTTTTTTTATGGCTGATGTACATACATGTACATAATGTGTATGTACTGAACTAAACAGTTTTGTGTTCTTTCAAGATTTCTGATTACAATTTTTACTTTCTTACTTTGGTACTTAATTTAATGCTTGTTTTGAAAAAAAAAGTTGTATTTTTTTGTGTGATTTTCATTTGCATAAGATACGATAGAGTATCAATGATTGTGTTGTTAATTGAAGTGTTTAAACATATGCTAGTACATGTATTTACCATACATATTTGTTATGTGACTTAATACTCCTTGCTCAGTTGATCTAACTGCCTGATCAGGAGGCACTTGCAAACAAATATCAGTTTTCCAGCACTTTTTTGGTCCAAAGTTTGTCATATTGACTGCAGTCACATTTATGAAGGGGCTGTTGTGAGTTACAAAATCCGAGACTGACGTCACAAGTCAAAGTCGTTAACTTGATGTGATATTCTCCAACCCTCAGAAACATATCAATAAGTTAGATAAAGCATGTCATTCAATTGCCACTGCTTTCTCCTTGCATGCAGTAAGCTGGCTTACCATCATGTAGTGGGTTCAGGTCTTTAAAAAATAAATTGAGCTTTTTTTTCAGTGCAAAATTGTCAGAATTTTCCAACTGGAGAAAAGAACAAGCCCTTTAAACAAACGTGTGCAGTTATGATTCCTTTAAGCATCATGAAGCTTCTTTATTGAAACCCGTAGTTCCCTCAGATTTCAATTAACATCAAAACAAAAAGTTTTTTTTTAGTTTGCCCTTGCTTATTTACTTTGCATACGTGTGATGATGCTGGTATTTGTTGTTCTTTCCCTCTTTTTTATTTTCATTTATTATTATTATTATTATTTTAACATGTTATCATTTGAAATATGCATACATTTGTACTTCCACCGTAACATTCTTATAACCAGAAAATAACAACATTTTTTGTATACCGACATCCAAAACCACTGATGGTAAGTAAGATTTTTGTAATAACATGAATTTCTTATTTGGGGGTGCAAATACAAACTAAAACACTTTGGAAATATTGAACTTCGGCCAACAAGTTTTAAAATTCTTCACAGGGAGGAGTACACTGTCAAAAAAGGGTTTTAACAGTTTATTTTGGAATATTTGTTGTCCTTATTTCTCCAACATTTGGAGGCTGTAATAATGACATAAACTTCAAACATGACAATGGTGTTCCATTGTGTGAAATCATTCCACCAAAATTAAAAAAAAAAACCAATTACTTTGAAATGTTACTTCTATGTTTCACAGCAACCGAAATCCCATGTGAACTTACCAAAATATATAATTATACGTGTGGTTGATATTGTATTTATTGTTAATAGAGTATACTATAGTATATATATATATAATCTCCATTTTTGTTAGTGTTGAATACTTATCTTTATATATGAATATTTATATCTGTATCTGGCATTGCTGTAACATACTAGTAATATAATTATAAAAAGTAAAGTGCAGTGGATGTTAGTATAAAAATAGAGCAAGTGCAATCAAGGCCGACCATCGATTAACGAGTGGTGTCTTCAATTGTTCAATGAAGGTTAAGCCAACTAAACATTGCCCGGTTAACTTGCTTATAAATATAAATGTGGCATGTGCAGTGTAAAAATATTGTATTCTGTCTTAGTTTGATTTGCTGATTTATATGCGAGATAACATTTGGCAAAGTTCAATCTTTGAAAACACATCAAAATCGTTTGTCATTTAAACAAGACTTATTTCTTTGACTGTTTCAAAGAAAAAAGTGCAACTCAAAGGATTAATTTGATCCAGAACCACACCAAATACAACTTTGAATTTGTAAATGCAAATTATGAAACTTGGTAGGTCCATACGCTTTTTTATTTCCCCAGAATTTCATCTTGTAACTTTGAATGTTATATTCACTGCAGTGGGACCACCAGTACTTATTAACATTCCGTTATTGATACAATCTACAGTCTTCTCTGAAAAAAAAATACTGGTCCAAAAACTGACATTTGTGTTGCTTTCAGGTCACAAAGCAACCTTTTGTGGGAATGTAATCCCAAGGGTCTTAATTTCTGGAAGTATATTCCAGTTTAAGACCTTATATCTTACATGCCTTTATATTCACCGTACCTTTTTAAAAAGGCAGCTTAAACTTATCCTCTGCGTTTTTTCATACAAACACAAAATATAAAAGATAAATAATATATGTTAGAAAAATGAAAAGAAAGTTGTACGTTTGTCAGTGAGTGACAGCATATATGTAACAAATGTATTTATTCAAATGTTTGTATAATTACTTAAAAATTACCTTACAATTGATTTTCAGAGACTAAGCTTGAGTAAAGTGGATAAATTTTAAGAATATTCTGGAGAAATGTGATAAGTGTGCGGATAATTGTCACAAAGTGGCATTTGACTTCACTTTTTGGACCGAGTATGAGCTGTCCTGAATAGAGGAAACATATCGCAGGCTAATCTGATGGGGGTATAATTGAAACTCAGAATACCAGCACAGAAACTATCTGCTATTATCAGGAGAAGCGGGTTAATAAAATTGGCAAATAACTTTTACCAAAAGATTCATGGTTCTTAAGATTAAAGCCTTTCGCAGTGAGGTTTGTTAGCATTTAGTTGTGTATCTTATTTCAGTTGGATGTATCTATTTATATAATAAGGGCCAAATTTCATAGCGCTGCTTAGTAATAACCTAATTTTTGTAAATTAAAAAAGTACAACTTTAACACAGTGTTATTTCACCGATGGTTGCTTAGTGGTCTGCTTAAGCCAAATTTGTTTGCGAATATTGAAGAAAATGATGGGCAAATCTGAAGGGACCATGTCAGATAAAATCTTTCTCAGGATATGCAGGATAATTTACCAAATTATTACGACTGTGGTATCACTTCCGAAGAATTGATGTCATGGTAACTAGAACATTAACTTAAGTATGTGGCTGTAAATGTTCTGTCTGCTTGATTACCAGTTGCTTGCTTAACCATTGCTGTGAAAAGACAATCTGCTATGTGTGCCAAGTACAAAAACGTTTCTTAAAAAGTTCTATGAAATTTGGCCCAGTTTTGGTTGGTAGTGAGATGAAAAAATCATAATGTGCAATAACTTTGTGTACTATATATACAGTAATTGTTTGTTATATCCACTTCCACTGTTAACTTATTGAGTGTATAACTTTTATCCATGCAAGAAAAGTAAATGTAATCTGTTTCCTTTCTTTCTGTACTAAAGTGTATAATAAACCAGTGAGTTGTGAGAAATGTATCTACGCGGAACAAAAATTATTCATGAAATAATTTTGGACAGAACTTTGAAAAGAAGATCTTTGTCGACTCTGTGACATTCTTCTTTGGAACTTGCGTGATCAGTGGTCTTGGTTTACTATGGGAAGCAGAACCATCTCCTTGCCCAACTGACATTGTATCCCTCACCACAATTAAAAAGGAATTACCTCTCGCTGTGCTTCCAAATAGAAGTGTAGCTTCATTTTGATGTGGAAACTTACAAGGACAGACTTTGAATTTGTGAAACTTACACATTGTACAAAACACAGAGAGATTAAAAAATATTTGTTGGTTTTATGCCCTGCACTTTTATGTTGACAGTTTTTGGAGTGTTCAATTTATGTCAAAAATTCTAATCATGATGCTAATGTTAAGGTAACTTTCTGGCATCCCGAGCTGTGTTTTATTTGGCTGTTTCATCACATTCATTCATTGTTACAGTTTCTAAGGCTATTATTGCAAGAAATTCATCAAGATTTTCCCCTGTTTTATCTCTGTATCTCATTTCCTTTCAACCCATCATCTGTTACAGTTCAAAAGAACTGTGAACAGATAGTTTCTGTCTCTGAGACTTCTTTTGTTCTATTCCTTTCTGGTTTGAAACCCACAAGTGGCTCTTGGCCTTGTGTTCGGGCCAAAGGGCCTAACCATTTAAAAAATGCTTAGAAAAATTTTCCAGCTGGAAAATTTCAGACCTCTTTTTCTGAAGCGCAAAGCTCGGTGAAAAAAACCAAACCACCAATGTTAATACAAGTTCAATTCTGAGTTCTTTGCACATGGTTTGTGTAAGGATTTTCCGGTAATCTTCTTCTGAACGAGCCCTGGATTGGACGGCTATTTCTCCTATCTGCAATCAGGACTGTGTTTATACAGCCTTGATGGAGTCTCAAGAGGACTTACAGCGATAAAGACGTTTTTGGCGAGATTGCTTTGTCTTTATTTTTCTTTTCTTATTTTCTTAGTAGCAGACAGTAGCAAATGGACGAGGTCACTTGAGGATGTCAAAGGCATACTTTTCTAAGGAATCAAGATTGGATGATAAAGATAACATTCGTTAAGGTAAAATATTATCAAAATTGTGATGAAACCCAACAAAATGAGTCACAGATCGCCAGAGCTACATGCACTTCTGAGTAATGGGTCTTTTTACAAATCTTGCACAATGGAAATCAATACATGATACAATTAAAAAACAACATATCCAGTCTGTTTCTGTGCCTTCTTTTTCGGCCATTCAAACCAACAAGTTGTCAAAACAAAGATTTATTTTCTCCAGTCAGCAAGTTATTCAAGAAAAGTTTACAAAAACGTCTGGAAATGTACAAGCAGGTTGCAAATGTTTCAGTTAAGGTACACAGTCTATTTAGCATATTTCTTCATCTGCAAAAATGCAAAAAACAAAGTTACTTTGTAAACTACTTCATGCGGAGCATTTTCCACGTAAACGTTAAGGACAAAAATATAAATGTACTATTTTTAGAGCACTTGTTGCATGGAAGGTCAAAAATCAGGCAAGTTATGGCTATAATAAACACAAAAACTTTTAATTGACTTTCTTTTCCACTTGCCCTCTAAATTCCTCCAAAGCCACTTGGATGCCCATTAAACATTATGAGTGCCTTGGAATGTCCTGTTGGTTTCATGCATAGGGGACAGTTTCAAAGGATTCACAAAGGCCCCATAAAATGACACAAGAGCCAGGCTTAAACTATACTACCAATATTAAAAAACAAAGTAAGCATTGCATTGAAAAGTTGACTTCTCACTCATCATTTGCTACAACAATAGTTCTGAAATACATCTGTCCAAGAACTGCATTTGGTTTACCTTTCATACCAGTCAATGTGTTACTTTATAAAAAATTATAACTTTTACAGTAAACATGCATTTCTTAAAAATATTGTAAATACAGTCAGGGACAGAGCTAGGAGATCTGGGAAAAAAAAGGGTCGAAAGTGTCTTCACTGTAAAAAGTAAATGTAAGTGAAATGAAATGTACAACGAGCAGCAGACCAAATACATAAACCAAAGGCTGCCGAGGAGAGGTGGGGGGGGGGGGGTTGATAAGGGTCATTTGCTCCCTCCCCATTATTGAAAATGATCTCTCTCCTCTCTAACTAATGGATCCCTTGTTTCAGCGACATTTATTGTCAACCAACACCCCCCCCAAAAAAAATGTTGCTGCCAGAGACAAAAAATGAAACTGTACTTCATGTGTTAGAAACAAAGGGGACCAGTTGGCCATTTTTTTCTGAGTAACGGAGGGCGCTGTGACAATGCCACAGTGGGGTACGAACAGATGAGAATCAAAAGTTATTGACATAAAAGTATCAACCTCCCGAGGACGAACAGAGCACACTGTTGGAAATGTTGAGTTCTATACTCAACCAACTGGTTCTTTTCAGAACCACACTTCTTCCAAGATGAGATTTCTTTTCACATGGTGTTACCCGCAAACTTTCTAATTTATCTCATCCGCCATGCAAAGCTTCAAGTCATATATAAATTTACATGTTGGTACGATTCAGAAATGTAATCTTTACATCCTTTCAATTTTAGACTGTAATAAAGTTACTGAACTGCATCAATAAACATGGCGTTTCTACTGTATATAAAAACTATATAAACCCAGAAAATGACATTGTCACAGTCGCTTCAATTCGCTCAAAACTATGCCCATTATTCACTTCTTGGAAGTCTCTGATTACACGTTTCCGTTCTTCCATGGCAAACTGATACAAACGTTCACCACGCGGCCAATACATAGTCCCCCTTGCTCGTACGCATGGGCCACATTGAACGAATTGGAGGCTGCGCGGATGTCCCCGAATATCTCGTAGACGTTCTCGTACAAGATGAGTAAGATATCGACTGCGTCGATGACGAAGTGCAAACAGTGTCCCTCCACGCAGGAAATGAGGTCCGTCACGAATTGCTCTAAGGCTTTGGCGATGTCTGTCTCTGAACAAACTTTCAAGGTCTCCTCAACGTCTTTCAGGCCAACCCCTAACATCTGAAGACCCTTGAACACCTAAAAAGGGAAAAAAGACAAAGTAAGCCTAATAAAGCCGGTCTTAGAGCACACACAATTAAAACCCTCAATCAGTTTTGAATGTTAAAATCAATTTTTAAACAAATGTTCAGTTGAAGAGGTGGGAGGAAAACTGCATAAAACCCTCAGAATCAGCTTAAGGCTGAAGACCTAATCCACATGTGGACCAGGGCAGGAATCGAACCCAGGCCAGGAATCGAACCCAGGCCATCGAGGTGGAAGGCGAGGAAAGTATCACTGTGCCAACCTGACTCCAAAAATAATAAACAATGTTGACAGAGTTATGACACTTTTGCTTTACCTCTTTGTTGCCAAATGCCTCAAAGGATTCTCTGAATGTGGCCACGGTCTTGTTGCCATCTTGGACACATTGTTTGAAGTTGGTTGTCTTGGCACCTAAGCCGTGGAATATCCCTCTAAAGACCTGCACCCACGGCTCATCTTGGTTGCCATGGTTATACTCTACAGCTGGAAACAGCGGGTACAAAAGAAAACAGCCGTCAGTGATTTACCTCTTCGTTGCAAATGAGTCAGAATTGTAACAATTATGTCATCGCAAGTCACCAAACGTTATCACAAGTCCATCACAAGTCATGCAGTCTCAAGTCAAGTCACAAGCTATTCAAATGATTTGTGACAAAGGCATTCCTTTCGCCACTGTGTCATGTTTGTTTACCCTAAAAAAGACTTAATGGCATAATCTGCTTACTTGTATCGATGACATCTACAAATTGTCTGTTGACCAGATAACGCACATCGTATATCCCATCTGGAAGGTAAGATTCCAAAGCGATGTTTCCCTTAGGCACAGGGTTATCTAAGGGATTCTGGCCTCCTTGGACATACCTGTGGTGTGATATTTCATTATACCAAAATTAGCAAAAAAGGAGACTGTCGCAATCAAAAATCTTAATTCAAAAAAGGAGACTGTCGCAATCAAAAATCTTAATTCAAATCTTTGGAATCATTTGGTTTAGCAAATGCCAGTCTGGAGCAGAGGCTACTTACTTGAAGTCCACGTATTGGTCATTATTTGCGCCAACTGGGTAGACTCCAATCCAGTCCATGTGTGTGGCCTCATCCACTGGTACAGACCAAGACACTGTCAGATTGGCCCCATAAGCAACCCGGCTAGGGACGACATCCAAAGACCGTGCCTGCTCCACAACGATCATCTGAAAAATGAGGACACATTTTCATTTCTTTGTTTTCCTGAATTATTTAACTCTCAGATCAATGGCAGCAGAATGATTCTGAAACTTAGGGAGGTGGAACGTCACATTATGTCTCCATAGTGAGCATCTCAAAGTGGTGGGCAAATGAAAACAAATTCGGAAAATGGGGGGGGGGGGGGAAAATCGACTAGTTTTACCATCAACGCATCAACCTTAAGACTCACATCAAGTCTGACCTAATGTAAAGGAAAGTCAAAGGCATGCCCTATACTAATACAGCATTGCTTCAGGCTTGAAAGCAGTCCAAATCAGCTGTTCTATACTTACAGTTCCATTTTGACTCTGAGCAAAGACCTTCCACCACAACTTGTCCTCTCTTCTCACGAAGGCTTTGCCGGCGACGGCGGGCTGGGTGGGTGGGGAGGTAGGAACCTGTTGCCAATCGCTCCATGAAGTTCCCCTCTCAGTCTGCCAAACATGCCAAAGTCTGGAACATTTGAAACATTCAAAGAGAATTCACAGCAAATTTACACTGATGGATTTACATTTCATTTTCTCAAAAATTATTTGGTCTAATTCTAAGTTCTGCAGGTTCTATAGAGTAACTTTGGGATTTTCCAAAATGTGTGTAGATTAATTGATTTTGTCCATATCAACTACATCTTTTCATCAAAATTACCTAAATAGAAAATTCCAGCATTTGTTAATGACTGGGGTACCTTAATACTGTACGAGATCCGAATTGGCTAATGGATCCAAGCAAGCTGGGTGGTTTGAGCCCCACATTTACATGTGACAGACTTGTAACCGAAAAAAAATTCTAGGACAGGGAAAACTTGCAGTGCTTACATGCCCTTGGTGTCGACCAGAAACAACTCCCCACCCAGATGGACATTAGTCCCTGTGGCGATGACATTTGCCCCCAGGGTGGGGGGCACCTTGCCTGACAGGGTGTGCCACAGACCCCAGGTGCAGTAGCCCCACGGGTTGTCCACTGTGTCACAGGTTGTCTGGAAGATATGTTTGACAGTGCTGTCAGCTCCGAGAGCAAAAACCTCCAGAACACCGTTGGCAAAGCTGTGCGACATGACGTTAGCAACAGGACGACTCGTCGTGGTGACCTTCGGCTGAAATATTCCTGCATTAGGAGACGAAAGTTAAAGTAATAACATAGGGGTTTGTTGCATTCGAATGAATGACCCTTCACTAATTCTACCCATTCGCTTACCTCCCCTGTGTCTTTTGAATTTCAGTCATAAAGATTTTTTTTGTTTTTCATCTCGTTCTGTTTACAAAAAAAAGTCCTTTTAGATATTTTTACCCTTCCCCACCCTTTCAGAAATTCTGACAACTGGACGATAGGCTTGGGTGACTTGGATCACTCTCCGATAATTACCCATACTCCTCCAGTTCGCCCATCGCGTGTCATCCCTCTGCCACGTCCGGTACACATACCCGTCGCTCATCACGGCAAACGCCTCATAGTAGCCGGAGAACGTGTTGAAGATGACCGTGGCATCCGAGAACAGGTGTGCCTTGAAGACATCACCGATTCTCTGCCAAGCCGAGAATTCGCCACCTGCATCACTTTTACACCAGAAGAGTCCGGAAGTGCCTGTCATCGAACGAGTGAAGACGACAATCTGGCTCTTGTACGTCCCTACAGTGATCGAGTCCTGTCCGTGAAGAACCGTCCCACTCTCATATTCAAGGGAAGGCAATTTAGCCCACTTTCCAAAACTGATCTCAGTTCCTATCAACTCTTGTTTTATTGTGCACACCTGGCCACTAACTGTCTGGACAAATATTTGGGTTTGGTTGGTGCTCGCGTGTAGACCAACTGGGTTTGAAACAATCGCGGAGAAATTGGTCGGGTTTTCCTTCTGGTCTTGGGGAGCACCTAGTTCGATCCACTTGGACCAGACATAGGGCTGGATGTGCGAGGTTGTCGTGGCGTACTGCAGGCCGCCTTTAGACACCCGGAAAGCCAGTTGCGTGTCTGTGGTGTTGTCAAGTAAGTTTTTGATCACGAAAACTCTGTTGTCAGAAATACTGGTAGCCACACAACTCGTCATCATCACAGACAATGAAAGCCCTAATAATGCAATTCTGAAAACTAATGATGCCATAATGGATGTTTATTTCTGATTTCAGGCACCAAAAGTAATAAAACTCAGACTTTAGAGACGGGCCACGCCACACACACAACACTCGGTGAACAGTCTTTCAACTGGGTTTTCCCCTTTAGTCACATGCAAAATCACATGATCGCCAAACCCAACCCAAACCCAAAATATTGAAGAGCGCCCCCATTATTGTGAGAACGCATCGTCGTCATCTGCTGTGCTGGTTGAAGCATGGAGGAAGTATCTGGTTGATTTTCAGAGGATTGCACGACCATAACTAGTCTCATTAACCTGGATGTTAATATGTTTCTGCTGTCGAAATATGTTCAAATGATATCATAGGATCAATTGGTAATCAAGAATATTAACTAATGTAGCTAATTTTTGCGGTAATTTAACGATCTTAGAATTGCTCACAAAAACAGAAAATGCATAGAGCGCCCTCACTCAGTGTTCAGGTTTTGTTAAATTGCTCTATGCCTATGGTTAAATTCAGTGAGTTTCTACTCGCCTAATGACAGTTTTGAGAATATTTAAAAAATTAATTTTATTTTAAATTTTAAAACAACGTGCCTGGAAATTAGGCATGTTGATAGCAAAAATAACTTTAGCTTGGGAAATTAACCCCAGCCCAGAGCAACTGCTCATTGAGAATTCGACATATATGTAGACATTCCCAAATTCGCCTTGAGCGTCTTTTTTATTTTAGGCGGATTTTGGCGCTACATAAATATACATAATTATATATTAAAAATGCAACATTTTGCTATATTTTATGGCACCATGATTTTAGATGTTTGTATTCTCCAACTTTTGTGCAAACTTTTTGTTCCAATCTTCTTTTTGATTAGGCCTAGATGCAAAATTGCAAAATTGCATTCGTCTGCTTTGAGCCTTTGTTTATCTCCCAAAACTATCGTTGAATCTGATGTGAGCACGGGCAGTTGAATCTTTGAAAAAGGCTTATTATGATTATGATTATTAATATTATCACTTATCCAACTACATATTTGGTCCTACATGTTTGTCAGAAATTGTTTATGTTTTTACCTTCATGTAGGCCTATTCATCATTGTTTCAAAACCATTTCTAGATTTCATATATTTCCATTCCTGTACCATTAAACTGTGCAGCATTAATTTAAGCAAACAAAATGGAAGTATGCCATCACATAAAATACGATCTCTATGTTTTATCATGATTTGACCCTGTTTAGGCATTCCCATTGATGCTGCATGTTAGTAGCTTGATCTGAATCAAGATGGCCAGCGAGAATCACGGCCTACCGCCTGAGGTCCACATCGACCATTGGAATGAAGCCACTAACATCTACATGGTGGTTATTGTGGTCTCCATCTGGCTCTTCGTGTATTTGAAGAAGTAGGTTTTTAGGTTTGTTCCTTGAAACTGGACTAAGGTGGTGGAGGGGAGGGGGGGGGGGGATTGTTGCTCACCCCCAAAGTGAAACATTTCTTCTTGTTTTCATGGTTGTACACAATACATGTATGTACTGTATTGTGCTCATGGAATTATGATAAGGCCCCCCCAAAAAAATTCTGCTTCCGATTACATGTCATTTGAAAATAGGGTAGGTAGGTAGGGAATTCTCTTTTTTTTTGGCAAATTTTTGTGTGTGTACGATCATATGGAGGCATTTGCATGTTGTCAAGGGTAAAAGGTAGAAATTGACGTTTAGGATGTTTTTTTTCCTCATTTTTCCAATAACAAAATTAGGGTAGGGGCTATCAAAATAGGGTAGGTAGGGAAACCGGAAGCAGAACTATTATTTTTTGGCCTAAATTTGTTTAAAACTTATCAAAGGCAGGAACAAAAGGCAGGAACCCAAAATTGATTAGCATTTTAAAGTGTCGTATCTCCAATGTTTACACGTCAATAGGGTGTGCTTCTTGAACTCCGTTTCAGTAAGTTCATTCCATTCCATTCTGTCTACTTACTGCCAAATCACAAAATAACTATTTAAATTGGTTCTATTTTCATTTGAATGTTTGTTCTTGTTTTTGTTTTCTGTTTGCGAAGGCATAAGGGAATCTTTGCTCGGTTCTTTGCACGGCCCACAGCAGAGATGGAGGAAAGAACCCAGCGATACCGAGAAGAACTGAAGCAAGTCCGACTGCGGCAACAGCTCAACATGTATTACATCTGTAAGCGTTTATTCATTTGACTCAAAATGACATTTAGCCCAATTCATGACACTGCTAAAGGCATGTTTTTCAGGATGAAATTTCAGCCAGACATCCGATATTTAAGACTATTAATCATATTTGTCTAAACAAAGTGCATTGTAAGTGTAGGTGGTAGCTCAGAATTGAGTTTTTGTCTGTTGTTCATCTTGTCTCGCCCTCTAGTTGCCTTCCAATTGTCTTTCAGAGTTTACAAGAAGCCCCACCCCCTTTAGTGTACTCACTTTTCACACTGTCGTGTCGCCTACCCGTGATAAAATCAACATGGTTCCACTTTGATGTGTGTGAGCAGACCTAGGTTAGAATGGACACAGGTAGGCTAGGGATATCGTTCACACTGAGACCAGTTTTTACAAGGGTCAGCCCTAGATTTTGAATTTTCTGCCGGGAAAAATCCTCTCAACCCTGGTCCCAGCTAGGGCTGAATTTTTACTAGTATAGAGCGGTGGACTCATAGTAAAGTTGTGTTGGGTTCTTGCTTGTGTGAAAGAGGTTTCAAGAATCTTGAATTGTAGCCTGGTCTAACACAGAACGTTGGTAGTGTAAAAGAGCATTTTGTCTTTTCATATTTCTCACTCGCGTGACTATTTTTGCTTCTTTTTTTTTTACAGCTCGAAAGTGGGAGCAGAATAGGCAGAATCCAGAGGCAATGGAGCACCACGTAGACATGGATATGTTTGGCACATCGTGATGGCAGTGACGGAACATCACAGTTTTAAAGACCATAAATTTAACGACTTTGTCTACATTGAAGCAGTAAGAGGTTCTTCAACGCTTGAGGGTGCTCTGTTAACTTGACTGACTTTTTCTACGAAGCAGTAGGTGCTTTCATTCCCTCGCCGAATTGACGTTAGAGGCCGCTCTTTCAACTTAATGACAGTGATAATGCGATGGCTTTGATGAGAGCATGATAGTGATAAAGACCGGAAACCTTACTGAATTTTGTCTACACTGAAGAAATAGGAGCTACAGTTCAACTTGATGACAGTGAATGTGGTGAAGAAAACATGGAAGTTGTAAAGACCTTAACAACTTTACTGACTTTTTCTACACAAAAGACACAAAAGAACTATGTGTAGGAGATAGCTGGAGCTACAGTAATTCCCTTGGTACATTAACGATTGAGGACACACTTTTCAACTCCACCCCAGTGCTTAGGAAACTGTGCCATTTGCGGACTTGTTCTTACAAAAATACCATTTGCCCCTGTACTGCCCCAAACTACCCTGCCTAGCTGTTACTCCTTGTACCTCTCAAAACCGCCCACACACTCTGTGGTTTGATGGATTTATCACAGAATAAATACAATGTAATGCTATAATGGTCAACCTCACTCTTTAACTGCACCGTGCCCATGTCGCGTTTAAACCAGACATTTTCTCACAAAATGTGCATCCTGTTGCAAACAAATGCTCAGTTTGCCTCTCACAAAAGTTGGGAAACTGGATACTTCGATAGATGTTACTGTCAATCAGGCTACCAACACACAGAAGCAGTTTCTCTCTTGTCTGTCAGAAGTAAACAAAAACCTGCTGATCCGAAGGAACATTTTTTACTTTGCTCCTTCGTGTTCATCATTTTAGCAAATGACTACATTTTCTGGACTTGCAGGAAAGGAAAGGTTCTATAGAACCATCTCTAGCATGGAGATGTAAGGGGAATCAGAGACTCCCTGCCTTGCGTATGGACTATTTTGGACATCGTAGTTCTCAGTTTTAGATATTTTTTTTTTGTAATTCTGAAACTCGTCAAATTATTTTTTTAATTGATAATATCTTATACCATACAGTTGAAGATAACTAGAAGTAATGGCTGTGCACTGATTTCTTGCAATAGTCTCGTTATGCTCCAACTGTAACACCGGTCGCAGCTTTTGTTGGGAAAATCCAAACTTTAACTTTGAACAATCCTAGCAAACTTGCAAATTACGAGTTTAGATATCAAATCTTAAACTTGGTATGTTCTGTATGAGAAGCTATTAGACAATATAAAAAGTACCTCAAAACTCAAAGATGTTGCTGTGTACTGTGATGTAAGTCTTCTTGCAATTGCCTAATTCAGGCCTTTTTTTTCAAATTGTAAATAGCCTTTTGACAACATACACATGTGTATATTTCTCCTTTTTATTACTCAAATATCAAGCAAACAATTAATTTCTTGTTTATGGAACTTCTGCTGGCCAATTAATGCTTCAAACTGTTGGTAACATTTGTATTAATGGCCTTTTTTTTTTTTTTTAATTAATGAAGACAAAAGTTACAAATGGAGCCAAAGAATTGCTCTCCAAAGAGTGAAAATAAAAAAGAATGATACAAATTAAAAAGTAAATGCAAAAGAAGAAATAAGTACCTGTTACAAGATACAATTATTTTTGGATGTGCAATCAAAATTATGAGTTTCCACATTCATTGAAATGATTTTATAATTTGTGGTTCAAATTTCATGTAACCTCCTTTTTGGTGAGCTGATGTGAAAAAGTTTTTTCTTTTTCTTTTCAAAACTTTCATTGAATTCTGATTGTTCAATGAATTAACATGCAAATTGTAAATGATTTCCATATACCGGCAATTTGGAAAGAACTGATAATTGTATTATGATTTAAAGGTACATACCCCATGCTTTTAAAAAGGGGATATTTTCTCCAAACTAATTTTCAATTTGTATGTTTTGTTTAAAAAAAACCTTCTTCATTCCAAATATGGCCATCTGCAACCTTCTGAAAAAGCTCTGTCATTTTGTGTACAAATAACCCGCCCTACAAGAGGCAAATTATTGTCTTTGTCTGGCAGTAAAGAAATATTTCAATAATTTAACATCAGAAAAAAAAATTTCAATGTCTCACTCAATAGTGAATAACTTCTGTAGGCCCTATTGGTAGGAAAAAAAACACCTAATTAAATCTATTTTTCGAGGTGAAATTCGAAAATGGCACGGGGAGTCGGGGAACACATCTTTAATGTGTATCATTTCACTTGTATAGTTGTAACAAATAAAATCATAAAAGAGAACAATTATTGAAACTGTTTATGGAAGTTGTTTATGATGTTTGGTATTGATGATTGATTGGAGAATGATGGCAGTTCAGAAACTTGAATTTCTTCTTCAATGTTGAGGATCTCGGGCTTACTGCATTCCTCACTCAGTTTGAGACTACCGCAGGATGTCATTCTTTCCTCGCACTGCGAGGGATTGGAATGTCTTGCCACAATCTGTCATCCAGGCACCAACTGCCGATACATTTAAAGGGGCATTAACTAAAAATTAAGCCTTCTCTCGCATCACACCCCACTACAAGTGCTGTATTCTTCAATTATGAAGTTAGCACTCAACTTAGATCCCGCTGGCCATGCCCCCCCCCCCCTTTGATTTTTGCTGCCATAGCGTTGGCTGATGTGTTTTGCTATGTGACCATCATGTGACCTAGCTATAGCAGATTATATATCCTATTGAGTATTAAATAAAGCAGTTTAACAGATGCCATTGTGATGATTGGAAAATTCTGTTTTTATAATACACTGTAGTAAAGTAGGACAGGAAGCCAGTCTATTTTGCGGTTTATCCGCGAAATGTCAAGGGTCACCACGCATCAATGTTTTCATTTATAAATTTTCCATTCATTGACTTGACGAGCCAGACGGAACAGACTTGCCTGGAATTTTGCTGAATTCACAGCTTTTGAGACATTATGACAACTTAACTCGCGGCATTCGGCTTCAAGATGATGTCAATACGCAAGTGGTTGTACAAACCCAAAGTGAGTATCTGTTTTAGCTGTGAAATGGGAGAAAATTTGAGGTGAAATTGTCGCGCCGGGGTTTGGGAAGATTTTCACGCGCCTCGTGACTTATGTGTTTACGCTGTGCGTGGGCGTGCTGGTATGGCGGTTTGTGTACAAACTGCGGAAATGCATGGGGATTGTTTTAGTTTCTCTTTCGTCGGGAAGTATGTTGTGTCATGCGTTTGGTGCATGACACTTTTTGAAAGGAAAGCAAGCGGAAAATAGTAATGTCACTTAGAATAGTCAACCGAATGCTAGTTCGAGCTAGTAACTAGGTCTAGCTCTAGGACTCTACGAATCGCCTTTTTTAACATTTGGAGATGTGTTAAAAAAGGCATGCATGCATATTCCTGCAAGATCAAATTATCGCACCCAACATAAACACTGTTAATATTTTGAAGGAAAAAAGTGGTATCTCGCTGCCCTTTTTATAACATAGCCCCACTAGTGTGGCCGTCGGTATGCTGCGCTGAACCTTTGGCCACACACCGTGGTACCGCGCGCTACTGAGGACGAAGTTTTTCATAAAATTCAGGGCAGTTTCTTACATTTTCAGTTTCTTACTTTCTTATGGTTGTATTCTATGATGTCTCCTATCACTTCTGGGATGCTTAGCATGTGCTTAGGTCTAATGATGTTCCATTTTCCGAGATATTCTTCAATCTTTCTGGAGTCCATATGCACTCGTGAAACGTCTGGTGATGGCAGCCATTTTGAATGGGACAAGAGATGACCTCAAGCTGTGACGTCGCGTGTATGCAAATTGCTTGTCGAGCGCGCGAGGGCGCGAGTTGCAAATGCGACGGCTGTTTCCTGTACCATGCATTTATCGTCAGGGGGCCACGTGCACCGATCTCTATTCAGGATCTACGGCACAGGAAACAGCCGTCGCATTTGCAACTCACGCCCTCGCGCGCTCGACAAGCAATTTGCATAAACGCGACGTCACAGCTTGAGGTCATCTCTTGTCACATTCAAAATGGCTGCCACCACCAGACGTTTCACGAGTGCATTATGGGCTCCAGAAAGATTGAAGAATATCTCGGAAAATGGAACATCATTAGATCTAAGCACATGCTAAGCATCCCAGAAGTGATAGGAGACATCATAGAATACAACCATAAGAAAGTAAGAAACTGAAAATGTAAGAAACTGCCCTGAATTTTACGAAAAACTTCGTCCTCAGTAGCGCGCGGTACCACGGTGTGTGGCCAAAGGTTCAGCGCAGCATACCGACGGCCACACTAGTGGGGCTATTTATAACAATGACGTGTACATGGCCTAAAATATTGTGAGAACACTCCGACAATGCAAATATGATCGTGATAATAATTATTTTAATTCATGAACTTTTTAAAACATTTGCTTTTGACTCTAAGATATTGTGCACCATGGTAGAATACATTTCATTTATTTCTTGCAGTTTTTAACAGAAACACTCTAGAAAATTTGAGCAAACAAAATTAGTAGCCGTTGCTGGGGTAGAATGTCGCATGTATTCCTAAAGTCGCGATATACACGTGTGCATTTTGGTAAACGCTCCATTATCTACAGTATGTAAGTAGTCACAAGACAAGATTTTCAAAGTTTAATGAAATTGTGCAATGACTGATTTTAATTGCCTGCCCACAAACACAGTGTACCACACAGCACACATCTTTTTCAAGAGCCAGTATAGTTATCAATCATTTACACAGTTGTGGGAACTGGAAACACATGCTCTTGTGTTGGACACTTGTCCAATAATTGACCTGTGTCTCTGTGTAAACATGACCGTCTGATAAACTTGAACATCTACACTGCATGATGTACATGTACATGTACTGTGGTGAATGGAACTTTTTTGGAAATTCAAAACGGAAACCGATAATGCTTGGAGTAGTTACATGTATATATATAGGGCAAAGTTAAATTGTATGTGTTTGTATTGTTCTGTAAAAAGCATTTATTGATTGATGCAAATGTTTTATGGCAGTATTTTTGCTGGTCCCAGAGGGCCAGCCTAGGCTGTTAAATGTCCTCTTGTACCTACATGTAGATCTGACAGACAGACAGCCCGACTGACAGACAGACAGACAAACTGATACTTTTGAGTTGGAGCCCAGCAGTGCTATCCAGTAACGCCAATGAATGGCTGGCTGACTCCCCTGGACTGTGAAAGACTGACTGACTGACTGATACTTTTGACTTACAGATTGGTAGTGCTATCATATACATGTAGGATTACCCTAGTATAATGCCAATGAATGGGCTGCATCGATGCAGGAATTCTAGGAATTTACCTGAATGGATGGAGGCAGACTGTCCTTGGCAACCTGGGAATGGTGTTAAGTCAAATTCAACGTCTGTCAGATTTAACTCTCAACAGTTGATTGTTAATTTTTTAAAAATGTTTCCATACAAGGTACTGTAGTCTACAAATATTTGCAAAAAAATCTCATTCATCATATCATTGTATCAAACTTTTGAAACTCTTTCTTGTTGGATTCAGAAATTTATTGCAAGTCATTCTGGATTCCCACTTGAAATTCAGGGCAATTTTTTGGGGGTCATATTTGTCATACATGTATGTACATTTTGTTTGGGGGGGGGGGGGTGATACAGGTGATGATGATGCATTTTGTCCCATGACATAGGCCCTAGTGTTTTGTACTTGTACATGTAGCCACCAATCTTATCAGCAGCAACTTGGAATCATTGCATCACTCAGAATCTGGTCGGAACTTGTGAAATACTTGACCAAGATTACACCAGAATTATCTGTGTGTGTTTAAGAAGTTGATTACACAGCATTTACAATTCAAACGCTACTCAAATACTCCAATTTTACAAAATATACCTGTACATGGATTAACTTAAGTGTACTGTATGTATACTGTACACTACATAAAAACAAATCTGTGTCTATAAGTGTAGCACCTGTACTACATGTACATGTACATACATGTACATGTACATGTAGGTGTACATGTATGTACCTGGTCCAATGTAAACATGTACACGTTGTATGTACACATGTACATTGTGTTAAATTTGCCTTAGTCAATGTGCCTACATTGTAATTAGTCTTCAACAATATGAACTTTTTGGGGGTGGGGAGAGTAGGTGGAATGGGGGTGGGGGGTGGGGGATAATGGAAGTAATTAAGGGTCAAGTAGGGTTTTAGGTACATGTACCGGTACTTGTACATGTACATACACAATCTTTCCATTTAAAACATAGAATGAGCACAACCTAAGGCGTTGCTGAATTGGTATTCCAGACCTACATGTACACATGAATGACTACGTTTACTGTCAGCGAAAACCTACACAATACGAGACAACATGAAATTTTATTTTATTTCAGTCTGATGTAGGAAGGTCGATTAAATTCAAACAAATAATTGAACATGTACATGTAGCATTTTAAACTGTTTATACATGTAGAACACCCTTAAAAAATAATCTCTTTCCACATGTATCTCTTAGAGTTAAACCATTTTTTTCAGGCAGTTGTTGAACCCTGCTTCTGTGTTGTTAAAAATAAAAGCAAATCTTCCATAGTGATACAATGTATTCAATCATCCAAAGAATTGAGTAAGCCCCCCCCCCCCACCCCGTTTGTTTGTTAAAGTAGGCAAGTTGGAAAGATTTGGCCTTTGATACTGTATAAGAAGTGGTGTAGTAAAAGCCGAAGGACATTTGTCCAAAAAGTATTACATAATTGTAGACAGGATACAATGTAACAATTTCCTCAGTCCTTACAAAAAGTGCTTTTGGGTTTGAGGTACCTTGTATTTTATGGCAATTTCAGATTAAACAGACAACGTTTAAAAGTATGAGCTACAATGCATTCCTTTTTTTGCTTGAAACCTGACTCCCCTTGAGCTGCTGTAGTGTTTTGGATGAAGTTTTTTTTTTTTTACCAATGAAGCAATTAATGTGTTTATGCTTAGCAATTGGCCTCTGATGGTGGGTCCACTTTCAGGGATCTTCACATCACTTTAATCCAGAAGGAGGTTGCTCCTTTAAGCACCCAGCACCTGTGTGGTGTTGTCCCTTCAGTCTCAATGGAAAGGTCACCAGACAGTCATTGAGGTATAATCCGGCATGCTGCACTTACAATATGTAGCTGACCCTTTTATGATATTGTGGTTGGTTGGTCCCTGAGCTGCAGTACATTTTTCTTTGTAAAAACGACCCCGGGCTTAATATGCTTGGTAGTTGGTACATGTGCATAATGTACATGTATGCATTGTACATGTTAACATGTGTATTGGTACCTGTCCATAATTATTATAACTAGGCATAATTATTAAAATATGCTTGCTTTTTCGTTTAATATGAATTTTATGGCTTGAAATTGGACAATTGACAATTCATAATGTTTGTCTGAAAAATGTGTACTGTACATTTGTACATTCTGCTAGGCCACTTTTTCTGCAATTTAAGCAGTTTTTTTTGCATCTCATTTCACGATTTGCATGTTTTTACATTTATAGTACAAAATGCGTAGTGCCAACGTTAGCTACAAAATCCAACCATTGTTCGTACGTTTTCTTGGTTTTCTCAAAAGGTATGATATCCACTGAGATGAAACATGCACCTTTCTTAAGATTTTGAGCAATTTTGTTGCTTTTAACAAAAAAATGCTTAAAAGCAAATGAAATCTACCTTTAATGCTTTACAGTGCTAGTTATCAGGGTCACTCATTGAGACAGTGTATCATGCTGTGGGACATTTTAATCTCTGGACCTGTTCCTGCTGATCAAGCTGGTCATTAACCCAACTCTTCGGATCTTACAGAATCTTTAGGAGGTTAGTCAGGATTACTAGGAATGGAACAGCTCAGCACATGTAATTTGTGAAGTCTCTGTGATCAAACACATAATTTATATGGGTTATAAATTATTTCCATGCTAGTGGAGGTCTGGAGGATTTTAAAGATTCAGAGTTTCAGGTTTAAACACACCATTTCGCAAAATAAATGTGTTTTTGCTGATTCAAGGAATTTCAGTGTGAAGATACTTTTTACAATCAAGTAGGATGTTACATGATATTTTGACCATTTCAGTTTAAAATGTTTGCAACATTAAGGTTGGAAATTCTTGAAAATTGCATACTTATGTGAGATTTTTTTTTCTATTTTACCAATTATTGTAAGAAAAAGTCATACATTTTTTTTCTGTACATTTAACTTTTTTGTCAACAATAGATTAATTTGATGCGTTTATAACATGCACCAAACAGGTAACTGGATAGTGGGATTGTGTACTGATACACCTGTAAATGCCCATATATCTTGCCAGGAAAGTGTGCCTGGTCTGTACAGTTATTGAAAATACAAAACCACTTTATTCTATGCACATTTTATACGTGTTATAATTAAAAAGTAATTAAATTCTTGTTCGGCCGCCGACCTTGGTTCAAGTGGTCAGTACAGGTAAAACGTTCTGTCTTGCGAACCCTAGACTTGTCAATGAACAATAATTATGTTTTCCCTTGTTGTCACCCAGCCTTGACCTGACACTGAGGCCAAGTGTGGATAATGACTGAACCATATGGCGCTTGCAAATCTACCCTTAATGAGAAAAAACCCAAACAATATCGCTGTTTGCTAGCAGTGTTTCCGGTTTGCATTTGGCAAGATTACAATTATTGGATATTACGGGCTTGAACCACACTGGAACAGATGAGATTATTGTAAAGGGGCGTTACTTGCCAGGAATAAATTCCCTCCAACTGTACATCTGGTGTATGTGTTTGTGAATGTACAGTGTGCACAAGTGCGTACACGTGTACATGTACATTGTACGTACGGTACATGTAGTACATGTTGCGTCCATGTACAGTATGCACTTGTTATTTTATGCTCAAAACGTTTTCACATTATTTGCGCCAGCTGTGAAATGGCAACAACCCTGCTAATTAATTTTATTTTATTTAATTCTGCATAATTTGACCATTAATTACCACCATCTTTACCACTGAAAAACAAAATTCTATTCATAAAGTGTTCATGGATTGTGTAGTGTGGTAATGTGCAGTATATTTCTATGTGCAGTGAAAGTGTACTTAAAAATACACGTACAAATGTACTTTGATTATGATGTATGCTGTACTTAATGTATGTATGTGTACATGTACAGTACCATACGCATATTGTGACATGATTGCACTCCATTGATAGACATGCAGTATACAGGTATATCTACCGGGTATGCCTAATAATCTGTGCACTTCCTAGCTCAGTGACTGCAGCTACATATTGCTATGATGGCATATGATTGAGCATGTCTGCCTTGCAGGCCAGGCTTGTCATGTGGCATGAATATTATACCCAACCCTGGATAAATTAACATAAAGAAGATATGGACAATCCATCAGCCCACTTTGAAAAGGGGGGGGGGGGGGTACACCATTTTCTTAGGGGGTGCTGTTGTTAAAAGTGGCCTATCATGGACAAATTTGCTGATTTGCTGAAGCTGGCAATTTTTTTGATGGACACAGCAAACGGACAAGCAAACCATGGAGGATTCCTCCATGGGTAAGCACAACAAATCGCATTTCTGTCTACAATATGTAAGTCTCCTGAAGGACTTCAATATTTTTATCTGAAAAAATAATCCAGACACAGTAAAAACAAGCTCAGATTTCGCCAATTCCATCTAGCTTTGGCCAGGAGCATCCAGGGCTGATATTGGGCTTTTGCCGCTTGCTTTGTAAATGTTTAAGCCCTCGGAACGTTCACATGCATTTTTGAATATATTCTGTGATTCAAAAGCTGAAATAACTAATAAATTTCAGTAGCCTGAAGGCAAGCCAGAAGCCATGAATGTTAATGACATGTTCATGAAATAATGCTGTGTTTACAGTGTTGTGAAATATGTGTTTCCATGGTAATTTGTAGATGGGTTCCATAATTGCCTTTAAATCATTGAATAATTAAAAGGAAAATTGTACATGTATTAGAAAAGGGAAAATATGTTGATAGAAACTCACATCTCATGTTTTCAAGATTCATTTGTGTTTACATTGGCTGTGTATACATGTACAATACATGTATGTATTGTGTCACAGTCGAGACAATCATGTGTTAAATAATGATCAAGTAATAAAAATGCACACCGGCAATTGATACTTAAAAAAATTATTTATGTAAAAAAAAGGTAAATGGTGGGCCATGTACTTGAAATATTGGTTTTGGATCGTATGCAAATTACATGTATGTAATTCTTTCTGCAACTGGTTGTTTAAGATGCAGGTTTTTGCATAAGGCCAAAACAACTTTATTCCAGGTATAAAAAATGGCAAACCTGAAAATTTCATCCATTTTTGCACCATTGACCTGTACATGTATTACATCACTCAAAATATCGTTTCATAATTTTTCAGTAATCCACGCAAGACTGGGCACCATCTGACAACGACAAAAGTTCTTGGAACTTCAGGGTTTTAAATCGATTAGTTTTTTTATCGTAAAGTTATCCTTTTTGTTGATTTGTAAAGTGAATGGTATTCAAAAAGGTTTGTTCAGGAGAGGGAGTTGAGGGGGTGTGTAAGCAACAATGGATCAGGGAGGCTAAGCAAGGTCATTTGTTGTTGCAACTTGGCAGTGATTAAGTGTGTGTTTTGTTAACAGTGGCTGGCAAGGACAACACAGGACGGCAGACGGTTGTCTGGTTGGACTGAATAGTTGTGAATATTTGTCACTTCTACAGGGGCTCACTGATTCAAATTAGAGTAGACAGATGATACTGGGGGATTATGCTGGGGAAATAAAATTAACATACATTTTGTATACATGTACATTTTCTTTGCTGTAGATAACCCGATGCATGTGAATTTGACCGCAGACATTTGTAATTGTTCCTGAAGAAACAAGTAATGTTAAAGACCTGCCACAATATTCAAATGGTTTTGAAATAGTTTCGTTCCACCATTTTTGTAGAAGGTAAAATTAGAGATGCATACACTGCCGGTATTCAGATATGATCAATTTGAGCTTTCACATACTCATACAATGCACTTTAATAAGCAAAAATAAGTTGTCCAGAGAAACAGGGTGAATGGGAGGTAAATATAGAGAGGTTGAATAATTCATGGCATGTGAAAAAAAAATGTATGACAGGAGTCACAGGGGTATCATACAATATGCAGCACACTGCTAAGCTTGGAGGATACATACCGGTATAAATGTAACTCTCATTGCTTGACAGGAATATAAATAAGAAAGAGCAAAACTGTGTTGTCATCTTTTATCCGTAAAAGCTCCTGTGTTGCAGCTGTTGCAGTGTCAAAAATTGCCATAATTTTGTTTTAAGGTTTTTTTGCTGAGATTTCATTAACTTTTAATGGCATTTGATTGTTGATTGAGTACATAATACTGAGTCAACATGGTCAATGCACAGATATTTTCAATGAGCTACAATTACGGTTATAAAAACAGTTTCCTCAGTTGTTTGAATCCGCATGGACATTATACATTTTGAAAAAGAGCAAATTAAAAAATTGAATCCAATTAAGGTTTTTCATTAGTTTCATACAATTTATAGCGACAGAAATTTACATCAAAATTGTGTTTCAGTCCAAATCCCCTTATGGACCTTATTATTCACAGCCCACTCTGATAATTTTGTAATTGTTACTTTTAAATACATGTATTCTTTGAATTTTACAGAAAACCGATAGTCAACTTCTGGCCCAGTTCTACTTCAGCGATGAGGAGCTGAATGCGGTATCCCAGGAACTAGACAGCTTTGATGGGCGGCAGGACCCAGAGAGATGCACGCTACTTGTCAACCAGCTGAGATCGTGTCAGGACAGAGTCTTAGGTCCGTACTTAGTAGTTGGTTTTTATCAAGTTTACTTTATTATTGTGCTCTCTCTGAAACCACAAGTGTAACCAAGTCTTTCTGTCAGTTTTTTTTTTCCGAAATGGCTTTTTTATTAGCATGTGCCTATGAAGTCATAATTGTCAAAGACTTAGACACTAGCTTTAGTTTAGAGATTTGGAGATGGCCTTCATCGTACACCGAGGTCTAGACCAGGGCCCAATTTCATAGTGCTGCTTAACAGTAAGACAATATTTTCTGCAAACCAAAGAGCAAAACATGTTTTAAGCCTGAACATGATTGACCGCTCCAATTCTGGATTGCCCTTTTTCCATGTAATTTAATATGCACTGTATACTCAGTATTGTCCATGGCCTTGCAAGAAAAATTCAACGCTTATTTACATACTGTTCAACTTGTCTCCGTGTCATTAATCAGGTCCATGGAACACTGGTTTTGAACATTGACTGATTTCCTTTGTGTTTTCCTTTGCAGGTATTGTGGAGCAAGTCATGGAGCACGCCATCGCAGACCAGCGAGCTAATCGGGACTTCAGGGCCAAGTTTCCTGACGACGTCTTGCAGGATAGCCTCGCCGGCCAGCTTTGGTTTGGAGCAGAGGTAGGCACACATGAACATCATTGGCCAAACCTTGCATGAGTCATGTTTGTCTAGTGTTGTGGTCAAGGTATTTGTGTTGATCATCATTTTAAGATGATTAGTTTATTTTGAGAATTATTCCTTCTTTCCAAATACGCAGTGCCTGGCTGCCGGTTCCACAATCATGAATCGGGAGATTGAGAGTGCTGCGCTGCGTCCGTTGGCCAGGGGGTTGACCCGAAGCTTGGATGTGCTACGTAGTGTCCTGCGAGAGCAGTGCTACAAGAACTTGAACCATTACAGTGAGAAGGTAATGTTACTGAACTAGGATCTTGCATATTGAAAGAAACTAGGGTTTGCAGTTGTCAGAAAACATAGGCTCAATTTCATGAAGCTGGTAAGTACAGATGTTTACTTAACACACAGTAAGCAAAATTATGTAAGCAGCCAAAATGTCATGCATTGTGAATTGCTTTTGACTGGTTCACAGGTTTGTTTGTCTTTTGCTTATTACATAGCTGCTATGAAACATTTTCTGCTTAAAAGTTTAATTTTTAGTGTCGCCTAGCAACCTGAAGAGTTTATTGGACGCGATTACAGCCATTTTGTTACCTTTTCGAAGGCTGCTGTCTCCTGGCTACCCAAAGTCTGTTTTGACGGTTTTGTATATTAAAACACAGTTTAAGCATACAATAAAGCGAAAAATGAAGTTTAGAAGCAGCAGCTAAATTGTTTTTATTGTTTTAAAGTTTCATAAAAGTGCAAATTCTTTTTCCAATGGATGTGTCACGTATTGGAAACAAACTCTTCAACCTGTTTTTCTGTTTAATGAGCACGCCTTACAGATTTTCATTTCATAGTAACTGTTAAGCAATCTGCTTTGCTTAAAGTGATACGCAAGCAAAAAGAAGTAGCTTTAGAGCTGCATTCTTACACTTAGCATTGGATGACTCAAGAGAGAGAGAGGGGTTTTTGTTTGTTATACACTGATGTTACTTTTAACTCCATCCTTTACTCCATCTTTTAACTCCATCTTTTGTGAATTGACGTGTGGAGAATTATTTTCCGATTGATGTTCACAGGTTAAAGAGGGCCTGCGTAAATTTGACGAGATGTTTGCTGAGTTTGAGCTGAGCTATGTGAGTGCCATGGTTCCTGTCAAGACAGCGAGGGAATATGACACTCAGCAGGACGTCATTGTGCTGTTCTGTGAGACCATGGACAGGTAACAGTCAGTTTCCTATCATGGTTTATTTTGACGATTTGTAATAAAAAATAATGAAGCCTCTCTCATTTATTGGGTACAAATATATCTTCTCAATATATCACTCTGATTGAAGCAATGTAGTAACTGGATTTCAATCTGAAATTTATATACTTTTTGAAGTAAGGCAATGTTTAAACTCATGTCAATAAACTTGAATTTTAAATTATTTTTACCATCAAAAATGGTGCATAACAGCGCCTTCATCCTCTTAAAAAATATGCCATTGCATTTCCCAGGTTTGCAGCATTTCTAGGTTTCTAGCCTTCACTTACTAACCCTGGCTCCATGGAATATAAGGATTTATGACTTCTGACTAGCATCCCTTAAACAAAGACTTTGACAAATGGGGAGCCACCAACATAGGGCTGGATAGCTCAGTTAGTAGAGCACTAGTGCAGAGTTGTGGAGGTCCATGGTTCAAGTCCCACCTAAGTCAATTTCTTTGGTTAAACGTATAGTGAACCCTTGTTGTTTTCCATTGTGATTTATCTGAAGACTTTTCTTTCAATTTATCCCTTTATTTCATTTGGTTTTAGGGCTTTGAAGCAGTGTTACATAACCCAAGACAGAGTAGATGACTATGACCCTGCGTTGATGTTTACTATTCCTAGACTGGCTATAGTCAGGTAAAGATTCGGAACTATTCAGACTTTTTTTTATTTTACATTTTAATGTAAAGTTTGGTTGTTTTTTTCCCAAGCCATCCATGATATAATTAACTTTTGAGTGAGACATTGAAAAAATACTGGCCCACATTTAGTCATGGAGTACGACTTTACAAATTTTGAATTAATTATGGTCTGGTAATAGTTCAGTACTCTGTTGATGCTCCCCATCTGAGAGTACTTGGATTTGTCTGTAGTGAATTGTAAAAGTAGATAAAAAGCTTCTTCCTCAATTGCAGCGGCTTGCTGATTTTCCCGGACGGACCTCTGAATATGGACAGGGACTCACGGAACATCTCGGAACTCTTCAGACCTTTCCAGGGTTTACTGCTCAAAATAAAGTAAGAACACATGCTTCTTTCTCTGCTGTTCAACCGTTTTGTTGACTTGTTTGTTTTATTATTTTGAGGATATTTATTGCTGGTAGTGAAACGCAGGACTCTGTAAATGTTCCTAGGGCATTGTATAATTTGCAAGGGCCGGAGAAGGCTGTGGTAGTCAGAGTGTCATCCATTGATCAACGGAGCCCGCAAGCTCCGCAACAACGTCTGATATATGTGAGCATGCAGATGTATGCAATCCAACGCGCCAGCCAATCGGTGTTGACTTTAGAAATTGTGAAGTCATTTTGAGTAGAAATTCAGTCTAAGCTGTTGATTGGTCAATTTGGCTGCCTTTTTTGTTATGCAACAATGGATTACCGATGACCTGGTAGCAGGTGCCTGTTGAATGGTCAGAATCTGGAGGTCAAGACGCAGACTTGTTTTGCATAATTACGTGCTGAATCTGCAGACATGTCAGAAACGCTTGCTTTGCAAGTGGCTATTCCATAAACTAAGCTGTGGAGGGTAAAAAGTTCACATTTTTAAAGCTGTTCAGCTTTTTGGGATGGGATGGTAACCTCAGATAAACAGTCCGCGAACAAATAAGGTACGGAGAGAAAAAGAAATTTACATGTTGGCATTGGTAGGATTTGAACTAGGGTCACTGAGGTGGAAAAGTACCACTCTGCCAACCTGACTGATCAAATTATTTTCCTGACTCGAAAAAAAGATCTTGATTATGGAAAACACTGATGAACCATTTGAACTTTAATTTTGTTCCAGGGAATTATTAGAAACCCTGCACGAGGAGGAACTGCATCTTCTGGAGAAGGCGTTGTGCAGCACCAAGGAATCATGGGAAGACATTGAACGCCAGCTGAACGAGATGAGCCTGAACAACGAGACACCACCGCGAGGGCGCTCTCGCCGCACCAGCCGCAACCCGGACTCCATCTGCCTGTCGCCATGTGACAGCATGATGACGGAGTGCTCTCTGATCAGCTCCAGCTTTCTGTCCACCCCTGAGGGGGCAGATCTTCTGATGCAGAGGCTGAGCTTCTCCGATTCTTACCAGGATCTCCCCGTACCTGAGATGAGCGAGAGGGAGTCTTTGAGCCCTGGGATGTCCCCAGTAGCTTCGGGAAGGGATGCCATGCCTGAAATAACTTCCATCTGTGATGGCGAGGGGCCTGGGATTTCAGAACTTAGAAATGGGAATAGTGAAACTGGAGGCGTGGAGCAAGTAGTTCTTGATGGACATCAAAATGGTGATCTTGCAAACAATAACTTCTTTGGACAGCGAGTTTCCAACAATGACACGAATTCTGCCCCAGTGAGCAGGGCACCGGTGTCCAATGGCTCGGAACCAGCTGTGAGGGAGAACCACCGTCCACGCCTGACACGGGAGGACAGTGGGCTAGGCTCTGCCCCCGAAATGGAGATGATGGATTTGTTCATCAACGTTCCACCCATGCTCCAAAGCAGCGTGGAGATTGAATTGAATGGTGGAGAAAGCCTGGTCCGTGTTCAGAACACCGACTCGGTGCCGCACAGCAGTAAAGCTGCCCTTAACCCTTTGAGAATAGACGGTGGATCCCGGGCAGTTGGCACCAACCCTTCGCCAGTAGCACCCCCGACCAACTTTGGCAAAGGGAAGCCCAGCACAGAACTAAGCTTAGTCGGTGCTAGAACTAGTCCGACGGTGAACAACAGACATCACTCTGATTTCACATCGGAGGGGTCAGTGTCCCTCTCCCATCAAGGCTCTCTGGACACACCCTCGCCCAACGGCCAAAACGAACCCACGTCCTTCTTCCAGCGGCTCCGTCATGGTTCGGGCCACCGGTCCTCAGATCAAGAGTCGTCTCGCGCATCCAGTCCCAACGGGGCCATCTCGGCCAGTGCAATAAACAGGGTGGAGGGGAGTCGGGGAATGAGACGGGCTACCAATCAGAGGTCATGTGACCTGCCGGAGGATGATGCTGATGATGGGGGTTCGTCAAGCTCCTGTTCATCATCATGCTGTGGAGGTGATGATGACGTCTGTAGCTACAAATGGGAATCAGATGGAAGGTATTGATAAAAGAAGAAACTACTGTCAAGTTAACTCATTAGTTCCTCTACCACTCCAAAGGTACCAATAATGTAGGTTGTAATGGATTCAGAGAATGAATACACTGTAGACCAGTGTTAATGGGTTAAAATGTATCGTTTATCTTGCTTTGAGTGGAGGGAGAAGAGATCAACATGGTTCAAATGACATTTCTTGTCAATCAAGATTTTGTCACTGGTGACAATTTCTGAATGTAGGCCAAAACATAAATTTAGACCTCACTCATAATCATTAGAATACTATGATAGAAGTCTGGAGTGGGATTTAATGTATATGCTGCATCTCAGAGCATTGCCATGTATAATCCTCAGGGAAGCAGTCAATGCTCCAGAAATTTTCATTGGCATGATAATCAGGGGTAGTAAATGATAAAAAGTGGGTTGTTACGATATTGAAGAGTCTGTTGTTTATAATCCTTTTTTTTAATACTCACCTAGTCACCTGTAGTATTATTGATCACTGCTGTGTCTTCATCTCCCGTAGCGATAGTGACAGCACGTCTTACCTGTCTGAGAACAATGATGAGCTAGAGATTGCCATGGCGATAGAGGCAGCGGAGGTTGCGGCGAGGCAGGAGATGAGGTCTCACTTCCGTAGCTCCAGTGACTTGGTGCACAGGCTCTTTGTCTGTATTGCAGGTAGGCATTCCAAAAACAAATCAACAGAAAATAGATCAGGGTTTTGCTGAGCTAAAAGTTTGGCTTATTGCCTAACCCCAATATGACAGTATTCCCAGCCACTCTGGAAAATCAGAGCAAACTTTCTAAATGAGTTTCAATGTTTTCCTGGCGGGGAAAAGTCAGGGAATTTTGAAAAACACCCAAAATTTGGGAAGATTCAGGGATTTTGACAGTGACTCAGAAGGGAAAGGTTTTTGCCAGTTTGGCGTATGTGCGTCTTGTGCCATGTGTCCAAGTCGTGTCCATTGACTGACTGGCTGTGGTGGCTATTTTGCATTTTAATGCACCATGAATATTACACACCTCTCCAGACATCATCATTTGACTGTGCTACACCATCTTTTGACTTCACTGCAACCTCATTCAAGTGAAAATATTCCTCATGGAATTTTGTAAAATTCTCAAGGAAATATCAGGGAAAACTCAGGAAATTTTGTTTTCATAAAGTGCTGGGAACCCGTACTATTATTCTATATTTGGTTAGGTTTACTTGCTTGTGCTGGCATAATAATGGGATGAAATAAACTTAAAACTAGACATTTGAAAGAAAAAGATGCTTGAAAAAGTTCATGAATCAGTTTCTCTTAAGCTCCCCTGTGTGTTCTTGAGCGTTACGATATGTTCTGTATCACAAATTTGGCTGTACTGAACATCCCTTTTGGGCTCTCGAATTTCATGTTCAATTATACCAATACCAACCAGTGTGTTTATTCACTTTAATTGAGCAAGTAAATGCAAGACTGAAAGTAAAATCTGACTTAAAAAATAAACTTGTGATTCTGTATTTTATTACTCTTCCAAGGTGTTGCTGACCAGCTTCAGACAAACTATGCCAGCGACTTGCGTAACATCCTAAAGACTGTCTTCATCATGTGTGCCACGGAACCGTTTGTCATCACTCCAGAAGATGTCTGTCAAAATGGTACCTCGCAAGCTGAACCACAAGAGGGCGCTAGCCAAAGTGGTGCTACTGGAACTAATGTCGTCGAGGCAAATTCCGAAGCCAGTAGAGCATCGCCCACAAATGGCCGGGTCCGATTTGAGAGTGGAACGGATACCGAAGAAAGGACTCTTGTGGGGGACAGTGTTCCCTCTGACTTAAATTCTGAAATCGAGAGCTTGGCTGGGACATCAACAGACCCTGAGAGCACGGTATCTACAAACGGACAGAAATTGCCCACAGATGGGTCAGAACAAAACGATACATCTGCTTCTACTGGAGACAGTATCATCAGGGATGCACCAAGCGAAGGGTCCGTCATTGAAGACACAGCCCAAACTGAGAGCCCAGTGTCGGAATCGAAGGAAAGGAGGAGGCATCGCAGCGGCTCCAGAAACAGAAGGTCCACCGCTTACCAAGGTACAAATCTTAAACCCTTTGCTCTACCACATCACTTCAGTATTTGCCATAAGTGACTTCCTTGTAAACAAGTCAGTTAAGATCTCCCCAGGCCCTCCTATTCTCCCCAAATCAGTCCTGTTGCTGAGCGGCAGATAGGCCCTCTAATGGCATTTTGATGCACTCCAGAGTTCACTTGGAGAGCGAGTCTAAGCATCCTTGAATACACTTTAGCCGGAGTGCATTTACACTATGGTCTCTGTGTGCGAACAGGAGAGGGAGCTTTTTGACCACTTTCAAGAAACCCAACACCAAACATGCCAAAATTCAAATCTCGGAAGTTGCTGTTGAGATTGTTCACAAAGGTCCGCACGATAATACTACGCATCGGTGCATCAATACTGTAAAATACAAGTGTGTGCAGTGAGCTTTATAGCTTTGAATACAGTGTAAACTGCAGCTTTCGCCAGCGTCAGAAATGTGAAATATGTTTTGTTTTCTCATGTGGCCTGGTTCTTATTTTTATAATTCTCCACAAATGACTTCAAAACCTTTCTCTATTATTGTGTGAGAAGTAACTAAGTAATTTGTAAAGTTGGTTACGGATGTATACCCGATCCCATAATCAAGAACCGGTTCCTGACATTAGCGGTCAGGTACTCTGGTACCCGGTTCCAATGCACAGCCATAGCCATGAGCATCAGGCAGCGTCGGCAATGCATTCCAATGTCTCTCCCAGTGGTCTCCCCCAACTCTCCCTTTCTTACCTTTGAGCAGGTACTTGTGTACGGAGCCCATTGACAAGGGTGACATGAATGACCCCAAATTTCATAACTGAAGTATTGGCTACTTTTCACAAAACATTCCTTTTGTCAGCTTTAATGAGCCAGAAACTTGCCAGTGCATTTTTGTCATGATCCTTGGTGAGTAAACAGTGTTATTTTATATATTTTTCTCCTCATGTTTTCATTGTAGAACCGCCACCTTGGGTTCCTGATGATAGTGCTACTGAGTGTACGTCCTGTAAAGCTCTATTCACAATGCTGAGGAGAAAACACCACTGTAGGAACTGTGGAAAGGTATGGTGCTTAAACTAAGTCTTTTTTTTGGGGGGGGGGGGGGGGTTGGCACTAGAAATTTAAGCCATGTTTGAATTACTTGGCTAGTAACACATGCATCTACAGTATACAAAGCTTGAAAGACAAAATTGAAACCGTCATCTTAAGGGGGAGATATATATTTTAACAGTTTAAAAAAAATTTACACATTTCAACCACCTACCCAGAAGAGTCTTATCTTGCGTACTTATCTTGTGTGCTTTGTGTTTTCAATTTTCCGACAACTAAGATCCTGCCGTAGCACTTATCAGCCCAATTTATGAATTGAAGTCCTTCACTCAACAGCATTTTCATGTGTATCTTTGACCAGATTTTCTGCGGTCGGTGTTCGGCCAACTCGGTCCCCCTGCCACGCTACGGTCAGCTCTGCCCGGTCCGCGTCTGCAACCGATGCTACATGTTCCAGGTCACCCCGTTCCAAACCTGAAATCCTTTTCACCACAAGAGGGCGCACTCCAACGCAATCACTGAAAATAACTAGTAACACTTTATATCCATTATTGGCTGATTATTTCTGAGCCAGGCGTGTAAATTGTCCCCAGTCAATTGTAACTTTTGGTTTTTTCCCCCCAGTATTCCCCCCCACACAAAAACTTAATATGTTTTCCATTTCCAAAGTTCGGTATTATGATAGTTATCAACCATAAATAGGATATGCAGTGCTTATATCGTTATGACCCAAAAATGAAAGAATACCTGGAGTTTAATGCATGTAAACACACTGTACTTCTACTTCTACGTGGATAAGTGCCAGTAGCAGATCTGGATTGGGAGTTGTGGGGTTGCAAGCACCTGATCACCCGCTGACTGATGTTATGAAACTAGTAAAATGGGGACACAAATAATAAATGGAATGCTAAAGTTTATAAATTTATTCTTGAATTGCCTCAGAGTGAATGAGAAATCATCGTAGATTTCAACATTTTCTTGGGGATTTGCCCCCTCCCCACTTTATATCCCCCCCCTCGTTTCCGCCCGTGAGTGCATCCATATATGTAAAGACAATTATTGTTTCTAGAGATTATTTAAAACAGTCTTGATTGTGTGAAACTAGTGAGGCTTGAGTTTCCAGAGTGTGTTGGGAACCAAAGGCAAAAACTGAAACTCTTTCTCCATTCGGAGATTTGCTTGGGCAAACACCGTCAGAGATGAACAAAATATCCACCAAATTTATGAGTATGTAAAGTTTTTGTGACTAATGATAATACAATAAAATGCAGCTGGTAATTCAAGAATTTCACATTCATTTTATTCCATAGTTATGCCTCCCTCAGCATACAAAGATGGCCGCCCCTTGTAGCAGCCATCTTTGTTGCCATAGAAAATCTTGAGACTTTGTAGAGTCTGGAAGTTGCTTGGGATCTTGTGTGTTATTTTTCTGTATAAAAGTGAGAAACTTGGGATGTAGTGTTGAAGCCATAATATCTTAACTGAATATTGTGGGAAGGAAACGTAGTCACTTGGTTTACAGGATTTGAGCATTACTTCTGGAATTTTTACGATATCAATTACACAACTGGAGACAAGTATTATATTCATTTAATATATGCAAACAATATGAAAATATGACTACTCAACCAGGTAACCAATGTATGATGTATTATATACAACCAGGATATTTATGGCACCAATATTCATTGCGTGAACAATGCAGTCTGTAAATAACGACAAGCTTTGTGTATTTATTGCCAGGAGTATGGAGTTTTATAATGTACAATTTTATCGCAGTCAGCGATAGGCACAAAAGGCTTGGTGGCATAAAATTATTGTGTAGAAGTAAGATGAATTGAAACGGTCAATGAAGAGAGACATTCACAAAATTGGACTGCGCCCAAACTTGGTTTGAATGCACAATTGGTGGAGTGGCGTTACAGTATTGTAGGTAGTTACTGAAAGATTCTATCACCAACACTTATAAAAACACACATGTTTACACTTCTGTTTTCAATGGATTAATATCTCATGTACTTAATGTATCATACTGGAAAGTATTTATCAGGTTTTCCTGTTTATTTTTATTTCCTCTTGGCAAGTGTTTCCTCAAGTATTTATGAAACAAGCTGTTACTGTCTTGCTACATCTTCGCTAACTCTTCAAAAATCCACCGGGGTTTGCTTGTTTTGGGGGTTTTGCAAAAGTGAGGAAAGTTGAGTCTGGTCTGAACACAGACACAAAATGGCTGCTTATTGTGGATAGCCATCAATCAGTTTGCGTCGGAGGATGTGATAACACGCACTTGTTTTTTATTTTAACACAGGCATGGCTGACGGGTTAAAACATCAAGATTGCCTCAACTCGCCTCCGGGTGCATGTCTAAGCACGCTACCCTCGTGTCTTTTGTACACATGCACACATAAAGTCAGTAAAGTCTGTGGAGGCGGACTGTGTGTTGATCTTGAATTGGCCGTTGTGCAACGGCCTATTGTACAATTTCCACTCCTGTACCCCAGATTTACTCCACACCCCAGAGTATTGAAACAAATGAGGTTTCGGCAAGAAATTTGTTTACAGTTGAAATGACTCTTGCGAATCAGTATTTGTGGCGTTTGGCTATATATCAGAAATTTCCTGGAAAATTTTGCCTTTTGCGAAAATCAAGTTTTATGTCAGATTGACCTATGATGTAGGGGTCAACCTAGCTACTGCTAGCCCAATAGGGCACTGCGTACCAATAGGGCACTGCGTTAAGTGTGACACATGAGTGCATAGGAGAAGTACACCAAACAAACTAAAGGGGAGGGTTTTTACACTTTGTTTGAGTTGGGAGGATTCAGATATGCCTAGGGAGTTAGGGTGAACATGTACAAGGCATATACAATTGTGCACAGTATTTAAAGCGTTGGTTGAAAAGGGGGGGGGGGGAATGAAAAGAAGTCTCTTGGTGCTTGAACAAAATCAGGTTAGTTTTTTGTGTTTTGAAAGTAAAACAGGTATACTAGATACAAGTATTTTATTGTTGCTTGGGGGGGGGGGGGGGTCTACAAGTTTTCAAATTTCACATAGCACCCATGCATGTGGTTGAGTTTATTTGGATGAATTTGACCGGTATTTCACTTGCATTTTATGCATATTATGATTTGTTTCTTTTTGGGCCATTACTGCAAATATTTAAATTGGTTTGCAGACTGCCAAAACTGAAAGAATATACCAATCATGTCTGAAGAAAGGTCCAGATTTGTCTTATCTATCAATTTAGCAGAATATTAAGCTTTTGGACAGGTTGATTTAAAAGGTCTTATTGTTTTGTCAGAATATAAGCTGATAAGGTTCGTTACCGTGTGAAGTGTAGAATGATTTAAAATTCATTACTTGTTTTCTGAGTTGGGTTCATGGTGCCTACATGTGCAGTTTTTATTGTCCATTTTCAGGTTTATTTTTATATTTAGCTGAAAGAATTGGAAAAAAACATTTGGTGGCCAAAAAAGTGTAAATACTTGATGCTGTAGTCTGTCAACAATGTAATTGCATGTCGTTTGTTTCTCGTCATGCTGGTCCTTTTCATGTTTCTTTCTGTACAAAAATACGGTAAAAAACCTGCAGAATGAAATAAAAATTCTGATTAATTGTTGATGTGTTGCTTAGCAACAAGGGTGGGATTTCCCTAGCTGGTTTCTGGTCCTTCTGTGATGTGCAGGAACCAGTTAGGGAAAATAAGCAACCGGTTACTTTTTTCACCGTTGAGTTATCAAGTGTATATTGAGTGCATTGCAGAGCTATTGCGTGGTCAAAATATTACCAATAGACCAACAATTCATTTGCTTAAAATGTGGCTGAAAAAGCTGCTGTAAAAACCTGCTTAACTGTGAACATTTGTATTGTATAGCGAGGTATATGTCTACATAAGACACTACTTGTTGCAATGGATAAAAACTGGTGAAGTGTTTCTTTGCATTCTGCATGTTACATATTGAGTATGAATAAAATGCCTCTTGTCTGATCCAGAAAAAAAATTCATCTTTTCTTGAGTTTCTTTGTGTTCCGCCATTCGATGCGTTCCCTGTGCTATTTTCGATGTTGACCCAAAGAATTAGATCGTTGTTTTCTTCAATTGCTCTTTCTCTATATCCCTTTTTTATGAACTTAAGAATACATGTAATGAAAAAACTGAAGAACACAGGGTATGCAACTTTAATAGGGTTGTAATTATAAGCCCCTCCCCTGAAAGTCATGACTACCAACATCGACCCCCGCCCCCAATTTGAAAAATCCAGGACTCGTCACTGCACTATACTATGACTACCAACATACCCCCCCCCCCCTATTTTGGCAAATCTAGGACACTGGCTATTCTATGCTCAGTGACAGCATGGAGGAAGGTTAAAACCACAACAAATTTTGAGTTATCTTTAAATACAGGAGGCAGGTTTTAAACCCTGTCGATCTTCTTTTTTAATGGTACTCGATGCCATTGGGACGAGGTTGATAATTTCTATAAATATTTTAACTATGTGAATTGGGACTTCATCCTTACATTATTTATTAACTGTATTTATAAACACTCATGCTCATGCCCTTCAATTTTTGTAAAATTAGTCATTGGTCACGTGACCCGCGATTGTTATTAATTTTGGCGTGGTAAGATTGGAATGCGTCGGTTAGTTTGCGCTTTTCAATTTGAAATGCTTACTCCCTTTAAGAACTTGAACATGCGGTCATTGTTCAGTTGATTTTGTGCCTCAGTATAAATTTCAAACGTAGCACTATATTTTTTCCAAATATTATATTCACAGCCTTGAAGTGTTTCATTGTGAAAATTTGTTTCTGTTCATGACTATTTGAGATAAATATTGCTAGCGGAGTAGCTACAAACTGAGTAAGCTCAGTGACTGTAACAGCAAACCGGAAGTCGTTCTGTTTGAGAACGACATCGACGTTCGTCTAGTTTCAGATCCACGAAGTTTCGTCGATGAATTGAAATTACTTGAAGAAAAGGTTTGATTTACAGTTTTTACTAATGAAGTTATTTGTAATAATTTTTATGTATTCAGAGCGTTATTTTGCATATTTTCCCGAAATTGTTACCAACAGAGAGGCAAGTTTACCGCGAGTTATTAGTTGCCCAATTTTCGGACACCGCGGTTCACTACCGACTGTTCACATTCCATCTCAGTGTCACATCGACAACCGGTCATGCCGGTCCTACTAAAATGAGTCAACAAGCGTCAACGGTTGTCGTCAACCCAGCGTCAGTAAATTTTTTTAAAAGTTTTAGAACATAAAAAAAAGCTTTATATAGCGACAAAACTAGGTATAAATTAAAGTTAAAATTATTTCAAAAGTTGATTTTTCAACGCGAAATGTACGAATCGAGTAATCGAGTTAGCGTTGGCCGCCATCTACTAATCTAGGCCTAGTTTTTGTGAAACTAGCCATACTACGCATGCGTGAAGTGTACAGTACCAATTCAAACAAGATGGCGGCCAACATTAACTTGACAAACTCGTCGTACGTTTCGCATTGAAAAGAACAACTTTTGAAATAATGAAGTGGCTATCGAGTATCGTTACGGCAGCCATTGTTTAGCGTCCTCTACGATACTTTTTTGATACACACGCAGGTATATAATTATTTGTTTCCCCACGTTCTAGCGAGCAGTGCGACAGATCAGTCGATAGAGGGTAGGATTTTGCACCCCGAGGTTGCGGGTTCGCATCTCAGTTTTGCACTCAAATTTGTTTCCTTTTCTAACCTGAGGCTTTGGAGGATTTTTTTTAAAAGGGAAATAAAGTCCGAATTTCATAACGTTCAAATTCACTTTTTTCCTTCTAATTTTATATTTTCTTCTCATGTTTTTATAAAAGTTGCAGTCTACTGTAACAATAGAAAATGGGAAATGCGTTACGGCTGCCGTAACGATAGCCACTGCGTTGAAATAATTTTCACTTTAAAGTTTAATTTAGACCTATATGCTGAAGTGAAGGCATTCTTTGTCGCTATTTCTGCCATTTTTTAAAGAAGCGTTTTTGATGTTCCAAAACTGATACAAAATTTGTTGACGCTGGGTTGATGATCGTTGACGCTTTCTTGCGCTTGATGATGCCAGTTGACGCTTTTTAGTAGGACCCCAGTCGATAGGGATACAGATTGAATGTGAATGATGTCCGAAAATTGGAAACTACCCCTACAGTAGAACTCTGGGGCTCCGCGCTTGTTCCAGAGTTCTGGGTACTGTGTAACTTGTTACTTTGCACCAGTTGATTTGAATTCCCTTGTAATTCTTGAACAGTAGCCTTGTCTTGTCTGTGTGATAAGCCTACTAGTACTACTACTATTTGTTTTCAAAAAAAATTAACAAAAAAATGAAATTCTTAAAATTATTTGTGAGGTACAAATAATAACATTGTTGATGTTTAGTGCAACATATCTACCAAGCTCATGGCACTTAATGAACAAGAATTACAAATTAGTCAAGGCAAGAAGGAAATAAACAAAATGAAATAATAAATGGAAAGAAAGTTGCATCCTGATGCCATTATCACAATGAAGGTCAGTCATTGCAAAAATGTTGAGAAGACATGAATCTGGGACTGAGAAACACTTCCAATTTTGTTAGAAAATATCTTGAAAATGCACTCAACTCACCATAGACTTTGTACACAACCACAGAAGTGGCGTCGGGATACTACTATTTTTCCAAATAAATACAAAATGACAAAACCAAAACCCAAAGAAACAATGTACAAAGGTGAAATATAAGATGTGACTACTTTGCTGGATAATATGGGGAATCATCGTTAAAATAGCCTATTGTAACAGGCGAGTAAGAACTGAGACATTTAAACATGCCATTAATTATACCTGTGGCATGTTTCAGGTAAACCTATTTGCTAACAACAATCCTGAATACTCCAGTTATAATATAATTTGTCACAGTTCCAGTAGGGTTCGGGTTGTACATGCTGTCAATAATACTCTGTGATTAATTCAGTTCTGTATTTTTTCCACATATCCCACAGGAATCGTAGTAAGCAGTCAAGATGAGTAGCAGAGGTAGCCCCATGGGCAACCTGGTCTTCAAATGGGACCCCAAAAACCTGGAGATCAGGACCTACTCAGTGGAGAAGACACTAGAACCACTGGTCATGCAGGTCAGTGTTGTGGTAGAATGCAGTATCTTGTTTGCACTTCTTTCAGTTTTCAACATGTGAACTTCAGTAATTGTCTGTATTGCAAATGTGTTGGAAGAACATAGTATTGGAATTCAGAAACATTTCCTGTTTTCATAGGAAATAGAAAATCAACTTTGTTGACAACTACCATAATGATCTAATAAATACAGCAGCTAAAGTTATTGAAAGAAAACAAAAATCTACTATACTGACCAAAACATTCACCAAGCTATAAGATATTTTGACATTTCTCTTGTGTGACAGGTCACAACTCTGGTCAAAACACAGCCGTCAAACCGGAAGAAAGGCCACTCAAAGAAAGCTCATGTCTTGGTAGCAGCAGTCGCCAAGGCAACAGAGGCATTCATTAAAAAGGGAGAGGAGATTGCCAACGAGATAAAAGAGATCCGAGAGCAGATGCTGGAGACTGTGGAAGACGTCCGTGAGAAAGGTTAGTTAATAACATAAGGGAGGCTGGTAAGTGGTTACCAGACTGTTAATTAACCCTAGGGGTTTTTGAAACCACGGCTCTGTCTCGGCTATGGTTTCAGGATATACCCTGATTTGGGGGACTCTGGCTCAATATTTTGACATTGAAGACTTCGAAAGATTCCGCTGCCAAAGATGAAGCAAACTATTGAGACGAAACTGGGATTTCAAAAAGTAGCCATGCTGTACCTGTGACTCACATAGTATAACCCAACTGGTCAGTAGTAACCCAAGATTAGCTCCTAGACTCCTCAAAATACAGCATTTGCGAGCGCAAGTGAAGTTGCTAGAGGTACCATTCTAAAACCTTCATGACGGAGAAACGGATGTACGCATTCTGCAGGAAGGAATTTTGTCGACCTTCAACAATGACACCAAATCTGTATGAGATGGAAAAAACAATCTTACATCCCTCCTTACATAGGTGAGATCATGCACAAGGCTTCATCAGAGTTTGCCGATGACCCTTGTTCGTCCATGAAGCGAGGTGCGATGACCCGCGCAGCTCGTAACCTCCTGTCTGCCGTGACAAGACTCCTCATCATGGCCGACATGGTGGATGTCCATCTGCTGCTCAAATCTCTGAAAGTTGTAAGTTGCTGTTTGGAATATTCAAAAATTAATGAATCATGTTGACAAGGTAGCTTCTTTAACTCTTAAAAATCCTCTACTGCATAGAAATCCCAATGAAATTTGGAGGCCACGTTTTTTTCCTGACCCTGTTCCATCTGACATCTATAATTTTACAATTTTGATGCACTCTTTAATAATGCAGTCATCCTCCAAGAGTGACCAATCAAATTTGAAGTCATTCTTAATGCTACTTGTGTGGCAAATTACAAAGTACCAAGGTAAATGTAACAGGGACAGGACAAATGACCCACATGCTTTGTACTTCAAATTTCAGTGAGTATCGGTTGTATCTTACTCAATCCTGCAAAAAGTGAGTCAACTTATTAACAAAACTTGGATATCAAAATACTGTTTTATTTTTGTATAGCCAAAAATAAAAACACCAAACCCCTAACAGTTTTGAATGGAAATTTTGTGTAGCAAGATTTTCAAATTCCATAACATTTTGCAATATGAATCAAGGGAGTTTGCTCACTGTTCTATCTTAATGCTCATGATCCCTTTGAGTTTGAAGATTTATGGGTTTATTTCTTTCCCGGTCTAGGTTGAAGGAGATCTTGCCCAGATCATGAGGTCCAACAACCAGCAGGACCTTGCCTCCAGCTTCAAGACCTTCGGCAAGGACATGATGGAGTTCAACAAGCTCCTGGCCCGCCGACAGAACGACCTGAAAGACCCACGACAGAGAGATGAGATGGCGGCAGCTAGAGCTGACCTGAAGAAACACAGCACTATGCTGCTCACGGCCTCCCAAGTAAGCCTCATTGCTCCTTGTTTTGATTTGCTTGTTCAGTTTGTAGAGCACTGGCATAATGTGCTTGAGGCTCTGGGTTCGAACATTGCGTGATTCAGTTTTGTTTGCCCAAAACAATGTGACAATAGGGTATACTTACATCAACTTATGAATTGTAACTTAAAAATAGCAACCACAACTTCTCTGGGCTAAAAGACACTTTTGGACACATTTGTTTTTTGTGATAATTAAAAAAAAAGGAATTTCAATTCTACATTTACAGAACTTATGACAATTGTCTTAAAAATGTAAAACCCAAAACAACCACCCTTGGCTAGAAGGCTGTTTGATTTGGGATGATTTTATTTGTTGGGCAACAAAATTAAGAAACGTTGTTCCATGGACTAGGAAAAAAGTACTGAGGGACGAAAAATAATGCAAAATTATTTGACAATACTTCAGAAAACTGAAAAAAAATATAGAGTTAAAAAACTGACCCAAAGTTAAAACTAGAAAAGGGAATAAATGGTTCGTTTCTTCTCCCAATTTTGATGCTGAGTAAGTGAGATAGATCACAGAAGATTAACTTTCCGTAAGCTGCACTAATTTTTTGAAATTGTGTTTATTTATTGAAAATTGTGTATATTGTTGTTTAATTGATGGTATTTCATCTAACAGGCATACCTGCGTCATCCTGATGTCCCAGCTGCCCGCGAGAATCGGGATTTTGTCGTCAAGCAGCTAGAGGGCGCTATGAACACCATCTCCAGTGTGTCTCAGGCCCGTTCAGACCAGCCACCGCTTCACGCTGATGTAGGAGGAACTGGGGAGCTGATCGCTGCACTGGATGATCTTGACGTAAGTCCTGAGAGGAGAAACCCTTAACACCTTGCTCTACTACACCCTCCCAAAACACCTCAATATTTGCCTTAATACTCTGCACTTCACAAAGATTTGCAAAATCACTTTTGCCCATAGAGTTAGCACCCACACTCCAAATTCCTGTGCGGTAATCTTTTGTGGAATCCCTGCACACTTCTTGTGTGTAGTTAAGCTCAGGGCAAGCAGGTAGATTCGTTCATGCTTCACTGCATGCCACTCTGAAGCATGACACAGTTACTTGAACACATCATATCACTCTAACTTGAACACCCGTTGCACTGTGTTGCATCTGGCAGGGCTGGGGTTAATTTCTCCATCTTGTTACCCCTTTCTCAGCGTAAGATCAAGATGAGTCCTTCCGAGTATAATGAGATACGGACCCGCCCTTCCCTGGAGGAGCAACTTGAGAGCATCATCAGTGGTGCCGCACTGATGGCAGATTCCTCCTGCACCAGAGACAATCGTAGGGAGAGGATCGTGGCTGAGTGTAACGCAGTCAGGCAGGCTCTGCAGGACTTGCTGTCTGAATACATGGACTGTGTAAGTAACAATTCAAATTCTAAGGGGGTTATAGGCCGGCAAGTATGTCTTTACTTATCCCAAGATTGATTGATTTTTCCTGTTTTCTAATAGGATGGGAATTTGAACATTGTATTTGCATACTAGCAGGTTTTCACATTTTTTTTTATTCCTAGGCTGGCCGTAAAGATCGTAGCGACCCCCTGGATCAAGCCATTGATCACATGTGCAGCAAGACAAAGGATTTACGCAGACAGGTTGGTCAAAATAGCTCACCAAAGTTTTTCATTTGATAGCACAAAGTGAAATGCATTAATTTGTAACCCATGAGGCTATGAAAATTGTATTTTTAAGCAAGCTCAGTATTCTGTATAGGCACAGACTACAAATGCAGAGCCATGTGCTGCTTGAGTTGAATAATCGTGGCTATTTTATTGAACTGTTTCTCCACAGCTGCGTAAGGCAGTCGGTGACCACGTCTCAGATACCTTCTTGGAGACCAACATGCCCCTGCTGGTACTCATCGAGTCGGCCAAGAGCGGCAACGAGAGAGAGACAGAACACTACGCTGGCGTCTTCAGAGAGCACGCTCAGAAACTGGTTGAGGTACGCTTCATGAATTGGTACCAATTTCCAAACAAACCATCAAACCAATGAAAGCAATGAATGTCTTCGAGTATTAATTTACAATGACATAAATTGTTTAAACCAGTACTTAGTGATATAAGATGAGGGGGACTGTACTAACATGACCTGCGTCCTTTGTTTCTTTTCATAGGTTGCTCATCTGGCCTGCTCCATGTCTAACAATGAGGAAGGAGTCAAGATGGTGCGCATGGCAGTGGCACAGATTGAGACCCTCTGCCCACAGGTGAGATTGGAGAGTCCTCACGAGTCCTCACGAGTCCTCACGAGTCCTCAAGAGTTCTCACGAGTCCTCACAAGTCATGCAGTCCCAATTCATTTCACAACCTCTTTAAACTAACTCTGACGAAGGCATTCTTTTGTTGTTGCTCATCTTCTGATTTAACTTGATTTGTGACTGGAGTTGTGATTTACTTGTGATCCATCACAAAATACCTCAACTTTAACACTGGTCCATACGGTTAAAATGTTCACATAGTTGAATCCAATTGTTAAATTAAATGTGCCTTATTAATGTCAAAGCCGACTTTGTCTATTTTGTCTTCAGGTGATCAATGCAGCTCGTACTCTAGCTGCCCGCCCACGGAGCCAGGTTGCCTTGGAGAACATGGACGTCTTCAAGGTTCAATGGGAGACCCAGGTCAAAGTATTGACTGAGGCGGTGGATGACATCACAACTATCGATGACTTCCTGGCTGTCTCGGGTATGTTTATTTGTCACAGTGCAGAGCCAATTGCCAAGTCAAACTAAAATATGCTTAAAATGCTGACCAATACAAATGCAAATAAGATAGGCATACAAGCATAAAGCATACAACATGAAAATAGAAGATGCAAGCTTACGTTAAAATGACAGCCCAACAAAGTCACATTCAGACAAAGCAAAAGAAGAAAGAATAAACAAGCCTGCCAATGACAGACAGTCCGCACTTTAAAGATGAAATTCAACAGTCGAGAGACAAACAGTCAAAAACATCAACAAGCAAATGAAATAGAATCAAGAGTAAATCAACAAGTCATCGACAAACATCGACAAGTAAAATCAAAAATTAAAATTACTTGGATGAAATTTGGTGTCTTGAGTGATGGAATTTTGCATTGTGGGGATGTAAATATAATATTCAGTAATATTTTTAGTGTTTTCCTTTACTGGGATGTTTTTAATAATCCCTGTGTACTCAATACTGTCAGAGAGCTTTTGATATAAATAAGTTACAAGATTTATGGCAAGTTGAGCATTTTTAAAAATCTAGTGCAAATTCTTAATAGCACAGGTTTTTATGTATATTCATGAGTGCACACATTTCGAATGTGTTCTCATTTGTTACACAATAGCTGGATGTTGTTCCTTGTCCATATTGGGAATAAGTCTTTGAATTTATTTGTCTTGATTCCAGAGGGTCACATTCTGGAGGATGTCAACAAAGCTGTCATGGCTTTACAGATGGCTGACGTAGACAGTCTGGATAGGACAGGTGGAGCCATCAGGGGGCGGGCTGCTCGCATCTGTGCCGTCGTGGATGCTGAGATGCAGAACTATGAACCGGGCCTGTATACTGATAAGGTCAAGGAGGCTTTACTGGTGCTTCAAGATCAAGGTAATTGGTGACTGGATCCAGTGGTACCCACTGCTTTATCCGATTCAAACCGGCCAACCAATGCTGGCAAGCGTTTTGAAGTCAGAGTTTTTAACCGTGACCAGGAAATGGAAATGTTCTTCTGGTCACTAAAAATAGCACTTTGTCATATGAAAGTAGAATTTTGATTTGTTTAGGACTACTCTTCTTACAATGGAATGTTGTTTCTCCGTAGTCATGCCTCACTTCTCTGGAAAGATGGAGGGCGCCGTTTCTGCGCTTAACTCCAACAATCCCCAAGACGTGGATGAGAATGAATTCATTGACGCGTCCCGCATGGTGTACGACGGAGTCAGAGATGTGCGAAGGGCTGTGCTTATGAATAGGGTAAGGCTTTGGTATTTGTGGAAAGAAAAGTCCACCCATCTTTGTATGGTACCTGGAAGGCAATATGTGGATTCTTATGAAGTTGGCGTTGTCATAATATGGGCACCACACTATTTCAGAAGCATCAGTCCCGTTTTTTTTAACTTCGTCTATGTCTCCAGTTTGGAGTCAGCCTCAGTAGAGAATTTTGTCAGGTCATGAGTATTCACGAGCTAACGAAATCAGAGGAAATCACTTTTTACCAAGAATTTATTTTTGTGAAAACATCAATATTGGTAAAGTTGTATTATTTTGTTATTTTTCCATCCTAGTCGCTTGAGGAAATGGAGACTGATACAGAATATGATGAAGAAGAGTATGATGCCAAGAGCAAATGTAAGTCGTTCTTTCTTATCATAATCAGCTATTTCCTGACATTTTTAACTATTTATGGTCAGACATCAAAACTTTTTCAACCATAAACAAATGTGTCCTGTTAAAAGCAGATGCGCTTGTTTCTGAGTTATTTATATTTTAACTTAAATATTTTACTTCCCTAAGAGCAAAGTACTTTTTGTTTGTTGGTTGAAAATATGGGGCCAATTTTATGCAGGTGTCATGCAGATATTTCCTTAATAGCAAAGAAACAGTTTCCTAGCCTGAATGCTAATTGTTGCACATTGGCTGTGACTTGAGCCCAATTACATGACGCTGCTAAACAGAAAATGCTACTTAGAATATTTACACGCTAAGCAGAATTCAGCTGTGACATTTTGGCAGGTAACCTGTTTTTCTTAAGCACATTTTTTTCTGTACTTAGCAAGTTCCTGTGCTTAGCATCTCTCATGAAATTAAACCCTTGACATGCACAAGAGTTAATATTGACGGTATCATTTGATAGCAATGTTTGTTTGTTTGTTTTCTTGCTGCAGCGAGCTATAAGACTGAGATGACAGAGGAAGATGTTGACGTAACTGAGGGAGTCACTTCAAGGGTGAGTTACGCAGAAAAATATTGGAAATAGATGACAAATAAATTATCGCAAGATACCTAACTCCAAGTAGATCAAATGCATCTAAGTCCATCCAGCAACTCGGGAGAGTCCATTTGGATGGGTATCACACTTTTGGTTTTGACCTCATTTTTTATCCTCAGGCCATGATGCGTGATCTTCCAGAGGTTGAGAAACAGAAGATCATTGAGCAGGTGGAGCTGTTCCGCATTGAGAAGGAGAAACTAGACCTAGAGATGGCTAAATGGGACGACACAGGCAATGATATCATCATCCTAGCCAAACAGATGTGCATGATCATGATGGAGATGACTGACTTCACACGGTAAAAGTCCCTCAAAAGCCGTCTCTCAACTAAGGGCCGATTTTATAATTTTTACGGAATGCTTTAACCCAACTATAGTCACATATTATGGCTGTTATGCAACAAGTGTCAACACATTTTATGCGCGTTAATCAGTGCCTAGATCTGTGTAACCTATCAGTCATGTTAGGTTACTGCACAGTGGCATGCAAATCTAAGTGGACAGTTTTACTGACAAGTCAATGATCGCCGTAATGGTTGAGAATTTCTTTTTAAATGGCACGTAGTATTAATTCAAAAGACTTCTTTGTGACTGATAATGCTGTCTCACGCTAATAGATTTCTATTTAATGGGTCGTAAAAACATAATGCAGCCATGGGTAAAATATGTTGCAATAATTTTGTGCGGGGCCTAAGTTCTGAACTTATAACTCCGTGTCGACCCGGACCACCCATTTCTTTGCCTGAAATGTGTCAATATTTTGTTGTTACCCTGTAGTGGTCGAGGGCCACTCAAGACCACCATGCATGTCATCAATGCAGCCAAGAAGATTGCCGAGGCTGGCTCTAAGTTGGACAAGTTGGCCAGAACCATTGCTGATATGGTGAGTATCTGCTTCCTCTTCAGTCAGTTAGTCAAAGCAGACATTGTACTATCAGCCAGTTTATTGCTTCAACTTGCAGACATTCCACTTTTCTGGTATTAGCCAGAAAAATCTGTTCTTTTTTCCGCCCGTCCAAAAAAAACTGGTAAAAGAGATGAAAAACTGTGAAAGTGCGTTGATTTTTACCTTGTTATCGCCCTCGAGTTTAGTACATGTAGGCCTACATGTTGTAAGGATTGCGCACGCACGGCACAACGTTGTTCGTTGAAGTTGTCCTAAATAGAAAAGTCTTTGTTGTTGCAAAGCCTGCATGCGATACAGGCGGCCAACGTACTTGCATGCAGTATACAACGGCGCCTTGCGTGCTGCACCATGTGCGGGCGTGTTGTGTGCTAAGCACACAAAGCATTCAGCTAGGAAATAAGTGTTTTTGTGTAGATTAAAAAGACCCAAATTATTGAGTATTAGTAAAAGAAAACAAGAATTTTTTTTATCTGAAACAATCTTATGTTTCCTTGTGTCCACAGTGCCCAGATTCGTCCTCCAAGAACGACCTGATTGCGTATCTGCAGCGTATCGCCCTCTATTGTCATCAATTGAACATCACTAGCAAGGTGAAGGCGGAGGTGCAGAACATTAGCGGAGAACTGGTGCTATCTGGGGTACGTATTTGGATTTTTGAGTTTGGAATTTGCATTTCGAGATGTAAATTTTAAAGCACTGAATATTGAGTACTGTCCAAGTTGAAAAACAATTCGCAAACTTGCTTGGGTGGGACTCGAACCCTCAACCTCCTGCTTACTAGTCCAGACTGTTAATGGTCTGTAATCGCAATGGCTGCACCTGATTTAGGTCAAATAAATCACACGTATAGGAGCCAATTTCAAATGGAGTTTGAAACCTTGATAATTTGCACCCGTTTCCTTTTCCTAACTCTTCAGTTGGATAGTGCCACATCCCTGATCCAAGCCGCTAAGAACCTGATGGGTTCCGTGGTGCTGACTGTCAAAGCGTCCTACGTAGCATCCACCAAATACTCCAGACTCATGAAGAACATGGATTCCGTCAATGTAAGTCACTTTATGAATTTTCAGATTGCGGATACATTATTCATAACATGTGAAGATGTTGATGTAAGTCACTTCATGAATATTCAGACTGTGAGCCTTGTATTCAATACCCCTGGTATTGTCAATGTAAGTCACTTCACAAACATTCAGATTTCAGATGGGTTATTATTCATACCACGTTAGGATGTTTATGTAGGTTACTTCATGAATATGCAGATGTTGAGCCTTATTATGAGTTAAGCTGTTGATGTGAGCTACTTTATGAATATTCAGATTGTGGCCTTATTATTCCTAACCAGCGTTGCTGTTAAAGTCGCTTCATGAATAGTTAGATTGAATGCCTTATTCAATACCATAAAAGCTATCTAATATTGATATTTTGAAAAGAATTTGAATGCCTGATTTATTACCAGGAAAAAATGAATATTTATATTTTGGTAACAACGGTATGGTCATTCTTAATTATGAATATTCAAGGAGTAAATGACAGCCACTAACTTAAAAATTAAAGCGATGTAAGGCATTGATGTTTGTTGTTTCCTGACTTTGTGACTTTGTAAATACCAGAAAGCATTACACATGTTACAAGAGTTTACTGGAGAAGAGGTGGGTACTCGTCATTTGAACAAACTCATGTAGACGATGCATTGCAAGTCTAAGTTGCAAGGATTTTATCCTCATCAAACCTAATTTATAATTTGAAATATTTAAGAAAAACTTACACGTATGATTGCACCAATTGATTGGTTTTGTTATTTTATGTTTCTTCATTTCATTTAAAACCAATCTTAACCATTAGTTGCAAGTTACTAATAGCATTTAATTGAATAATGCCTAAATTACTTTGGAAATTTTTATTTAGAGACTTGTATAACAAGGATTTATTTTCATAGCGAGGAAGAAACATATTTCATTTCTCTAAAAAAAGTTACCCTCTGCCTGCATTATCCATAGGACTTCATCAGAAGTATTCATAATTTCTAAAAGATGACACGTAATCGAGGAGTTCGGCATTGTTTCTTCTTTTTTGCCGAAACCTTGTCCTCAGGTTTTCAGTTTGCATTTTAACACATAAATTCTGCAATAATCCTTAGAAATTTGATTTGCCTCAATTTAGCAAATATATTTGTTGGTGAGCCAAGCCATCACATTAACAGAATCAAAGTACAACTGCCATGTTCATTATGAATATAAAAATCCTACAAGGCATTGTGCAAAGGGTTTTTATTTTCAATAAAAATAATTTCAGTATATTTATTTTAATATAGTTTTGTTCACAACCATTTTTTTGGGCTCATAATTCTTACAAAACTAAAATTGAGACTGTGAACTTTGACGTTAGGAGATTGGGCTTTGGACTACTGCAGTTTCCTCAAAAAATTAAATTGACCATGTTGCCAAACTGCAAATTTGTTAGAACCAACTGAAGGTGACGAACACCTAATTTGTTATCGAAATTTTTGTTTACCATGGAATGTAAGTACATCACAGAAAGCTACGCACAAGAAATTGGGCTTCCTTCTTTTAACATGACCACACAACAACCAAACTTGCCAGAATCAACTGAGCTGTGTTTCTCACAATCTCCTGGACAACGCTCAGTATGTACTGCTAACAGAATAAGGAAGGACAAAATCCAGTATAAAAAATTTAAATTACCCACTGCAATATTCATTCATGTCATTTTTATGATTATGGCCAGTCTCTTGACATAAAGGTTGCAGAATATGAAACCTACTTTATCCTTGAATTGGTGAATTGTTTTTTACCTGTTCAATTTTATAAATCTTTCCATTCCAGTCTCCCGTGGTCTCCTGGAAGATGAAACCCCCAGAGAAGAAGCCTCTGGTCCGTCGGGAGATTCCCGAGGAGACCCAAGTCAAAGTTCGCAAGGGTCAGAAGAAGCAGCGCATCAACCCTGTGCAGGAGCTTAGCATCTTCAAAGAAAAATAAAAGACTCCTTCTAAGAAATTGGAGGATGATTTTAACATGCCCCTTTCAGACTTGTGCTCCAGAGTCAGGCAAAACCAGTGTCATAGTTGAGTCCATCACAAGTCCACAAAGGTCATCGATTCCTAAAGTCAACTCACAAGCTGGTCATTTGAACAGTGACAAAGACATACCTTTGTCATTGTTCATCCCCTGTTACTTGTGACTGGACTTGTGAAATGTCTTGGGATTTACCTGTGACTTTAGTTACTCCTTACTTTTCCAAACCTTTAACCTTATTTAAATCTTTGGAATAATTGAGTTCTTTGCGAATCTGGAGTGCCGGTGTGAACTGTGCTTAAATGAGAAGTTCAGGACATGGACACACAGAAGTGTGAAATTAGTTATTCTTACATGTTTGATATCATAATATCAAGCAATACAAATCTGAAAAATGTGTTTTTATGTAAAGTTTAAGCATAATGTTCTGTGCAGAGAAAGGAAAGTAGCTTAATATCAGAAGAAACGCAAAGATTTTAGTACAAGTTGCTTCAAGAAAAGAATACAAAATTCCTATATTATACTGGAAAATGGAATGTTCAGTACAGTGACATACTGGTCGGCAAAAATGATTATGAAAAATGAAAGCCAGTTTGAATGTTTAATCTGACATTTAATATTCAGTTTGTGTTTTTTTTTAATAATGTGTGCTGGACTTTGTTTAGGTGAATAAAACTGATATGTTCCAAAGCTTACCTGCATGAGATTTATGCCTACAAAACGTATTAGAAAAAAGGTTGTATCCTTGCAGTTTCCTGGCTTAAAGTTTGACTTCTGCAGTTAATCAGATTAATATTGAGAGTTTGGGAACGTCTTGCTTTTCTGAAATTCTGGTATGCCAACATGAATTATTAGAAATTTGAAAAAAAAGTAGCTTTTTCAGAAAGATTCATTTTTTCAGCAGAGTTTAAATATTAATAATGTTTGAAAATACCTGTAAATGTAGCAGACAATTCCATTTTCATTAGAATGAGTAACTGTTCGGTGTATCACAATGAAGGGCTGAATATGCTCTGTCTTTAAGGAAAACAATTAATTTAATAAATCTTAAGATTCATTTCGTTGTATCCAGTCCAGTTACCCAAAAAGATTTGATTTATAGAACTGTGACTTGGGAGTGTTTATGCCTCAATTTTAATAGACATATTTTGGTTTTACATTTTGCTTTTTTTTATCTTGATAGTCTAGGTAGTGACAATGTGAAGAGAAAATGGCGCGAAAGCCAGTGCTAGCTAAGTGATTTGAGTATTAAAATGTATCTCTGAAGCTCATGGTAAAACTCACAGAGTTTATTTAATCAGAACTAATGTTAAATAGCTAGCATAAAATTACATTTTAATGTTTCGGCAAAAGCGATACCGCTGTGATAACTTTGATGTGTTTGTATATAGAGAGAGAGAAACTTAGCAATCTTTGCAGAGATTGAAAATTGCCTGGAAAAATTCCTTTGGTGCTGTAGGTATGAAGGTTCATTTTAATAAAGCATACACTAAAAAGAAGGTTTTTTAATGTACATACAGAATGCATTTTTAAAAGTACTATTATAAATGGATAGGTCAAAGCTAAGTTAAGCAAAGCTAAAAGCTTGCATTTTGCATTGTATTCTTTTAGTTACGTATTCATTTTGGTTTACACGCTCCGATTTCTTTATTCTATAAATTTACTTTTCATCCATTTTTCAAGCTTTGTGCATTTTAGCAAGATTGGTTTTCAATTGCAGAAGAACTTCCAGAGAAATCCAGATTTGTAGAGTGTTATTCAGTTTATTGAGGATTATTCGAGATTTGTGGAGGATTAATCAAGGTGTATGGAACACTTCTCATGATTTGTGGACGATTAATGCAAATTACTGAGGATAATGCAAGCTTATCCTGCATTAATCCATGTTTATAAAGGTATAATCCAGATTAGTGGAGCATTTAATCCTGACTAGTTACAGAGCATTAATCAAACGTTTTAGAACATTAATCCAGATTAAATAATTATTACCAGTCAAAATTTCAAAAGAAGAAATAAGAATACCTGTGTAAAATCCCCCCCCCCCAAAAAAATCTCTCAGTAGTTTCCATGCAAAAAAATTCATAATAGTATGGTAAGCGCAGCCAAATCATGAGTTTTTAAATGCCATTCCAATTTTAACTTTTATTTTGTACATTAGTTCGTTTTAAAAGAAAAATCTTCCGGAATTCTATTGTAAAGTGTAGTTTTGCTATTTAGTAGTCAGCAGATTTGTGTTCAAAATCGCTCTCGTGAAGGAATATTTTGTTTTGCATAAAATAAGTACTATCCTTGTAACTGAAGAATATGAAATGCATGTATAAGCTGAATCCATAGCATGTAAAAAAAACCCAAATATTGTACAAGTTATTTTTTCTTCTTTGCTTTTTTTTACGAGTGCCTTTTGTGCCTTTGGTTTGTGCTTTGTAGGATTATTTGTTGATTTATTTGTGTTTACATATCATTTCCATATTTCATCAACATTGAGGAGATAGACTCGTCTGTGTCGAGTTTCAAAACAAGAAAATGTAACACTCATTGTCTCTTGTTAATTTGTAGCGATGGTTAGAGTTTGTATATGCAGTCTTACATGTATTACCGAGTTTTTTGCTAACTTGCCAGCGCACAGGAAATTGATTCGATTATAATGTTAATTTTCTTTTTTAAATTTGAAATGGAAATGGGAAAAATTAGAACAAAAAGGTTGGAGCAAATAAGTCAAGCATGACAGAGCCTCAAAAACCAAACTGGGGTCTTGTCCTGTTTTTTTTTTTTAATGAAGCCCAGAGGATTGAAAAACATTGACAAGTTAATTTAATAAAGACACGTCTCTGCATCAGTTAAACTGACTAGAAGGACAATTTTGTTTGTAGTAGTTCTAAGCCCCATTAGTACAGTACTCTTTTGAATGCCAAAGAAAATCAGTTTTGTTGTAATACACGTAAATTGTAATGGGAAATAAATTCTGCTCAGCACCTCGCTTGTACAAAAGTTGTTTCTAGTGTTTTTATTTTATGTTGCATCTTTTTGTGCCTTCGATAAAAATATTTATGTTTGTTTTCCCTCATTGCAATGCCCACTATAAAACGCTGTACGCCAATAACTCAAAGTTATTCAAATTTTGCCAAGAAATTCATGAATAAACATAATGGTCTAGTCACGTGATATCACAAGAACAAGATGGCGGCGATTTAAAATTAATGGGAGCGTCGGGCGTCTGGAAATTTATGAAATAATCGTGACTTCTCCGGTATGTTTTTCTAGAATTGACATCGGGTGAGTATCATAATTTTGTAGGTAATATAATGGTGTAGGAAAAGTGGAGAAAGGCGTAAACAAATTGGTTACAGCACCCTGCAACTTTTACATATTAGATGTGATTTTCTGACCTGTCGTATTCATGATTGTGCTACATGTAGTGCTTGGTGCGCGCTAGCTGCAGCGGGCCGTAGCTGCGTGCGCTGAATCGGGAGATTGTTACAAAATGTAGGCCTACATGATTTTAGGCACCCGTGTGCCTTAGGCCTGAGGAGTGTCATGACTGTGCACATGGTGCATTCATTGAGAATTAATATCTTTCTTCGAATGAAATGAAACTCCAACTTGGGCAATGTTGGGCCTTACATTTATTATCATGTTTATAATGTTCCCTCCATAGTCTCCAGCATATTTTTTAATCGAAATCAAATTCAAAGGTTAAAAAAAATGTTTTTGATTGTTTTACTTGACATGTTTGAGAAACTTCTCTTTGCGCTCTCAGAAAATACCAACATGACCAATGTTTTATTTGTGACTCAAAAATATCACAACCATCTCTTCTCAAACATTTTGTTGTTGTTTTTCTGCTTCTGCTTCTTCTTCTGCTGGATACTATGCAAACACCACCAGCTGACCAGAATCACCAGATGGTGGTTATAACGCATACAGTGTAGGTCAGTGTGGCGGAGCTGGAGGTGATTAGATTTTGTAATGAGCTTATTTGACCAGCTCATCCATGTTTATGTTTTTGTTTAGATTATATTACAATTTAAACGTGACAAATTATAAGAGGAGGTGTATGAGAAAGTGAAATTCTAGATGCCACGGGGTCAACAAAATTCCCATAGCGTGCAGACATCCCCAATAATGAGAGTGACTGCTAGAAATAGGCACACGGGGGCCTTCTTCTAATTCTAGAAGGATAGTGTTGGTATCATGCTGCTACATGTACATGTAGGATGATCCTAGCCCCATAAATGTGGCCAATTTACTGGACTACCTCCGTAAATAAAGGCCACACTTCTACCATGTACAAAAAAATGTCAAACTTTGTCAAATTTCGATTTTTACATTTAGGCTTAGTTTGTAGTTTATTTTTGCTTTAGAAGCATACTCACTCTCTTTAATCAGAAAGTGCTGCCTTTTTCAGATCTATGTCTATTTTTCGTGAAATTTCCAGATTCGTTTGCACACGTTTGCTTATCAAAATTTCAACATGAACTTTTCATGAAAATTAGACATCTGAAAAAGGCAGCACTTTCTGATTAGCCTATAAAGAGGGTGAGTATGCTTCTAAAGCAAAAACACCCTACAAACTAAGCCTAAATGTGAAAATCAAAATTTGACAAAGTTCGACATGTTTTTGTACATATGGTGGAAGTGTGGCCCTTATTTACGGAGGCAGTAAATTGGCCACATTTATGGGGCTAGGATGATCCTAGTGTTAATGCTTCTCATCTTGCCCATTAGTTGCCTGAGGCAGTATTTTTTTAGTCATTTTATAACTGAAGCTACTGATAGGCCATTGATGCACCATCAATTCACATTGAATTTGATCAGGTTGATTTTGTGGTTAGGCCCTATAATCTTTTTATCACATTTTACTGCAAAACACATCCAGTATACAATTTGCCTAATTATGTGAAATGAAAATGATGTCAATGATATTGATAGATAATAAAGATGATGTCTCACATACATATGTACGGCGTACAGTGTACAAAATGTTAATAATATAGGCCTATAAACAATTTGTCTTTTTGGTAATAATTGCACTTTATTTTATAGTTTGCTACATTGTACAAGTACATTCACCAATACCTTATTGTCCTTGGCCATTGGAATGATAAAATATGATGCACGGTACACTACATGAAGCCTGGAATACTGGATTGACCTTGAGTTCAAGTGCAAATTGATCTTATTTAAAAAGAAAAATTCAATTACATGTAACTGCAATATGCTGGCACTAACACAGTTTGGTATTAAACTTATGTGTAGGCCTACATGCAGCAATTGACAGTGCTGTGTGATAGATGGGAGACTGGCTCAAGGATGAGTTTGTGAAACTTGTGAATTATACATGAACATGTACTACATGTACTTGAAATGACCTTTCCCTACTGCTGTTTAATATGCTGATGTTTCCTTTCATTTTTTCATTATCCAGACGTAGGCCCTGTACTCCAATTACTGTATATTCAAAAAGAGCATATTAATTTCAACTGGTTCTTTCAGTTTGAGGAAAGCAAATTGGTTTGAATTGGATCACAGTGCTCTTTTTGCAGAAACTAATTAGTTTATTGAAACAAAAAAATATTTCAAAGGGTCTGGTCCAAATTAGAGAATGTTCAACTGGCTATATCTGTTGATACTGTACATACATGTACATTTAAAAGCCTTTGCTGTTGGCTTTGTTTCCACAAGAAAAGATACGGCTACAAATGTAGGTTATTTGAGCAATGTTCAGCACAATAACAATAAAAAGGTGTGCCAAAAAGTCTAATGCAAGTAACCGCAGTAACTGTGAGATTGCCCACGCTGTAAATGTGCAGTCACAGTGAACAAATTTCTGGTGAAAATATTTAAAATCACAGAGAGGTGTAGATGCTAGACATTCTGCCAGATATAAAGACAATGCCAAAATAAGAAAAACACACTCAGCTTAATTGAAACAGACAAATTTATGATTTGTACATAGAAGTTAGAACAACTCATAAGACTCCCAAGTGTTTATATTGAGCAATCGTGCATGTCGTATGGTGGACAATTGCTTTTAATTGTACAAATCATGGAGAAATCAAATGTGTACATGTACAAATGTACGTTAGAACATAATAACTGACATACTTGAAAGGCCATCAACATAATGTCATTGAATTCCTACACGCGTGATGTATTCATTATCCTTCCCAATCCATTACTATTCATCATGTTCATCAGGTCCACCTACATGTACGATCCAAACACAATGCCATCGCATCTCCCCCCCCCCCCCCCCCCCAGCCCGAGTTAATTTACCTAAACAGATTCCTGCCTCACTCGTCCATGCATGAAGATGGATGACATTATGTGCATGATTCAGGGTGATTGTACATGGGGGATGCGGGGGCCATCGCACAGGATGCCCAGAGGCACCGTTTCTGCATGAAGGAGAAAGAAACGATTACTCAGAGAAATCTTTTGTCTTCATATGTGTTTCTGACTCGCACATAACCCCCACAGGGAGCAAGTACTGTACCTTTTTTATCATGAGCTACAATGTACATGCAAGTGTTGGTTTTTCCCGCATTTGTCCAGAATTGAAAAGCTGAAAAGTGACGCCCTGTGCCTCGTAATAAATGTCCATTTTCTGTACAATTTTTGGTAATATTTATCAATTGATTTTTGTTATCTGACTCATGGGTGCACTCCGATTTGTGGAGGATGGAATTTTGTAGCTGGGTGGGTTGTGTAATTTGTTTGTTAATCAGTGATGTTGAGGAAGAAGCATGCCATCATGCATGATTACATTATAAGTCAGTTGTGATTCAGTGATCATTGAGCTTGTGCCTTTAACATGTTTAAGTGGCTTGTGGACTAGAGTAGACATCATCAGATTATCAAACAAAGACACATGTATAAAGAATGCTTTGAAAGAGAGGTAAAACTTTATTTAAATGTTTTTATTATTTGTTGTACAAATGCGCCTGAATAATGGTGAAAACACAATGGGACATGTACCGGGTACACCGTACACTGGGCTCTATTTTTAATTAAAAACGTGCATGTGTCTGGTTCAGACTGTGTACTTCAAGCAGCAATGCCTGACCAAACTCTGGTCATGTTAAAGGTAATATACAACGTTTGCTTTTACTGTAATTTTCAGAAATGGATGGATTCTGGGATCAGTAGGCCTATTTTATAGCAAATATTGTTTAAAGTTTTGTATTCATAGATGCTTGAAAAACCAAAAAACAAATGTTGTTCTTGTAGTCTGGTTGCCTGATCCCACATCAGATGAAACGGAGCAATTTATAGACATCGGGGAATTGTAAGGTAAGGAAAGCAGTCAAGCTGGCTTGGACCCGTTCACGGATGTGTAATCGATTGCAAACAAAATGTGGACTTACTAATTTGGTAAATTGGGGGAAGTGTTTGAAACCCCAGTTTTTCCAACGATGGTCAGTTGACCATCGTTGGAAATTGATACAAAAATTTCACTTTAAAACTTGAAAATGACAGCACACCAGGTGCCATGATTTCACAGGATGCTTGCAGCTATTATTCACTAACAGTCAAGTAAGGTATTTCATAATAATTTGGTAGTTTTGTTTTTTGATGTGTGCAAATGTTGTATAGGCCTATTGCCTATAAATTTCATTCGTTGCTTCTTAAAAGCCATCATTTGTGAACATGAATTGACGTATCATCTAGTTCACATTTTGAATTACAGAATCATAAATTGAACATTTGGAACTTACATGTAGCCCTCGTGACCACCCGGCATTTTCCTGGATTGATTCAATTTTACATGTACAGTACATGTATGGTTGCAAGTGTCTGTCTCAAAATGGCAAATCACAAGAGACACTTAATCTGAGCACGAGCGATGGGACATTATCATTTCAGCGCAAATGCAGGAAATTCTCCGGGCAATGTCTGTATTAAAAGTGTTTGGGAAACATGCTCAATGCATTCCACAGAGACTTCAAATGTCCTTACCAGAGCCGTAAATTGCATTGACGGTGATTTGTTTCTATGCAAAGTCCCAGTAAAGTAGCGGTATCTCAGCAGTAAAATTAATTCAGCATTTGTATTGATGCCTTTTAAAAATTGTTTTTTTTTATAGTAATGAAAAAAGCTTAACTATAAATAAGATTTCACTTTCTTGGTCGTGTACTCTGTTCTCCGTAAGTAATTGTAATGAACACAATTTAATCAAGCTAAAAAGTAGTTCATCTGAAGCAAGTTTTTTTACTGAGATAAAAAAAGCTTAATTAATGGACATTAAGCAACAACTTTTTTCGAAAGCAAATATTTCTTGGCTTAAGCAAATTTCTGTTCTTGGCAAGTCTGTGAAATTGGCCCGAGATGCCGTATGTACATGTACAGTGTACACGTTCTACACGTGCATAATGTAGGCTTCCTAATTTATGTGAAGGGCTCGGGATAAATATGACAAGTGGTTCACAGTCAGTCTCTCCATTCACACAGTCCGTGCAGTCCACACACCAGCATGGCAAATGGCTAATATCTCAGCTTCTGATGTGTATGGACCGTTTCTCTTTAAGGACATGGCACGACGGAGCGTTAAAACACCACATTGACAGATGTGCACGTGTTGGGGAGTGACATGAGTCAAATGACATGTCATGTCACACGTTGACTGCATGGCTTAATTGTGCCTTTCAGTTCACGTGACCAACTGCTTCCAGAAGGTGAAATTTTGGTCAGGATTTTGACAATTTCTGACCGTTTTCCTTTTACATTTCATGGATGTACATGTACTTAGTCAAATTTTATACTCTGCGTATTAAGTTAGTCAGGTAGGGGATATGATCGACTCTGCATGTGAGATCTCCAATTTGATTGTGCTACTGCAGGTCATTTTGTCAACAGTTTTTGTCTAATTTTCTCCCTTTTTATCTAATTTAATTGCAGATTTGTGCCACTGACTGAATGATGCAAGGTCTTTTGACACCATAAACTCTACAGCAACTATGAATCTTTGATATGCCATGTGATGTCCATACAGCATGCGGTGAGCAACTACGATAGCTGAATGTGGGAGTGGTTTAAGGGTGCCCTTTTGCCTGAGTAATTCACTCGTTCCTGACCCCCCTGTGCATCATGTCCCACAGCGGAGCATCATCAAGATCTAGCAGCAGATCCAGTTCACGGTCTGGATCGGGTCGCAAGAAAGAGGTAATATTCCCTATTCTAATTTTATTGTCAGCATTTATTGTCGATTCTTTTTTAATTGTCACTCTTGCCTTAATATGTACATCTGGCAAAGTATATGTACGCATGAGTACGGTTGAGTATGTACATGCACATTGTATGTAAATACATGTAATGTGTTTGGCGAGGAAAATGTAGTGCATGACATTGTTTATCAAGATTTTTTTCTTTTCATTTGACAGTGGAACACACGCTGTGATATACACGTATATCATGTACCTTACATACTGAGCACTGCTTCATATTTCCTATTTCAATTATCAAACTGCCACGCATCACACTCCCATTATCCCTTAGTTAATCTCACATTCATGTTCCAGTATTTTATCATGACACCTAACCCCCTGTGAGCTGCTATAGTTATATTGATTAGTGAACCGTTATCAAATTCTTTCACCAATTGAATTTGTTAAGTGTCATGTATTGATTGGAGATCCAGAATTTACATGTGTTAATGATGCCATCTGTTTTGGGCTAAATCTCATGAGAGGAATTAATTCTGGCCCACTGGCATCATTATTTGGACACAGATTTTCTTACGGTGACAATTAAAATGAGTTATTCAACATGTATACATACTGTACACATGTTAATTAGCATTATATACAGTGTTCCTAGTAACTTTAATTAGAAACAAGTGCAATGTACAGAGTAATATAATTGATAAAAACCTGCAAGCATTAAATAAGCTATGCGTATGATTAATTTTTAAAGAATGTTAATTTTAATAGTTGGTAATGGGGGTTTGTATGTTTTTTTGTTTGGGGATGTTTCGTTTTTGTTTTTGTTTTTATATATTTGTTTTCTTAAAAAAAAAAAAATGTAGCATAGTACAAAATTGGACTGAAAACATTTTTTTCCCCGGAGAAATATAGAAAAATGACAGAAAATGTGAAGCCTGACTGTTATTTCATCCTCTGCATACATGTACTCTATGAATGATAGACCTGGGAAGTAGCATTTAAAAAAATAGTTAATTGATTAAACCTGTGTTCTACCTTTTTGTCAAGCAGGAAAGCTGGTACGCACTGGTCCCCGAGCAGGTTGAGTTGGTGTCCTCCCCATCACCGGTCAAGCGACACCTGAGTGGCCGGTCATCTCTAGCGGCTAGTAGCCGGTCATCATCCCAGAGCTCTGTCCTGTCCAATAGCAACACTACCTCCCCGAGCAAGAGAGCAAGGCCGTCCAAGAGAGGTCACATTTCCATTTCATTTTTAAAATTTTTTTTGGAGAAGGAATTAAGGCTGGTTCATACTTCATGCAAATTTTAGTGCAAAGCGCATTTGTTAGGGCAACTTCAGTCATTCACATCAAAAAAATTCACTTCGCTTTTCCTTTTTGTGTGCAGTATGAAACCAGTTGTGTCACAAATTCCGCTGTATTTCGCATCTACCTCAGAGACTTGTAAAATGTATTCACTAATTCGGTGAACAAAATGAAATGCCATTGAGGTGGCACCAAGTTTGCGCTCATCCAAGGCATGTTCTTTAAGATGAGACGCATGCACACCTTGGTAACCCAATTGGTTGAAGGAGCCCGGAGTGCATGCGTGCTACCCGAGCATGACTCTAACCAGCCTGGTGCCACAGAAAATGGCTGTCGCCCAATTAGTCTATAAATTAATTCAAAATGATTAATTAAATTAATTAAACAGCTGATGTATTCTTAATATGCCATCAGAAACTAAATGTTATTGATGTAATGGTATTCTCTGCTCATTAGTCTATCCCCAATTTCAAATACCAATTCTGTTGCCTCCTTTTCAAACAAATTTATATTTGGAGGTTTTGTTTGTTTTTGATTGCAGACACAGATCCCATTGCCGCCATTGCTGCGGCCAACCAGCCCCAAGCTTCCGCTTCCCCCAACCCCCTGGAGGAAACATTCCATCTTCCTGCCATGGATTTTACAGACAGCCGAGACTCTGGCCACTTTGACGATCTGCAATTCAGCTCAGCTGTCAACGTGACTGGAGGCATAACCCGAGAGGAGTATCCATACTCAACAGAAGAGGAAGGATCTGAGCTCCGCTACACCAGCAGTGAGACAGACATCCCCCTCCCTCAGTCTGACGATGGGGGTGAGACACTCAGCCCCAGGGAGGGGGTTGTTGGGGAGGGGGAGGCTGGGCAGAAGGATGCCCTCCAAGAAGCCATCGCGGAGGTCTCGGCTGATTTCGTGAGCGGGAATCTGTCCGTGTCACTGTCACAGCACACACTGGATGCATCACCTGATAAGGTAATTCAAAAATCATTTGTAATCTTAAAAAAGGGACTTGAACATCTTGGCAAAAATTAGAGTTGATATATACTTTCTCATATTTCAGGTGGAAGATCCATTTTGAAAAGTTGACTAAAATTTTGTTGTTAGAGTTTCTTTTCTTTGTGGAGTTGCTTAGTCAAGCAGATACATGAGGCTGGTGTTTTAACCTAGCTTCCAAACAACTGGAAATATTTAAATTCCCTGTGGATGGGTTGCTAGTCCATTGCAGGTTATTTCTCAACTGATACCAATCTCCCTATACTCCTTATTAGAGAGAGACAAATTGGGTCATGTTGCTTGGCCATGGACACAGCAAAAACAAAATGTAGCTATCCAGGATATTGAACCTCAAAATAGAAGTAAAAAAAACCATGTTATTCATCAGAGATGATACATGTAGTATGAAAAGAAAGAATTCAGGAATGATTAAAAGGACGTTCTTGAACATGAATTTTGAAATGAAACCAGAAACTTTTCGCTGTAACTCTACACCTTCTTTTCCTAATTGTTGATTTTGTTTTCTTCTCAGCAATCTGCCGCTACTTCTCCTGCATCTGTGTCTAGCAAGCACACTGAGAGCAGGGATGCTGATTCATCTCGGCCCTCCGCGAAACAAACCCAAGACATTCCAGATCTTACTTCATACACCATACGAAGCGATGCTCAGTTGTCCTCAGGCCAGGGATCAAGATTGTCGGAGGGAGTCTTGAAAGAATCCACAGGGCATTCTGACAAGATCCTCACCACATACACCACACTAGGGGATGCTCAGTTGTCGGACTATCCACTTGGAGACAGTGTGTCATTACCAGGGACATCCTCAGGGCAGAACTCAAGATTGTCTGAGGGAGTCTTGAAGGAATCCACGTCACTATCTGAGAAGAGCAAAACAAAGGATTACACAACAGAAGAGGTGCCAACAAAACTAGGAAGCGGGGAAACAACATCCCACGCACTGCAAGAACCCAGTCAGCTACTGACAGAAGATTCATTGTTTCATTACAAAGCGACAAGCATAATAAGTGACTCTATTGCCTTAACAGGCAAGAAGCCAAAATTTACTTCAACTCCATACAACCCTCATCAGGATGAAGCCATTGCAGCTGTGTTGCTGTCTGATATGAAATCTGTTGACAGACTCAAAACAGATGCTAAGAGAGAGGAAACTGTGGTAAATGGTAGTCAAAATTCACCATCTGCAACCAAAACTGACAGGACAGTCTCAGCGGCAGGTACTTCTGGAAGTAAAGGTGAGAGCTCAGGAAGCACCACCGGCTTCCTGAGTGAGGATTCCATCAGCCTGTCCCGGGAAGTCAAGAGTGCTGCACCCCTTCGGGGATCCCACGTTCAGCTCCCCATAGATCTGAACAATCTAGAGCCAGTCAGCTTGACCCCATCTGTGCAGAGCAAACCTGGATCAGCACCCAGTCTCCTGGCTACTGTGGAGGAACCTGAAACATTGACTATGCAGAGCAAGAAAAATTCAGTCAAGAGAGACAGATCCAGCAGTTCATCAGGAAGTGCTTCTTCTAAGAGTGAGAAAACTATCAAGAAAAAGGTAAAACAGACAAGCCCATTGAAGAAAGTGTCTTCTAAGACAGCTACGGAAAAATCCAAAAGTGCAGCACCCAAGCAACAAAAGGCAAAAACGGGAAGGCAGGTGAGAAGCACAGAGTCTCCCAATCGATCGCCAGCCAGCAGTGCTGCATCAGAAAGCTCCAGTACAAAGATAGCCAGGTCTTATATTCAGTATCCACCAGATTTGCAGAGTGTAACACCAGGAGAATCACAGCTAGTGAGTGATGACACACACTCAGATTCCTCTGGCCATTATGATGTCCAGCAAAGGGAAATGGACATCAACCAGAATCTACAGGATCTCAGAGTTGAACGCCACACAGAAACCAAAAGTGAAGAGAGATACTTGAAGCATGTTGAGGTTACTCAAGTTGATAACAAATCAGTCATGGAGAAGGAAGCCCCAGTTGTTTCACACACGAGTCTGGACACAATTCAGAGTCAAGACTCACTGTCAAGAAGAGTTGCACTCCTGCTCTCTGCAACCTCTGCTCCTCCTGGAGAACTCTGGAAGGGTGATGCCACAAAAAAATCCCCGTCCGAGGATAGTGGAAGCTTCACAAGTGAAGCTGGCTCCCCTGATAGCATTGAGAACCTCCTGAGCTCCGGCTCCAGCCGTAGATTTAGAGGGGCAAAGCTCGGAAACCAAACACCAGACTCTGCTCGGACTGGCTCTTCAGAGAGTGTTGGGGGAGACTCCTTGGCTGATCATGTTGAGGAAATCCTTACTGAATCCCAGACTGTGCCAAGGATACCACAGCCATCTTTACAGCCAAGAGTCCTGCAGGCCCCATCACCAACCATCTCTGATGCAAGCACCTCCAGTTCTGTGAGAGCAATCATCAACAGAGTTCTTCACCAGATACCAGCAAATGCTGATGATGAAAGCCAACCTTCATCTGGGAGTTACAAACCAAGTCCCTTGGGTGTTTCACTCACTACGTGGGATGCCTACACTGATCAACAGTCCTCATCGCTGTCTAAGAGCATGACTCTTCCTCTAAATCCATCAAATAGTAACGACAGAAGTGAACCAACACCCCCACCCACATTGCTCCCTGGACTTGAACGTTCCGGGGGTTACGCCGGTGAAAAACCAGATTCTCTGTCATATAGAGTCCAGCAGCTTTTAGAAAACACCTCTCATATGGCAACTGTTCCTGCTGCATTAGATGTTGCCAGGATCCCCCAGGTAGAGGATGCAGAAGCCCCTCTGCAAAGAAGATATGATGTCAGGGTTTCAGATACTCTGAGATTCGAGCCAGAGAGAACAAGTTCGTTCACGTCACAGATATCACGTGGACAAGGACACCAAAGCAGTGGAACATCTCCAAGAGATCCTTATGGTGAGAGCATTGAGAGCATGGACTCACTGGCCAGTAGAGTGAGGGCAATTTTGGAAAGGAACCCTCCTCAGGAGCATGTCTTGAGGATCCTTCAGGAAGCTGCTGTATTAGATGCTGAACTCAGGCTGGCGGAGATGCAGAGCCAAGAACAGCAGTCCTTTGCAGCTACTCCTGGTTCCCTGACTTACGACAGGAGTCTTGAGGAAGCCAGGAATCAACCAGTTACTCAGTTTGCTGAACCTCAGGAGCCCAAACCATTTGGAGCTTTAAGCTATGCACAGCAATTGCTGGCATCTCAGGTACAAAGAGCCACTGACAGAACGTTTGATCACAGTGTGGACTTCTACAAGGCTCAACCTAGTAGGCAGAATGGTGACCTGGGCCATGTTGGGAGCCACATGAACCACCTGGGACAGCCTCCAAAAGAGGCCTGGAGTAGGGAAGCCAAGGTAGAGCCCTCACAACACCTGGTGTATGGTCTTCTGCCTGGTCAGGCCAAGCAGCCCTATTACCTACACCAGGAAGAGCAGCCTCAACAAATCTCCCATGAAAATCATGGCGAGCACAGTGAGGATGAAGATGAGTTTCCCGAAAAGGACTCTAGAATGCATCGCTCCCACTCCTCGCCAGAAATTGACCTGACCAAATTACGCAGTCGCAAATATGCAAGACAGATCTCAGATAAACCCCAGTATACAGGATCACTGGAGAGAGCCAGTCGAAAGAGGAGCAGGGAAGCCAAAGAAAAAGCCATGCAGTCAAGGAAAGGTCCAGCAATCAGTCCCCTTGCCTCTGAAATCAGTGGCAGCAGTCGGATACCCATAACAGCACGTGAGTATAACCGATCAACGTCCGGAGAGAGCGATAAAGCCAAGAGCCCTGAAAAATCCTCTGTGCGAAAGTCACCTCAGGATTTCAGCCATCAAAGCATGACATCTCCCAAGCATGACATGAGTAGAGCAAGTGAGAGATCCTCGGGGAGCTTCTTGAGACCATACAAACCACCAGGAAGCAGTGAAGTGATGTACACGTATGCAGTAAACCAAGATGACACCTCAACACCCAGTAGCAAAACAACACAAGAGAGCAGTCATTTAGGTAAGAAGTGAACTTTAAAATTTGTTGATGTTCAGTTCCTTGCTAAAAGCCATTAAAAATCAAGTGATGCATTTTCAATGCTTACTGCATGTTTAGTCTTCTGGTTTTGACAAAGAAAGACAGTTCATTCATCCCTCTCAGAAAATAACAACAATAACAAACCTGTATTTTTAGTGACAGGAGAGTTATTAGCAAGGAAATGGGTACCTGGAGTAAATACCTGTGAGGGCAGAGATGGTTATTGTGGTTGATTTAGCTGCATTAAAATTACTATTATTATTAAGAGTTTATTCATTTTTCCAAACAAAACTCAATCGTCCGGTCATATTTTGTATTATTCTGAGTAATGAAGGAAGTTTACACTCTACATGTGACAACTCAAGGATGATTGTGGTAGTTAATTATGTCCTAGCACCTTTTGTGCCTGATTTTAACCTCTGGTTTTGATCCTAAATATTTTATCTAAAAATAAGAACCTTTTCTTTGAGAACATTTTATGACATTTTTCTTTCATAATTTGTTTCAACAAAGGGTCTGATGATGCACAGCCCCCACTGTTCCCATCGAGCGCTTACGGCACCAGAGACAGCCCTCAACACAGACGTTCACTGGAGCTCCCCACCCCAGATGCCGAATTCCGACTCCACGACCAGTCCCCTCAACAAAGGCCTTCCCCTGCTCCGAGTCCCAAATCCCCTCGATCCAAGATCCCTTCCTACAAATCTGATCAGAGGAACAGAGACAGGCCTGCAAAGTCGTACATTGAGTACCCGAGTGATCTGAAGAGCACCAGTCCACCAGAATTGCCATTCTCTCCTCCAGGAAGCTACCAAAGCCGGCTTCCGGTCAAATCTTACGGACGCTACTCACAACAAGAAAGACTTACACAACCTGGATACCCCCAAAGCCAGGACGTACATGTAGCACAACCACAGAAAGGTCTTGTCAAAGCCGGTAGTCCTGAGATACCCAAGTACAGCACACACCACAGTCCAGAATCCCCAAAGCAGAGGTATGGATACAAGTCACCAACTGCAACCAGCCATGCCAGTCGGAAATCTCCAACCAGCAGGATACCCGTGAGAGGTACTGATCATATCTCAGCTCTAGACTCAGCCACAGTCTCTCACCAAGCCGGACGCACGGTACCAAGCAGATCTGATCCCCAACCTCAGCCAGGAGATAAGTACTACCCACCAGCTCTCCTTCCAGATTCAACTGCAGGCCAAGAGGAGCCCCAGAGAAGGAAGGACCAGTATTCAGCCGGTCTGGGCAGCTTGAGGCCTGGAAGCAAATTCGACACTCATCTGACTGATGCACCACCTGGGTCAGGCACCTACAGTAGACAAGTTCTGCAGGAAGTACTTAGGGTAAGATCATCCGAGTAATTTGTTTGAACAGGGGCATTCCTTGAAACAAGATAATTATAAAGAAACCAAGGAATTAAGAAGTGTTTGGTTTTAGTTGGGACGAGAATTGGACTTTGTACAATGTAATATTTTTTGTTTTTTTGTTCCATTCGACTTCAAATATATATTATTGGAGAGCTCCTGAGAACTAAATACTGTTTGAATTTGAACAAAGAAATTGACTGGAGTGGAGTTTGAACCTGCTACCTCCGTATTGCCATTCCTGTACTGTACCAACTGAGCTATCAAACCCTGCGATGGCGGTTCCCCATTTCGTCAATGTCTTTGTTCAAGGGGCGCTAGTCAGAAGCACATAAACCTGTCATGTAGCCACATTAGCAATGCTGCAAACCTGGGAAATATCAAACAGGGATCACTTAGAGTAAACAATTTTTTATTAAAATTTGGATTAAGACATTCTAGTTGAATTGAGATATGACTTAAGGACCGCATTACAACTTCCAATTTATCATTTTTTTTTTTTCAATTTGGAAGGAGGATGAAACAGATCCACACTTCAGAGACATTGCCAGGGTATGGGAGGAATACCAGCAGTACAAGACGTCTCAGACAGAGAACGGTGGAAGCCAGTCAAGTCTAGACTCTGAGAGAATCCAGCGAATGGCTAGCCTTGTCCGAGACCCAGCCAGACACACTGTGGCAAACTGGGTGCAAGGTGAGCTAAAAAAAAAGAAGAAAAGATGTTAGACAGTCAGAAGTAAATGAATAGTCTACTGCCTTCACATGGAGCACATCCACTGTTTCTGAATTGTCCTGGCTTTTGCCTTAATAAAACTAATAACCATTACCTTCATAAAAGTTGCAATTTTTTTTAGTGTCTTACAATTTAGCCTAATGTCAAAAAGGGTGGAGTCTTGAAATAGGGCAAATTTGTTTTAAATCGAGCCAAGGGTCCTATAACATTGTGCACTTGAACAAATCTGATGCAAAAATCCGCAATTAATTTTTTTTAAAGTTGACGATTTATGATGGATAATTGTCATCTTTGGTATGATTTAATATTTTGATAGATGAGACGGACAGTACAGATGGTGGTTCATCATCTACCGGCACACCGAGACAAAGAAGAAAATGGGACAAGGAGAGACCCTACACCCCACAGAAACAGCCACTGGAAGCTGAGCAAGATGAACCACCAGCTGACAGACACTACAGGTCAGGGTGGTTCTAGTAATCACATATTGACTGGCAATCAGGTCACTAGTTAACATCTATACACCTTGGGGTATAATGAGTTACTATTGGAGGGGTCTATTTCCTGAGGCTGAAAGCCACTTCTGGTTTGTAGAGTAGATCGATATCTAAAACAGTAATAAGTCCTGATTTCATTTTGTGTGCTTAAAAATATAAACGTAAAATTCCAGTGGAAATGTTCTTGTCTGTTGACGTTTATTTAAAAAAAAAAAAAACAATAGACATGAGATTCGTGACATCCAAAGTATGACTCAGGTTTCCAATGACTGATTGCTGTTACAACTCACACACATCACAAAAGCGAATCTTAGACGAAAGGAAAAGTGGGCCAAACGAGACATTAAAAAACCCTAACTTTTTATTTTTCCATATGAGAAAGAATTGAATTTATTTAATTTTTTTTTTTATTTTTAAAAAACTTTACAATGTTTACAACTAAATAATGGCACCAATGTCTATCTGGCAGTCAACAATCTTTCCAAATCTGTGTTTTCCATTGGCCTTGAATTTAATCGAAATGTATCTCATTTACTTTGACAATACAGAGTTTCACCAGAAGATGAAATCCAGCCCCCTCCAACTAAAACGCAGCCCCGCATAGACAGGCCTCCCACCCTAATACCAACGGCAACAAAGAGGCGTGGCAAAGGATCTCCTGATGATGCAGTACCTTCTCAAAGGAGACCTGAGCCCAGAGAAACCGTTGGCAGTAGACATGAGCCAGAACAAGAAGGGTTACAGGATCTCAGCATGGCATCCTTCATCTCGGACCTGAGTCTTGAATCAGATGAGCTCCTACGTCTCCTAGGAGAGCAAGGCATCCGGCAGCTGGGCTCCAAGTTGTCCAAACTCCAACGCAGGATAGACCGACAGCGAGAGCACCATCGACGAAGGTTGAGGGAACAGGAGTCTCAAGCAGCTCCATCAAAGATTGACCCAAAACCGAAGGATGCTCCAGTGATGGCAAGCACTCCTGCCTCTTTGCCAGTAGAGTCTGTCAAGGATCAGAGAACTCTAAGACCCACTGCGCCTGTTTCCTCAGCCTTAAGCCCAGTTCTGGAGACGAGTCGAGATATGGAGACCTCCCCGTCAATGTCGGAAGGTACGCTGACTGAAGAACGTGAGGCTCGTCGGTATCAGAGGAGAGGCTTACCTCGACGGGGTTATAAAGACGACTTCCAGGTTACATACAGCAGCAGCAGTGAGTTGCAGAGTGACACCATCTCGGAGGCCAGCATTCCATGCACCTGCCGGCCCCTTGGGGTCAAGAGGTCAAGATCCTGGCACAATATCGCTGGGTCGGACCAACCACCTCTACAACCAGAACCTCATAGGGAGAACAGACGTAGAGATAATGAGAGTGACGTCTTCAAGAGGTCAAGAGATAACAGGGAGTCACGGCTTCCAACCCGTATTCCACCCGCCGTGCCTAGTGTCAACGATAGAGGTGCCAGTTATCAGTCATCTGCTGCAAAGAGCTCACAGCTACCTCGCAAAACAAGGGTAGGTCATCGCAATTTTTTAACATACTTAATATCCCCTGCATTTCATATTTCACATTCTCAACATTTTTCTTCCTACAATTTATTGGGAAAAAAAAAGATGATGTTACATTCTCCTTAATTGTTTCTGAAGGATTTGCTAAATTGATTGAAATTTCGTCTGAAAATTTAATTTTTTTCCTAAAATAAATCTAAAACAGGCATTGTATAATCCAACCTGCAGAGCTGTTGAGTACATAGTAGAGGCCTATTTACAAATCTTTTGCCGTGGAAAACATCAGGAGCAGTCAAAATTTGTACCCTCATTATTTTCTCGTTTATGAAGATGTCAAACTGAGTGATAATTCAAAGAGCAGAGTCTGCTCTTTCCACTGAATACAAAAGTCCAATAAGTGAAAAAAGTCTTTAAGACTTAAATGTAGGACCCGGTCACACATAGAGGTGTTTTGATGTTTGCTCCAAGCTTTTTAAATTCAAAGCACAAAGTCCTAAATACAGCCTTATTATACCCCTCTTGCTTCACCTATAAGCACGACAGTTGGCTCAATGATTTGTCTTATACCTTGCAGGGGACGGCGTTCACCGTAGACCTTGCCACACAGACCACCCCAGGCCTGACCAAGCGAGGAACTGACAAGACTCGTAAGAAGGATGGAGAGAGTATCTTCAGACAGCCACGATCCAGCTCAGAGCCAAGCAGACCACGCAAGAAAATCCCACAGTCAGTTTCTTTTTTGTTTTGTGTGTATTTTTTCTATTGACTTATTCCTTTGCAACTGTATGTCTAGCATTATCCGGGATTAGCCCTAACACTCTAGGTTATTTTTGCCAGGAATCTTTGTGATTTTTTCTTGAATGGTTCCTGAATTCACGTTGCTAAACTAAAGTTTCTTTTTTGTGTATGTTTTCACATTCATCGCTGGAAATCCATTATACTTTCCTTTCGTTCATAAATGTTTTCCATTCATCTTTGCAGATGGTCTATCACCCAAACCCCAAAGGGTGTGAATTATGTTTGAAGGATTCAGGACTGTTGGGTGAATATTTTTGTTCCAACTTTTGTCTTTTCTGTCCTATCAGACCAGTCAAGGTTACCCCGGCACTACCCACCCCTGTGGCCTGGTTTCAACCCATCAGTAAGAAGATGCCATGGCAGCAATCGGAGCCCTCAACCCAACGTAAGCCACTCAGGGACAGGCAACCCCTAGCAAGGCAAGGCACACAACCACTGGTTAAACTCACCCTACAGGTAAATCAGAATCTTTGAAAGAATGTGTTTTTTTCCCTTTTTTAGAAAGGTCAGGCTAAGATTGGAACAACAGACTCTCCAACTTCTACAGAATCAAGCAGTTTGATTTGCCTCATTTCAAGTTTTCATTCACCTTTTCTCATTGATCCTTGGTCCTTACCATCCCTACTTTGCTTTAAAATAATATCAGGAAGCTTTTGAGGTGAGTCGGTCAGACTTTATCTCACGTTCCCGAGAGCGACAGAAGAAGATCCGTCTGGCAGCGGAGGAGCGTGACTTACAGAGACAGTTTGACGAGGAGAGAGGCAAACTGTTCTTGGATCATCGGAGCAAGAAGCCCAACCCTCAGGCTCATCCTTACAGCGGTCAGTATTAGTCTTGCCTTGGGCATCAGGGATGAAGGCTCCTCACACAGGGGAGACCAGCTGAATTTTGGTTGATGCTCTGCTTCAAGAACATCAAATCCTATAGGCCGTGTTACATTGGTTTACAAATTGGATGAAGTGATCATATGCCAGCTTTCAGCAAACGGTGTATATCTCGTGAAATATGAATAGCTTAAAACAGTGTTGACATTTACTGTATAATGTGGGCCAAATAAGATGCCAAAGATGCTTAAATGTTTGGGTTGCACAGTGGTTGCCTATCAGTATGACATCACACGTAATAAATAACCCCCCCAAAATAAAAAAATAACCCCCCCCCCCCAACATAAAAAAAAATAAAAATCATGTTACATTTGTTGATCAGTGTGGGGAAATTCTTTGTTTTATTGCCATTATCAGATCAACACCACAAGCCTAAGAAAAGATTGATGTCCAAGAAAGAAATGAGACAGCATACAGAGAGGTAAGTTGATGTACAATCCAAAAAGATGTATTTTAGTTTTCAGATTCTCTTCAAAAGTAGCCGTCATCTCTTCTTATTTCCGACTATTTTGATTAGAAATATTTTTTGTAATTTTAGACTTTACAGCAGACTGCCAGAAGTGGTCCAGAAAGAGAAAGAAAGAAAACGACAAGCGGCCCAAGAAACCAATAGGATAAAAGCACAGATATTTAGAAAGGTAAGATGGCTTTTGAATGACATAGTAAACAACTATTGACTGCTTTGAGTGGTTTAGTAAAAGTAGTGTTCCGAGATGATCCATGGGCGTTCTGTTTTCCGGAGGCGTAGCCGAGAAAAATGGAATGCTCTATGAATCACTGAGGGAGGCTAGTTTTACTACACCTTAAGGCAGTCAATATTTGTTTTATAATGCCTCACCCCTAATGTGTTTTATTCTAAGAGATAACTGATTAATTATTAAACAAAATATTTTTTAGACTACCCCTTCATGAAATGTTTGAAGCCAGCTCTGTAGCGCTAGCACGTGGGAACAATACGCGCAACGCTGAACGCGCACACCTGTATGCATTTGCACACATGCATTACGATTGCTACGTTGGTTGCTATGTGTATAGTACTTTTATATAGCCATTGTATAGTCTTTTTGCCATGAAAAGCAAGATAGTAAAAATAGCAAATGCCATGTGACTCCATCTTGGCCAATCAAGATACAGAATCTGAGGGTGAGGTGTTATAATAACCAATACTACTATTTGTTTGCAATTTGAAACATTTGGGCCAGTATTATCTGTATAAAAATTTGTGTCCTTCCGCAAAATGTTAGGAGCAACATTTCACAGAGATTAATGTTCGTTAAACTTTCATCACAGTCCTCATTCTAGTACTCCTCCCATTACAAGTGCAAAGTTTCAACTCATAATTCATCTTTCTTTTTCTTGCAGCAATTGAGTGAACGTCTTAAGAGCAAACCGTGGACTGGGCCGTAGCAGGGTCAAAACTCAAAACAAGGTTCAAACAAAATTAACGAGTCACGGTTTAAGCTTAATTTACCTCATTATTTTGAAAGTGCCCAACATTTCAACTGAAATATTATCGTTAGTTCAGTTTTGTTTTTTGAATCTTTTTGGACTTTGTGACCATATTTATCCAATTTGTATGCACTGCAGATCAACTTAAACATGGGATCAAGTTTTCGTATTCTTCATTCACTAAACTGTGTTTCCCTTTTTGTAGCTCTTTCCTGGTTTTGTTTTGTTTCTGTAAGGGGGGGGGGGGGTAATGGGAAAATGGAATTTGAAGAACAAAATAGTCAGTAGGCTGTTGTTGGGTCTGTACAACCAACATAAGTATTCAAGAGGGCTGATATGAAAGCTTGGTTTGTGATTTGGGCTCAAATGTTAGTATGCGTGAACTGTACAAAAAAGAAACAATCTGTTTAAAACTTAGTCAGCATAACTGAACATGGATCCGCGGATATGCAGAGCGGCTGGGTGTTATCAAGTGCAGAATGTTGCAGAATATGGCTGATACTGCAGCTGACAGAGGCCATAACTGGTATCTTGACCTCGGTATCGTATCACAAAAAAATTGTATTGTAAACTTAACTACAGAAGCGTGCACTGCAAACAAAAGCAATTAAACAATTCAGAGTTGTGCAGCGAGACGCGGCCAGATTTCAACCCAAGCTGTTGTTCTTGTGAGTTGGCCAGAACGTTCCTTCACAAGACAACATGTAGGATAGCTAACAAAGGTGGCCACATGTCGGTCATAAAAATAAATTGTCTAAGTGTTTAGTGTCATGGTGCTTTGTACTATCTGTGAATTCAGAGACCTCGATTGTCTATGTGCAGTATATGTGTGTGGCTTCGAGACAGCAGGTCTTGGACAAAGTGGTTGTGTCTTGTATAATGAAATTATTAACTTAAATATTGGGTTGTTTTCTTACCCAGTGTTTTGTAAGTGCTAAACATAGCGCTGGCTGTGAACACCAAGAAAAAAAACCAAAATCACAAGCTTTGTTTAATGGGACTCGATTCCATGAAAATATTGGTTATACCAATGCCATGAAATTGAATACAGTCAACCGATGCAAGCAAGCTCGGTGGTCGAGTGGTAAGATGTCTACTAGCAAGCAGGTTGTAGGTTCACATCCCACCCGATCAAGCTTGTGAACTTTTTTGGCATTCTCTCATACAACCCTGAGTGTACAGTTCTTGTAAAAAAATTAGTACAAAAGCTGAATTGTAGAATACAGAATATATTTAATTCCTGATTGATTTTTTTTAAGTATTCAAAAATAAGTTCATTGTCATTAAGTTTGATATTTGAAAAACTGTTTCAAATTGGCAAAAAATAGTATTCATTTCCTTTGAAGAATGTGTGTGTTTTTAAATATCTTGCCAAAGAAAAATACTTTCTTTCAAGTAAAATGTTTTCAAAGACAAAATCTGACGGATTTCATCAATGAGGTGGTAAGTGAAATGGATTTTGAACAAATTCATTTTAACCTCATTTCTTCCTTTCCTTCAAATTTTGTCTGCTTCCATCTGCATGTATACATGTACACTTATAATTACAAAAATTGTTTTATTTGAAATGATACACATTCCATTTTTTTCAATATATAATTTTGTAGAAAATTTGATCAACTGTTTATTGCCCCTTATTTCTGGTTACGTGAAAAATCTGATCTATTCAGCAAACTGTTGAAATGTGACTATTCCCTCACAGAAACTTTGGCAGTTGGATCTCATTACAGCACTGAAAATAGCACATTTTGGACTGACTTTACCCCAATTTTTTTTAATTTAATAACCAAATTTGAAAAAAAATGCAAGGGGTTAACCTTACTTTTTTCATGAAATTTTGATCAAAAATTGACTTCTCTCAAAACAAAACAGAAATTCCTTTGAAGTGTCCATCCATCCAGAAATCTAATTGGAATGTGTTCTAGGGTCCATTAGGCATCTTTCCTGCAAGTTTGAAACAATTTTATTTTTTGGCCAAAATAAAAAAAAAACAAGGGGTAAGCCTTACTTTTTTAGTGAAATTTGGCCAAAAATGGACTTTTCTCCGAACAATACAGAATTTCCTTTGAAGTGTCCATCGGTCCAGAAAACGGATGGGAATGTGTTCTAGGGTCCATAAGGCATCTTTCCTGCAAGTTTGAAACAATTTAATTTTTTGGCCAAAATTGAAAAAAATGCAAGGAGTTAGCCTTACTTTATTAGTGAAATTTGGTCAAAAATTGACTTTTCTCAAAACAATACAGAATTTCCTTTCAAGTGTCCATCCATCCAGAAATCGAATTTGGAATGTGTTCTAGGGTCCATTAGGCATCTTTCCTGCAAGTTTGAAGCAATTTTATTTTTTGGCCAAAATTGAAAAAAAAACAAGGGGTTAGCCTTACATTTTTAGTGAAATTTGGCCAAAAATGGACTTTTCTCCGAACAATACAGAATTTCCTTTGAAGTGTCCATCGGTCCAGAAAACGAATAGGAATGCGTTCAAGGGTCCATTAGGCATCTTTCTTGCATGTTTGAAGCAATTTTATTTTTTGGCCAAAATTAAAAAAAACAACAAGGGGTTAGCCTTACTTTTTTAGTGAAATTTGGCCAAAAATGGACTTTTCTCCGAACAATACAGAATTTCCTTTGAAGTGTCCATCGGTCCAGAAAACGAATGGGAATGTGTTTTAGGGTCCATTAGGCATCTTTCCTGCAAGTTTGAAGCAATTTTATTTTTTGGCCAAAATTGAAAAAAAACAAGGGGTTAGCCTTACATTTTTAGTGAAATTTGGCCAAAAATGGACTTTTCTCCGAACAATACAGAATTTCCTTTGAAGTGTCCATCGGTCCAGAAAACGAATGGGAATGTGTTCTAGGGTCCATAAGGCATCTTTCCTGCAAGTGTGAAACAATTTAATTTTTTGGCCAAAATTGAAAAAAATGCAAGGGGTTAGCCTTACTTGTTTAGTGAAATTTGGTCCAAAATTGACTTTTCTCAAAACAATACAGAAGTTCCTTTGAAGTGTCCATCCATCCAGAAATCGAATTGGAATGTGTTCTAGGGTCCATTAGGCATCTTTCCTGCAAGTTTGAAGCAATTTTATTTTTTGGCCAAATTGAAAAAAAACAAGGGGTTAGCCTTACATATTTAGTGAAATTTAGCCAAAAATGGACTTTTCTCCGAACAATACAGAATTTCCTTTGAAGTGTCCATCGGTCCAGAAAACGAATGGGAATGTGTTCAAGGGTCCATAAGGCATCTTTCCTGCAAGTTTGAAACAATTTAATTTTTTGGCCAAAATTGAAAAAAATGCAAGGGGTTAGCCTTACTTTTTTAGTGAAATTTGGTCAAAAATTGACTTTTCTCAAAACAATACAGAAATTCCTTTGAAGTGTCCATCCATCCAGAAATCTAATTGGAATGTGTTCTAGAGTCCATTAGGCATCTTTCCTGCAAGTTTGAAGCAATTTTATTTTTTGGCCAAAATTGAAAAAAAAACAAGGGGTTAGCCTTACATTTTTAGTGAAATTTGGCCAAAAATGGACTTTTCTCCGAACAATACAGAATTTCCTTTGAAGTGTCCATCGGTCCAGAAAACGAATGGGAATGTGTTCTAGGGTCTATAAGGCATCTTTCCTGCAAGTTTGAAACAATTTAATTTTTTGGCCAAAATTGAAAAAAAATGCAAGGGGTTAGCCTTACATTTTTAGTGAAATTTGGTCAAAAATTGACTTTTCTCAAAACAATACAGAATTTCCTTTCAAGTGTCCATCCATCCAGAAATCGAATTGGAATGTGTTCTAGGGTCCATTAGGCATCTTTCCTGCAAGTTTGAAGCAATTTTATTTTTTGGCCAAAATTGAAAAAAAAAAGAAGGGGTTAGCCTTACATTTTTAGTGAAATTTGGCCAAAAATGGACTTTTCTCCGAACAATACAGAATTTCCTTTGAAGTGTCCATCCATCCAGAAATCTAATTGGAATGTGTTCAAGGGTCCATAAGGCATCTTTCCTGCAAGTTTGAAACAATTTAATTTTTTGGCCACAATTGAAAAAAAAAATGCAAGGGGTTAGCCTTACTTTTTTAGTGAAATTTGGTCAAAAATGGACTTTTCTCAAAACAATACAGAAATTCCTTTGAAGTGTCCATCCATCCAGAAATCTAATTGGAATGTGTTCTAGAGTCCATTAGGCATCTTTCCTGCAAGTTTGAAGCAATTTTATTTTTTGGCCAAAATTGAAAAAAAACCAAGGGGTTAGCCTTACATTTTTAGTGAAATTTGGCCCAAAATTGACTTTTGTCCGAACAATACAGAATTGCCTTTGAAGTGTCCATCGGTCCAGAAAACGAATGGGAATGTGTTCAAGGGTCCATAAGGCATCTTTCCTGCAAGTTTGAAACAATTTAATTTTTTGGCCAAAATTGAAAAAAATGCAAGGGGTAAGCCTTACTTTTTTAGTGAAATTTGGTCAAAAATTGACTTTTCTCAAAACAATACAGAAGTTCCTTTGAAGTGTCCATCCATCCAGAAATCGAATTGGAATGTGTTCTAGGGTCCATTAGGCATCTTTCCTGCAAGTTTGAAGCAATTTTATTTTTTGGCCAAAATTGAAAAAAAACCAAGGGGTTAGCCTTACATTTTTAGTGAAATTTAGCCAAAAATGGACTTTTCTCCGAACAATACAGAATTTCCTTTGAAGTGTCCATCGGTCCAGAAAACGAATGGGAATGTGTTCTAGGGTCCATAAGGCATCTTTCCTGCAAGTTTGAAACAATTTAATTTTTTGGCCAAAATTGAAAAAAATGCAAGGGGTTAGCCTTACTTTTTTAGTGAAATTTGGTCAAAAATTGACTTTTCTCAAAACAATACAGAAGTTCCTTTGAAGTGTCCATCCATCCAGAAATCGAATTGGAATGTGTTCTAGGGTCCATTAGGCATCTTTCCTGCAAGTTTGAAGCAATTTTATTTTTTGGCCAAAATTGAAAAAAAAACAAGGGGTTAGCCTTACATTTTTAGTGAAATTTGGCCAAAAATGGACTTTTCTCCGAACAATACAGAATTTCCTTTGAAGTGTCCATCCATCCAGAAATCGAATTGGAATGTGTTCTAGGGTCCATTAGGCATCTTTCCTGCAAGTTTGAAGCAATTTTATTTTTTGGCCAAAATTGAAAAAAAACCAAGGGGTTAGCCTTACATTTTTATGAAATTTGGTCAAAAATTTACTTTCCTCAAAACAATACAGAAATTCCTTTGAAGTGTCCATCCATCCAGAAATCTAATTGGAATGTGTTCTAGGGTCCATTAGGCATCTGTCCTGCAGGTTTGAAGCAATTCAACTTTTTGGCCAAAAAATGAAAAAAAACCAAGGGGTTAGCCTTACATTTTTATGAAATTTGGTCAAAAATTTACTTTCCTCAAAACAATACAGAAATTCCTTTGAAGTGTCCATCCATCCAGAAATCTAATTGGAATGTGTTCTAGGGTCCATTAGGCATCTGTCCTGCAGGTTTGAAGCAATTCAACTTTTTGGCCAAAAAATGAAAAAAATACAAGGGGTTAGGCTTACATTTTTTGTTAAATTTGGCAAAAAAAATTACTCTTCTCCAAATAACACAGAATTTACTTTGAAAGTAAGAGGAGCATCAAGCAATATTCAAACACCAAATACAACGTATGTTGAAGATTTGGGGCAAAACCAATCAATTTTCAAAGAAAACCATTTGATTTATTTTTACTGATTTTAATTTTAATTTTCGCTAATATTTTATTGAAATGCAAATCCGTCCAGAAATCAACTTGGACTGTGTTCTAGGGTCCCTTAGGCATCTTTCCTGCAAGTTTGAAGCAAGTTCATTTTTTTGGCCAAAATTTAAAAAAAAACACAAGGGGTTAGCCTTACATTTTTTGTTGAATTTGGCAAAAGAAAATGTGTTTTGTAAAACCCATAGATCCTAACCTTGGCTGATTTTCCTCAAGCAACATATTAAAGAATGAAGTATTCCATTACATTCACTTTGGAGCACGTATTCATTAGAAAAATGTAGTTCATGACCTAATAAAAAAAAACGTGACCACCAAAATATGCTGCCAAACATAAAATGTCAGGAAATGGCAAAAAGTGCACTTGCCAAATGTCAACAATGGTTAAAATTTCTGCATTTGATTAATTGTAATAATTTATTCAATACATTCTTTGTTCCAGTATTTTCTACTTTATATTTCTTGTCTACTTATTTTGTAAACGATAAGATTTCTTTCTGGATACCTTATATGAAATATTTGAATTGTTTTTTCTAAATGGTTGGAATTGTACATTTTGTGAGTAAAAAAATAAGTATTGTACAGTTAGAATTATCTGAAAGTCTGCTAGTAATATCAATATTGATGTACATGTATATAGCTACAAGCCGTAGAGTTCACGCAAATTAGTACTACATTCAAATGTACATGAACAAAACTGGGTGGTTTTCTTGTGTGTGCTTACAAAAATAAAGCAGCGAAGAGTAACGGTATAAAATTACAACTAATTTGGTTGTGTGTTCTTTTTGACCTGCTTCAAAAGTTCTTCAGTACGATTTAGAAGATTTGTCATGTTAAGGACTAATATTATTTTGACCAACGTCTTTAAAGTCACCT